CATTAGCGTCTGGTAGTTATGATAATTCGATTCGGTTATGGGATGTTAAGACAGGACAGTAAAAAACCAAATTAATGGGTCATTAACAAAATGTTCTGTCTGTCTGTTTCTCTATCGACGATACTACATTAGCATCTGGTAGTTTCGATAATTCAATCCGTTTATGGGATGCTAAGACAGGATAATAAAAAGCCAAATTAGATGGTCATCTGAGTTATGTTAATTCAGTTTGTTTCTCTCCAGATGGCACTACATTAGCATCTTGTGGTGGAGATAACTCTATCCGATTTTGGGCTTATGGGTTAGGATAATAAAAGGTTAAATTAGATGATCTTTCAAAAGAGTTTAACTCAGTTTCTTTCTCTCCTGATGGTACTACATTAGCGTCTGATAGTGGAAATAAATCTATACATATATGGGATATGAAAACAGGACTATAAAAAGCCATAATTATTGATCATTCAGAATAGGTTTAATCGGTTTGTTTCTCTCCAGATGGTACCCTATTAGCATCAAGTGGTATTGGTAAGTCTATCCATTTATGGGATGCTTAGACTGGAAAATAAAAAGGCATTTTAGATGGTCACTCAAATTATGTTTATACAGTATGTTTTTCTCCTGATGGTACTACACTAGCATCTGGTAGTGATGATTAATCAATACGCTTATGGGATCTTAAAACAAAGAAACAGTAAGCCAAACTAGATGGTCATTCAGCTTAAATTAGATCAGTATGTTTCTCTCCTGATAGTACTACATTAGTATCTGGTAGTCGTGATAACTTGATATTAAGATAATAATAGATGTTCTCAAAAAAATTAAGGACCATGAATTTAATGAACAGAATTACTCGTTAGAAGAATATGAAGATATTAAATAAGATCTGATCATTAAAATATCATGGGAACAGAAGATTATAGAGTTTCTAAAATTTTTAATTTATCTTACTGCCTTAGATTAGAGATACATATAGTGTGGATCGAATTCCTTTCATTTATTAGTTTAAATGAAGGTTGATCTGAAAGAACAATCCTTTGAGAATATTAGAATTAGAAATACTTCCTTAATCGGAGCAAATTTAGTAAGATGTGACTTAAGTGGATCTGATTTTGATGATGTCATTATTAGTGGTATAAATTTAAATTAAGCCAAATTATTAAATTGTAGGTGGAGGAATCTAAGAAAGGATGAGCTAAATGTATTAAACGGCCATACTAGATAGGTAAAATATGTTTCCTTTTCTCCAGATGGTAATTTATTGGTTTCTTGCTGTGATGATAAATCAGTGTGCTTGTGGAATGTTAAAAAAGGGATAAGAAAATTAAAAATCAGATGTGAGAGAGAGGTAAAATAAGTATGCTTCTCACCTAATAGTGCAACAGCAGCTTTTTGTAGCGGCAAATGTATTTTTTTATAGAATCTTAAAACAAGTAAATAAATGTCGAAATTATTTGGTCATTCAAATTATGTGAACGCGGTCTGCTTCTCTCCTGATGGTACTACAATAGCATCATGTAGTAATGATTAGTCCATCCGTTTATGGGATGTTAAGACTGGAAAATAAAAAGCCATTTTAGATGGTCATTCACATTATGTTTATACAGTTTGTTTCTCTCCTGATGGTTCTACATTAGCATCTGGTAGCTCAGATAACTCCATCCGATTATGGGATCTTAAGAAAGGATAACAGAAATTAAAATTAGATGGTCATACATTTTAAATTAGATCAGTCTGTTTTTCTCATGATGGTACTACATTAGCGTCTGGTAGTTATGATAATTCGATTCGGTTATGGGATGTTAAGACAGGACAGTAAAAAACCAAATTAATGGGTCATTAACAAAATGTTCTGTCTGTCTGTTTCTCTATCGACGATACTACATTAGCATCTGGTAGTTTCGATAATTCAATCCGTTTATGGGATGCTAAGACAGGATAATAAAAAGCCAAATTAGATGGTCATCTGAGTTATGTTAATTCAGTTTGTTTCTCTCCAGATGGCACTACATTAGCATCTTGTGGTGGAGATAACTCTATCCGATTTTGGGCTTATGGGTTAGGATAATAAAAGGTTAAATTAGATGATCTTTCAAAAGAGTTTAACTCAGTTTCTTTCTCTCCTGATGGTACTACATTAGCGTCTGATAGTGGAAATAAATCTATACATATATGGGATATGAAAACAGGACTATAAAAAGCCATAATTATTGATCATTCAGAATAGGTTTAATCGGTTTGTTTCTCTCCAGATGGTACCCTATTAGCATCAAGTGGTATTGGTAAGTCTATCCATTTATGGGATGCTTAGACTGGAAAATAAAAAGGCATTTTAGATGGTCACTCAAATTATGTTTATACAGTATGTTTTTCTCCTGATGGTACTACACTAGCATCTGGTAGTGATGATTAATCAATACGCTTATGGGATCTTAAAACAAAGAAACAGTAAGCCAAACTAGATGGTCATTCAGCTTAAATTAGATCAGTATGTTTCTCTCCTGATAGTACTACATTAGTATCTGGTAGTCGTGATAACTCGATCTGTTTATGGGATGTTAAGACTGGATAATAAAAAGACAAATTAGAGGGTCATTCACGTTATGTTTATTCAGTCAATTTCTCTCCTGATGGTAATACATTAGCATCTGGTGGTGGTGATAAGTCAATCCGTTTATGGGATATTAAGATAGGATAATAAAAAGCCAAATTAGATGGTCATTCAGAAATAGTATTAACAGTATGTTTCTCTCCTGACGGCGCTACATTAGCATCAGGTAGTGAAGATAACTCTATCCGTTTATGGGATGTCAGGACAGGATTACAAAAAGCTAGATTAGATGGTCATTTAAATTCTGTCAGATCAGTTTGTTTCTCTCCTGATGGTATTACGCTAGCATCTGGTAGTTCTGATAAGTCGATTCGTTTATGGGATTTACAACCTAGGCAACAATTATTAACTTTAGATTTTTGTTATAACGAAGTTCTTGCATAATTCTTACCCCATTTTTTTAAAAGCCTCCCTCTACAAGAAAGTGGTATTATTTTTTATTATCAGTTAGTTACATCCCATATTACTATCCTTTTAATATCAAAATAATTAATATTTTAATCATAAGGTGCTCTAATTTTCAAGGGAGAATTTATTAGTCAATCAGGCATAGATTTGAGGAAATTATTTCAATAAAAAGGAGCCTGCATTTTAGAAAACTAAATTGGTTCACAAAAACAATAAAATTGATTATTTTACAATATACATTACAATTTTACATTTCCAATAATATTTTTTAGATTTTTTTGAAAAGCCAAACACTTTGCAGTATTTAGCGTTAAACAAACTGGAAATTGCTAGTAAGGTATTGTTCTAAAATGGCTGTCTAAATTCCAAAAATCAACTAATTTAAGAAATAACTTTATTTATTTTCAAGAAATTCAATGTAAAAATTCTTAAATCAAACCACATAAAGGACACTTATTCTTATCTAAAATATCAGTAGGAGTAAGGATGACTTATGCGCAGCTGCTAATTGTGTGAGCAAAGGGAAAGAGTGCAAAATGAGGGAAAATATACATTATGAAGGTATGTAGTTATAAGTGTGAAACTTTACTGCTGATATTAAGAGAAGTTAAAGATGTAATACATCTTCAGGATCTGTCCAATACGACTTGCTTACTACTATAATCATACATAATGAAAGGGACCCCTTTATTAAACTAGAACGAATCTAATTCTGGCTTGAGGAAAGAACCTCTGTATGGGCAACTTGTAATTCTAAATTAACTCCCCTCTATTAGAGTCTCTTAGCTCCATTTGGCTATTATCGTAAGTTGTAAACAAATTTGTAAGTTCCTTCTTTATCCTTAATTTTTAATTTCACTTAATTCCAAAAGCCACACAGCGATATAGTCATTCTTAATCAAATCCCATAAATATCTAATTCATTTCAAATTTTTTTTTATGGAAGCAGAAGGATGAAAGTTGCTATACAGGGAGAGAACAAACATAGCAGAATAATCAATATCCAAACATCCGACATATCAGCAAATTATAAATTTATTCTCAGCAATAAAAGAAGATACAAGTAGAAAAAGTCTACAATAATTTTGAATCAGCATTTTCACAACCACTTTGAGTTTCTAAATGATTATTTCCATCTTCACAATTAATACTAAGTTCTTTACATTTGTGTTAGAGTATATGCACAACTTTTTTATATTTTTTTAATGAACAGGTCCTTTTTTAACATATTTAAGCCAATTTCCACAAATGCTACATCATTAATTTAAGTACAAAAATTAAAATAGTGAACTTGAACTGCCAGTAGTATTCCAAACTCAATTTTGTTTTCAATAATCGTAAGGTAATATTGACTGTGATGTAGAAATAAAATTACCTCTTTCATAACTGGCCCATTTGTATACTTTATGCTGCTCATTCAACTGCACTAATTTTTAATGAAAGATCATGACAGCTATTAAAAGTATGATGTTAACTTTTGTTTAAGTCAAAAAAACTANCATATATGGGATATGAAAACAGGACTATAAAAAGCCATAATTATTGATCATTCAGAATAGGTTTAATCGGTTTGTTTCTCTCCAGATGGTACCCTATTAGCATCAAGTGGTATTGGTAAGTCTATCCATTTATGGGATGCTTAGACTGGAAAATAAAAAGGCATTTTAGATGGTCACTCAAATTATGTTTATACAGTATGTTTTTCTCCTGATGGTACTACACTAGCATCTGGTAGTGATGATTAATCAATACGCTTATGGGATCTTAAAACAAAGAAACAGTAAGCCAAACTAGATGGTCATTCAGCTTAAATTAGATCAGTATGTTTCTCTCCTGATAGTACTACATTAGTATCTGGTAGTCGTGATAACTCGATCTGTTTATGGGATGTTAAGACTGGATAATAAAAAGACAAATTAGAGGGTCATTCACGTTATGTTTATTCAGTCAATTTCTCTCCTGATGGTAATACATTAGCATCTGGTGGTGGTGATAAGTCAATCCGTTTATGGGATATTAAGATAGGATAATAAAAAGCCAAATTAGATGGTCATTCAGAAATAGTATTAACAGTATGTTTCTCTCCTGACGGCGCTACATTAGCATCAGGTAGTGAAGATAACTCTATCCGTTTATGGGATGTCAGGACAGGATTACAAAAAGCTAGATTAGATGGTCATTTAAATTCTGTCAGATCAGTTTGTTTCTCTCCTGATGGTATTACGCTAGCATCTGGTAGTTCTGATAAGTCGATTCGTTTATGGGATTTACAACCTAGGCAACAATTATTAACTTTAGATTTTTGTTATAACGAAGTTCTTGCATAATTCTTACCCCATTTTTTTAAAAGCCTCCCTCTACAAGAAAGTGGTATTATTTTTTATTATCAGTTAGTTACATCCCATATTACTATCCTTTTAATATCAAAATAATTAATATTTTAATCATAAGGTGCTCTAATTTTCAAGGGAGAATTTATTAGTCAATCAGGCATAGATTTGAGGAAATTATTTCAATAAAAAGGAGCCTGCATTTTAGAAAACTAAATTGGTTCACAAAAACAATAAAATTGATTATTTTACAATATACATTACAATTTTACATTTCCAATAATATTTTTTAGATTTTTTTGAAAAGCCAAACACTTTGCAGTATTTAGCGTTAAACAAACTGGAAATTGCTAGTAAGGTATTGTTCTAAAATGGCTGTCTAAATTCCAAAAATCAACTAATTTAAGAAATAACTTTATTTATTTTCAAGAAATTCAATGTAAAAATTCTTAAATCAAACCACATAAAGGACACTTATTCTTATCTAAAATATCAGTAGGAGTAAGGATGACTTATGCGCAGCTGCTAATTGTGTGAGCAAAGGGAAAGAGTGCAAAATGAGGGAAAATATACATTATGAAGGTATGTAGTTATAAGTGTGAAACTTTACTGCTGATATTAAGAGAAGTTAAAGATGTAATACATCTTCAGGATCTGTCCAATACGACTTGCTTACTACTATAATCATACATAATGAAAGGGACCCCTTTATTAAACTAGAACGAATCTAATTCTGGCTTGAGGAAAGAACCTCTGTATGGGCAACTTGTAATTCTAAATTAACTCCCCTCTATTAGAGTCTCTTAGCTCCATTTGGCTATTATCGTAAGTTGTAAACAAATTTGTAAGTTCCTTNGTGGTATTGGTAAGTCTATCCATTTATGGGATGCTTAGACTGGAAAATAAAAAGGCATTTTAGATGGTCACTCAAATTATGTTTATACAGTATGTTTTTCTCCTGATGGTACTACACTAGCATCTGGTAGTGATGATTAATCAATACGCTTATGGGATCTTAAAACAAAGAAACAGTAAGCCAAACTAGATGGTCATTCAGCTTAAATTAGATCAGTATGTTTCTCTCCTGATAGTACTACATTAGTATCTGGTAGTCGTGATAACTCGATCTGTTTATGGGATGTTAAGACTGGATAATAAAAAGACAAATTAGAGGGTCATTCACGTTATGTTTATTCAGTCAATTTCTCTCCTGATGGTAATACATTAGCATCTGGTGGTGGTGATAAGTCAATCCGTTTATGGGATATTAAGATAGGATAATAAAAAGCCAAATTAGATGGTCATTCAGAAATAGTATTAACAGTATGTTTCTCTCCTGACGGCGCTACATTAGCATCAGGTAGTGAAGATAACTCTATCCGTTTATGGGATGTCAGGACAGGATTACAAAAAGCTAGATTAGATGGTCATTTAAATTCTGTCAGATCAGTTTGTTTCTCTCCTGATGGTATTACGCTAGCATCTGGTAGTTCTGATAAGTCGATTCGTTTATGGGATTTACAACCTAGGCAACAATTATTAACTTTAGATTTTTGTTATAACGAAGTTCTTGCATAATTCTTACCCCATTTTTTTAAAAGCCTCCCTCTACAAGAAAGTGGTATTATTTTTTATTATCAGTTAGTTACATCCCATATTACTATCCTTTTAATATCAAAATAATTAATATTTTAATCATAAGGTGCTCTAATTTTCAAGGGAGAATTTATTAGTCAATCAGGCATAGATTTGAGGAAATTATTTCAATAAAAAGGAGCCTGCATTTTAGAAAACTAAATTGGTTCACAAAAACAATAAAATTGATTATTTTACAATATACATTACAATTTTACATTTCCAATAATATTTTTTAGATTTTTTTGAAAAGCCAAACACTTTGCAGTATTTAGCGTTAAACAAACTGGAAATTGCTAGTAAGGTATTGTTCTAAAATGGCTGTCTAAATTCCAAAAATCAACTAATTTAAGAAATAACTTTATTTATTTTCAAGAAATTCAATGTAAAAATTCTTAAATCAAACCACATAAAGGACACTTATTCTTATCTAAAATATCAGTAGGAGTAAGGATGACTTATGCGCAGCTGCTAATTGTGTGAGCAAAGGGAAAGAGTGCAAAATGAGGGAAAATATACATTATGAAGGTATGTAGTTATAAGTGTGAAACTTTACTGCTGATATTAAGAGAAGTTAAAGATGTAATACATCTTCAGGATCTGTCCAATACGACTTGCTTACTACTATAATCATACATAATGAAAGGGACCCCTTTATTAAACTAGAACGAATCTAATTCTGGCTTGAGGAAAGAACCTCTGTATGGGCAACTTGTAATTCTAAATTAACTCCCCTCTATTAGAGTCTCTTAGCTCCATTTGGCTATTATCGTAAGTTGTAAACAAATTTGTAAGTTCCTTCTTTATCCTTAATTTTTAATTTCACTTAATTCCAAAAGCCACACAGCGATATAGTCATTCTTAATCAAATCCCATAAATATCTAATTCATTTCAAATTTTTTTTTATGGAAGCAGAAGGATGAAAGTTGCTATACAGGGAGAGAACAAACATAGCAGAATAATCAATATCCAAACATCCGACATATCAGCAAATTATAAATTTATTCTCAGCAATAAAAGAAGATACAAGTAGAAAAAGTCTACAATAATTTTGAATCAGCATTTTCACAACCACTTTGAGTTTCTAAATGATTATTTCCATCTTCACAATTAATACTAAGTTCTTTACATTTGTGTTAGAGTATATGCACAACTTTTTTATATTTTTTTAATGAACAGGTCCTTTTTTAACATATTTAAGCCAATTTCCACAAATGCTACATCATTAATTTAAGTACAAAAATTAAAATAGTGAACTTGAACTGCCAGTAGTATTCCAAACTCAATTTTGTTTTCAATAATCGTAAGGTAATATTGACTGTGATGTAGAAATAAAATTACCTCTTTCATAACTGGCCCATTTGTATACTTTATGCTGCTCATTCAACTGCACTAATTTTTAATGAAAGATCATGACAGCTATTAAAAGTATGATGTTAACTTTTGTTTAAGTCAAAAAAACTAGAAACTGCTATACAAGTACTTTAAGATATAATATTCATTTAATAAGCAAGTTTTAGTCGATGTCTCCATTTAGAATAAACTAATTGCAGTTTGAAAAATACAATCAGAACAAATACATTAAGTACTTATTACTAATGAGATGTATTTGTAAGGACTGAAAATTTCTTAACCAGTTTTGTCCTTAAATAAACCTGTTTTGGACAAACAAGTTGATGAAGCCAAATTATTATGATTGATTACACAAACCATATAAATTTGTGGCTTCAGGTCGTACATATGCATAAAAATAAGGATATAATTCTAAATTAAATAAAGCTTTAAGCCAGTCGGCTTTAGATGATTTTAAAAAAATTGTTGATAAATCTATGTAGACTAATCAGATTCATTGCCACCTTTAGAATTTGGCCACAAATTGTCCATTATAAAGTCAAACTTAGATGAATGCTTATTGAAAGTAATTGATTTTAATCAATACCTTATGTCAATCATACTACATAACGTAAAAATTTTATTTAATATGGTTGACTCGATGACGCCACAAAAGAGGTAGGAAACTCATTGAATAGGATAAACTAAGCGAATAGTTAATATTTTCATTATAATTAGATCGCTTCAAATTTCATGATTTTTAGTATTTTTGTTAAATTATCTCAAGTATTTGGAAAAGAGATTAAATTAAAGAAAGCATAGAAAATTTTATGCTCCAAAGAGATTAATCCTTATTATTTATTTCCAAAGGAGTTGATTTAATCAGAAATATACTTTATTACTCATTCATTATTAATCCTCTAATAATAAAATTTGCTTCATTTCTTGTAGATGAATGTCAAACTTATATAATCAATATCTAGGGAGTATTCACAGACTAACTTAATGAGGCCTATGAAACAGGACTTGATTCCAAACTTATGAATTTTGCAAACTGAAGAACCAAGTTAGCAAATTTATATGGTGAAGATAAAGAACAAAACAGTGATAGAAAAGTACTTTGAAGGGTGATCGGATAAATAAACCCTACACTTTCTTTTAAAACTTTAAAAACAATAGATGAAATTTAAAATAAGTATTCTTCACATAAAAACAAGTAATATGGAGATTGATGTTCCATAACCATAAAAGATACTTAAATCTTTGAATTTTCAAACAATTTAAATAATCACTTTTTCAATCTATACCGATAGCATATGTAATGAAGAAGGGATATCGAGAAAATTGAGCTTTCAAAAAAGTGATGAAAAAATTCAATTAAAAATTAAACAAAGAAATAGTAGTAATAAAAAGTCTCTGTTTGAACTTAAATGGTAATTAATATACATTATGAGAAATTAGAAAGATTAATGCCAAGCAAAATAACATTGCTAAAATAAAAACCAATAAGTAAAAATTCTAAATAGAGATGTTAAGATGAATAGGAACCTCTATTTTCTTAAGGAATATATGAATAATGGATAAGTATGGATAAAGTGGAATAATATGTAATTTTGAGAATTTAAATTTTAAGTTTAATGATTGAAGTTACCCTCTTAGAATATTTATGACTCATTTCTAATTGAAATTGCTGCACTAGGTGAGGCTTTTACTCTTAGCTTTCATATAATATTACTCCTTTCCATTAATTTTTGTCTAATCTTAAATCATATCATTATGCATGCTTGCTTTCATAAATACTTTTTTCTAAAATTAATAATATAGATGCTTTCAATTGAAATTACACATATTCAATATTTTGTCTTTAATGTTAATACTAATTAATTAGCCAAAGTTTGGCGCTCTTTCTGGATAAGAACCCTGTTATAACAGAGTTAATATGTTAAAAAAGATATTCCAATTTAATTGACAATATGGAGATCCTATACCATGTTTTTATTACACAAGTTCTAATGGGATAACCTAGAAACATTCTATAAGGAAGCAGACAATTCAGTTGTTCAGCTTATCCAACAGAATTGATCAATGTACATCAGCAATAAGACAGGAAGAAGAAAGTTAATAGTGGTTCAGAAAAAGATTGATTAAGACCTATCAAATGAAAGCAGTGTATATAAAGATTATGAGAAATAGGCTATTCAACTGATAATAAATGAGAAGATATCAGGTCAACATTCAACAAACAAAATATATCCAGCAAAATGAGAATAGATCTCCAAAATGAGATAGTATCAAAAAAATGCTATGTGGAAGAGAATTAAGGAAAATTGTAGAATATTCTAAACCTTTACAACTGGTCTTGGAAGAAGAGAATAGAAAATAGATTTGGTACCTTCAAATGTATTTCCACATGGATTGAGAGTTTTGTGTAAGTGTTTGGGTATGGAAGCTATTTCAAATTATTTACTAAACTGAACTGGGAACTTTTAGGAATATTAAGAAATTTAATAATGAGCTGGAAAGAATTTAATTATTCCTGGAAATCGATTTAATCAATAAAGGAAAGCTACAATTTAAAGAGGCTCCTGAAGATAGTTTAACAGATTGGAAAATGAGATAAAAGGGTGTACCTTTAGTTTGGACTTGATGATTGTGTAGACTGATGTTGAAGTAATTTTTTCAAGAGAGAGGAACACCTCATCTGATTTTGATGGAATATTAAAATGATTTGTAAAAAATAAGATACTATAACAACTAGAGAACCTGGAGTATAAGGGGAAAACATTAAACCAAATAATATCCTACAAATGGGACGAGATTTTACAAACACTTCTGTTCATCAAGTAAAATGGATAATTTAGTGATGTAGGAACTAAAGTCATATGTTTAACTTCATTGGCAAAGTAATTACAAATTTTTTTCTATCGAATCAGTTGATTTCAGTCATTTAATTTAATCCAATCATTATTGTTCTTAACTAAATCAAATACTGTCACGCAAGACCTTAGAACATTATTTAAAGCATTAACTTTGATTGAATACTTTATATTTAGTTGATAAATATCAAGCATATTCGTTTTTTCTAAACACATCTCTTGATTATTTTACAAACTCAATGAAAGATATTTGGGAAAATATAAATTTGAATACATTTGTTTAGCAAGAGGGCAAAATCTTCTATAACTTGATTATCTTCTTTAGTAATCAATCTATGTAGAATAAAGTATTCATTTTGATTTCATTTTGTTAAAAAAACATCAATGTTGTAAAACGATAAAAAATATATGAATGGTATGCCTTCCGTGTCTATAAATTAAATAAAGAGATTTCAAATAGTGTGGCGAATTGAGGTGGTTGAAACTGCTATGTAATTAAAACTTTTCAAAATATTTTAGTAAACTACAATTAATAAATATTCATTCCTGCTCTATAATGATTCTAAATTCTTTATAAAACACCTTAATTCCTCTCTTTTAGGTATGAAATTGAACTCGATTTTTCAACGCAAAATATCCGATTTGTTTCTTGAAAAAAATTTAAAGTCTTATGAAATATTTATTTAAGAGCAATTATAAAAATATTATGCAGTAAATTTATTTATAAAATCCACCTTCATTAATAATAATTATCTAAACCTTTATTTTTAGGAGAAAAATATTTCAAACTTAAAATAGTTTTTTTCATTATTGAGGCAGCTCCTTGAATTACTTTACTCTTTTATATTTGATGTGATAGTTTAATCGATAGAAACAAACATAAAACAGAAAGAGTACATTAATTTTTTGAATTGTTCAAATTTATAAGAAAGGAAATATTATAAATAATAGTTTAAAGCAGTTGTTGATGAAAATTATTTTATTTTGAAAATTCTAATTGAATTTGAGTTAACTAAATTTCTATAATTAATTCTTTAAATAAGATCAACAAGGATATATTCATTAAAAATGATTAGTTTCCTTAGTAAATTTTGAGAAATGATTTGATAAAAATTACACCTTAGAAATTCCCACTCGCTTTAACAAACTGAAATAAAACATATCTTTATTAAATCAACCATATGAATTACTTGGATTTAATCTTGAACTTTTCTTTAGATTAATTTGAATTGATATGAAAGTTATGCCCAGTCTCTTAACTGTCTAAATACCAAGAAGCTACCGTTTATATCCTTCATTCTTTTTTCTTAAAGGATAGCAACAGTGAAAACAATTACTTAATCCTATCTCCCATTATGTTCACAGTAGCTTAAAAAAATAAAGTTCTTCAAAGGATCTTTCATATATTTGATAAATGGATAATACAGGAACTGAATGATAATTAATTAACATTGCTTATGTTTGTTTGAGACTTACTATATTCTACAAATAAACATTCATTCAAAATAAAATCTTTTATAGTTTGTNTAGTTGATAAATATCAAGCATATTCGTTTTTTCTAAACACATCTCTTGATTATTTTACAAACTCAATGAAAGATATTTGGGAAAATATAAATTTGAATACATTTGTTTAGCAAGAGGGCAAAATCTTCTATAACTTGATTATCTTCTTTAGTAATCAATCTATGTAGAATAAAGTATTCATTTTGATTTCATTTTGTTAAAAAAACATCAATGTTGTAAAACGATAAAAAATATATGAATGGTATGCCTTCCGTGTCTATAAATTAAATAAAGAGATTTCAAATAGTGTGGCGAATTGAGGTGGTTGAAACTGCTATGTAATTAAAACTTTTCAAAATATTTTAGTAAACTACAATTAATAAATATTCATTCCTGCTCTATAATGATTCTAAATTCTTTATAAAACACCTTAATTCCTCTCTTTTAGGTATGAAATTGAACTCGATTTTTCAACGCAAAATATCCGATTTGTTTCTTGAAAAAAATTTAAAGTCTTATGAAATATTTATTTAAGAGCAATTATAAAAATATTATGCAGTAAATTTATTTATAAAATCCACCTTCATTAATAATAATTATCTAAACCTTTATTTTTAGGAGAAAAATATTTCAAACTTAAAATAGTTTTTTTCATTATTGAGGCAGCTCCTTGAATTACTTTACTCTTTTATATTTGATGTGATAGTTTAATCGATAGAAACAAACATAAAACAGAAAGAGTACATTAATTTTTTGAATTGTTCAAATTTATAAGAAAGGAAATATTATAAATAATAGTTTAAAGCAGTTGTTGATGAAAATTATTTTATTTTGAAAATTCTAATTGAATTTGAGTTAACTAAATTTCTATAATTAATTCTTTAAATAAGATCAACAAGGATATATTCATTAAAAATGATTAGTTTCCTTAGTAAATTTTGAGAAATGATTTGATAAAAATTACACCTTAGAAATTCCCACTCGCTTTAACAAACTGAAATAAAACATATCTTTATTAAATCAACCATATGAATTACTTGGATTTAATCTTGAACTTTTCTTTAGATTAATTTGAATTGATATGAAAGTTATGCCCAGTCTCTTAACTGTCTAAATACCAAGAAGCTACCGTTTATATCCTTCATTCTTTTTTCTTAAAGGATAGCAACAGTGAAAACAATTACTTAATCCTATCTCCCATTATGTTCACAGTAGCTTAAAAAAATAAAGTTCTTCAAAGGATCTTTCATATATTTGATAAATGGATAATACAGGAACTGAATGATAATTAATTAACATTGCTTATGTTTGTTTGAGACTTACTATATTCTACAAATAAACATTCATTCAAAATAAAATCTTTTATAGTTTGTTGTCATATTTGAATTGCTTTTTCATCTTTAATTCTACTCATAACCTTGCCCAAATAGATTCAAAAGAGATAATCTAAGGCTTTAATTTGTTATGTCGAACATTATTGAGTAAATATATTCAGATATCTTATTTTAATCAACATAGTCCTTCAAATATGATAGTTAGCTAATTAGGCGTTTAAAACTGATCTAACTAGCATTCCAAATATTTAATCATTATTAAAAATTTAAAGACATAAAAATAGGCTTAATCAAAATTAAGACCAAATAATGAATATCTTTTTCTAGCAGTTTAGGAAGAATAAATATTTCATATTCACAATCAGAGTAGAAATAATTAAGGAATGTTTCTTAGATTTAATTGGGTATTGCTGTTCTTCTTCAGAATGATAAAGCATTATTATTTTTAGGATAAATTGTGGCAGCTTTGATATAAGAACCCAATTGAAAAACAGTATCACGAAAATGTAGTTAAACGATGAAAAATATTGATTATGGACAGCATTCACTACTTGGGATTATTCATCTAAAGAGATCTAAATTAGAACCTATATTGAACAATGAGAATATATGAATATTTATGAGTATTTATTATTATTTTGTCTCTCAAAGATAACATCAATTTAAAAAAAATACAAATATGTTATATAAGTTTAATTGAAATTATTAAGCTAAGGAAATGGCTAAAATTATATCTCAATTTAAGTTGATCTTTAAGATGTTTATGCAAATTAATATATATAGATAAATATTTTAATGTGAGTCATCAGTCTAATTCATTTCCTATCAAGGGGCTATTATATAATGTTTTTCTTTTCTATCCATGAATTATCCACATATAGGTAAGTTATAATTAATAGCTGGTTGTAAATAAAATTATTATGAAATTAAAGATCTAATATTCTCCAAGATTTAAGTATTAAAGGCCACTGTAAACATCGAAGAGATTTCGAAAGCTATTAAATTTGAAATAGAGAAATATCAATTAAAATATAAAATAGACGAAATATTAATACATCAAGAGCTATATCAAAACTTTGATTACATTCAAAGTAATAATAATTTAATATTTCATAAAACACAAAATATCAAACTTAAATGTTTTTGAAATATTGTCCTTCTTTGCAATTTAATAATAAATAGCTTTTGCAATAAAGTTGACTTAATTTATATTTAACTTTTAATTCTAAATAAATAAATAAATGAACAAAAGTTCATATAAATGAATACAAAGCAGAAACTTTTCTCTTATATATAACACAAATAACTACTTAAGTAGATACAGGTTCTCTTGACTAATTCACATTAGTATTATTAAAATCATCAAAATGCTGGTATTGGTTTATTGTCTGAGCCATATATTTCCAATTTGATTTCTAATGTATTTAAAAGTTAGAGCTAATTTATATTTCTCTAAAAAGGGATTTTAAATTAATTTGTATCAATTAATAATCATATTTTCTGGATAATTTTTATCTTCTGAAAATTAAATTTATATGATAGAAAATGAGTATTTTTATTATTACTATTTCAAATAGAAACAAATTAATGTAATTGTAACATTTTTTCTGGGTTTAATTGAAATTTTCCAAATCAAGATCCAAATTTTCTGTATTTTATTAGATCATAATTTAACAACAGCGGGTAGGATTAACTTTAATTATCTCTTTTTATTGATTAAGCCATCCTTTATGGTGGTTTCAAACAATCTTATGATAGATGGAGAGTTTAATAATAAATACCAATTTTCGGCTCCATTCAACTTAGATTATTTAAAATTTATTTTGTTAGAAATTATGAATCTCATGATCATACCTTTCAATTAGAGAACGAGTAGGGGTAATTATCCATAATTTTGTAGAAGATAATATTTTGAGAGGTTTTGAGGCAAAGTGTGTAGGTAGGCTAGATTAGCCTCAATATAGATACAGTTGCCAGCTTTAGAAACGATAAATACCAATAATGATTAACACATATTCACTAATTAGATTTACATTATTGTATAATCTAATATTTTTTTTAATTGTAAAATCATTCTTTAGTTCATAGTAAGTTCCATGATCAAGAAACTATTAATATGTTGAATCGTTTAACTCAACAAAATAAGTTTGTTTTTATTCCTTCAGTTTATAGGTTCATTATGCTATTTTATATAATTGTCTTTGCTTCTGAAAAAATTTACAGCTACATGAGTGATAGTTTGAACTAAATGTTTTTCTGGTTTCATACTATAAAGCGTGGATATGCAACTCATTTATAAAGTGAATTCCTCATTTAGTCATTACTCATACAATATAAGACTGTGTAGATTCTAGAATCTCCATCTGCATCATAGGGCATAATTGATTAATCATTAATTAAATATGAATGTCTAACTCCTCATCTATGATATAAGAATTATACTATAATTAAATTTATACCTAGGAAAATTTAATAAGTCATTATTACTTTGCCCTCTAATCTAAAGTCTTTACAGCTGAGAACTATAGCTTGCTTCTGGTGACTTTGTATGATTTATTCATCATCCCATTAAATATTCACTGTTATATTTTAGATGTATCATATATATATCACAAAATTATTTTGAGTATTAAGAAAAACTAATTCTGCGTTTTCCACTAACTTCATCAAATAATTAGTACTAATTGTTTTAAAATTATAATTGCCAAAATTAACTAACCTACATAATTTCATCATTTTAACAACAAACAATCTGTAAATAATCATTAAAAATGTTTATTTGAAAACTTCTTCAAGATGTAGTATTTATCTCAAATTTTTTATTTAAAGTTGCTTTATAAAATGCCTTAAGTTTACCTGCCCCTCTAACCTCAAGCTAAGTAGCTTTTTTTAAAAATTAATCATTTTCAGATTTGCAATTCTAATATTTCGTTCAGCTTAATCTCTACTAACTCGAATTATTTGATTATTTGAGATACTCATAATGAATATTTATACTGAGTCTTATAACAGTGTCCCTATTTAGACTATTTGTACGTAAGTAAGAGTGAGAAAACATATAATAATCGATTTTTAATGTAGTTTTTTATAACATTTTACAAAATGAATAGTAGAAATACTATCAAAATTCAGCCCAAGAAAATCTTCTTAATTTCTCATTCTCAAGGGGTTTAATAGTGGTATTGAAGAATATTTTTAATAGAATTAAGCAAAATATAAATTGATGATTTTTCTGTTTATGCCTTATTCGAAATGTGGAGAATTTCAAAAGTGAAGATCTCTGTTTGATATAAAGAAATTAGACGAAATCAACTCATATGAATAAAAATTGAAGGGATCAAGTTAAGATATACAACATTCATTTGCTTTTGTGGTAGAATAATTTTCAGATTTATTCAAAAGGATTAGGATTCAATTTTTTTATTTCTAGTCTCAAAGTTTATAAAAATGTTTGAGAATATCTTCCTTTATTCATCTTGATAACAACTATTTTTTGAGCTTTCAAAACAACTTTAAAATTATATATATTTTCTACTTTCATCTATAAAACGATTAAATCTATAATCAAATAAATAACCTAATCTTAGCTCATAATCCGAAGGATTCAATTTAAATTTCTAAATAGATTGATTCATATGTCCTAAGCTATATCTCATATACGCCTAATTTTCTATAATTTTTGTATTCCGCTCTGAATTTATTAAAAACTGGCTGGTTGTTGATTTTTTAATACTTTTGAAATCATCATCCCTTTATCAATGCTTTTAGCCATTTTTCTTGTATTATTGGCCACCTATAAATTATTAAAGTCGTTTAAACCTTTCTATATGTTTAAAACTAAACTTTAATTACGAACAATAATTGAACTCTTTACTATATCCTACATTTAATCCATTTTCAGTGTATAATAATAAAATAATTCGTTTTTTTAATGGACTCTATAGCACCCGCCTATTTCTATAAGTTTTTCTAATCTCCAATTAACAGCAAACCATTACACCTTCTAAAGTTCCTGTCTGCCAAAAATCCCAACATTCAAAATGTCTCAATTATTCTAATTTTTAAAGACCTGAGGTCTTGTTTGAAATTCTCTAACATAATAGCGATTTCAAATTTTAATGACTATACAGTTTTTTTTCTACACCCACATATATAAAAATATGCACCAAATTGAACAGTCGTAATCTAAATCGTTATTTAATTCAACTTTTCCATTAACTTAATGCTCATTCGTTTCGTTTCTTATAACTTAAGGCTCATTCTTTTCAACAGCTCTTCAAATTTCAATTTAAAACTTATGTCATTTATTTTTGGATTTCTTATACCACATGGTAATAGCTAGAATAAATATATCCTATCACTTTTTTGTTTTTAAATATACAATTTATTCAAATATAAAATGAGTTTACATTTAAAGTATGGAATTAAAAATGTTCAACTCAAACAATTTGAAGATAGAAATGCGATTTGAAAAATTTAACTAATTAAACAAACAATTAGTCAATTAGATGAAAATATAATTAATTGAGTTCCAAAATGATAATGTCATCGAAGTTAGTTGAGAATTAAATATGTTATATAAATAACAAACTTAATAATATTTCTAGATTCAATTAAAACTTTACTTGTTCGTAATGTATCTCTAAACAAACTATTATTCTGTTTTATCCATGAACCTTGCAATAGCTAAAAATATTCATTAATAATTAAAAAGATAATATTGATGAAAAAAGCACATATAATTTTAGAAAGTCTTCGTGTTCAAATATGTTTGATCTAAATAAAAATTAAAATAACGTTTTAACTTTCCTACTAAAATGTGTTATCAAAGTGAATAGAAAATAATAAAATATATATGAATACTGTGATCAAAAAGGTTCATAATTAATTTTTCAAGATTCAGATGACATGTTGATTTAGATTTTGAATATTTGAAAAATTACGATCTTCATCTTCACCAGAACAAAATTGATCAAATTCATAAAATTTGGCATGATTAGAAAGGATTTGCAAATCAAAGAAAAGTCTAAATTTTATGACATCATGATCAAAGAGGTTATAAGAAGATTTTCAAATACATCACTAAGTGATGACTCATGATTGATTGATTTAAATTCAAAAGATTTAGATGATTCAAAATAATCATTATTGATAAAGCAAATTAAATTAAAAATGCTCCTCGCTTGAGTTCCATTTATCTGATAATAAAATATCAAGCGGAGGGCATCCAAATAATATGATGTAAAGCATGGCAATCTTAAGGTAAAAGGAAATTATTAAAAAATGATATTATTTAGGCTCGATTCATCTGAAACTTCGATTTCTATTTTGACTTTGAAAAAAATTTTCATCCAAAAAAAAAAACCCTCCTTTAATCTTAATTTTTCTAAAATCTTACACTATCATACTTGCAAATTTTTGCTTAATCTTTGTTTAATTTAATATATTTAAGGTTTAAATTTTTCTGTAAATTCTATTGTTTTCAGATTGTCAAGATTATCTCAATAAATAAATAGAAATTAGAAGATATGTTATGTTTATTAATAATAATTAATTAATTTATATTAAGGATTTCTTATAAAATATCAATGACAATAATATTACCTTAATTAAAATTCATTTGATGCTAAATCCAATGTCACTAAAAATTATCCATCATCACTAAGCTAACCTAAAATGTGATTGCTACTGAATTAAATTTCTGAATAATCAGTAATTTAGATATCCTGAGTAATAAAGATTAGATTAAGAAATGATTTGCTTTGATTGATTAAAATTCCTTTTTATTTATTAAATTGCATTTGAAAAGTAGTGTGCTCATCACATTCTTAATTAATCAAGATTATGCTTTAATGTTAAATTCCATCATAGTCGTAATTTACTTTAATTAATCTAATAGACATTTCTCTAATTGATTAATAAAGGATTATATAATCCGAAATAAAACATATTGATGGAGTAAAATTGTTTACATTTATCTCTAAAGAGATAGACCAATTAATTTATGAATTCTGTATTTTTTTTTAAATTAGAAGTATTTTATTGTTTGATGAATAAGTGGCAATTGTTAATTAAGAAGGAGTAAATTTTAAACCAAAAATAGAATTTTTATCAAAATACAAATTCTATTTTAATAACCAATAGGATGTTTTAAATTCCCAAAATGAAATTGAGTTCTAGCCACCTGAGACCAATAAGTTTTCTTAGTTATTCAACAAAATATATTTCAGCATAACTAAACTCTAAAGGATCTATTAGCATTAATATATATTGCCCATCTCATCCCATGTCCAAATTTTTAATTATTTATCTGAAGATCCAGATATGAATGAATTTTAGTTTTTAAAAAATATTAAACAATCTACAGGACCTGAATGATTATTTAAAACTTATAGTTGCTGTAATTGAAAATTCTCCAATTTGAAAACTTTAATTTAATGTTTTAATCCTAGTGCTACTATTTTATTATCACTTTTAATAGCCATTGCTTAATAATGTTCATTTTATGGAGATATTATTGATTTGACTAGTGTATATTCTATTGAAAGCTATTTAAATCTTCCAATAATAACTTATTTTTCCTTAGAAACTCTGCTGAAAAAGTATTATCCGTTTATTGTATTATCATTCTACATACCTTAAAAAAAGGATTAATTATTAAATTGCTCCTTATCTTTTAGAACTAAATAAGTGTGATCTAGTTGAAATTCTTCATTCAAAAAACAATTGCTTTCATCTGGATTATTTATCTTTCCTTTATTATACTTATTTAAAATATAATATAAATCTTAATTGGCTCCATAAATAATAATATCTCGCTTATGTATAAATTAGGATTTATTCTTTTATTTAAATAGCATCCATTTTCTAATATTAAATAATTTAACTGCAAAGGTCTTATCATTTATAAAAATTATGTTTCGAAATGATTCATAAACTTTAATTTCTTAAACTACAACCCACATTTACTCCACACTTTAATTTTTCTTTTCAATTATTATGATTTTAATTGGGTTGATTTCAACAATTATTTTATTTTCTTATTGATTTAGATGGATGTTAACAATATAAAAAGCAAGCTCTATTTCTTAAATAGTATACCATTAAAGGAAGTCCTTTTTTTTAAATTGCAATCTACCTATTCTAAATCCAATTAGCATTAAATCTTCAAATTTAGTATAAGTGATAACAGTAATATATTATTACCCAAAGCTCAGCGAGGTTAAAATTTTATTATTATTTATGGAATTTAAACTCCTTATGGAACACTTATTTGTACTATTTAAAGTCAAATAATTGTTCTATTACCGAAACGAATAAAGCCACTTTAAATTTGCAATCTCATTAAAATTTCCGATCAGTTTAAATTCTCCTGATTTAAAGAAGTAAAATTTTTGAAATCCTTAACAAAGTACTACTATTAAAATTGATTATAATGGATCTAATAATAATAGATTACAATAGCAATTCAACTTAATTTGATTAATTTTTTCATATTTCATAGTCACAATCTCAAATTTTTACTTATTCTACATATTGATTGACTCCAAAAAGTAATAAAATTGATTATTATTTAATGTTCTTGTTATTTTTAATATTCCATATTTAAAAAGGAAAACTTATATACTATGATGATTAAAAAGAATAGGAAGATAGAGAGTATTATCAATAAGACTATAACTTATTTGAAATTAAGAAAAAAAAAATATTACATTTTCGAACCATAAAAAATGGATTTTGACCAGGCAGAATTTTAATAATCGAGAGATAAGATAACTATGACTCTCTTTGATTGATGAAATAAATTTTTCTCCGAACTATTATTAAAGAAAATAATTGTTAAGGCAAATATGAAAATGTTTGTGGCTTCAGCATTGTCTTGGAAATAAATTAAATGTGGTAAATTTCAATTATCAATATTTGATTCTCATAATTTATTTTAGTGTTTAATAATANTTTATGGAGATATTATTGATTTGACTAGTGTATATTCTATTGAAAGCTATTTAAATCTTCCAATAATAACTTATTTTTCCTTAGAAACTCTGCTGAAAAAGTATTATCCGTTTATTGTATTATCATTCTACATACCTTAAAAAAAGGATTAATTATTAAATTGCTCCTTATCTTTTAGAACTAAATAAGTGTGATCTAGTTGAAATTCTTCATTCAAAAAACAATTGCTTTCATCTGGATTATTTATCTTTCCTTTATTATACTTATTTAAAATATAATATAAATCTTAATTGGCTCCATAAATAATAATATCTCGCTTATGTATAAATTAGGATTTATTCTTTTATTTAAATAGCATCCATTTTCTAATATTAAATAATTTAACTGCAAAGGTCTTATCATTTATAAAAATTATGTTTCGAAATGATTCATAAACTTTAATTTCTTAAACTACAACCCACATTTACTCCACACTTTAATTTTTCTTTTCAATTATTATGATTTTAATTGGGTTGATTTCAACAATTATTTTATTTTCTTATTGATTTAGATGGATGTTAACAATATAAAAAGCAAGCTCTATTTCTTAAATAGTATACCATTAAAGGAAGTCCTTTTTTTTAAATTGCAATCTACCTATTCTAAATCCAATTAGCATTAAATCTTCAAATTTAGTATAAGTGATAACAGTAATATATTATTACCCAAAGCTCAGCGAGGTTAAAATTTTATTATTATTTATGGAATTTAAACTCCTTATGGAACACTTATTTGTACTATTTAAAGTCAAATAATTGTTCTATTACCGAAACGAATAAAGCCACTTTAAATTTGCAATCTCATTAAAATTTCCGATCAGTTTAAATTCTCCTGATTTAAAGAAGTAAAATTTTTGAAATCCTTAACAAAGTACTACTATTAAAATTGATTATAATGGATCTAATAATAATAGATTACAATAGCAATTCAACTTAATTTGATTAATTTTTTCATATTTCATAGTCACAATCTCAAATTTTTACTTATTCTACATATTGATTGACTCCAAAAAGTAATAAAATTGATTATTATTTAATGTTCTTGTTATTTTTAATATTCCATATTTAAAAAGGAAAACTTATATACTATGATGATTAAAAAGAATAGGAAGATAGAGAGTATTATCAATAAGACTATAACTTATTTGAAATTAAGAAAAAAAAAATATTACATTTTCGAACCATAAAAAATGGATTTTGACCAGGCAGAATTTTAATAATCGAGAGATAAGATAACTATGACTCTCTTTGATTGATGAAATAAATTTTTCTCCGAACTATTATTAAAGAAAATAATTGTTAAGGCAAATATGAAAATGTTTGTGGCTTCAGCATTGTCTTGGAAATAAATTAAATGTGGTAAATTTCAATTATCAATATTTGATTCTCATAATTTATTTTAGTGTTTAATAATATAAAATTATTAGAGTAGAAATGTTTTAAAAATATTAGCTAATAAGAATGAAAATAATAGTTTTAAACTAATAAATTAACTAAGTATTTTATTTATACATTTAAAGAAGTAAAATAATGTTTAAAGGAAATGTATACATTTTATTATTTCTTTTCAATGAAGAGAAATGTATATTAATAGCCCTCTTAGCTCAAGAATGATGTATAAATTGTTTTTTATTATTTTACATCGCAAATTACGTTTATTATAAGAAGTACAATCATAAAGATATCAAAATATTATTTGATTAGTAATTTCACATGCTATTGATTGGAAAATCAAATTTAATTTTAAGCAGTTTAGCTAGATAAATTTCTTCAATTTAACTATCAACCCATTTTAAACTGTTCCATTTAGATTTAGGATAAATTAAATAATAATGTATGTTAAAGGAATATTTTTTATTCATTTTTATGAAAATATTGGAATTAACCTTATCAAATAAACAATCTCTATCAAGAAGATAATTAATCGATATCTAATTAATATTCAACTAAACTATACCTAACTTCTTTAATGTATTACATGAATTAAATGCATCTGGAGTAGAACATATTGATATTCATCATGTTGAAAGATTATTTTATGAAGCATTTCAAAATAAGTAATTTTAGGTGAATAAAGAAATCATGTATGACATAATTTTAAATTTGAAGATATATTTTATATCCTTAATGATTCTTAATATTTTTACTAGGATATATCTTTAAGATTCAGAATACTTGAGAAGTTGAAAAAAACAAAAATAGGTAAATTCAAAACAAATTTTAATTCTTTCAAGAGATATATTAATATAATTATAACATTTTCAAAAGATAATTGTTCTTATTCAATAATTCAAATTAATNCCCAAACCCAACCCCAACCCCAACCCCAACCCCAACCCCAACCCCAAACCCAAACCCAAACCCAAACCCAAACCCTTAGGAATACTAACTCAAAGTAAACCTGAAGAAAACTAAATACTTATCAAATAGACAAATGCAAAGTTGGAAGAATTAATGATAGGATAAGTAGAGAAATTCAGATCCCTTGGGACGTGGTTGAACAGAAAGGCCAATCTAAGATACTAAATTTAGACGAAGAAAAAGATTGTGGCCTAAAAGACCGCTGAACTTGGTTTTATTCGAAAGATTGTACCCTTTAGACTATAAACAAACTCTGAGTGTTATATATCCTTCCACACATTAGATACAATAATCTTAAGATATGGAGGCAAAAGAAATCTATGGTGAAATAATGGTAAATCATAAAGAGAAATATGTTTAGAAAAATCTTAGCCTTAAATAAGAGTTTTCCAAAATCTATAATTGATAGAGTGATTGGAAGACCAGAATTTGATGCTAAACAAAATAGCTGAAGATTACTTTGTTCAGAATACAATTATACTCTTATGATTAGGAGAGCTTAATGTGGCTATAAACCATATAACTTTACAATTTTTTTTCTCTGGAATTAATAGTAAGAGAATGATTTGAAATCCTCTAGGTTGGAAGAAGATTAATTTGATACATATGATTCATTAAAGAAATTTCATGAATAGAATGGAGACTAAATTTTGGGGAGAAGCTTGCTCTAAAAGAAGTTTGATGAGATGGAGGGGAAAGATAGAATCGTTAGCTATGAGGAGAATGACGAAGTAGGAAGGAGAATTTAACAACAGGTTATAAGGAGAATCGCGGGCATCGATGGAGAATATGCATATCCCATAAAAAACGAATGACTTTTGGACAAATTATGGACTATTTATTTTGAGACCCAAGGAATTGGATTGAAAAATTGGAAAAAGTCTAGGAGTATGTTTAGGACGTCAAATCAATATGTTACACTAACATCCAGAAATCTATAAGAGAAAAAATGCAAAAGTTAGCTGAAAGAATTAGAAAGAAAGCTGATCAAAACATAATGTGAGTCCTTGCAAATGACCTAATTTTTCACATCATTATTTATAATTATAACATTTTCAAAAGATAATTGTTCTTATTCAATAATTCAAATTAATGTTATATAAGTTAATTAGCAATAAAATTTATTAGATGATATAGATTCATTAAAATTTGAGGGTTTCAAATTCTAGCAAAACATTCCTGATCTAATAGTCTAAATTGATAATGAAGATATTTATGGTAAATATTTGTACGTGGTGACTAGTTAAATATTATAGATAGATTAACAATGGTAGATACTTTATGTGTGAAAGGTGCAAAAGAATATATTTGAAACTTGCCTAAGAGCCTAATAATTGAAATAGAAAATCTGTCGGCTTGGTCAATATAACAAATCAAATATAGGATAATGAGCATTTTCAAGGATAATATTGTTTCGTTAAATAAAAAAATTATAAAATATGCATATTTATTCAGGATTTAATTTGAAAATGATGCGTATTTATCTGTATATTTAAATTGAATAATTGATTAAAAATATTTTAAATGACTGCATCATTGCATTGATGATTCATGTAGCTGATCTTCGGTGTTTATTATAAGATTGATTCTCAATAATCTCCACTTAACATTCCTAAATACTCTTTAATTAATTGAACAAGCTTATTAACAATTTCATAATAGAATTTTGAAATTCCATAAAATATTTTGATAATCAAATTCTTAGAGCCTATTCTTTGATAAAGCTTTGAAATTAATATCAAAGTTTCTTGTCTCTAATATTATTATTTAAACTTAGAAAATTTTGTGAAATAACTCATATTAATTGAACAATTTACTCCAAAAGATTAAGAACGTTAGAGTTTGATTAAATGTTTTGCCTAATATCTCTTAATAATACACTTCAAAATATTTTAAATTAGTTTTCCAAATTTAGGCATATTTAATAAGTAATTTATTAGTTATTTTTGTTAATAGAAAAAATGAAATAAATTTCTTGCCCAAAGCATGAAGGATCATTTCTTCTTTATCTTAATATAGGAAGGGAAAAAGTCGAGTATATGTGTGACATATGCTATTAGGAACTCGAGTATATAACTCCACATTTGAATCCTATAAATATAATACATATCAAGACTGTAGGATTTCATAAATTATTTTTATAGTTATTTCAGTAACCTGAACATTTGATATCTAAGCTAAATATTAAAAGTTCTCTGAAACAGTTTTTTACTTTTATGGAGAAATTTAATGATAAAACCATTGTTAATATTTTTGATGATTTCAATAATATTTTGAAAGACTTATAAAAGCTTCTTTTAAAAGTGTAATAAGAGTTAGAATATGATTCCAAAAATATTTCAGAAATGAAATAGAAAATTAGAAACTAATTAAATGACGTATTAATTTGGACAATTTTAGGTCTTTAAGCTTGATTCTTTTAAACAATAAATTCTGAAACTTTAATAATTAGAGGATTCAGTTAATTATTCAACTATTAAAGAAAATGAATAGGATTTATATTAGCACCTATAAGACCTTACAAGAAATAATTCTGAAGAATTGAATAAAATTTTAATGGAAATTCTAAGTGGTGTTAAACAACAACTCTCAATAGAAAATTAATAAGATTATCCCTAATACAAAAATTTATTAAAATTCATAAAATTGTATGATTACGAATAATTAAATTTTCTTAATAAAATTGTTTTGCTATAGAATGAATAAAAGTTGTTGACATTGTATTCAAAATAAAAATTACTCAATTTTATTCAACATAAATAAAATTACACCAAAAAAATAAGCCTTTAACAAATTTATTTAGATACTAGAGATGGATTAAATATATAAACTTTTTGGAAAAAAGCAGATAAGAAAAAAGATTTATTAATGATTTTTGCATCTAAAAGTGGATACATATTTGGTGGTTATTCACCTTGTCTTTCGGATAAATCTAAAGGAACTTATGTTGCAGATCATTAATTATCTTCATTTTTATTCTCAGAGACATATGATGAAATATATCCTATAAAATTAGGATAACGATCGAACGCCATTTATTGTAGTGAATCATACGGACCCATTTTCGGAAGTGGCCACGATTTATTTATTGGAGCGGATTTTCAAACAGGTAGCTCTATTTAAAAATCTTATGATTTTGGAAATTCATAACTAGAGACACAGATCTTTGGTTACTCAATTCCAAATATCAAAGAATTTGAGATTTTTTAGGTGCAGTTTGATTGAATTATCATTATAAATAAATTTGATTTGGAATTAAAGAATCTTGTTGATTTTCAAAGTTAGTTAAATATTCAATTTTTTGGATCAATTTGACGGCAGAATTGGCTCAAATCTTCAAGGTATTATTTTAGCTTAGGCTATTATTAGATGAGTGAATTATGTTATTGATATAATGAATTGCTATAAGGGTACCAAACTTAAAGATATGTATTAATCACAATTTATAAGAAGTAAATTTAACTTGAGGCAATTTCAATTATATGGCAATAAAACTTTACCATTTTCTATTAGAAAAAAGTTTATTTATGATTTTCCACAAGTAATACTTGAAGAAATTACAACTATAAAAAGATTAGCATTTTAATCTACAGTAGATTATATAGTATCTAATGTATGTATTGCTTTCCCTAAAATTGAGATTAATTGAGTAAATTCGTATATTTCATAAAAAAAGATCAAAGGAATTACACTACTCAGTAAAAACTTCTAACCTCATACATGTTCACTTATTAAATAAATTTACTGGATTTTAGTAAAATTAAATATCAGGCTATTTAATTAAAATATTTGAAATCCAATGCTAAATTCAATCAGAATTTTAAACTACTAACAGAATCAGTAAGATAACTCAGAATCTTTTTGACTATCGATTACTTATTTGTTTTTTGTAAACACCTAAAAAAATGTCAAGAGAGTTTTTATTTTATTGCAGTTATCAATAACTTTCCAAAATATATGAATGTAAGTATGCGGAAGGATGACATGGAAAGTTTACAATATTTGGATGTGAATTTTTAATCTGAAAAACCTAATTTACAGACTTTGTTATAAATTATCTGTTTGATAGAATTTGCGAAAAATTCAAGGGAATTAGAGAGAATATTTCAATTGAGTTATAATACATTAATTAAACATTTAATTTAATGTCAATTTATATAAACTTAAATTAAGACTTTAAAATTTCATAACATAAACAAATAGAAAAGATTGTCTAAAAATCAAATTTAAGAGTTAATTTATCGAAATCTCGAGCTAACTTTTAAAGAACTAATTTTAGAATAACTATTATTAGATTTTTTATTGTTATAATAGAATCATATCAAGCCGTAAATCCAACAATACTAGGAGAAGTATACAAAGGAACACTAAGATTATTAAATAAAATTGGACTAAGAAGCATAGTTGTTTGCAGTTGTGATTGGGATAAAGCAAATAAATGAGATTTAACCTATAATTTGTATTGATAGTTTTGAGACAAAAAAAAATGAAACCTTTTCAAATATTCCAAGAGATATATGAAACGAATTTTGCACTTTTTAAGGATTAATTTGGCAACAAATACTTTTTCAATGGCCGTACTGATTTATTCTTAGCATTCTAATAATCTAAATGTATCTAAATATTGATTAATTTGAATTATATGGTGTGTATTAATCAAATTTTATCAAAACCTGAAGACATATATATTGGTTATAAATAATGGCTGATACCCATTACTACCTATTGTAAAATAGTAATAAGGCAATTACACCTAAAAGAGAAAAATAAGATCCTCAATAACCACCATAAAAACTGCCATTTAAACTAAAATTTCAAAATACTCTGAAGTATCCAAAAAAAAATAGCGTTCTTACACAAAAGAACCAGAATAGATGGTTGATGAAACATATTTTCTCTATTGCGCTATATCATTGATTTTCAATTTCTGGTTGATCAAATTGAAAAAAGAAATTCCTGGAGCCAATAATAAAGTAGGTGTTGTTGGAATTATCAAAATTTATTCAAGCAAAAATTCAAATTCTGATTTAATTAAGTAGTGAACTATTCATTTATATACAAAGCTAATAAAGGAGTGAAATAATTCAAAATATGAAATAGAGTAGTATAATTATATTTAAGTAACTAGTTTATGTTTTATTCATATTTTCTAATTCTTTTATTAGCCATTAAGCTTTTAAATCTTAAAATTCTTTTAATACAAAAAAGATCATTTATTAATAACTTATCAAAAACAGTTAAGATTTTTGGAGTACTGAATTATGATATAATAAAAAAGAAAGCTAGGATTTGATACTTAATGAGAATCGTTATGGTAAAGTTATTCCATCTTTTTTAAATGGAAAATTTTGAATCATAAGCTTAAAGGTAATTTTTGAGGCATCTAACTTGCTAACTTTTTAACATTTGTTCCAAATTATGAACATCATTAACTGTGTCTTATTAAATGCATTTTTATTTTAGAACTGAAAGTAACCTTACAACTTATATTTTGTAATAAGTGGATAACCTTCAGTTTCAAATTTTATGATTTAATGTGAAAAGGTAATTTAAAGATATTGCTATATAGTTTAGTATATTTGAAAGAGTATAATATTGGAAGTGGAGATAAAGGTATTGAATCACATAGTTAATTTTGAGTTGAATCGTGGGTTTCAACTTTAAATAGAAATTAATAAAAATAATGTTCTTTACCTAATAATTATCAGATTATAGATTCGAAACATTATAATAAGTAGGGAAGAACTGATTCTGATGTTATTTACACAATCATTAAAGAGAATTCTTAGTGTATTATGATTAAATGATAAGTGATACAAGCACATGAGGAATATTGAACAACATATCATTTAGTAACAAAGATGGGTAAGAATAAAATGAAAATTATTTGACTTTAAAATGTAGGGGACTTGGAATCATAATTCTACGAAAAAAACTTAAAATTCTTTGCTATATTCTTGATGATTATATCATGATTCATTTTTATATATTGATTAAATGACTTCTGCCTTCTTTTCTGCTATTTCTTTTCTGGTTCTTACATTAATTAAAGCACTAACTGGCCTATGGTCACTGTAGTTGATATCATGACATTTGTAATATTGGTATTTGTGTTCACAATGCTCATTCTACCCCACTAAGATTCTATCAGTCCAAGATGGGGTTCTTAATTTATCATAAATATTTGAATAAGGCTCAAATTTATATGTAGGGAGAAAGTTAATGTCAGATTCTTTGTACTACTTTAGATATTAATTTTGTTCTCGATTACTTATGATTTCATCATACTTTTACAAGTTTCTAATATTAAATGAACTATATACTAAAGAGTTTCCTTGGCTTCATGTATTCTACTTTAATCTATAAACAATTTGTGTCTTTGAGTAGATGTTATCACCTTGTCTGCTTCTAGGTTGATTCTGAAATTTAAATCTCCAAATAGGATTCGATAATCACATTATTCAATTTTCTCTTCTTTCTTCTTCCCTATACCTATTTGATTGAAAATATTTTAATGAATATCTTTGAGACTCTGCAATCTAGTAGAGAGACTCTTCTATCCATGTTCCAGATGGCAATTGATAAAACATATTAGGGTATCATCAATCAACATTTTAATTACTACAGCACCTTTGTTTGCAATTTGACCCAAGAACCCCAGTTTAATTGTATCATAACTAACTTTTGTGATTCTGTCTTGAAATCTCTCCTTAGCATAAATAAACAATCCAATTCCTAATAATTCTTTGGATTTAATGTAGATGTACTTATCCTTCTATCGTAGATTACTAGCAATCAACTTATCCCAATCTTATAGATATTAAGATGATCCAACCACCAATCCAGTTCCAGAAGTAACCATTTCTTGTAATCCAATTACAATAATGTCTGCAGCGTAATCAATAATCTATTTATTTAAATCATAAGATTATGAAACAGTTTGTCCTCCTACATTCCAAGTTACTACCAGAATAGAGCGATCAGAAAAACTACAAAAGTCCTAAAATCTTGATTTTAGCTTTTCATCTATCTATTTACTATATGAGGCAGTGATATCAGCATGATTGCCCAATAAAATATCTATGGCCTCCTATTTATCATTATCCCCAAAATTCTAATTAACAAATCTTATCAATGATTTGGTGCCATGATCCAAAGAACCAGTAATGTCTCTCTGTCCAGTTCTAGTAATATTTGTATGAGTTGATCCAGTTCCTGTATATTGGATTGACAACATGTCGCCATTGTCTGCCCAAATGTTCTTGAAATACTATATAAAATAATTTGTAATTTTGCTTGAATCTTCATCTAAGGCTTCGATGGGTGACATTTTTAATAGATTTTAGAAATCCACTCCTAATTATTTAGTTGATATATCGAAAACACTCATTGCTATTTTGGTTTAGATGAAATTGGTTCTATCAAGACAATCCATACAATTGGTTCTGAAGATTCCATGTTAGACTGACAACACCTTTTTAGTTTTCAAGTCTTCCAAATAGAATCCAAAGTTTTTAATATGTTCCATCAATTTCCTTACCAAAGGATTAGATTACGAGAAATCATTGTTTTTACATTCATGATGAAAGTCAAACCACTCATATTTGACATTTCCAATTAATTCATCAGAATTCAATTTTACTTGTTCTTCAAATCCTTCTGTTACCATTTATTCTGCACTTTTCTTTTTAGCCATCAAATTCAAACAAATAACCCTTGAATAATCTTCCAATAGACCTTTGAAGTGTTTCTTATATGCACTTTTTGTTAATTCTGCTGATCTCATCAATTTAGTCTCTGTCAACAATCCTCTTTGATTCCAAAATATAGGTACACTCCCTCTAACTTAAAGATGAGAACAGCAATGATTATTATAATATATAATCTATTCTGTTTCCACAAAGTTGGCAACATTACCATCATCATCTATACCTCTTGCATTATATCTGGTACCAGCTCTTTTACTTGATCTCCTACTCATTAAATAAAAGTCGAGTTTTTTTCCATTGATGTACAAATAAAAATAATTTATGAATCCTTGTATGATATTGGTCAACCATTTCCTATCTATTTATTACTTAAGATGATTTCTAATTAAATTCAGATTCCATAAGAATTTCTCTTCAGTCTTCTCCTCTATCTTCTACTTTACTTTCGATAATGTCAAATCATATCCATAAGAGAAATAGAAACCCATAACCAATAATTTTCTTAGATGTCCTATCATTTTCAAAATCTCATTAGCTTTAGCAGATTACATAATTTTTTCATTTGGCTCATAAGGTAAGAATGCCACTGAGGCAATCTAAAATATATCTTATTCGTCTATTGTACAAATTAATTCAGCATCCTCCACTAACAATAAGAAAGGCTTATCCAGAATGTAAATTGTACCTAAAAAAGCAGAAAAAGCCATTTATTGATGTTCACTCTAAGGTGGTGGTCCATCTACATATATCCTCACACAAAATACCTTTTTCATACAGATTCCCATTGTCCCTATCAATAATCAAATGTTTATCTATTGTTATGGTTTTCTGATTTGTCTCAATTATATATTGTTTGGGATAAAAATGCACTTTGAATGTTTGAGTGTTCTAAGTCTTAGTTGATTTAGCTTATGTGTTTTTACTCTCGGCGTTGATAGTTAAAGATGTTAATAATTACATTATATTATAATCAATTTAATATTGATGCAATTGGAGTAAGGAGTATCTATGTGATATTGTTTCTGTATAGAATTCGTTTGGATAATTTCTATAAATTATTTCCTATATTCTCAAAGATTGGATGTTTCTATTTATGCTATTCAACTTCGCTTTGGGTAATTTTTAGTTTTCCTTCCCTTTCCTCTAAGCATATTTACAAATTAAGTTCTCAAACTTAAGAAAAATCAAATCATATTATAACAGGATCATTAAAATATTATTAGGTTTGAGATCTCTAATAAAAATCTTAATTTAATTTTAGTTAATTTTATTTTAAAAATTTCATATGATTAGCTTAATATTTAGTTTATATTAAGGTGAAATTTACCAAGCAACCCTTAGATAAATTTATTAAGATTTTCAACCTTTGAATTTACTCATAATATTTTCAGATTGAATCACTGTAAGTCGTGTTATTGTAATGTAATTATCAAATCTGTTAGATCTTACCATATAAAGCCAGGTCATTTTAAGCATAAATTAAAATGTTAAATTTTCTTTTTTGAAACTTCAATTAGTTTTTAACGAAACATAATAAATTTAAATTCACAACTAGCCAAAATATAAAATTCCCCGACCCTTTCATTGAGAATATGAATAGAGAGATTATTTAAATTGGAATAATAGATTTAATAATGAGTTTTACCTGAGTTTTCATTATCAATCTTTATAAGTTAAATTATGTGTAATGAAGATTAAAAATAACAGTATATCATAAATAATATTTACAAACATCAGTCTCAATCTTATATTCAAAGTAAAGAATTAATTAATAATTCACCATTAAAAATAACAACACACATAATATTAATATCAATTTCAGGTAAAAACAATAAAAAATACAAAAATATACCCTTGTATGATAATGGCATAAAATTCCTCTATTACAATTTCAGAACTCAAATTTGGTATTTATTTTTAGCCTTATACACATAATCCATTAGAAATTTCAAAATAACATTCGTTAAATCTACTGTTACATTCAATAGCATCAATGATTTTTTCGCATGACTTTAAGCAAAGACCAATTTGTTTATTGTCTTCAGTTGAAGTGCTCCAATAACAACGATCGGAGACTTACGAACATGTATCTTTAGTTAAATAATTCGAACACAAAACAGAATTGCACTTTCCATTTTGATAGATGCAAACATTTTTCTATTAATTACAAAAGCAGGGTTCTGTAATATATTCGCATTACTTGCACACTAGTTAATTAAATAGCACACATGAATAACCATTAACTTCGTTTCCTTAACAAAGTGTAGTTGACGACCCATAGATTCTACAATTAATAATAATAATTTACTCACAATACTGATTGGTGCATACTACAGTATCATCTAACAAAGAGTATCTCTACCAATTGCATATAAGACCGTTAACTGATGATTTGTTACAAATATTAGTGACTTGATCTCCATATATCTCTTAAGTAATTTGGCTACATCTAAGTAATTATTGGCATGTGTTTTCCTAATCTAAATAGCAACCTTAAATTGATTGACATTCTTGCTCAGTGTAATCATCACATGTTCTCATTTTACATGCCCCATATTTAATAATACAGTTAGAATTTGAACAATCTGATTATGGACAATAACTGATATAATTGTTAATTGAAATACAGGAAACGCCTGCCTAAATACAAGGTTACGAATCAATGTATATAGTTGAACAAGATTGTTTTGAATCAATAATATCCTCGCATTTAGTTGCTGGTTAACAACCATTATTTTTGCTTAAGTAACAAGTTTTATTATCCATGATCGCAGTACATTCATGTTCCTTCAGATGATAACATTGTTTCTTAATACACCTGTAAATATCAAGATCGAAATAACATTTACTATTAGACCTGCATTAAGTAATATTCGAGTATTAGCAAGTCTCAACTTTCTAATCTGATTTGCACTTACAATCTAAGTCGTCTTAATTCCACATGCAAATTGTATTAACTTCACAAGCATCTTTATTGACTCCTGAAACATTACAATAATTCTCATTGATTAATGGAGATTAGCATTTGAAATTGATCGAGTCATAGGAGCATTATTAATTGATAACTGATGCACAGGCTTTAAAGTTAACTAGATTAATAAACATACAAATTTATGATGTTTCTGTAAATACCTAGCATTTGTTATCCTTAAAAATACAAGGTTCTTGCTCGACTTTAATGCAACCCAATAGATTTAAACCTAAGGTCTTACATTGCAATGACTATTTATTGAAGTTGCTCTTACATCGATTAGTATTTGAGTCATAAAGGCATGCTGTGTTTTTTACATATTTACGACATGCTAATTCATTGACAACCAATGAGGTATCACAATCAATAAAATTATACAGTTCTTAACAACCTTTACTATTCCAAAATGTAGCAATATTCTTATTTGAAACACAGCTTGATTTTGAGACTCCAAATCCAATAATTTCTTTTGATATTTCAATACAATTATGTTTTTGGTAATCGTAACTGCAAGCCAAATCAGGAATCATTTAACAAACATAATAGGTTACATTTTTATAATCTTGACATTTTGTTTGAGTTGTTTAAGTAAACTCAATACAAGAGGTGATCCATTAGCATTACTTATTTGGAATAGATAAGCATGTTTTTTGACTTATTCCATCAGATGTGCATTAGATTGATTCAATTTATTTCTCAATACAGGAATTCTATTCATAAACACTATTTATGCTATATTAAATGCAGACATTTTTGTTAACATTTTCCATAATACCTAAAGAAGAATTCCAGTTTAAACACTTTTAACCTTTCCAGAAACAATACTAATTATCATTAGTGATATTCAAACATCCCCAGATGTTAAGAGAGTCTAAACAAGATAAATTATCAAATTCTGTGACCTCTTAACAAGAACCATTCCAAATACATGATGTGTTGGGAATACGTGATTTTAAACAATAATTTGAATTTTATAGTTCTTCACATTTACCATTTAAGATGGAAGATTACTAACCAGGTTATTGAAGTGCTAGAATAGTAATTATTGTTGACCAATTGTATTTTGCTGTAATACTGCTTTGGTCTGCAATGCATTACATAAAATTAGAATCAAAAAAACAGGGATCTATTGAATTGATCATGCAAGCAAAATTATTAATATTTGTTGGTAATTTGTAGCAATAAACTTTAATAGCAAGAGGGTAAAAATATTGACATTTATTATTAATCCATTGACAATTTTATTCATTGCTTTATAGACACTTAATTTTAGTATTGTAATTTAGGCAACTTAAATTTGACCTGTAGTCACAACTATTTGATTACCATAAGCAGACTTCCGTAGATATTATACAAGCCTGAGAATTGAAATTACTTGAACAAAAATTTGGAATAAACTAGATTTGATTGCATGACTTTTTCAAAGGATCATATTCGCATGCTTCTTCAGTTACACCTTTACAAGCCATGATGGAGTGTTCATTGTTGGCAGATTCACAAGTTGTGAAATTGTAATTGATGCATTGTTAAGTTGATTCTTCCCATTTGCAAACTTATCCTAATGTTTGGATTTTTAGACACGCCGATTAATTTAAGAAGTCCTCACATAAAGCAGTATATATGTTAGCATCATTGCAATATCCTCCATCTCCAACTTAAATCCAAGAGCACGGTGCTTTTGTCAACGATATACAAGCTAATTTATTCAATCCAAAGAGATTGCAGCCATCCAATTTCACATTAATTTCTGCACATTTAGTTTTATCATAATGTCTCACACAGTTTTTAGTTGTTGAACTTGCGCATACACTAATAGACATTAGGGGATCTAAATTATTGAGACTACAATCATTGTTAGTTATAGTGAGGGAATCACAACTTTTAATGGTTTCATTCCAAATGCATTAGATATTTGATAGACTGACATTTAAGCAAGCCCTTTGATTCAGATTTTGACATGACAATAGTTTTTTATTTTAATCCTCAAACAAATTGATGCATTTTTATTTTATCCATTAGCAACTTATTTCTTTTGTTAGATCACCCAAACAAGCCTCCTTTGACAAATTAATGCAACTTGATTGCATTTCATTATTTAATTTATAACATGTGAAATAGGTAAATTTCCAAGTTCCTGATTAAATAATACATCCGTATTTATTTAATTATGATGGTGCTCCTTTTGTTTGGCACTTAGACCCATTAAAGTAACAAGTATTTTTTATTTATGAGCATTATTTTGATGTTGTTCCTTAGCAAGTTGTTATTTGACCATACTCTTATGTAAGCTTGCATTTCTTATCTATAAATGAATACATGCAGTGTTCCTAATCCAAAGATGCACAAGCTGGATAACTTGACTAAAAATTTTATAGGTCTTCACATTAGATAACTTCTGTGTTATTTATGTTTTTGCACGATTAGTCCCAATAACACAAAAGCGAAGAATTTATATGAGCCATATCTTCAAGACAGAGAGTTTCATCTAACTGTTCGCAAGTTAAGGATTAAAAGTTTACATCCTAATAACAAAAACCTAAGCCACTTTTAGTGTATCCATATAAACAGTTGTTAAATTACGAGCAAGTGTAATATGAACGAAATCCTTAAAGAGATGGACAAGTTGAATCATCAGAATCAATACATTGTTCATTTTCCCATTTACATGAATATTGTTTATTTTGAATAATACATTCAAGTTTGGTTAATTAAAAACAATACCAGTAAGGTCTAATTTGATGAATTTATTCACATTTCTAATCTACATAAACACAATCAGAATATTGGAGACAAAATTCATAGTTAGTTTTATCAAAGAAATCACATTAGTGATTATTGTGTGGAAAATGAAAACATTTACCATCTTTGAGAACGCATTTCAGATTTAATGAATTATTTAAGTTACATGATGCTCCTGAATCTTCGCATTAAGTACTTGAATAGAATTAACATTAATTTTAAATAAACTCACAATATTAATTCGGTATCGATCCACAACCGAATTAATTTATTTTGCTATCACATGTGTACAATTAGTAATTTTGTTCTTCTTCTTAAATACAGGCAGAACCATTTGAAACCATAAATAGATTATCCTCATTCAAAATACATGAGTAATCACTACCATAATCATATGAAATATCACACATTGAACCATTCCAATAACAGTCTTAATATTGATAATAGGAACAAGCCAATTAATTTAGATATTTGCAATTGGAAATAGTTGAATATGTTGAAAAATATTGGCATTTCGAATTATTAAATGCACATCTATGATTGTTTGTGTTTAGAATACAACCTTAATATGACAATCCTGGAGTGTCACATTCCAAATCATCATTATTTGGTGATTAACATCCAGTGGATTAATCATAGTAACAACTGTCATTTGCTCTAATGCAATGATTGGGATTTATTTAATCTTTCTAGAAATTAGTAGTGATAGTTTAACATGATTAATTATCATTATCAATTTATACACATTTCTTATCGATGATGAAATTATTACTTGAAACATAGTCAGTGATTTAACAATATTTTCCATTAGTTTGTACCTTTGAACAGGCTTTCAAATTTGCCTAAGAGCATGATATGCGATTCAAAACTATAAAAGCATCCATAGAATCATCAATTAATGATGTGCATTTGAGATCAATAAATGCACACATTTAAATGTATTCCCCAGCTTGATTTAACCCAGTTAGGCCACTACATCTGAGAATATTCATTTTTTCAGATTCTCCACAATCAGTTAGAGTAGTAGATTTGGTTTGGCATTTGTTATCAAGAAAAGTACAATAATTATCATTTACTAACTATTTTAACACATCAGATGAAAGAGCCTAGCAAATCCTGCTTGTAAAATTATCCTCATCTCCACAATTAGAAAAAATACCTGAATAATTTTTACACTTATTTTCAGTTGTATCCCAATGACAATTCTAACCGCTTTTAGTAATTAACAAACATGTCTTTTGATTAACATAATTTGATGAGCAATCCAAGTTAGACAACAAAATATCCTCATCTTCACTAAATGAAATACATTCATTTTTAACTATGTCGAAATAAGTTAAGGTATCCTATACTAATTGGCAACCATATCGATTCATATTAGATTAATAAGTTATTTTGAAATAAACACTAGGAGTGTAACAGGAATTAATGGATTTATCATACAGACAAACTGTTTATGATTAGGTGTATAATTTACACACTTGTGAGGTCACATTTTATAAGGATGAACAACGAACTGAATTAATTTCAGTTTCAGTAATTTCTTCACAGATTCCTGCTTAAAATTTACAATATACTCCAGGTCTGTCTAAAGATACACAAACCTCTTTTGTAAAACCATATCCAATACATCCAAAAGATTGAATTTGTGAATATTCTAATTCTTTACAAGAACTACTTTATTGATCATAAATACAAAGGTAACCAGATTAACTCACTTTAGATTTCTGACATACTTTTTCAGTAATAAACACTTAAGTAACACAATCCAGCTATTTTATTTCTACTTCTAAAATATCTATGCATTGTTGAGTTAAGGAATCCCACCTTCTTAATCCTGGATTATATTTAAGACATGCATTCATGTTCATATGAGTAATATCTGTTGATTTCATTTATGATTAAATTAGGTAGCATTTTCCTTCACTAGGAATGTATTCGCTTGGAAGTGATTATTGATATTTGCAAAAGTTTTCATTGCTTACTTAAGTTAAAGTTAAAAGAAAAGGACTAACACGTTCTATATCCATTAATGCTGCTTAATATATAAGTATTGGTTATTCTAATACATTCTAACACTTGAGTATAGAAGAATTCCAAAAGCAGATTTAATCACTTAAAGTGATGAGAACACAAGATTAGGCATTAAAGGCTTAACTGCATTTCATCAATTTGAACTCTTCATCCTTTATTCTATAACAACGTTAGTACAATTCATCCCATCCACATTGATCTTTTAAAAATATACAGTACATCTTTTCAATCCCTAAATGATCACATCCATCCTAAGGTGAACAACTCTTCTCCATAATCCTATAACTTGTCCCTAAAAACTTACATCCTTTTACTGCCTCACAAGCACTCTAACTACTTAGAGGGAATTACGAACAAGTATCCCTACATGTGTTTGTTTCCATATCCAAATAATGAAATATTAACTTTGAACATTATTTAACAGTGCACTAAGCATTTTCACAATCAGCCACATAATCATCTTCTTAAACCACACAAGGGTATTCATATCCAATTCCCTTTAATCGACATACATGAGCAATAGAATCAAAATAAATACACTATTAGTGGTCCAGTGATTTACAACTCAAATTCAATTCGACTGTTTTTTAAATATTATTCAAATCAAGATTGTTGAATTTCTTGCATAATCCATCAGAAAATACATAGTCATCTGCAATGTTTGGATTCCTACTTAAATATTTGCAATATAAGTGATTAACCCCTCTTTGCTCATCTGTTATTGTAAGGAGATTGAGGTAATCGCTATCGTTCTCTATCTCGATTGCTACACATCCATACCTATACCTATAGGACTTCTATACTATAATTATTAGAACTCAATTTTTACAATTTGTTAATGTAATTTCCTTGGACTCCCTAATTGTATACCAAGCGAATGAGCCATTTGAGAATTGATAGTTATTTTGCAAAGAAACAGTGTTTGGATCATCAAATATGATATCATCAGTAACTTCCAAGCCCATCTCCTTTTTGAATGAATTGTTTGCTTCTGCCAATAAATCTGGAGTATAAGATATCAAATCCCATAAAAGATTACTATGAATTATTAAATAGTTCTCAATTTTGGAACAAGCTGAAACACTATATTAAACTTAATCAAAGTCCTCTTGAACTTTATTCCATTGATTTTGAGCCAATACATGACAACTATCGTCTTTCCAATAGCAAATATGCTCTGGATTTGTAATTGAGATGCACCCAGACTTTGAGAGATTGTTTTCACATTTCTCTGTTTCTAAATTGGGTATGTCTTCACATACTGATAAAAAAAAGCGACCTTATTTAGAATAGTTGTTATACATTTAGCGGGTTAACCTATGACATTTCCAATCTGTCTTATGCAAGCCTTCCTATTCAAAGTTATACTGCATCCTTATTAAAAATCAAAAGTTCTTTCACAAAGTTTCCTTATCCCATCCCATTTGCATTTATCATAATCACTCTAAATGCAACTTTCAAATGTTTCATTCTCATTACATAAATCAATCCCTTTCGTCTAAATGCAAAAAAGGAAAAGTAACAATGTTACCTTATAAGAAATCATTTTAGATATTTGGAACTTTAAAATATATAATCAATAAAATTCTAATGAAGACCTTATATTGAGGATGCTTGGCTTGGGGTATGTCTTAAGGTTTAAAAAATTTTGAAATATTATACAATAATAAGATAATTTTGGATGAAAATAAGGATAAATAATTTTGTATAAGTAGTATCTTTGAAATTTAAGAGAAATTTTCTTTGTTCTCCTATAATACTTAATTTTTGATCACCTAGAATAATTGACGAAGTCTTAATTTCATTAATATATGCAGCTTTAGAGCGAATTAAATATAATTGTTTAACAGTAGGAAATATTTGAAAAAAAATACATAAATAAATTAAAAATTGGGAATTTATCTTATCCTAATTCAGAACATTGTAACTATATAATACCATGTTTACAATATTTAAATATTCAAAACACTTAGTAAATTAAATCATATTGATACATAAGAATATGTTCGAAATGCATTATTATAAGATTGCTATGCTTCTATCGAATTCTTAATTTGAATACATAAAGATAATAGATCCCAAGTAATTAAATATTCTCCATCTTCACTTATTGTTCCAAAGATCTCCCCATAACTTAGGACACCAAAATCTAATGCAGCCTCTAATTTGCAATCCTAAAACAAGTGTTATTAAGTAAATGAAAACTTAATAAAGTCCACATAATGTCCATTCTTAGTAATCAGCATACTTAATTGGGGGATGTAAACCTATGGAAAATAATAATAACAAGCCATTTTGGTTCCTTAAAGTTACAAATTTCTTAATTTTATATAGTTTTTTGTGTTTGGATCAATCTAAAAAATTTCTATTTCACTTTTATTCTTTAAGTGTGGTTGAAATGTAAATATATTATCATTAATGAAGCTTAACCTGTACCCATAATTCTAAGTGTAAATCTTTTATTTAATTTACCAGTTTTAAGTATTTTAATTCTACATTACCAAATTTAGCAAATCTCTACCACATGAAATTAATTAGTTCCCTTATGAATTGATGGATAACCCAAAAACACTGTTAGAATGCTCTCTAACAGTCTACTAGCAACACCATTTGTTAGAAGACTATTCAGGAGATCAGAATTTGATTTTGGTATCATCAGATCCACTTATAATAAGTGAATCAAAAGGATTAACAATGGTACAGTTAATACAAGATGCATGTCCTTGCAATAAAAACTTTGGTTCCCAAGAATATTTTTGATTAAGAGTTCTATTTTAAAACCAAATAACTATATTTGAATCTTATGAACCGGAGATGAAAGTATTGTTTGCAGTCGCGGATTTCAAGAATATAAGTGTAACTATATACTTAGAATACTTATTATCACAAAACTGTTCTAGCTTAATTGATCCTTGATTGATTTAAAAGATGCTTAAATTTTTATTAGAAGAACTAACGATGACATTTTTTTCCTTGTTTATAGCAATGGCATAACAATAAGGATGCTTGATGGAAAATAAATTCTAATCAATCTTGATGCTCTTTTAGTTTTCCTAAATAGCATTATGTGAATGAATGAAAATACTTTACTATTAAGAGACAAATGTATTTGGAAATGTTTAAAAGTTTTTGATATTTTTTAAAATCTCTACAGCCTACTTACTTTAATCAAATTGTAAGAATCTACCTAATCTTTCATCCAATTAGCTAATCCAAGCATTGTTAAATGCCTTAATATTAGGTATTAACAATAAGGGTTAGTAATATATAGGGGTCTTTTTTGACAATTTCTCTAAAGCGTCTATGAAGCTATAGCTGAATTATTTTTTTATCAATGCCTAAATTTTTTATATTGATTCTGAAGTTATATTAATTAAACTATTTATTTCCTATAGTATTTATTCTTTTAAGGAGCAAATATTCTATTCGAATTACTTGAGCAAATTTAAAAAAGGAGATATTGATATTTCACATTACTAGATGGAAGTCTTCAGGTCATCTTCAAATTTTTACCTTACGTAGCTTAAAGGATGAACTTCAATAGTAATTGCCTTAAAGCATTCTTCACAGAAAAATCTCTTATTTTGAGGATAATTGGGTTCAATACAAGCTGACTTAATTGGTCTATTATGATTTTAAGAGCATTAGTAATGATTTAAATTTTCCATTATTTGTGGAGAAAACATTATTAATTAATTTTAATGAAAATTTATTATTTTATGATAAACTAATAATTTATAAGTTGATTTCTAGTATTTCAGTAGATTATTAAATTAAAAAAAAATCATATGTTGAGATATTGAACTTATACTTATAATATGGCCATGATATAAATGAATAGTGAGATTTTTAAAATAAAAATTAAGTTATTATAATAAATATAAATTTTATTTTAATGAAAATTAAAACTACAAACTATTTTGATCTGGAATATAAATATATAAATTAATCTAATTTAATGAAGAACAAATTTATATTACTCACTCAAATTTAGCCTTCATAAAGACATCTAATAATTTATTTTTTTATCTAATTTTAATTATGCGAGGTTTTCAATGCTTTTCCAATTTTGTTGCATTATTGATAAGTTTTATAACTCCAAATTAGATATATCTTTGATGATTTTCAAGTAGAATTAATGTTAATCATGTTTAAATTTCTCAAATATTTTTGTCACCTCTAAATTCATCATTAATAAATTGAAATGATTGAATTTACTGATTTCCTTATTGCACTGAAAATATTAATAATGAAAAATATACCTAATTTAGATTTTCTTAGATATATTTCAACTAGCATTTATCATTTGGACTCAAATACTCGATTTCATATTTTTCATATTCCCATTAATTCAATTTAGCTCTGTCATACTTTTGTTAAGAAACCATTTCTGATCTTCGTTAAAACCCTTCCAGAAACGCATCTATATCCATTTATTCTGTTTTTATTAAATCATGAATCTTTTCTATGTAAATATCCCTAGTTTAAATCTAAATTATTATGAATTTAAAATACCATATTCTCCAAATTTGATCTAATTTTTACACCGATTTCAGAGCTTTTCATCTTTCCATTTTAGTTTTCTATGCTATCTTACATTACAAATTTTTCAGATTATTCACATTCAGCACCAATAACAGAATTGATCTATTCTTTTTATTTTTTGCTATTGTCAATCATTTCCTAAATTTTTCTAGATAATTTAAATAATAAAAATTTAGAGTTATACAAGAATGTCTAAACATTCTTTAATTAAATCTACAGCTTCTGTTCATCATATTACTCTGAATTTATTTGGAAAACCTACTTTACAACGTAAATTTAATAGAGTATATCAGGTGGTTTTAAGCTTTCCAAAACCTAATGAAGCAAATGAATTTATACTTTGCATATTTCAGTTTCATTTGGCCTTAAAAATATTTTTGCAAATTATACAGAATAATATAAATACTCTAATTACGAAATTCTTTTTACAAAATAATTTAATATTTTATGCCTCTCTTTTAATTGATCCTTATTTGGATTTACTATTTTTTCTGAAAGAGGTGGAATGTAAAATCCAATCCAGAATTTCTTTAGAGATAATCTTAAAGCCTAAAATTCTTTAAATCTTCTTTCAGTTTTAAACTTCCCCCAAGCATCTGATCCTTCAATAGTGTATACCTTGTAACTTTTGAATTACGAATTTTTAATTTCCATGGGTCTGCTCACATTAATGACTATTGATATCTAATTTTCATTTTTTTGCAAGAGTGCATCACTAGTTTACTATTAGTATGGAATAATCGAACTAGTACTGACTTATTATTCTTCTTGTTCTTATTGATTGAATTGTTCCTTAGTTTGGTCTAATTTCTAATTGATCTTATATAAGATATCGTTATACTTAGTCTTTTCGCATCATTTTATTTATAGAATGATAAAATTAATCAAATTTTAGATTTTTTATAAAAGGAATATATCTATTTCAATCTTCAACTTTATATTCTAATTATGATACATTTTAGCCAAAAATAGCAAGTAGATCTTTTTAAGATTAAGATTATCAAAGAACTCAAAATTTTTTTGATACATATCTACGTCAAAATTGTAATTTATGAATGGTAGTTAATAATAAATCGTTGTATCATTTAGTATTGAATAGAATGGAGATTGAATTTAGATTTTGTTGACTCTTTCTTAATATATATTCCTTAATTTTTTCCACTTTCTTTTTGATTCTATATTCTAACTCAGATTAACAATTTATTATATGCGTATGCAATTATAAATTAAAATGTAGGAAGTTTTGATTGACAAAATTAATATAATATAAAACATGACTGTTTTTATTGAATCATTATAAACTTTTCACTATTTATATGTTAATTATTCTTAATATCATAAAGAGAAATTCCTCATAATTTGGGTTGTAATATAATAAATTATTAAATATCTAATTATGGATAAGTAACATTTAAATGATAATGTAGAATGGAAAACTAAGGAAGAACAAATTATTTATGCAACCTTTGAATCTATGCAACTAAGGAAAGAACTTTTGAGAGGTACAATAAATATCAACAAAGGTATTGATGCTTTTGGTTTTACACTACCATAAGAAGTTCAACAGAGAGCATTGGTCCCAATGGTTTAGGGTCGAGATGTTTTAATCTAGAATTATAGGAGTACAGGGAAAACAACAGCAATTAGTTTATCAGTACTATCAGTTGTTGATTTATCTGTAAAGTAGAAGTTTTTTATAATTCTTCATAGAAAAATCTAGGCGTTGATTTTGTAGAAAACAAGGAAATAAACAGAATAAAATGCAGACTTAATAAAAACTTTGGGCAAATTTCTTAATGTTTCAAGTAAGACATTTTGTGAAATACCAATAGTTCATGCATTTTCTGAAGGAAATTCTATATAGGATGATATCAGTGTACTTTAACAAGGAATTTAAATAGTCTTAGGTACTCTTGATAGAGTTTTTAATTTAATTTAGAGAATGGAATTAAGTTTTGGCCATTTAAAAATGATAATTTTGGATTAAGCTGATGAAATGTTGATTGATGAATCTAAATTATAGGTTTACTGTATTTATAAATATTTGCAACCAAAAATTTAGAATGTCTTAGTCACATCAACTTTATCTTTAGATATACTAGATTTGATTGAGAAATTCTTCAACAATCCACTCATGATCATGGACAATAAAAATGAACTGACATTAGAAGGAATTAAATAGTTCTTTATTCAAGTTGATAAAGAGGAATGGAAGTTCGAGACTTTATGTGATTTATATGAGACAGCAGCTATTACCTAATCAGTTGTCTATTGCTCAACAAAATAAAAATGTGAATGGTTAGCAAATAAAATGTTAGAAGGTAAATTTAATGTAGTTCAAATACATCAAGGCATGAGTTAACAATAAAGGGATGAGATTATTAAGGATTTTAAATAAGGAATTCAAAAAATATTGATTGCTACTGATATTTTAGGAAGATGTATTGTTTGAATATATTATCAAAGGTCTTGATATTGAATATGTATCTTTGATTATCAATTATGATGTACCAATATCAAAGGAATTATACATTTTCAGAATTGGAAGAAAGGGTAAATTTGGAAGAAAGGGAGTGGCCATTACCTTGATAAGGTAAGAAGACTTCAGAATTCTAAATGAAATTGAATAGTACTATTCAACTCAGGTTGAAGAGTTACCAATGAATTTCGCTGATAATTTATGAAATCATATAGTATTCAATTATTTTTATTATAAAAAATAGGTATCCCTTCATAGAATTCTTATTTTTAACACTAAAATATTTTATAATCAGTCATTTTGTTATTGATTATTCAAATCTATTCCATCAAATTTTTAATTATTCAGCAATTAATATTTAATTTTCCTTCTTCTAATAAGAAAATAGACAACTAAAGTTAAAATAAATATTGATAGATAAATGATTATAAAATTCTAATCTTGTATCTAGCCATGATTAATATCTATCATTGTTACATTTAATTGTATTGATGATAACATGTTTTGAGCAACTAATGTAAATGTATTATTTCCTTAATATACTTCATTAAAATGAATTTCATAACCCACTTCTGCAAAAAATATTATATCTTCCAAATTTGAGTAAACAACAAGATGAGTAGTATTAAGGATATGATAACTATGGTACAATCCTGTCTGTCTTCCAATATAATCTGTGATGACTTAATTTCCTGTTAAATCGTAAAAGTAAGTGATTGCACTAGATGACAACCTTAAAATTAAGATATTTTAACAATAATAAACTAACTATACTTCATCATCTGATTTGAGATTAATTCTTGTAATTTTTATTAGATTGTAAGAGATCCTAAAACTCACCATTTAAATTATAATTTCGCTGATCACTTAAGTTTCCTCAATCATTAACAACCCTATGATTTTAACTTGTCCATCCTCAATCAGGCATTCTAAAAATTCGAGCATACGAAATTTATCAAATGAAATTAATTGATAGTTTCTAAAATGGTTGAAAAGCTCAACTCTAATATTTTCAAATTTAAGAATTGCAGATCCTTTTGATTCAAATTGAATCTCATTAACAATCAGAATTTAGAAAAGGAGAATATCATTCATCTCTAAAGAGAGTGAAACATAAAGTTAATTATCGCCTTTGATTTTAATAATTTCAATAATATTAAATTAGTTTGGAATTAATTTAAGATTCAATTCAACTATTTGGTAAATTAATAAAATAGGCAATCCTTTAAAAACAATTAAATTTCCAGTTTTAATACTTTGAAATCCTTTTTCTCTATCATTTAGATCGAATTTCACCTCAAATAAAGGTTCCTTTTATAATTAATGCGTTATTTCATCAATACAATAAGTCACTCCTCTAAAAATTTCAGTTCCATTTTTCCTAAATATCATAAATGTTGATTAAGGATTTATTAGAATGATATCTAATAATATATGTTCTTGAATATATAAATTATATTTATTCAGTTTATTGAATAATAAAAAAGTATTATTTTAAAATACTAGGTATAGAATTCTGAAATTGATAGCCTAAAAATGGTATTGAGATTCATTGTGTATATTTTGCCTTCTTCAGCATCAAGAGACACTTTAGAAACTACCAATGGACCTTCTATCTAAAATTTATCATTCTCAAGCAATTTGAGGGTGTCAATAGGACCATAAAAATAATTAGTAGGATAAATTTTAGTTTTGTTATGGAAAGAATAATATAAAGAGGCATTGTTTGTTTTTTTTTACAATTAATAACATTTATTGTAGTGTCTTAATGTGAATTATAAACTGATACTAGATTCATTTGAATTAATTGGAACAATATTAAAATTGAATGATTACTTGTGACTTTTAAACAAATGAACATTCTCAATTTATATCTCAAAGTTTGCCATGTTGAACATAATTAAAATGTCTTCTTTGTCATAATAAATCAAATACTATTCATGGAAAAAAAATGAATCTCTTCCAATTTGAATAGTATTTATTAATTTAAGTGATGTTTTTTAAATTGAGAATAATATAATGAAGGTTTTCATGTCATGTCGAACTGCTATACTAAAATAGTCTTAATTAATTTAGTATGTTATTGGTCTAATAATTTCATTTTCGTTCAAATCAACAACATTTAGGATCGATAGTTATTCGAGATTAAGTTTGTATTCAATTATTTAATTATTAATCAAATGTACTCCCAAAAGATATTAAATTTCATATACCATAACTTTAAACATAACAATTTTGGTTTACTCTATTCGAAATGTATATGCTTATTTATCACTAAAAATTATCAAATAATCAAGAAATTAGATGAATTATTAAGGAAACTTTGCATAATAAAAAGGTTTAATCGCTTAATTGTTCTGCAATTGTACTTATAAATGTAATTGTCAGTTTTGAATAAAAGAAATTTATATTATTTATTATACTAAATCAAGGTGTAATTTTTAATGTAGACTTGTTTTTCTATCGAGCAGATTTAATTCAACCTTTAATTATCAAAAATACTGATATTAAAATCAGAAATATTAGACCACTGTATTTGATATTGATTCATTAAACTTAATCCTTATTTGCTGTAATGTACAATACTTCGGTTTTGACAAATATCATCAAATTCAAGAGTTGTATTTGATAAGATAGATTATTCTGAATTATAATTGATCTTATAACATCTGTTATTAAATTCAAAAAGGGATGATTGACCATAAATAAGATGTACATATGTTTTTGTTGGGCGAATGAAGTTCCTAGGATAGCATAGCACATAAAAAATGATTTCGTCCGATATTAAATCTAATTAATATAATGTATTAAATTGTGAATTGATATAAATTTTGGATGAATCAATGATGATAACTTATTAAAATAGTTTACTAAAAATCACTTAAAGTTAGTTAGTAAATTGAATAAAAAGGATGTTCTGAAATAGATGTACAGCAAACAATGAAATGTCATCAACTTGGTAAGAATGTCTACTGTTGTAAATGATAGTCTTATTATCCTAAGCAGAATATTGAATGTAATATACTAAATTACAATTCTACGAGATTACCAATTGTTTTAAATTTGAAAGATTGCTATTCTGCATATAAAAGGATAATTTGTTCTAATTATTAAAACCAAACTGATAGTAACCAGTTTCTACTATTAAATAAAAATTCAGCTAACATAATTAAACATTTTCAAGGTATTAAATTTTATGAAAATATTTTCTCTATGCTATTTCCTCATTTAAAATCAAATTTATTGTGTTATTAGTATATGTAAAAATCCCCCAATTTGAACATTAATAGAAGACTATTAAAAAAAGAGAATCTTTTAATTTTAAATACTATCTTTTGCAGCCTTCATTTTCAAACTACTCTATATTAAATTTTTAGTTTAAAATAGTTTAGGATTAAAAATTAATTCTGTATAGGTTCAAATCGAAACCTTAAATGCAAAATATATCAAATTCTTAATTTTCATTGAAAAAAAATTCCTAACAAATATTACTCTCTTAAATATTTAACTTTAAAAATATAGTTGATAAATCTTAAATATTCTACCTTGTATTATTCTTTAAATTGCTTTCTTTAATACAAGAGATAAAGTAATATTCAGATTTTCTGAGATGACAATATAGATTCTCAAAAATTTAGTCTATGATAAAAGGTGGAAGTATTAAATTTGAAATTATTTATTTTACTTAAAAATTTTCAACTCTTGCTTATTGCTTTATAATACTATATTCACTAAAATTTAATTTATTTGAATCATCATCATCAGCCTCGCATATCAAAGGGTTGGATTTTTTCGTAAAAAAAGCCTCTCCTTTTTCTAATGTAATAGTTTCGCATTAAATGAACTAGCATGATAACTTCTTAAACAATAGTGATGATATTAAAATGAATGGAACAAATAATTTCATAATTATTATGTTAAATTACAAATATAAAAAGTATAATTATTAACGATTGAGAAGCTAAGGTATAATAATATTATCAAAATAGTTTCGCTTATTTATGATTAATAGTACTTTTAAATATTTATTGTTGATTTGAATTGATATTTTAAATATTTAACTTACTTTTAGAATGAATCTCTATGGATTATAGAAAATTGTTGATTTGAAATTAGTTCTCATAAATAATAATAAAATGGTGAATTAATATTAACTGCAATAGTTAATCAGTCTTCTCATTATTACACCACATTCTAAAGAGTTATTTTCTTTGCTTAACATTAATACCTTGTTAATTCTACCTTTGTTTTTGTAGAAAAAATATAATTATCCAGAAATAATTAACTAAATATTACACTTAAATATTGGCATATTATTACATTTGAATCCTGTTAGATAACTTAATTATTTGTATAAAATTGAAAAAAAAAAGAGAAATGTAGTTTAAATATTTTTGTGAACCAATATCTAAAATTGAAACATCAGGACTAATTTAATAATTCTCATGTTTATGCAAACTTTTTAGAAAAACCAAGTATGAAAACATACCCTTCAATGATTGATTAAGTTATAGACAGCCATATCAAATTTGCTATTGGATCTACAGCTACAATATAATCTGAACAATTTTGTTTTAGACTGTCAAATTTGTTTTATATGTGATTTGAACTACTATCTAGAGGATCTAGTGCTTTTAAGCAATGTATCCCATCAAAAGGTTTTTTGAACAACAATTTTATAGGATCCCAATCACAATAATCTGACAAGTAATCCAATTTTGCATGAAATGGCGATAGGCTTATTCTGAGTAACGATGGCAGAATAATTAGAGGATTAACGGTAAAGTATTATCAAACAAATCTTAATTTATTCATATGACAACAAAATGAAATTACATTTTAGTAGTTTTTATCAAATTATTAAATGTTCTAAAAGTTGGGTAATTTATTCTAATATTTAAATTTAATCAATAATCAAATGTTATATTATTATGATATCATATAATCTTAACTTATTATCTATGATCCGCCCACAAAATTTATTCAAATCTGATATATATTGATATATCTTCAACAATAAATATTAGTTATATTTTAATTTAGCTTATTTGTTAACAATTAATAAAGATTATAAATATTAGAGTGAAATAATAATCATCATTATTTTTATCTTTTTAAAGCAAGTTAATTTATTGATTGGATTTACTTATTAGATAAATATTAAGATGTCATGATTGAGTATGAGGATCAATAGGATGGCTAATGTTAATGAAATAAAAGAATGTGAAATAATTTCTTTTTGATGTAAATCTATGAACATTACTCTTCAAATAAATAATTACTTGGTCATTTTAAGATAATTATATCAATGAAATAATTATTAACATTCTAAGCAAATAAAGCCTTTCAAGCTAGTTGGATCAATTTTATAAATAATTCGCAACATATTTAGTATTAATAATAGAAAAGTATTAATATTTTAATGTATTAGAATATTTGATAAGGTTACTGGATAATTGCTTAGCTATATACATTATCATAGTTCAAGTCAGTTAATTCAAATGATTATAAGTCTATATCAAACCTAATTACCAATATAAGCAAATATATCAGAATGTAATGATGGAAAATATTTGATAACTTGGAATGAGGTTTTCGAGAAAAAGGTATCAATAAGCTCTAAAACGAATGATGGATAATATTAATAAAATTGTGATTATATATATATTTAAATTGTTAATATATCTTCAAGTTCATATTAAAATTTAATTTATTTATATTCTATATTTTAAAATATAGAATATTGATTATAGTGCAAAATGTAGTATATAAATATTAGTGAAGGTTGAAAGTAAATTATAATTTAAATAATATATCATTGAATAATGGATCAATAAGCATAAATACCAAAAAGAACAGCTGTTGAATTACAAACATTCACTCTTGTTGGTTTGATGAGAAATATCATCTAAAAAGAAGAATAAGATCCCAAAACAGGATAAATCGGAAAGGCATATGAGGAATATTTTGATAAATTGATCCATGAATAAATTCCACATCGTGTACATCCTAAAAGAACTTATTGCATGTATTATGATTACTAAAACCCTGAAAACCAAGAGGAAATCAGATACAAAATGGTCTTAGGAGAAGTGGTAAGTGAAGTAACTGATTTACCAGGCGGACTAGTAGCTGTAACAGTACCTGCTCATCGTTTCTGCCGTTTGGATTGTGGACCAGGTCCTATTCCCAAAGTTGTGATTGACGCTTGGTAATCATTGCCAAATTTAACCCCAGAAGATTTTGGTGGAGCCAGATCACATGATTATGACTTTGAGGTGTATCCTGAGGACACAAACTTAAAGGAGAACATTAAATTTGAATTGTTCATTGGTATATAAAAATGAATATGTCAATTTAACAAACAGTTTATATTTTTATATTCGTTTCCCAAAAAAAAGACATTTGAATGGTCGTGAAACGACTGTTGTCCCAATCCATTATTGATAGCTTTCTCCAGATTCCTCGTAGTTTCTATGCTTAATAGAAAGAAGAATGTGGAATCAAATGCTTTAAGAAGATATTTATTTGAGTATTTAAGAAAACCCGAACATTTTTAAATTATAATGAATATTGATGTTTAAATAATATTTTCAATATTAATTAATCTGTTAAATTTATTATAAATTTGCCTAATTATTAAATTCTTAAGAAATGACATTAATGATCTAATACCAGACTATTACAAATAAAGGTTTAGTGTATGATTGTGAAATATCCAACTCAATTAATTGAATGGAAATCAAACTTTAATGAATTTATTGTGTATAAATATGAATCTCGCTAGACTACATGTTTAGCAATCCATAGATTTTAAGCACTCTGTTGGTCAATATAAAATTCTAAAAATGTTTCTTATTTATTAATTTATAGATTCTTATGAATGCATAACAGTATTTCCATTAGATACCTACAAACGAATAATTAAATCATAAATCGAAATACAATTATTAAACAATTGCTTGCAAGATCTAAGAAACTATTAAAATGATTGTATCATTTTCTGGGAGACTCATATCTCTTGTAAGGATGTGAGCATCTTTAATTTTAAGAACATAAAGAAAAATAATGGCAAAATAGTTGCTGTTTTTCTCTTTAGGTACTTTAGAAANTGCATGTATTATGATTACTAAAACCCTGAAAACCAAGAGGAAATCAGATACAAAATGGTCTTAGGAGAAGTGGTAAGTGAAGTAACTGATTTACCAGGCGGACTAGTAGCTGTAACAGTACCTGCTCATCGTTTCTGCCGTTTGGATTGTGGACCAGGTCCTATTCCCAAAGTTGTGATTGACGCTTGGTAATCATTGCCAAATTTAACCCCAGAAGATTTTGGTGGAGCCAGATCACATGATTATGACTTTGAGGTGTATCCTGAGGACACAAACTTAAAGGAGAACATTAAATTTGAATTGTTCATTGGTATATAAAAATGAATATGTCAATTTAACAAACAGTTTATATTTTTATATTCGTTTCCCAAAAAAAAGACATTTGAATGGTCGTGAAACGACTGTTGTCCCAATCCATTATTGATAGCTTTCTCCAGATTCCTCGTAGTTTCTATGCTTAATAGAAAGAAGAATGTGGAATCAAATGCTTTAAGAAGATATTTATTTGAGTATTTAAGAAAACCCGAACATTTTTAAATTATAATGAATATTGATGTTTAAATAATATTTTCAATATTAATTAATCTGTTAAATTTATTATAAATTTGCCTAATTATTAAATTCTTAAGAAATGACATTAATGATCTAATACCAGACTATTACAAATAAAGGTTTAGTGTATGATTGTGAAATATCCAACTCAATTAATTGAATGGAAATCAAACTTTAATGAATTTATTGTGTATAAATATGAATCTCGCTAGACTACATGTTTAGCAATCCATAGATTTTAAGCACTCTGTTGGTCAATATAAAATTCTAAAAATGTTTCTTATTTATTAATTTATAGATTCTTATGAATGCATAACAGTATTTCCATTAGATACCTACAAACGAATAATTAAATCATAAATCGAAATACAATTATTAAACAATTGCTTGCAAGATCTAAGAAACTATTAAAATGATTGTATCATTTTCTGGGAGACTCATATCTCTTGTAAGGATGTGAGCATCTTTAATTTTAAGAACATAAAGAAAAATAATGGCAAAATAGTTGCTGTTTTTCTCTTTAGGTACTTTAGAAATTTAATATTGGAAAATACTTCAACAGTATTCCTAATTTCAATAATATAAGTTTTATTAACTTACGATCACTAGAAAGAAAAATAATTTTTTTCATTTATTTGATTATTTATTTGTAATTGAAATTACTTTCATAAATTCTCATTAATTTGTAATAGAATTATAGTTAAATAGTATAGAAATAAGTATATTCTAAATTTTCTAGAAGAGTAAGTCATTTTTTGCTTGTTAATTACTAAAGATATCTCAAGACCTTAGAATATTTGAAATTTTCTTACATGCTTTAATCAACCCTTATAAAGAATATTGAAAAAAATTCCTAATAGAATTTGGATTCCAGAATTAATTGAAAGTTGGAAATTCATTAGTTTAACAATTATTATTTTTTTTATGTAAAGTGTGAAAGAAAATAAAAATTGGTCAGATCTAGAAAATGAAAGCTTCTATTCCATTTTGTGTTCATTGAATTTCTCTTAAGAATAATAGTCATTTTTATATCAATAAATCTAGTAATTTTAGAGTTCTGAGGAAATTATTAATTTTATTTTGAATGAGAACCCAGATTGGGAAAAATTATTAAAATGGGTTCAAAATAAAAACTAGCTAAATGTCCAAGAGAGATAAAAAGAATAGATCAAATAACAATAATAATTGAATCAATAACAATAAAATCAATAACAATTGAACGTATAAAAATTTAATCAATAATAATAACAAACTACACAATAATAATTGATTACGATAAGAAACTTATTGTAATAAAGAATGAATAGTAATAAGGAAATTAATAGTATTATCTAATATATTTAATAATCTACTCATAACATAGATATTATAGAAAATGTCTTAAATTGTGAATTTGAATCGTTTGAAGAATTTGTTTATCTTCTAAAAATTTTTGAAGGAGAGAGTAAAATTTTAACTTTAAAGCGCCCTTAAGAAACCAGTAAAAAATAATAATCAGATAATATGCTGTATGAAAAATAACAAATTGAGTAACTCTTTACAGAATTTCAATAGCTAAACAAGAGAAATAATATAGAAATCTAAAATCTATTCATATTAGTATACAGTTCTTTTTAGAATTAATAAATTGATACTAAAAATCTTGATTTTATAGAAACCCCATAATTGGAATACTAAGATCTATACTTGTTATGTACAAAAGTTCAAAAGCATTTCTCCTACTACCCAAGACCAGTTTAATTATTATCTGTTTTTGAATTATATAATCATGAGAATAACCAAGGTCGCTTAGCCTAAATATATACAGGAGAAGGTAAAACCTTAATAGTAGCTATGCTTGCAATTCTGTTGTGTAAAAAGAAAAAGGTTAATGTGGATATTGTAACTAGTTCTCCGGTTTTGGCTGTAAGGGATGCGTAAGAATTAGCATAATTCTATAAATTATTTTCAATATCAGTTGCTCATAATATTAATGGATCCTAAAATTAGAAACAAAAGATGTTTCCATGTTATAAGTCTCAAGTTATCTATGGAGATCCTCATAGTTTCTAAGCTGATATTTTAAGACATGAATATTCAGAATTAGGAACTATGGGAAATAGATAATAGGGATATATAATAGTTGATGAAGTTGACTCAATGCTCATAGATGGCAATAGTAATAAGACACTATTAAGCACACCAATTCCTGGAATGCTGGATCTAACTAAAGTTCTTAGATTGATTTGGGATGAAATTTGTAAATCACTGCCCAATCTCTCAACTGATAGAAAAGTTATGATTACGACTGAAAAAGAATATTATACTGTTGATTTAGAAGAATACATAGAAAAAACCTTAGATCTTTAGCTTCAACAAGTCGTATATAATTTTATACCAAAATTTCGAATAAACTACATCAAATTTATGAAGAAAACTTGGATTGAAAATGCAATTTTGGCTAAATTTCATTTTCAAGAGAGTAAGCATTATCTAATTGATAATAATAATGTTAGAATTATTGATTTTTAAAATACAGGAGTAGTGCATAAAGATAATATGTAATGGCAGAAAGGACTTCATTAATTCATCTAATTGAAACACAATCTTCCAATCACTCCTTTAAGGATCAGTACTAACTATTTATCTAATGTTGGGTTCTTTAAAAGATATCAGAGTCAACTTTTAGGCCTTACTGGTACTTTAGGATCATAGGTTACTTAAAATCTTTTAGGCAAATAATACACACTAGATTTTGTTTTCATGCCACCTTTTAAAAAAAGACTTTTGAAAGTCTAACCAGGTATTGCAACTCTTAGTAAAGATTAATGGTACTAAGAAATTTAAAAAGCAGTATAGCAACAGGTGAATTAAGGGAGAGCTGTGCTTATAATAAATCAAACAATTTAGGATGTTTAAAAAATAGATGTGTATCTAAAAAAAAATAAAATATAATCTATCACATATACTGATGATCAATAGGAATTAAAGAAGGTAATTGGACCTAAATCTGTTATCATTGCGACAAACTTGGCTGGAAGAGGGACTGATTTAACAACTAATGAAGAACTAGAAAGGAATGGAGGTCTTCATGTCATAATGTCCTTTTTACCTCGAAATATCAGAATTTAACTTTAGGGATTTGGTAGAACTGCAAGGTAAGGTAAATTGGGTACTGCAGAACTAATAGTAAATTTCACTGAAAATTTATTTGTTGGAGGACTCACTTAATTGAAAACAATTTAAGATGCCTTGGAGTATTATTCAACAAGTTAGAAAAAATAAAGCAAAAATTATTTAGAAGTTCTCGTATTCTTTAGAGATCTAAATGAATAATATTATTCAAATGAAATAGAATTAGATATGAAAAAATTATTAAACGAGGACAAATGTTTTAACAAGTTTTGTTAATTAGCAAAGAGCAAAGTGAAATAATAAGAAAATAGGGCAGCCTTTTAAATTTTAGAAGAGAAGTGGGGTCTTTATTTGGAACAATTCCAAGAGACTGGATTAAATGAAGATGAAATTGAAAATTGGTTGAATTCTGATGAAGGATAAAATCCAAAATACTTGATATATCAAGGATTATAAAAGAACGATTTAAAGACATTTTAAAGGGCAGCTGAAATATCTGAAAATGATCCTTAGGCATAATATTATAAAGGATTAAGCGAAATATAGCATGGGAAGAGTAATTAAGCAATTAATACATTGACAAAAGCAAAATCTTTATTTCTAACTAAGGTAAATGATGAAAAAGGGTTCGCCACTGCTTCTAAGTTGAACAGAATTCAAGTAGAATAGTTTTAAGATAATTAACATTTGCCTGATTTTTAGATGTCAGAAATTAAGGTTCCTTAATAAAATCTAGAATTACCTGACTTAGACTTAACAAGAGATTCAGAAATAAAAAATGTATCAGCTATTGAATTTATCAAATAAAATAATGTATAAAAAGACACTATTGAGAGTAAGATTAATAATCATTTAAAAGTTTATAATAAAGTAATTCAAAACATTGATTCTATTCTAACAACTTTAAGAACCTTCAATCCTAATGATGAAGAACTTGATTTAAGTTGGATACCAGTGATTTTGAAGGATGAAAAAGAAAATGGTGATTTAGAACAATCTGTAAAAGATTAGTAGGAGGTGATCGATGATGGACCGTTACCTAAGCTTGGTAGTCTGACTAAAAAATAAAAAGAAAAAGGTTTTTTTGAATATATAGCAATGTTTGCTATAGGGTTGTGTTAGTTCGTGGTTGGATGTGCAATATGTGCATTCACTGCTGGGGCTGCTTTGCCTATAGGGCAGGCCTTAATCAGTGAAGGAATTTCTGACATGTTGCTTGCAGTTCAATCAGCATGGAAAGGAATACCAATTGATTGGGGATAATGGGGATAAAAAAAAGTCGTTAATATTGCATCTTCATTAGCTTTGGCAGGACCTGCAGGAATCTAAGAGGCTCTTCAACTTGGTGGAACAGCTATGAAATCTTTGAAAAAAATTGGAATCACTGAATTTTTGAAATAAATCCCTGAAATTACTATTTAAGGATTAAAAAAATCAGGCTTTTGGTTGACTGATCTAGAATAAATAGCTATAGAAAATAAATATCAAAATTTATAAAATGTAACACAACTTGTAGAGAATGCTACTAACTATACTGAACTTTAGAATTTATTTTAAAATTATGACGAATTAGATTCTGGAATTTTAGACATCATAAGCCAATCATTTTAAGAGAGTCAAGGAAGTGTTGAAGGTTTTAAAAAATGTTTTTGTTAACTTGCATAAAAATATATAAGATTATCAATTGCTAAATGTAAATAAGGTTTAGATAATGATTCACTTAAAGAGAAAGTAGTTGAAATAGGTTTAAGAGAAGGAAATAAAAAATATCAGCAAGTGAAAAATGATATTGAAGATTATCACTAATATAAGTAAGCAATGAACAACGAATTAAATTACTTCTCTAATATGATGTTGGATTATTATTAAAAAGATTATGAAATCCAAAGCATTGTCTTCTTTCTTGATTATTTTTACGAAAAATTGTGTGATTAAGAGTAGGTGTTTAAAACAATTACAAATAAAATTATATAGACTTTATTAAGTTAGAGTTTTAATGTTTAGAATATCAATGTGCAAAATGCATGCAATTAATTATAAATTTCAAATTCCCAAGTTATGAATAAATTTTATCAAGGAATTATGAGACCTCTCATTTACAATCTATGTAATGAATTCAAAGCTTAATCAAAATACAAAGACCCATTAGAAATGATATTAAAAAATGAATACAGAAGACATTATAATGCAAAATTAGAATAATCATAAAATGAGGTTCAAGATCTAACTAATTATTAACAATTAGTAAAGTCCTAATAAGAAAAATATAAATAAGAAAATAAATCATAATAGGAAATCGATAAATTGAATGAGGTATATATAAATAATTATCATTTTAGATGATTGATGACTTTAATTAGAAACGAGACTTATTTAACAAATAACAACATCAACTTAAAGAAGCAGAAAAACTCGATTAAAATGATTTAGTGAGAAATATTATAGATTATCTGAAAAGGGAAGGAATGATCATGGATGATAACTTAACATTCAAACCACAATATCTAAATGTGGTCAATTAGTATTTTCTAAATCAAAATTTCAACGAAGTCTTGAAACAAATTCTATTATTGGCTATGTAAAGCATCCCGAAAGAAATTGAAAATTTCAAATATACATCCAAAAAACTGTTTTCAAAAAAATTATTACAAGCAATTGAAATAGTTATGCTGGATGAAATTAAAAAATACATTTTTGAATCAAGAATGTAGAAAGTGGATGAAAAGATAGCGAGCAAAATTGATTGACTGAAATTAAGCTAAATTAAGGCATTTATTAATTATTTCAATAATTAAAATAAAATGTATGACTTTTTGGGTCTTATATTATTCTTATTTTCATACTATTTTATATACTTTCAACCAAAATATTTATATTCAACTCTAAATTACATGATTAAAACACCCTTTTTAAGAAAAAATCTATCTCAATAGAAATTAATGTAATATTTCAAAAAATCAAAAAGCGTTATGATAAATTACATTTAGAGTAATTAGTTTTTCAATATTTGTGCATAATTTATGTACCGCATAAGTTTTCATTTATATCAACTAAAGGTTACAAATAATTTTGTCAATTATTTGTACTTTAAAGATATTAATTTCAATCAATAGTAAAATCTTAGATTTTTATTCACCTGTTTTTTATGATTTTGACAAAAAGTTTAATTGCAGGTTAATTCACAATATTAACATATGGTCAGGTTTTTTGTTATGGACTATTATTAATTGTTTAAGATAGTATTTTGAAGAAAAACCCATTTTAAAAAATTTGGAAAACTGCAGATAGATTTTCAAAAATAATAAACCGATTTATATAAAGAAGGAAAGGAAATGGCTTTTGTAAACATTTTCACAAAAATTTATCAACTTTTTGATTAAACTCCTATAATTATTTATAATATTTTAAGAAATAGAATTCTAGTTTTTTTTCTGTGCTTATTAAAATGGAAGAAAAAAATTCTCGAATTAATTAATTTTAAACATCATTTTGTTTATTAAGTGATTCTTTATCTAAGTGAATCATAGTTCTAGATTTAGCGCTTAGCATAGAGCTTTGATTCATAATCCTTCCAAGTTATTATAAATTCGTTGATTTAATTTCAATATATTTAATAATAATATACATTAGAACTTTAGATACTACCGAAGATAATTTGCACCTCTATTATTTCTAAAAAAGTTGATCAACACCATACTTAATTTTCAAAATGTTGATAAGTCATCCTAACTTTAAAAACAATATTAAATTTAAAAATTCCTGTTGTATAATTTCTATTTGTGAATCCAGGAGTTTATCTAAGTGAGATATTTTCTGTTGTGGGGTCCTCTTTTCTAAATTGCCAAGCACTTAACCTAGTCTGAGTCGGAACTTATTAGAGTATTAACTTTATTACCTTCTTCTTAAACAATTCTTTTTTTTTCTTAGCTTGTACCCAATAGTAATTATCAACAGAATGCTCTTTTTTTCGGTTTAAATAATAAGTTCATTAGTTAGATTAGTTTATTCCTGATATTATATAATATTTATCTTGGAATAGGTTTCCTTTTTATCAATAATTTGTATTTTATTAGTCAACAATGTGTCCATCATGAGATTGAGTTCAATTTCGAAAATTTTAAATTTGTGCATAAAATATATCCTAAACAATTAATAGTCCTTTTTATCAGATTTTGTAATCGCTTTTGTCAGACATAGGGTATAAGTTTGATGTTAGCACATAAAAGTGAAATTCAAGATATAAAAATTCTTATTACAAGAACCTTTTACAACAAATCTATTACAAAATCTATATAAAGAATGATTTCTAAACAAATTAAAATTATCCTATTCTAAGTTTATTTCTAAAAATAAAAGTAATAATTTATTTTTTTTAACATAATGTTAATTATGAATCCTAATTTCCTTTCATATTGTTAAACTCAAATCAAAGAAAATGAAGAGAATAACTAAAACCCTTATAATTTTAATACAATTATAAATTCTTTTAATTTTGTTTTTTAATATAGCCTTGATGCATACAGAAAGTTTTCAGAAATTCGGCTAAAGTGCAAGAAATTTGGCTACAAAATTGTAGTGGATAGTGAAATAGTGAGAATTAGATCTCAGAAGAGAAATTTTCGAATTTATATGAAACATCTTATGATCATTTGGAAGATGATAAATATTTAAATACGCTTATGCGTGGTATGCTTAACATTATCGGGATGACCCTCGTTATGTTGATTATGCTTTTGAGATTCCGAAAATCAGGCATCAGATTTTCGAATCAGATGTGGATTGGTATACAGAAAATATTACAAAAGACCTGGAATATAGAAAAAAGAATAACAATTATCCTTCGTTTCTTAAACCTGTTTTAGAACGACATCCAAAAGAAGCCTAACATACCGCGCTGCCATTAGCCATGCATTAGAACAACTAGAAGCTATTGCTGCAAAGATCACCGAAGGGATTAAATTTTACCCCAAAAGCATATCAATTATACTAACTATTTCTAATGGAAGTAGATGTCAAGAGAAGTTACAAAATTTCCTTTGTCTTTGTTGAGACTTAAAAAGTTATGGATTAAGGATAAGATGCTGTACCAATAGTAACAAGATAAGAAAATAGTATTGAATTTGCTTATTTATTAATTAATTCGAAAGAGCCCCTTTTTTGATCAACATATTCTATATATAATATATAAAAATTTAATTAATGAAAATTATATTAGTACTCATAATTACATCATTAGTGTTTGTCAGGTGCACAGATTAAACTAGTAACAAATTTAATAAAATTTTAGGCTTTTTTGCTTAGTTGTTGGGAGAAGATCTACCTTATTACACAGAAACAGATTATGTAAAATTTAAGGATGTTGGATCAATATATTATCATTTGATATTGAAAGAAGGAACAGCAAATCTTGAAGCAATACAGAAAGGAGATGTTTTGGCTGTTTGGTTGAATGGAGGTCCAGGATCATCCAGTTAACTTGGTAACTATATGGAAATTGGTCCATGGGTCATAAAGAAAAACCCAGATACAGAAGCAAAAGACAAACCCTACATAGTGACAAAGAGAGTAAGATATAATTATCATATAATAGGAATATTCTTGGAATAAGGCGATGCACTTGCTTTTTATTGATTAGCCATTTGGTGCTGGTATGAGTAAAGCTGATAAAGAAAATGTTGTCACAAATAGTGATGAGGCTGCTAAATATTTTGTGGAAACACTTAAGTTTATCTATACAAGATTAAATAACTTAGATTTAGTGAATACTTATATTTTTGGAGAGAGTTATGCAGGCCATTACATACCAGCATTTGCTACAAGATTACTGTAGGATAAGGACACCCTAGATAAAGTCAATTTTAAAGGAATTGCAATTATCGATGGAATTACAGACACTGAAAATCAATTGAACTATTATCATAGTTACTTATACAGTATTGGAGCCATTTCTTAACTTGATTTGGATAGATTGTAGAAGATTGGGGCAGTAGGATAATCATCTAGTAGGAATGGAGAATATGCCAAAGGAGCAGAACAATTGGGTCTTATGACAGAAGATAAATTTATAGAATAGATTGGTGGTATTAATGTTTACAATATTCGAAAATACTAAGGATTGGATGAGTATGATTATTCTTGGGCAGATTTCTTAAATAACTATATCAAACAATTCTCATCAGAAATAACCCAATTTCAGAAGTCAAATCCATAGATTTATAAAGCCTTCCAATAAGATATTGGTGAAAGTAGATTGAAGGACATTTAATTGTTATTAGAGAGATAATATAAGGTGTTATTGTTGAATGGATAGCTAGATTACATAATTAATACACCAGGAGCATGGAATTGGATTTACTAGATTGATTGGAAATACAAGTATTAATGGAAAAATGCTAAAAAACAATTTATTACTTTTCCAGTTTAAGGAGAAGAAAACAAGGTTGAAACTCATGGATACATCAAGACTTTTGAGAACTTTTCATATGCTACAATCTACAAGGCAGGTCATATGATACCCACTGATAACCCTAAGGCAGCATATTAAGTCATTGAGAATTTTATAAAGTGATTTTATCATTTCCCTGAAATCGATCTTATTGTTTTAAAAAATTTAGTGCTATTTGGAGTCATGCGTGTCACATTAGTTATCTAATGCATAGTTTATTGATGTGTTCTTGTTTCCACTTCTGTTAAATTTATAATTGTTGTTGTATTATTATTATTACTCTTTTCTCCTGACTGCTTTCTCCCTCTTAATTGCACATAACTTGGTCTTAAGATAGAAGTCCTTTATCTTTATCTTAATAAATCAACTGAGTTTTCAGTTTCCACAGTCTACCCAATTGATGACTAAGATGAAGTTACAAATATTGATTTTCTCTTTTTATCTTTCTTTTCATGAAGTACCTTTTTATTTTAGTATTTCTTTAATATTTGAGAAATCAGAACTTTATTTTTAACATGCTTTTAAGGTGATGGGCTATTTCTGTCGGGTTATTATTATCTTAATAATCTTTCTCTAATATAGGATAAATTATTATTATTTATGATAAATCGTAATTCTGTTTTTTCTTGAGGTTCAACTAGTTTCCTTTTTTAATCAAAAGCGATGTGTTGTTGGAGAATCTCATTTTGAGATCCTTTAATTTATTTTTAGGATCTCACACATAAAGAATTGGATTTGTTATCCTTATTAGGTACTGAGAAAATCTCCTTTAATTTTTATTCTTTGTTTGTTTAGTTTTAAGTTAAAGTATTCAAATATGAATCATAATTCTTAAAGTTGTGAAGTATTAATTGTTTTCTTTTACTTATATAATCTTTATTAATGGTGGCTCTCTCTCTCAAACAGTCGATGATATCTTGATGATTTCCTTTGATTGCTCTAAAATCACTTGCTTCCATGTAATAGGCATTCGTGATATCAACAACTTCACAATAGTATTATCTTTTTTAAAAATCCTCCAGAAGCTCCTCCTGTCCAACTATATTACCTTCTGCTAATTAACTAAGCTTTTTATATAAGAGATTAATCATACAACTATTTTAGCTTTATACTATTATTTGCCTACAAATAATCCTTATTTGATTTCATCATTAATTTTGGATTTACCTGTTAAAGTATCAAGATCCATGTATTTGTAGAGTTCCACTCTCCCAGTGACAATAATGAAGAAGAACTATGGTTCATCTCCAATTTGCCAAAGGATGGTTTTGCTTTGGAATACAACAGGTCGCAAATATTAAATAAATTTGGAGAGATTAAATTGAAGAGCTCCTGGGAAGATTCTCATAAAGAATTCAATTGTATTTCGAGCCTATTAGATTGATTTTTAGAAGATGATTTTAAAATCATTTCTTCGCATAGATAAACAATAAACCTTTTCTGATGATACAATAATAGTAGCAGATCTGGGCTTGTCTGATGTCAAGGCTACATCACCAAAACATTGTCCGGAGTAGTATTGAAAAATCTAATTAGGGAGAGCAAGATTACTTTTTAATAAAGCAGAACTCCATCTTTATAATATCTGGAGTCTTAAATTTTGAGTAAGTTATCTACATTTGTAGTTAACTACCTTTTTTATCCTTTGATAACCAGTTCACCTTCTTCCTATTACTTAAGTTGTTCCATTTCTTTGTTAATTTCATCTTGGGGTTTTGGTCCGAAGACATAAACCTCTCCCTTCAAAAGGATGAACATCTTATCACCGTATTCTCCATAATGAAATATGGGGGATCCATAATCATACTATTCATATTTGAAATATTTAATGGCATTGGATACGAAATCAGCCAGTTTCATGCCTTCTGGACAATTTGATTTAAAGAATTCGATTGTTTACAGAGAATCGAGAATTGTTGCAATCAGATTGGGATCATCAATTTTCCCATGTTGTTAATATAACTTCAATGTTGAGTAAAGCAATTCTTCGTTTTCTTTTTTAATTTTTGCATATCTCTAGGCTTAATCAAAAACTAGTGATGTTTTATTTTACATAATGTATTATATTTATATATCAGATATAATATTGAACAAAAAAAGTAATATAAAATGAGAATTTCAATTTTGAGTCTTACGAATTTTTTTTTTCTAGATTTCTTGTATATCGAGGGTCTTAGATTCATTTTAATTAGATTCAAGATCCTTTGAATGAATTAGAGGGATCTCTCCATTCCCATTAATAAAATTTCTTATTAACTTGTATATTTATAGTTGTTTTTCATATTATTACTAAGACTGATCATATCGTGCTCTTAATTGAGGGTTTGAGAGGATTCGGTAAGCTTCAGAGATTATTCTAAATTACACTGATTATGGATTCTTGTCCTTGAATATTCAATCATAATTTACTGGATGATGCATTTTTGCAAGGTTTCTGAATGCTATTTTGATTTGTTCTTGAGATGAGGTATTTTAGATACCAAGTATATTGTAATAATTCATATATTAAAAGTCATAGGGCAATTTTTATGGCAATTAAATTCAGAATGAGAATTAACTAGAATTAATTAGAATGTTCTATATGATTTTAAAGCCATTAAATTAATGTATTTATTTATGCTTCATTTGATTCATGATATATAAAAATATACAGAAAATTTTTAAAATGCCCAAAGAGAGGGAATAATTTGAATAAGAGTAACACACACAAGTATGTTACACATCTAATTAATTAAAATATTCTAAGCTTGTAATATAAAATTTAAAAATATCTAATAAAATGGTTAACATTTGTCTCATCTGCGATTTCTTCTACCCACGACTAGGAGGAGTTGAAATGCACATATTTCAATTGGGACTGTGTTTGATGGAGAGAGGTCACAAAGTGATCATAATTACACATAAATACGACAATAGGACTGGTGTTCGCTATATGACAAATGGCTTGAAGGTGTATTACTGTCCTTTTGTGCCAGCACATGAATAAGTTGTGCTATTTACATACATGGGCAGCTTGCCATTATTAAGACAAATATTATTAAGGGAAGAAATTCATGTTGTGCATTCACATGCAGCTACATCATTTTTTGGAGGTGAATTATTATTGCATGCTAAGTCTATGGGGTACAAAACTGTATTTACAGATCATTCATTATTTGCATTTAATGATGCTGCTTCATTTCATGTTAATAAAATATTGAAATTTATTTTGAGTGAAGTGGATCACTCAGTTTCTGTGTCTCATATAAGCAAGGAGAATCTAAGTATGAGAGCATCATTAGATCCTAGAAACATAAGTGTAATACCTAATGCGGTTGATTGCAGCAGATTCAAACCAGATCCCTCTAAGAGGTATCCACTCAACACAGTCAACATTGTTGTAATAAGCAGATTGACCTTTCGAAAAGGAGTGGATCTTTTAGTAGATGTTGTACCAACCATATGCAAGAGGTTTCCTTAGGTCTATTTCATCATTGGAGGAGATGGACCAAAAAAGAAGATTATAGAAGAAAGCATCAAAAAACATGGCTTGACAGACAGAGTTGAGATGGTAATAATGATATTAACAATTTAGTTAGGATCTGTGCCTGGTCATAAAGTCAGGGAAGTACTGGTAAGAGGTCACATCTTTTTGAACACTTCATTAACCGAAGCCTTTTGTATTGCTATTGTTGAAGCTGCCTCTTGTGGCTTGTTTGTTGTTTCTACGAATGTAGGAGGTGTCGTCGAGGTCTTACCTAAAAACATGGTCAATTTTGCTAAGCCTGATCCAGATGACATCTGCGAAAAATTGGCAGTAGCCATACCCATTGCTAAGAATGTGCCATCCCATTAATACCATGAATAGGTTGCCAAAATGTACAGTTGGCATATGGTGGCTGAAAGAGCTGAAACGGTGTATAATAAAATTTTATCATCTCCTTATCCATCTTTATTGGCTAGAATCAAGGCTTGTTAAAGCAATGGCCCAATATTTGGATTATATTTGTTGATATTACTCATAATTGACTATATTGCCATTTTCATTTTGGATTTGATATTTCCATATAAAAATATATCCAAGCCTATCAAATTCAATCCAGAATATAGGGTTAATAAAGAAAAATATGGAGATCATTAATTCAAACTAAATTGATAAATTTATATCATGTTTTATATTTACATTTATCGTCCATGCGTATTTATACATTATCTATGTCAATCAGGCTATAAAATAAGATAAATACAATTATTTGTTACTTTTTAACCTCACTTTATAGCTTACAAACTAATCCAAATACATACTGTTACAATATCTATATTTAATTCATAAAAATTTACTTAAAAAGTTTAAAATATATTAATAAAAAACCTTCGTCATTTAAAGATACGCTTTCGAAATAGAAAATTATCAAATTGTTAGGAAAAATTGAAAAATCAATAATATCCTATTAGAATAATAAGATATGATATAAAGATATTAAATCTTCATACTCTAAAGACATTAAACCATTATAATGACAAATATAAATTGCTTTAAATTTTGAATTAAGATAAGAATCTAGTCTAAATTAAAGAATAAAGTATTAGCTACAATTATGGCAAGTAAAGTTTAAAATAAATGAGAAGAGGGTGTTGTTATCATTATAGTTATAACTTATTGGCTTTCGTTTTTCTTTTCATCCTCATAATGATAATAAAATCAATAAGTTTCAAGTATTAATGCTGATAAATATTAGGAATGATTGTAGATACAAACTGGTTGCAGTTTTTTGAGAAGCATGGATTTTTGAAGGATCTATTTTTACATGAATCAAAAAGAAGTTGGGTTACCTGGAATCTAAGAGAATCAATATAGTTTGCATAATTATTGATAATTTTTATTATTGTTATAATGAATTAATCAACCAAAAACTTGAAGAAATCTGTAATTTAAGATCAGAAAGTAGATGACAATCAATAAAGAAAGAGAAATGAAGAGAACTTGAAGATTCCTCTGAATTTATATCGTTCATATACAAGAATTACATAACAATCACTTTTAGAGGAGATTGCTCCAATGATGTCTTAAATTGAATTTCTAAAAAAGAACTGCCCTGAAGGAACGAAAATAGAAGAATTTGCTGCTCAGGCTTGTTCATATTTCAAATATGAATAATTTAGCAAAGGACAAATTGTTTTTAATTATGGGGAATATGGAGACAAAGTTTATTTAATATTACTTGGAGAGGTTGGAGTCTTCATATCAAAGTCCTAAGAAGAAATTGCCAATGATAGAGATGTAATTGAAACCTATAAAAGTAATATGAACCCTTTTGAAGAAGAAATTTTAGATTACGAAGCATTATTTAAAAAGAAAAAAAGGCCTCAAGATCTGTAAATGGAATTACTATTAGCTTCATAAAGGAATCCATTTGAAATCAATAATATGTATTTCAAAGACGGAATATGTCTTTACAAAAAAGTCTTTTAATTTTACTCAGGTTAAGCCTTCGGTGATATGGCATTATCTTCTGACAAACCACGTACTGCCAGTATTTTAGTTTTATCTGATGAACTTCACGTTTTAACTATGAATAGACAAGATTTTAAAAGCGTTGGAGAAAGATCTATCAAGGAGAAGAATCAAACATTTGAATACTTTTTAAGTATTTTTGTGGGTGTCAGTAAATTTATTGTTACCAAGTTTATTTAATATTTTTAAAAAATTGAATTTGCCCCATAAACCATTTTATGGAAGGAGGGAGATGAACCTAAATTCTTTTTATTGATTGTTAGAGGAAGAGTCGAAATTTATAGATCTTATGATGAAGATACTTTGCATGGCAAGATCAAAGAACCCTCTATTTTCCAATCAAAAATAAAACCTAAAAAAAAAGTTACTCTTTCTTAACTTTCCGATAACTCTTTTGTCGGAGAAGCAGAACTCATAGACAACAACCCTGTGAGACTCTATTCTTGTATGACTTCTGATAATACTCTTGCTTATTATATGGAAAGTGATGCTTTTAATATTGTAAGGAAAAATCATCCTGATTTTCTTAAAATATTAAAAGAGAAGTCTTTTGTTATAAAGTCTTACTTATAAAGAAGGGAGAAGTACCTATTCGAAAACATTCAAAAACAAGACAAGGCAATGGAAAAATTGCAGTATCCTGATTCTACCAATACTGAAAGACTCACAGTAGATGAATTGTATAGAGACACTAGCACACTCAACTCCAAGATACTGAGATCTCAATAGAAAGGTATGTTTACAACTACTGATATTGTTAATTCCAATAATTTAATTAGTAAGAAAATTACTCCATAGACTGAAAATATGTTTATCTTTCATAAGAAACAAATTGAATTGTTGAAGTAAAAGAAATAATCTCAAACCAAAAGTCATAGTACGATTCCGCCTATTAATCTATATAAATTTAATTCTTAAAGTAATTTAGCCCTTGAATGCTAAGTTTTAAAGTCTTATAGAAGAATGAGATTTAAGTAATTTTAAGCCAATAGAGAAGTTTGTCTATAGATCAAATCTTAGATGGGATCATTTGTGACTACTCAATTGGGATCCTCTCAACACGACACATCTTTGCCGTAAGGATCTAATGAATTTGGAAAAAGACTTAAGACTCTTCAAGACTTTTATTTTGCAAAAACATTTATCACAACCAATAGATGAGTATAAATTTTATAAATTATTAATTTTGTATTCTTATATTAATAATTAATTAATTAAATTTAAGAATTGTTTTGACTGCAATCAAAAATTAACATTTATATATATTTATGATAAGATATTCATTCTATTAAAACATAGTTAAATAAACAATTTCAATATTATTTTAATCTAAAATTTAAATTGCTTTTTCTTTGCTTTTTCATAACAGGAGAATTTGACAATGGACTATAATATATCAAATATAAAATGTTACGGCAACTTTATGACTTATGTATTTCTTTTAGCAAATTAGCCGAATTGGATTGATTCGGAATGCAGCATTGTTTTATTTGGAGAAATAGAAGCTCTTTTATTGTTATGTGTAAATCTGATAGGTGATGGCAGGTTGTTGCTTTCAAAGAAGATAGTACTTGTGCTGCGAACTTATTTAATGAATGAGGGGTTTCGAGAACTACTTCTTAAGAGTTTTAATTTAAAGTTGGTATTGGTATCTGCAGTGGAGTCATTAAACTCACAATTACTAAATTCACTTGGTAACATTATAGTCCCGAATTTTTGGCATAAAAATTTCATCATCATCAGAGCTTTAATAGTATAAATGGTTTTCATCTTATTATCAAATAGTGTTTTCATATCAGCCATTGTGATTGGTTGCCATAATTCTCCTTTGCCTGACAGCCATGGGTGTTATAAAGCCTGAGTGGCATTCATTCTTGCTTCAGGTGAATAAGCAGCACATTTTAAAAAGAAAGATCTTTAGTAATCATTCATCCCACAGAAATCAGGGTTGAATTATTAAACTCTTTAAATGAAAGTTGAGGTAGATTCTAATGGATCCCAAAAGGGGTGTTTCTTGTTGATCAACTAGTAAGCAATAATTCCACAGCTCCAGATATCAACAGATTTAAGATAAGGTTGTTTAAAAATCATTTCAGGAGCCATAAACAGCAGAGTTCCACATTTATCATAAGAGAGTTTAGATTCTGAATGGGAACTAAGACCGAAATCGATGAGTTTGAGTTATCCTTCAGTCGTAATAATTATATTATCTATTAGCAATAGATGTAATACCTGGTTTGATATCTCGATGGATAATATCTTGGGAATGCAGATAAGATACTGCATTAAGTAATTCGGCGATGATTTGTTTTACATGTGCTTCTTCCATTTCAACAGTTTTGATCAACTATGTCAGTGTTTTGCCTTCCAAAAATTCTTAGACAATATATAAAGAACTTTCACCTTCTTTACTCTTGAATAGAATATTAAAATACAAAATAGTATTAAGCAAAATTTTGATGATTGATGGATTCCAAAATTTCAACTTCTTTTTTAAATTATTCAATGTAACAAGGATCCATTACCTGTTTAATTAAAAAAAATGAGTACTTTAATAGCTACTTTTTTGGAATCGTATTCTCCTAGAAATACTTAACTAAATGCTCCATGACCTATTTAATGAAATAGTTTGAGGTCGAAATCAAAAGAGATTTCCATTATATTTAGTTATAAATAAATATTTCAATAATTTTATTAGAATTGCTTCTTCATCTTGCTCACATTTCCTTAGAATATCTCAGTAGGGAATCTCTTGGGTTTGAGGATGATGACTTATTTGCCAAAAGTTTGCAACATTGGATCCTTATTATTCATAGTTGGTAAAAAGCTCTTTTTTTTTTCAGAATTATCATATGAAATCGAGATACTATTTTATGAAATGTTTCTTTGTCGATATGGTACAAAAACACTTTGGTTGTCATCAGTCAAATCAGGTTGACTTCTGGAATTAGAAGGAGCTTTTTAATTCAGACTGAAGGCCCTGTAATTTGATTGAGTTTTGGTTCTTTCACGTTATTGACTTGATTGTCTCAATTTTTTTTGTTCTTATTGTAATTTGGACAGGTTTTCGTGTTTGTTAATAAATGAGAGGATCTACATTCAGAAAATTAAATCATCTAATACCTTACATTAGGTCTGGCGATCATTTTTGCTTATTTTGTATCATATTATTGATTATTGTCGATAGATTAGTATTGCTTGTAATAGATGTAGGGAGTGTTTCTGAGCCTATTTATATCACTTAATGTTTGACGCTAATCTAACATATATATATATATTATTTAATAAATGAATGATCTATACTATTAGTTAAAAGAAGTAAGAACTGTAATCGACTAATTTAGACTGCTCAATAGAATGGCATAACAATAGAATTGATACCTTCCAATAGATAATCGATAGCTGAAATGATGCCTGATTTTTAAAAGAAAAGTTCATCGATTAGAATGAAATTGTAATTAATCAGAAATAGCAATGAAGAAATCAGCAGGCTGACTGAGGTTATTTAGACAGCTGCATCCACTAGCAAAGAGAAAGGTTGTAGTTTATGATCATCTATATATCTAGAATCAATGAAGAAAGTTGATTAATTACAAGTATAAATTAATAAGAATACTGCTGAAATAAAAAAGTTATTTGATGAAATAGATAAATTAGTTAAAGAAAGTGATCCTGATGAACCAGAAACTAGAGCTATGATTTATAATTAGAAGGCAATACAACAGGAAGTGGCATCTATATTGTAATCTGGTCAGAATACAATCTTTAATTATAACAAGACTATTCAAAAGAAGATGAAAAGATAAGTATTGCAATTCATATTCAATAGTTAGAAATACTAGAACCTAATTTGACAGAAAAATAGAAAACTGACATTATTCAAGATCCTTAAGGATTGGAGAAGATGGTATTGAAGGAGACTCTAGGTTAGCCATCTTTGCAATTGGTTTATAGGGTTCAGGATATTCAAGATAAATATTAGGATATTTAAAAGTTAGAGAAGGTATTGTATTTGCTGACATTTTAGAGTACTCAGTATTGTTTTCAAATGTTATCGGAGATCGCATTTTTGGTAACCTAATAAGGAGAGTAGATAGAGAGCATAGGTATTGAATTATGATAGAGAGTAGAACAAAATTTGAATAAGGCAAAGAATTACATTGAAAAAGGGGAGAAAAGATTGGCTAAGGAACAGAAGATCCATAAGAAGAGTAGAAAGGTAAGAGATGGATATTATAGATTAGAAAATGTGTTGCATTATTTTAATTGGATTAATTGCGATCGGAGTGATAACTACTCCAATAATCCTGAAGTTTGTGAAAAGTAGCGGTTGATCCTGATTGAGTTATTATAGAATAAATATAAAATCTAAGTTAGATCAATAATATATTAATATGCAAAATAATAATGGAACTTTGTTGGCAATCATGGTAAAACTATGAATGATCGATTATAGACTGTGGAGATCTCCCAAGATGAGAGAGATTAGATTTACATTTTTGAAGGGGATGATCCCAGAGATTTGGGTATAGCATTTGTATCAAAACATGACCTCCCTGGCCGCTATCTATTGAAGTTGATTGATAGCATATCGTAACATAAATAATAAGCATAACACACTATAAATAATGAATAGAAGGTGACAAACGACCAGAAATCAAATTATTTCAAAAACTCTACAAACTCAACTCCTTATAAATAGAATAGTTAGATTTCAACTCAAAGTTGTTAAAAGAAGAGTCCTTTGATAAGCAGTAGATCACATTGTAGAGATTTCTCATAAGATGGTAAGTTATGGATTTCTATTGATAGTTAGCAAGATAATTAGAGATAAAAGTGCGAAGGAAATCAAACAATTGAAGCCTAGAGATGAGAACGAATTGACTTTCACTCCCCAAATCAACAGGAATTCTGAATAAATAGTTGTAAGAGACTCGATACAATATTAATAGAAATAAAAACGCCAAGATAATAGTGTCGAACAGAGATTGATCGATTATGGTTAGAAGAAAGAAAAAAGATTACAAGACCTGAGGATGCAGAAATAACAATCTTAAGACTTATCAAATAAGTCACACACTTATCATCCCAAGACTACTTAGAGATCTCATGAAATCTTAAACGAAAAGAATGTGAGCAAAACCTACAAGGACATTTATAATAAAACTCCAGAGTATTATTATTAATATAACCAATCTAGTTGCAATAATTCTTATATATTGAATTTGCCATGTGCCGATCAAAGTGTTGTGCAATAGTTTTGGAGAGCCTCCTTGAGAAAGCTATTCAATATGCTCGACAAGGAATAGAAGGGCGAACTGAACACAGAATAAGTTGACTTATCATAAATGAGTTACGAGATGTTGCAAATTGTTACTCCAGTTTTGTTAATCATGGAGGAGAGAAGAACCTTCAAGTTTGATAGTTTTGCTAAGGAAGTCACCAATTACTGTGTTTAGCACAACTTTGTTGAAAATTTATTTTCATTACTTTTATAATGATATTGACTGTTATTTATGATTATATTAAAAATATTATGGGAAATTGTTGTAATGGGAATTAAATGCTAGATCGACAGAACCCGCAAATTATTTTAGTTACAGACTTATAGAACAACTCCTTATAAGTTGAAAGGGCTGCAATCAAAATTCAATCATATGTCAGAGGAATCAAGGTTAGAAAGGACATGAAATCTATGAAAAATCAGTACCATTGTAATAATGAACACGCACCTTTGACCATGGTTGCTAAACTATCCAGAATGCCCAATTATCTCAATGAAAAAACAAAAAAAGTACATGATGAATAAGGGCCATTTCAAGAAATCTCAGAACCAGATTTACCTAAATTAGGACCATATGAATACAATGATCAAACAGTCTATTATGGTCAATACAAAAATGGATTGAAACATGGCTATGGTACTCAAATATGGATAGACGGATCAATATATGAAGGTTAATGGCAAAAGAACTCTGCCCAAGGCATAGGCAGATTAATTCATTGTGGTGGGGATGTTTACGTTGGAGAATGGCAGAATGATAAGGCTAATGGATATGTAAATTATTATGGATAATAGGGGAACCTATATACATGCGGATGGTGCAAAATATGTAGGCTAATGGGTAGATGACAAATAACATGGAGATGGCATTGAAACTTGGCCAGATAACTCCATTTTTAAAGGTCAATATTCTATGGGCAAGAAGCATGGCCACGGGGAGTTCCAATGGAAGGATGGTTCTAAGTATATAGGAGATTTTGACAACAATCTGATTCAAGGCTATGGAGAGTACACTTGGTTTGATGGGAGAAAGTACATAGGGGCATGGAAGAACAATAAAATGGATGGCCAAGGAGTATATGAATATATAAATGAGTAATAGATTTTCACATGGTTGGATGGCAGAAGATACAAAGGAGAGTATAAAAATGACAAAAAGGATGGCTACGGAGAATTCAAATGGCCTGATGGGAGAGTACTATCAAAGTTTATTGTTAGATTTATCGCGGATAATGGCAGAATGGCAAATAGCATGGAATAGGAGTTTACATAGGGGAATCGAATGTGGAGAAACAAGGAATTTGGGAACAAGGGAAGAGAGTTAGATGGATTCATAAAGGGGAATCTATTATTACTGATTGAATTTATATATAATATCAATAAAATATTAATGAATAGCACTGCGCAAGTCTTGTTTTTAAAGGTGGAATAAGGGAATGTTAATAAAGTTATTGAAATACTCCAGCAACATCCTAATTTAATAGATCTGGAGAATGCGAAGTCAGGACAAACTTGCTTGACAATAGCTTGTCGTAAGAATGATGGAGCTATGATCGAGAAATTGATTGTTTAAGGCGCTGATATCAATAAGACAAATAGAGTAAGATATAAAGGTTGATGTAGTTAAATCAGTCGCCATTATGGATTTGCTCATTTTACAATTATCGTAGGACTGCAGATTTTCTGTTGAACCATGGTGCTGATGTAAACTAGCAGGACAAAGTATTTAATATTGAGTATACAAGAAAGGATTCTCTCCTTTGATGATTGCAGCGTAGAGAGGAAATTTAGAGACTGTGGCTTTATTATTGAATGCCAAGGCGAACATCTAACTGTTAAATAAAGTATAATTGTATTTTAGCACATCATTATAGAATCAAGATACAGTATTTGATGTTTGCAAGGACTATGAAACTCTATAATTTATGATACAGACATTGCAAATAGAGGAAGTGAGAGTGAAGCAGCCAGATAAATTCAAACCAAGACAATAATAGAATGTCAATTCTATGAAATCAACTTAGACCAAGTTCTCCAATAACTCTTACAGAAGAGAGAAGTCTGAATCTATTCCCAATTTAAATGAAGAGTTTTACACTATTCAAACCATGATCAATTCAATATGCGAGGAGATGCAACTCGTTTTCAATGAAAGCATCTAAAAGTTCAAGGATTGTATTTTGAACAAATAAAATTTGGCTGAGGCCAAGAAATCAATTTCAAATGAATATGAACAAATTCAATAATCGTAGGATATTGATGATAATATTCAATTCCAATATGATAATTTCCAATATGAGATCAGTAGACAAATAGGGAGAACCCTCTATTCCATTATTCATAATTTGGATAAGGCGTAGGTGAAATCACCTTCTCCGAAGAATAAGAAATATTTATCAGCAGAACCTTTAATTGAAGCCACAGTTGAAGAGGAGTAATCAACTCCATTGAGTTAGTTTCGGAACCAATTGAAGAGGGTGGAAACCCCATCTCAGATAAAGGAACCGTTGAGTAGAGGGAGTGTCAAAGGGGAGAACGAGCAATTCAATAGGATGATGACTTAGAAATTAGAGATTCTGAATGAAATGATAAACTCTCGAATCGGAAATAGGAAATAGTGACTTATAATTACTAAAATATATTTAATTATTAAATGTAAAGTAAGTTTGAAAGGTCATTTTTTGATGAGCAGACTTTCGACTGTTCTTTCTGGGAAAAGTCAACATAGAAAATTAATATTGATAAAATAGAACATCAATATATTTTGTTTTAGAAAAGCAGAAAAACAGGATTCTGGGTAAGCAGAAACTATATAATTTTTGATTCTAAATTAGTCAAGTTGAGAGTAAGTTATATTATTCTAATGTTTAAGCCAAATAAAAACACAATTCATTAAATCAATTTGAATAAGAGTAGGGTAGAGAAAATTAAGTATCAAAATGATCAAGAGAAGGAGAGCTGTAATAAAGTAAATATATGTTATACATAAATTTTAGAAGAAGTATGGGTTCAGAATCATTAGAAATCAAAGATGTAGAGAATTCTATTCAAGATCAAAAGAATTGAATCAAAAAATTTGGGAAGAATTAAAAAAATAGTCCTTGTAGATAGCATTTAAACAAGATTATGTCATTGAGAAAATCATTGGAAAAGGGAACTTTGCTAAAGTAAATGAAATTTCTTCTATCTTTTAGGTGTATCTTTGTAACAAAAAATCTGAGAAGTAGCAATTTGCTGTAAAGGCTTTCGAAAAAAATAAGATGATAAACACTGAAACTGATCGTTTAGCTTTATTGAAAGAAATATCGATTTTACGCAAATTGAATTACAAAGGATTAATTAAAATGCATGAGGTTTATGAGGATGAGTCACACATCTATTTGGTTCAAGATTATTTATAGGGTGGAGAATTATATTAACATATTAAAAAAAATTAAAAATAGCCTGAACAAACCGTGGCCAGAATTATAGCCACCCTATTGGAATCTCTAGAGTACCTTCATAAGAATAGCATACTCCACAGAGATCTTAAACCAGAGAATTTGATATTAAGGAAAAAAGGTGTGTTGGATGATATTGTGATTGCTGATTTTGGATTGGCTGACTTTTATGATCCCTTAGGAAATTATATATTCTAAAGATGTGGAACTCCTGGCTTCGTTGCCCCAGAAGTATTACAGGATAAACTATATGATTCCAAAGTGGACATCTTCAGTATTGGCTGTCTAATGTATTTATTATTAGCTGGTAAATCCCCGTTCAAAGGATCCACTTATGATGAAGTGGTGATGCGTAATTATCATTGCAAAATTGATTACCAATCTATCGAATCAATTGTATCCATCTAATGTACTCTATATACAATATGTTAGGCATGTAACTAATAAAGTTGCTATTGCATCATCGACCATCATAAAGACCAACGCCTAAGGAAGCATTAAAACATGAATGGTTTATGCTCAATTTGGACGAAAAAAGATATAAAGAATTGAATAATAATGAAGAACAAATTCAATATACTAAAGAAACAACTAAGTCGAGTTTAACTGATGTTGGCAGCTGTGGATTTATGAAGAACTTTGTTGGCCCTTACACATGTGAGAAGTCCGAGTTCTCTACCCCATAGATAACGCATACAAACAATAAATAAAATGCTGTTCTTTATACTCCATAGTATGCGATGATGCAATCTATTCAAGAATAGTTTAAAGATAGTGAATAATAGATTTCAGTTAAAAAAATAGAAGATGAATTTAGTGATATGATGTTTGAAGATGAATCACCTTAGTCACATAAATTACCTCATTATCAATTGATAGGAAAACTGAAACAAGTTGTGGATTCAAATAATTCATCCTATTACGCTTCTCCTATCATCAAAGTATAATATTTCTTATGATCATAGAGAACACCAGAGAGTAACACAAAAGGTCTTGAGTTGAGGACTCCAATTTTGATTACTCAAGTAATAGAAAACCATGCATAACCAAGAATGGCAAATAAAATTATGAACAACTTAAAGAATTTTGAATAAGTTTGAAATAATCTATTTTTCTGACTAAAATTGTTAATATAAATCAATAAGTTAATTTTTCTACTGTTAATGATTTTTTGTGTAGCATTCTAGCTCTAGCAGCATATAGCCATTTAAATACAAATGCTTTAGCAACAAAGTTTTATGAAGCCAATTTGGCCACGTCGTTAGCACTTTAATTTTATCGTTATAGAAATCTACTTTTATAAGCATTCTCACAATCGATACATAGAGTAACAAACTTTTAATGGGTTTCATAGTATTTAATCCATTCAAATTTATTAAAGGGAGTTCCCATAATTCTGTATTTAAACTGATTTGACATTTTTTCGAATGGTATCAGTTCAACTACTCTTAATTCGATATCTAAACCACATCTTTTACAATGTTCAGCTTAATTTTGGGCTAGAACGTCTGATACCAAGTATTTTAAGAAGAGTGTCTATTTAGCCTTGTAATACCAAATCGACAATATCTTTCTTAAATTTTCAGCCTAAGATCTTTTGATTCTAATCGTATGTTAATATCCATCTATTTCTTCAATATCTCTTTGAGACTTAATGATGGATTATGATTGAGATGTCTTCCTCCTCTTTTTCTTGGATTTCAACTCTAGTTCCTTTTGTTTCTTTATCATTTGCTCATTCCTAATAATTTCTTTTTAAGCTTTTCTCTCATCATTCAACAATAATTAATATGTTTACAATAGAAATTCATCATGCTATGTGAATTGATCTACATTTATAAACAATTCCATATTAGAGACTAGCCAATCTTTGTTTAATTTGATGAAATGCTTTTTGAAAGCATCAACCTCTATTATTTATTCAATATTTTCTTTTGCAGGATTTAAGAATTCTTCTAGAGAATCCAAATTTAATTTTTACTTCGTATCTTTAATCTTCCAGACATCTATTTTATTCCAGATGTACAACATCATGTTTTAGAGCAAGGTAATAAAGATATAGATAAATAGGATGATTAGGAAAATGGCTGGGTCTTAATACAGAACATAGTTGTTTCTGATCATGATGGTGGTTCCGAGAATGCAAAGGAGTATGCTATAGATGACGAGACTGCCATTATAATAGAACTGATCTGTAAACTTCATATTATCAATAGATCTATATTAGGCATCAATGCTACGATCATAAGTTAAGGAGTGTTCAAAGAACTTTTGGATTCTGAAGTCATTCCGATATTTGCAGTAATCAAAGTAATCAAATAACTTAAATCCATAAATCATCTCTAAACTATTCAGTACATAAATATCTATGAAGATTTAAGGGATGATGACAAAAAATGCAAAGTAGATATAATAATTAAACTCTCTGAAACCAATGTAGTAATTATTGGTAATCTAAGACTCTTTTTCAAATAATTTGATGAATACCAAAACAATAGGTTTTATGAAGATTGCATGAACCTTACTACTGAAACCCAAAGTCATTTGGATAACATATTCAACTGATTAGTCTTCTGTGAATTTGGAATCAGTGTGTTATCCTAAATAAAATGAGATATTGTCTTCGGTTTGCTTCTCTTGTTCTTATTCCAAACTAAAGAAAGGTTGCCATTTATTCATAAAGTTCATGAGCTTCTTTTTAAAATGCTTGAAATTCCTTATGATCGGGTTGATATAGGTTCTGAACACAATAATTAGGGAGAGTCTGATTACGAAGGAGATAACAAATTCTTAGAAAGATTCAGCAGCCATAAACATGATGAATTGGACTACTTCCAAACAGGCCATCAACGGTTGGATGAGTGTTTACTCTTCTAATAGATATTCACTGAGAAGCCAGTACACAAAGGATTCAATAAATTGGAGGACTATCAAAAAGTAATAGATATTCTTATAGAATAATTGTTCATATGAAAATCCCAAAAAGAATAATAATAATGCAGCTATCATAATACAAATTAATTAATAATGATAATCTTTACTTATTAAGCTATCTTTTAATATATCTATGATATCCTCTTCCTCTGCTTGTTAATTTTGATTCATTTACGGTTGTTGACTCTATTGGGCTTAATTGAAGATGGATTACTTTTTGTCAAGGGGATTTCCAGAAGAATTTCTATGAGTATGATGTTATAAATGATTACTATCTTTGTAAGAGTTGAACTGGACTTATAGAATCCTTCAATGATTAATTATCTTTGATAGAACTGCTTTATTTAAGAATGGTGGCTTTTTTGAAGAGTGAATTCTTTGGCATGGTTGGCTCCTTCTCTTTGGTAATGGGAGGAGCAGATCCTGGAATGACAGGCTGTTATTTAGAAAATAAGGAGCCTTGTCTACTAATACTGTTGGATTGAAGATTATTATCAACATTTTTGGAGGTAACTTGAGCTTCTCTGATTTCATCTTATTTCATAGGACTTTCTTTAGATTCTTCTTCGCTGATACTAAAATCGAAATACTTCTCTTCGTTTTTCTTCTCAAAATTGGATCTTATAATTCCCCAATCTTCATCAATAGGTTTTGGAATGCATAATTTACATGCTATCTTCATTATGATGATTCCAGACACAACCAACATAAGTCCCACTCTTCCATATAAATATTGTTATGAATTATCAAAATTAGTTGGTAATCCATCATAATTATATGTGATTCCTGAGAATAAATCACGGGCAAACAGGTTATCCAGTATTAGCACATATACTACAATTGGGATAGTAGCTCTAATGACTCCAGTGATTGGAGGTAGGAAAGCAACAATAAATGTTTAATATATTCTCAATTTGGGGGGATCAGGGATTATTGAAATTGACTTATTGATGACCCATATCACAAAGATACCAAAATTAATCAAAATTCCGATCACCAGATATAATACCAAATACAAAGTGATATCAAATTAAAATGAGTTTATTAGTTCCAAATAATCCATAGGCCGATAAACAATATTCAATGTATATTTGTTAATAATTGATGTCACTTTTTGATAGTTGGATGCTGTTATTATTGCTGAAACAATCTACTTTTCTGTTTGAGATATTTGATTATAGAGAATCTGAAAAGTAAATTCAGTCGGATAACTATTTTTGATTACTCCAGATGTAATGAACTGGACAGAAATTAAGGATTCATCCTAAGCTTGTATTATATTATAGAAATAATTGGTTTGGGAATCGTCTGAATTCTCAGCCAGGATTTTATAATTCAAAGCGTATTTACTTATGTAGAATAGAGAGTCCTATTCTGATTGCCACCATTTATTCCCTTCATACTCAACCATCAAATTCTCCAAGAAGTAACACTCCAAATTGATATTACAGGAATCCCCTTTTGCATTGAATCCATTTGTTGGCACCATTGAAACTACCTTGGTGTCCTCCTATGCTACCAAATCACAGAAGGTTGCATTTTCCAATAAGTTATACAAATACAAGTAATAGCCCTGATCTCTGCAATTGCCCATGAATGGAATCCAAGTCAATGCTATTATAGATATGTCCTTCTCTTGGTATTCTTACCAAAACTCCTATCCAAATGGAGTCTAATTCTGTGGAGGCTTCTCCAAATCCTCATTCAATACATCCAAGTTGTATATTTTATTAGTCGGCAAATTGAATGGCATCATGTAGGATTCAATCAGCTTCTAACTCAATATTATGGGAAAGAGGTTGGGCTGTGTTAGTATTCCTCTTGCTGGAGATATTATTATTGCTGACTATGAAATTAAAATTAAAAATACTATTGTTATCGATGTCAATATTGAGTCTTCTTCAGTATTTGTAGCATTGACATATATTTTCAATTCGCCTGCCTATCTATTCATTAATTTTAGAGTGCATGATTAAGTTATCTCATGTGAAATCTAATCAGTTATATAAAGCAAAATCTTCTCCGAATTCAATTAATAATTTCCCAATTCCACCTTCAATTACACCGTCTAATAGGTCTAAAGGGTTATAAATTCAGATGGATTCCCCTCAGGAGTAGTTATATTGAATCTTAATTAATATGTTTAAAGAAAAAATAAAAAAATAATCATAATAATGAATTAACCATTCACTATTAGAATATTCAATTAGTAAAAAATACATTTATGTAAATTTTTATTCATTCTGAATCAGAACTTATTAAGATCAAATTTACAAAGGGAAGGCTCCAAATCCTTGTAAAATAGGGCATTAATCTGATTGGCTAATACAAAAAATCCAGAGATATCAGTTCATCCTCATCCGAATTCACTTCTGTTGCATGATAATCATACATTTTTTATTAAAATCGTTTCATCTTACCTTATTTCCACACCCTCAAAATCTGACTAAATTGAACTCTACATTATGGACAAGTTCGATTCTATTAGGCCCAGATCTCAATGCATTTAAAACAATACGTATGCTAACATGTCTAAATGATACCCTGTCATTAATTAGTGTCAAACTTACTTTGTCAACGATTTAACCATAACAAATGCTGCAATCTTCAACTGGTTGCTCATCGGCCTGCTACTTCTTTGCCTTCGATTTCTTTATTCTCTTATTTATCGCTCTGCCCTCTCTTCCAGTATTCTAACTCTCCTTTTGCTGTTCAAATTGCTCCATTATTTTTTTATTATAATAATTATTAAAATTACATCAAAATGTATTCCAACATAAATATGAAACTCAATCAATTATTATTCCTATTTTGGGCGGGATCACAACTAGTCTCACATCTAAATTGCATTTAAAATTCAAATACCCTTGATTAATTGACTTATATATGGGCAAGTCTTAAATCTACTAATTTATAATTGCTTAACCTAAGTGCATTGATTGATCGCTCATTCTCTGCTTTAAACCTAATTAGCGCACTTCAAAATGATGTTAGTAGTATAATAATATGGGTGTCTATTTAGTTTTCCTAATAAAGCATATATTTAATATATAATCATGTATATATGATGGATATCACAACTCATCCTCTTCCTTTGTGATAGGTCGATCTATATAAGAAAAAGGATTGTAGTTTTCCTTCTTGAGAAAGCAAGCCTAATAGATATCAGGTTTCTTGATCATTGATTACAAAGGCTAAACCAAATGTATGGATTAGATCTTCTTACCCAATAGATAGAGATCTGCATCTTGAATAAAGGATTTCTTAACAGTTTTGGGGGCTTCATCATCAACTATCCGTAGACTTTCAAATTTCCTTTTCAAAAAATTGATTTCAGTCATTTTAATTAAAATATATTCTATGCAATAGTTAAGACATTCAATCGAATGCATGCAAATAGATCACGATCATCAACATGTGTAGTACATTTGCATTGAGCCAGGTTGTACTTAGAAAGAGAAAGGAATGTGCGAAGTTTGTAAATATGGGAATCATTTGCAACACGCTTGTATAGAAGTGCAAAAGTTGGATAAACTGGTAGTAAAAGCATATGAACAAGAGAAAGAATTGAATAACAACATTTACAAAACTAGTCACAAAAGGATTAAATTATCAATTGAATTACTTCAAAAAAAGCTGTTATAAATAAAGCAAGAACTTAATGAAATTTGTAGGATGCAGAGAGAAGAGTCACTATTAGAACTTTTAGTTGAAACATATGTAAAGAATGAAAAACTAAATTTAGAAGAATACAATTCAGTTAGAGATTTGGTGATTGGTAATTTAGATTAGTTTTTTGGTTAATACTTCTGGAAATAGGAGATCTACACTAATAATTTCAAGTCTTTCTAATAATATTCAGACAATTTGTTGAAATAAACCATATTGTTCACAGAAGATATTAATCTATTTTAACAATATGGTGTTGAGCTGCATAATGTCTAAATTTAATAATTCAAAGAATATTTTAAATAAAAAAATACCTAATACCTGGAGATCTTGAATTATAATCAAAAGTAACAGAAAGAAGATATTCTTAAGACTGAACCTATAGAATAATTCTATAAAAAATAATTATAAAAAATATCATCTGTTGATATCTCAAATAAATTAGATTTATTAGCAATAGGAGGTAGTGATAAATATGTTCTAATTGTTGATTTCAAATCAGCTAATTGTCAGTAGGAGTTATTGATATCTACCTAATAAGTTTATAGTGTTAAGTTCTCTCCAGATGATTAATATTTAGTGGCTGGAGGATCTAAACCATTTGAAATATATTGTTGGATTTGCAACAATTGGAATTCACATCCAATAATATTCAGAGGTCACACTAATTACATTTATAGACTCACATTCAGCGAAGATTCCATGTTTCTGTTGTCGAGCAGTGCAGACAAAACAGCAATCTAGTGGAATATTGATAAGAAATTACCTTAATAAGTATACAAAGGACATACTCGAAATGTTTATGGTTGTGCAATATCTATGAAATCCAATAGAGTTGCAACCATAGGAGGGGATGAGTTCATTATTGTTTATGATCAGCAATCAGCAAATGTACTCCATTAATGGAAGGGACATTAATGCGAATATGGAGGATCATCAATTAATTATTTGCAGAATGGATAGTTGATGATATCTAGCGGTTATGATGGATTAATAAAATTGTGGAATGGCAATAGTTATGAATTGCTTCGAGAATTCATAGGTCATAGTAAAAATTGGATCTGGAGCATTTCTATTTCTCTGAATCAAGATTATTTTGGATCAATTTGCAATGATTAAACTCTTAAGATCTGGGATATCAACTAAGCAAAACCTGTTTTAACATTTTCAAATGAGAATAATGGTGCTCCTGGGTCTGAAATAATTTTAAAGGAAAATTAGTATGTAATTGCAACTTCTACTTAATCTATTAAAATATGGAAACTCTCTTTGTGATTTAATATATATATTATATATAAACAAATATGGAAGAAAATATGTTTTATATTCATAAATAGTAACAAAAATCTAAATAACTTCCAAATATCATTTGGATTGTATTGTATTGCCTACTCAGATTGTATTTTTAAATAATCAACTATCTTAATACAAAATATTTTATAAGAGTTGGAAGCTTATTAAAAAATAATAATTCTTTGAAGTATATCTCTCAATTTATTAGTTTTATAAAAGGTTCCCTTCTTTTGTATAGAATCTTGTACCATTAGCCTAAGGTCAAGAACTGTTGTAGGATGGAAGATTGATTTGTAAAATAAATTGAGATACACAGTAATTTCATCATTTCTAAATTCTACTAATATCGTAATTGAGTTTATTGAGTGAAATCACTTGTTTATCAATGTAAATTGTTGATGTTCATATCATTCATGGTTAGAGAACTAAGAAATTCATCAATTCGCAATTAGATAACTTGGAAGTGTAAGCTAAGTATTCACAGAGTAATATATAAATTAACTTTTAAAAAAAATTTTCTTTTAAATAGGATGCAAAGCGCACTTGAGAAATTTATTAAATTATAATAAATATATAAATTTATGTATAAATAAACATATTTATATGTTTTGTTTTTCTAAATAAGATGTAAATATAACTATAATGATTATAATTAAAAATTATTGAAAATCCATCACTTCTAGTTTCAGTTTAATTGAATGTTAACAGCAATTGAATAATGGAAGACAAATAGGTTACAAAAAAATGATTGTTATTTGAATATTGTTATAGGTAAAAATAGAAATTAAATTAATTAAATAATGGACTCTGCATCAATAATCTGGGAGAATTAATAAACTATAATGTTTGAAGAAGGAATAGTGTTAAGAAAGCCTTCTTGGTTTAAATAATTATTCTTCGTTTATGTTTATCCCATAATGAATGTAATATTGATATTTAAATGTTTAGAAAGCCTATAAGCAAGGATTGGATGAAAGTCTAATTAATGATGTGGAATCTTCGCAATAATCATATTTTAGGCATCTAAAGTTTTCTTAACATTTAAAACTAAGAAAAAAAATGCAAAATTTAGTTGATTTGATATTGAAATATTATTTATGTATGTTATTTGCTAATAAACTAGAGTATTTTTTGAAAGGGTTTCTCATTTAGTTAGTGGTACTTTTTAGTCAATTGGCCATGCCGTTGTTAACAAAATATATTATCGAATACATTTATGAATCAGATAAAGATTTTTATTAAGCTTTATTACTTATCTTCCTAGTTATGTTAATAAGAATACTCAATTTGTTGTCGATGTCCCACTCAAGATTCATGATGGTAAAAATTATATCAATTTAATTAAGAAAGTTTATGGATATGATATAATGTCAGTCATCAGTTTAGAAATCATGAGTAAATGTCTCAAGATTTCAATGTTGAGCAACACTGAAAGATCTATAGGAGAAATTACTAATTTGATTTAAGTTGATGTACAGCGACTGATACAAGCTCCCAATAACGTAGTCAATATGATTATTATCCCAATTTAATTATGTAATCAATCGTTTTAAGTTAGGTATTACACTAACCTACATTTACAAAGAAATAGGCAGCTCAGTGATAGTAGGTATAGTAATCATCATTTTAAGCATACTTCAGAACAATTATGTTGGAAAGCAAATAGTTAAGGCTTAGAAGTTAGTGTTAAAGTCAAAGGATAATAGAGTAAAGGAAACAACTGAAGTGTTTTAGATGATCAAATTTATTAAGATAAATGCTTTGGAATAATTTTTTCAAGAAAAGATCTTCAAATTAAGATAGATTGAATTAAAATGTATAAAGGATAGATTGAAGTATTTTTCGATAAATGTATTCATGGGTTGGTTGTCCCCTCAGATGATTTTAAGTTTTACTTTTGGATTGTATGTACTGTTGGGGAATCAATTAATCCCAAGCAAGACCTTTCCCATAATTGGATTACTGTCTATCTTAGCTGCAAGTCTTTAATTATTGCCAATTTCATTGAATGACCTTTTAGAAACCAAAATATCTTTGAAAAGAATATAAAACTTCTTAGATAGTTAGGAGTTAATGAATGACTTATATTGTAAGAACAAGAGTGAATCCTCTGCTTTGGATATAGCACAAGGCAACTTTTTCTGGAGGAAGGAATGCATTGAAGAGTAACAAATCTTGAAGAACATAAATATCAGTGTGGAGAAGGGGAAGTTTGTATCTATAATAGGAGATGTTGGATCTGGGAAGTCCTCTTTGATTTAAAGCATTTTAGGAGAGATGATCTATAAGATCAATGATGATAAACCGAAGATCAATAGATCTGGTCCCATTGCTTATGTAGGATAGAAGCCTTGGATTTAGAATGCCACTGTTCAAGACAACATTTTGTTTGGTAAGCTGTATGATGAGTCATTATATGAACAAGCAATTAAATATTCATGTCTCAGTCTGGACTTAGAAATCTTAATTCATGGAGATCAAACTATGATTGGAGAGAAAGGAATCAACTTATCTGGAGGACAAAAGGCTAGAATTAGTTTAGCAAGAGCCATTTATAGTAAAGCAGAAATCTATTTATTGGATGATCCATTAAGTGCTGTGGATGCTCAAGTTGGCAATTTCATATTGAAGGAATGTTTCATCAATTACTTGAAAGGAAAAACAAGAATTCTGATTACTCATGCATTAAACTACTGTAAATATACAGACTATATATATTTGATGTAAAAGGGAGAAATCATAGAATAAGGTGATTATTAGAAGATGCAGAGCAATGTAATCTTCCAAGAAATAGAAAAGAAATTTGAATTTGATATACAATAGTAAGAGAACTAAAAGATCACATTAAGTAAAGACGTTTAGTTGGATGACGATAAGGAAGTTGATTAGAATTAAGAGTAAATTAAGGATAAGGATAAAACTAAATCAGATCTGATGACTGTTGAAGAAAGGAAGAAGGGGGAAATCGATTCGGAAGTATATATTAAGTATCTGCAATACAAAAAGAATTTAATCATTTAAACTATCCTGTTTATTGTTATGATAATTTGGATACTCAGTTAGATTATGGCTAATTTGTGGGTAACTGAGTGGACTAGTCGATATGCTTCATTGTCAGATCATTACAGCGAAATCACCTACTTTTGGGTATTCTTGTTCCTAGGATTTATACAGTCTTTGTTTGCCTACATAAGAGCAGCAATGATTGTATCACAAAGTATAAAATCTTCTTCCCAAATACACAATGATATGATCAATTGTTTAATGTTTGCACCTCAATGCTAATTCTTTGAAAGAGTCCCACTAGGCAGAATCATGAATAGATTAACTAAAGATATAAATTCTCTTGATGTAGAAATCCACATTAATATTGCTTAATTTTCAACTAAAATTAGCTAAATACTGAGCAACAACTTACTTAGTATCTATGTTAGCACATATTTGCTCATTTTCCCCTTAATAATTTTCCTTTATATATGCTTGAAAATCCAACGATTATACATGAAAGCCAGTAGAGAACTTCAACGATTAGAACTTATAAGTCGAAGCCCAATTCTGAGTTATTTTACTTAATCTTTGATGGGGTTAACAACTATAAGAGCTTACTCTCAAACTGATTTCGTAATCAAGGAATTTGCCTAGAAATTAGATTACAATAAATAGATAGTCAATTATTCAACTGCAGCTAGTTCATGGTTTCTACAAGTTCTGGGTTTTGCTAGTCTAATAGTAAACACTTTTGCAATTGGCTATTGCATCTTATACACCAGTAATCCTTCATTTGCAGGATTGATATTAACATTTGCTGCTAGTTTGGATAGAAATGTGCAATAAACTGTTGATTCTTTAAGCTTATTAGAAAATAATATGATATCATTTGAGAGATGCTTAGAGTACACAAAGATCGAATCAGAAAATTTGGCAGAGATCAAAACTGTCGAATAATCGTGGCCCAAACAGGGAAGGATAAAATTTATTAATTATTCAGTAAACTACAGAAACAATTTGCCGTTAGTTCTTAGAAACTTAAGTTTTTCTATTGAGTCTTAAGAGAAGATTGGTATTGTAGGAAGAACTGGAGCTGGGAAATCATCGATAACTCTTAGTATTTTGAGAATAGTAGAAGCATTATAAGGACGTATAGAAATAGATGATGTAGACATATCAAAAGTATAAATGTAAAGGTTGAGATCGTCAATCACCACCATACTTTAAGATCCTGTGATTTTTACTGGAACCATCAGGTAAAACTTAGATCCCTTGAAAACTTGCAGTGATGAAGAAATAATGAAGGTAATCGAAGAATGTTGTCTATTGTAATTGATTAATGATAGGAATGGATTAAATACTTCTATAAATGAGGGAGGCGATAATTTGAGTGCAGGTGAGAAATAATTGATATGCATCGCAAGAGCTATATTGAAGAAAAGCAAAATAGTCTTGATTGATGAAGCCACAGCCAATATTGATATAGAGACTGAACAAAAAATATAATAGGCCCTCTAGAGATTATTCAAGGATCATACAGTGATTACCATAGCTCATCGAATTAATACTATTTTGCATTGTGATAAGTAATTTTTGATTGATATTTTGATTAGGATTTTTGTAATGAGTAAAGGAGAATTAAAGGAGTCTGGATCACCAAGTGAATTATTGTAGGACAAATCTTCATTGTTTTATGAGGTGTATCAAGAGGCGATGAATCATAAATGATTATACTTTGAATAATTAATGAATTAATAATTAGCATACTAAACATAACAGTTTACAATTAAAATAATCTATTTTTATAATATGATAAAATATTATCAGGATATCAAATTATAAAACTGCTCCTTCAATAATTCTCTTAGTAATTAATTATGTAATACGTCCCCTTAACAGTTCATTTGAATGCTCTCGCTTAACTCTACCAATAATGTGCTGCTCTATCTGAAAAGCATGATAGATTGGCCAAAGGAATAGACATCTTCAATACAGAAGTCCATCAATTGACTATCCCTACTTTGATCGATTAAGAAAGAGTCTTGCAGGAATAAAACACAGAGGCTCCTTTAAACTAAGAGTATAGTTCATAGAAACAAAATTCTCCAACCCCCAGCTAGAAGACTCCTATGGAGATTGAGTAAGACAATGGCATAACATTTTAGTTTGGGAAGTGATGACGATGTTCCAATGGAGCAAGGAACCAAGCCAATATAAAGTGAGACCAAAAAAATAAAAAAAAATAAACTAAAAGTGGATGCTTCCAAAATGTTATAATGTCCAGAATGCCAAAAGCAAGTAAAAAACGTTGCAGGTTTAAAAAGACATTAAACAAGGATGCATGCTAATAAGCCTTTAAAAAATGTGACTAAAAAAATCTAAGAAAAAAGAGAATAAGGTTCTAAACTAACTTGATTTATTATCCAATATATTATATTTATTACATTTGGTAAGCCTTTTATATTGAATGACCTATGGATGTTGGGATTGTATGAAATATTAATTGATAATAAAAAATAGTTCAAAATTTATTCATAAATGATTATAATTTTATGGATTAATAAACATAGCCTGCGTAAATTTCCTTTGGGGAATAAAATTGTAGGTGTGTTTCGAACATTGTGTTCAACAAAAGACACGTGTTTGCTGTTGGAACCTGGAATGCTAAGAAAAATAACGAAGTAACAATGAATTTGAATTATATTTATACAGATCTATGTGAATGAATATTTGGAATTGGAATAAAAGATAGTATAATTGTATAAAATACCAATAAATGGAATGGTGGAGAAGATCATAGCGAAAAAAGAACAACTGTATGTTATTTACATTGATCGTATCAACTAAAGTTAAATTTTAGCATAATAGAGAAAGACAAAACTTTGTTGCATAGAATTGGCTGACAATGGAAGGCATCAAGTAAATTTCGATTTGTTGTATGAAGGATTGACGAAGTAATATATTAAACTTTAAATTCTAGTGTTATTTGTCCAGAAGATGATCCAATTATCTACTTGAGTTCCAACAAATCCATTATTCAATTTGATTTGAATAAATAATCATTTGACAACATCATTGATGACAATGATCTCTATAATCTGTGTGAATAGGACCCTCATCATAAGAATTTATTTGTTAGATCCTAAAACAATTATCTGTGCATATAAGATACTAGAGAAAAAAAGTAATAAGAATTATCACCATTAGAGTAAACAAATTCAAAGCGCATAGTCTATAAATATTGGATATAGATTTCAATCCGAATAAATAATATTATCTAATAACTGGAGGTGAGGATTGCTTGGCCAAAGTTTGGGATATTCGTAAAACACAATATGCAATTAAATCATTTGAAGATCTGTAGAATTCAGTTCTGTAAGCTAAATTTAATAAATTTCATGATCAATTAGTTTCGTTGGCATGTAATTTAAAATATCCATAATTGTAGTTGATGATGGCACTATATCATTGTACAATATTACATCAGTTTCATCTGTCCCTTAACTAAACAAGGAAGAAGATTATTTGGTTAAACAGTATGATGAACATGAAGACTCAATTTATGGATTAAGTTGGTCAAGAGGAACTGCGTGGGTTTTGGCATCAATAGGTTATAGTGGTCATATGATAATAAATACAGTTCCAACAACTGAGAAATATAAAATATTATTGTGAAAATTATATTAAAATACATTTAATTATATATTTAGTAGAAATACAGAGTTTTCTTAGATGATACTAAATAATCAAATATATTGATTCAAAGTGGTAACAAATACTCAAAAATTTAAAAGCATATTATAATTATCATCGAGTAAGAATTATATTTTAAGAAATAATTATAACTAATCACCTGAATCCGTTGTCTAATTCAGGTAATTATGTTCATTAATTTAGTGTAAATTTGTAATTCCTCAATTATGAATACCCAACTACTTCAAATAATAATGTTGGATAATTGAAAATGAATAAATTAAATCCATTTAAGCAAATACCACTATGTAATAAGTCATGAGGTGGTACTAACAATTAATGAGGTAATTAAAAACAAATTATTTAATGTTACTGAAATTTATTAAAACTCTTAATTAATATAGAATAGCATGATAGCTATCACATAAATTTATTAATATTTTCTTGTTAATTATATAACAGATATGTCTTGTAAAAAGGATAATCGGATGGATAAGCTACAAATGAGGTTAAAGGAGCTCGAAGAGGAGAACAGGGTATTGAAACAAGAATAAAATCAATTAATATCCACTTTATTAAAATAATTGAGTGAATTATAAGAATAAAATAAGGAAATCTTATAAAACAATAAGAATCATGGAACCATCTTACATGAACTAAACAAAATATGTGGAACCAATCAGACTAATATTGATTTGTTGTTTTTGGATCTTAATCATAAAATTTAAGATTACAAATAACAATTGGCATTACTAGAAAGAACCTGCAAATAGTATGAAGAAATAGTAGTACATTAAAACAAATTGAAAGAAAGAACTTTAAAGAGTGTTTCATCTCAGAATATTGTGTATTATAGTAAAAAGCAAAGCATGGAGTCCTTGGATTGTCATATAAAATTAGAGTCCTAACTATTAGATGAAGAATAGTCGTTGTTAGAATTGTTAGAGATTCCGTAGGCTAATAAATTGTGTTTAAAAATTGACTAATTAGGTCAGTAGATAATAGAGAAACTGAGGGACTATAGCTAAAAACGGGATAGTAGGCACAAGTTGGTGGAGTAACTAATACCTCTCAAATAAGCACTGTTACTATGAGTATAAATATATATAATTAACAACATTTATTCAGTTAATGTATAACACAAAATAACACAAATCAAAGGTTAAGAGCTTTCATTCCAATTGATCAAAGAAGGTGTCGAGATCATCTTCATAGTTGTCTATAAAGTTCTTGATCATAGGGTTTTCTGGCCTCTCAATCTCAGAGAATTGTGATTCGTAGGATTGGGTGGATGAGACACTCACAGAATCTGTTTTTATTTGTTAAATAAGTCGAATTAATGGTTTTGGTTGACTAATTGTATGAGTGTTCATATGTATATAAAAATCTTAAAAAAAATATTAAAAATATACTTAACTCACATCAGGTATTTTATAATGCAAGAATTTTAATCATTAAAAAAACTCATTGAACAAAAAAAATCACAAGAAGGCAACTTCGCAACTATTTAAGAATAAAGGGCGAAAGTCGAATAAGAAAGACAAAAATTATTATAGGATTAAAGAGAAAGGGAAAGAGAAAAAGTATTCCATTAATTTATATTCAATAATAGCATGAAAAGTTAGTAAAGAAACTCAAATTATAAGATGAATATTATAAAACAAAAGAAATTGAAAAGATCACAATAAAAAGACTAGACCAACAATGCATTAATCTAGAGAAGGATAAAATTTAATAAGATGAAATCTAAATGTCATAAGATCTCCCTCCCATTGAAAAAAAGGAAGTACAAAAAAGACTTAGAGATTTGGGAGAACCGATTACTTATTTTGGAGAGAGTGACTGGTAGAGATACAAGAGATTAATGGAATTCGTTTAAGAAAAGAAAGAAAATAAACAAAAGGAATTAGAAATCAAAATTTTAGAAGGAGAGGATAAAGAGGAAATTAAGGCATTTCTAAATAAGATTAAGGAGAGAAACCTAGATCCAAGTACTGCACTTGTGCCTGTGTTCCAATGCAAGGGAAAGGAGGAAATTGAATCACAATTATGGGATGGAGTATCACTTTTGACAAGATGTGAAGATGTTTATATGTGGTGTAAGAAAATGTTGAGAGAATGGAACATAAAGTTGTTGGATAAATTTAACACAGAAACCCTGAAAAGGAGCTTAGAAGGATCTCAAGCTTTTAATTCGTACAAATAAACACTTGATTACATCAAACCACTAACTGAATAATTGCACAAGGCCAAAATGGTTCAGTCAATTAATGAAGAGATCTTGAATGCATTATATCTTATTATTCGATTTTGTGTCTACAAAGAATATGTGAGAGCATATGATAAATACCTGGAATTGGCAATTGGAAATGCTCCATGGCGTAAGAGTATCTTAAAATCTATTAGCTATGGGTGTGACAATGGTTGGTATTCATGAAAGGACTGGAAGATCAAAGATCTCAAGCTCACAAATAGCTCACATCTTAAATGACGAAACTCAGAGAAAATACATATAAGCAATAAAGAGATTGATCACAGTTTCATAAGTGTCATATCCTAGTAGTGACCGTAGCAAAATGGTAGATTTTAGAACAGAGTATACTTGGTGATATGAATAAATTAATCAACAATATATATGTTACATAAAATATCCATGATTTAATAACAAATAAGAGATAGTAATTGACTCATTTCTCTAATTTGCAAAAGATCATTTATTTAATTAAATTTCATCCTTTTGAGATATTCATTTTAAGTAGAGATGGCAGAAGTTATATATATGTATTCGATGTAAAAAAATATGTTAAGATAGAAATGAACATTTGTTTATGGTTTAATATACCAATTTTTATGTTATTTTGATAATCTTCTAGAATCTCTTAAGTTTTTAGTGATAGTTAACATTACTAATACATGTTCATGCTTAAAAAAATGATATAGGTTATTTTAGATAATAAGAGTGAATAGCTTAAGACTCATAAGTATGATAAAAAACATGAATATTTTAATTTTGATTTCTTAACTAGTTATAATAAAATAAATGAAATAATCATCTAATTCTTTATGGTGATGTAACTTAATTAATGATCTACTCTAAATTCTTTCTTTATAAAGGTGATTACACTCTAGACAACAGGTTATCTAAGACATCTTCATGCTAAACACTTTCACTTTTCAGAGTATGTTTCACTGGGTTAAGCATATGTTGAATTAAATTTTAAATCTTATTAACCTTAGTAGGTTTTTTCTCAGAACTAAATTAATTATTTATATATCCTCTATTTTTGAGATGGACATTTTTAATGTTGATTCTATGGTCAACAACACTTTATTCATCATCTCCTTTAGGAGGATACTAACTGACTTAATTTTCTATTGAGACAATTTAATTCTTCTCGAAAATACCCTATGTCATTTGTTTAGAATTGTAATTAACGTAAAACCCTTAAAATTATTTAATAAATTACCTTATCCTTAAAAATATCCATTTTTCAATTGTCCATCATAAATATCTCCACTCTTGAATATTATCCTTCCCTTTCCATTTAAGAAACCATTCTAAAACCATCCCATATCTACTCTGCCATTCTTATACTAAATGACACCTAAGCCTGTTAAATCGCATTACAATCCATAAACAGTTCTATCATGATGTATGTATATTTATGGCAATTAGATTTTTAATAACTGATTAAGACTCTCCTTCTAAGGATGTTCTTCATTCACATTTATGCGAATTCCATCTTTATATTAGACCACTTCTTTTCCTCTTTTACTGGTCTTCAGTCCTACTCCTTATTGTTTGCCTTCTTTGAAGGTTCCCTGATATAATTATCCATTTTGATAACACAACTCACAATTTCCATCTGCCTTTCCATCTTAAAACTCTCCCTTGATATACCCACCAACATTAAAGAAATATATTCCAACTCCATGAATTGAATTGTTTCTCCATTCTCCATAATAGAATCCACCAGTATTAAAATGACATGACCCTATCCCATTGGCTTTATTCAATTTGAGTTATCCCCAATATTCTCCGATTGGCAATTTGAGACTCTGGAATTGTTGTGATTTTTCAATTACTTAGGTGATAGAATTCAACTTGGATGAGTTGCGATTCAATGACATATTTTCTTTGCCTCTATATTTCCTCTTAATAAAATCTTGACTCATATTTTAGAGTGTACACTCCTCACTTAATAAACTCATAAACGTTAAATTATAAAATTAATTTTTAGTAATTGATCATTTCAGCCATTAAACTAACTTACCTTCATGCCACAAGCCTCTCTTGGTTCTACCATCGACTGTCACATAAACTCCTTCTCCATGCTAAACTCCCTTCTACCATTATCCTCTAAACTCTTTGCCATCAACCCATTTATACACTCCATATCCATCCTTTTAATCATTGAGATATTCTCCAATATACTTTCTACCATCACTCCAACTATATTCACCATGTCCATTCATCATTCCATCCTTCCATTATCCTATATAGCCTCTCCCATCAATCCAATGATAAGCTCCCATTCCGTGAATTTTATTATTTTACCACTCCCCTTCATAATAACTATTATCCTTCCAGATGTATTTGCCTTTTCCATGCTTCAAGCCTCGATAATATTGGCCTTCATAGTAGGAACCATCAGCCCACTTCTCTTTTCCGTATCCATGTTGGAGATCATTTTCCCATTCACCTTCGTAATAGGCTCCGCTTGGAGATCTCATAACTCCGAAACCACATGCTTTGCTCCATTTCCACTCTCCTTCATATTCAATTTTGTCAGCATGACGAAATAATCCTTTGCCATGTGCTTTGTTATGTTCCCATTCACCATCATATTGGGCTCCATCTGGCCACGCTTGAACTCCTTTGCCATGTCTTTCTTTCCCCAGCCATTAGCCATTGTACAACTTTGCTAATCTTAAATATATTTGGTGTTGTTATACTTTTTTAATTTTGATTCATTGTTCAATCTTCCAAAGTAACTGCCAACTGATTTGCTTCCTTCAGTTTCAAAGCTGGTTTTGACATGGTTCATAACGGGAAGCTTTTTTCTAACTGAATAACCTTTCCAACAAGATTAAATTTTAATAACAGCTCTTGTTTTCTTTGATTTGTCTCCAACAATATCGACAACACTTTTGGTGATGGGTTTAGTATTGATTTCACTTTTACTACTTAATGGGATAGCATCTTCTACAAAATTTTTTGAACTTTTTCTGCTTTAAGATTCCTGGGGTTTTTCAGATTGAATTTAGTGTTACTCGCTTTTCTATTATAGAATTAAAGACAATTACCAATATTTCAATGTCTCTCTTATAACATCCAGCACACTAACCAGTACAATTATTACCCATATATTTATAATATAATTAATACTCATATTTTTATAACATTTTATGTGTTTTCGTGGACATATAATAATAACACTTTTCGTAGTTATCAGTCTAGATTTTGTTCAATTATAGATATATATATCGCTTTGGATTGTGAGACAAACCAACGTCTAGCAATTTGATTCTAATTCCTTCTACGTTATTGGACACTAATTCCAAAAGAAAGGATTACAATTAAATTAATCCATCCATAATTCATCCGTTTTGTACTTATTCAGCATACTATTGAGAGACATCTTTGGATGAATTGTATTGTTTTTAGCATTCTTTAATGGATTATCTCTTAGAATATGAGCTTATTCCATTGAATAACCTCGAGACACTTAAATCAGAACTCCCTGTTAGTGTTCTTAAGGCGTTGTGGAGGTAGAGCAATGCAAGGAAACTAATAAATCTTATGACTTTTCACATCAATCATTAAATTAATGAAATCATACACGATTGACAAAGACTTGGGACAAGGAACATTCAGCAAGGTTAAATTGGGGATTCACAAACTAACAGGCGAGAAAGTAATAACATTATCCTTAATTGAATTTAGGTGGCCATAAAAATCATAGACAAGACCAAATAATAGGAGTCAGATTATGTTAGGATTCATCGTGAAATCTCAATCCTGAGGAAATTGAGACACCCTAATGTGGTGTAATTGTTTGAAGTAAGCCATTTGCATAGTAGATTGTCGAAAGTGACACTAAGTTATACATTGTTACTGAGTATGCTAGTGGGGGAGAGCTCTTCGACCATATCGTAAGCAACAAGCGTCTTGAGGAACGTGAAGCTGCTAGACTGTTCATCCAATTAATACATGCAGTTACTTATATTCATGAGCATTAAATCGTTCATCGGGATTTGAAACCAGAAAATGTACTCCTCAACGAAGGCACTTTAAAAGTAGTTGATTTTGGATTATCCTCGACCTATCAGACTGGGTAGAAATTGAAAACCCCCTGTGGTAGTCCGTGTTATGCTGCTCCTGAAATGTTGCAAGGCCTTTCTTATGATGGTCTATTTACTGATATTTGGTCCAGTGGAATCATTTTATATGCAATGATATGTGGGTAATCTCATTTTCATTAATTTGCAGATGTGTCCCTTTCGAAGATCAAAACACCAAGAGATTATATGAAAAGATCAAGACTTCTGATTTCCATTTGCCTAAGCATGTTAGTTTATAGGCTGGCGATTTGCTCAAAAAACTATTGATGAAGGATCCAGCACAACGAATCACCTTACAAGAAATCAAGAACCACGATTTTATCAAATTTGCTGGCAAATATTCCATTCCTCAACCTCTCAAGATTGACAATGACATTGTTCAATAAATGGTTCAATTTGGTTTATCCACTCAATCTGAAATTATTGAGATGATTCAAGGCAACAAACATAACCAAATAACAACAATCTATTACCTGTTGTAAAATAAAAACCCTCAATCCCAATCGTAATTCTCATCGTAAACCTTCAATAAAATAACATCCCAACTCATTTCGTAGGTACCACCACACAATGAAAATGCTCCTTGTGTATTTAAAATCAAACTCAAGAGCAAATCACCTTATCAATAACAATAAAACGATGTTACTTTAGAGCACATTCCCTAATCTCCAAGAAAAACTCATTTGGAAAATCAACACAATATTTCCATCACAAAAAAAATGTATTCATTTCATGTCTATTCCTTAGCCGAAGCAAGACCAGATCACAAGAACCCATTCAAAAACGAGAGCCCTCACTCAACAACCAATAACCACTCTCAAAGTAAACAAGACAAGTGCACATCGGAGAATTCTTCAAGAAAACTGACCAGGAAGTTAATCAAAGACAAAGTGTCATCCCTCAAGGATATAATAAATTCATTATCACTGAACGTGTCAGCATCCAAAACAATATATCCATATCCAAAATACCCTCTAGATAAGGGAGATTGTCATTCAAAATAGAACAAAAACCTTTGCAGACTCAACCAAACGAAAGCATCAAAGATGGCAAACATTAAAAATCTACCTCAAATACTAAGAAGGCAACTGAACTTAGTTCTAACCAAAAGCTAATCTAAATGGATTCGATAGCTACACAAATTTAAAATAATATTCAGAATAGGTTTCTAATTTACAAGAAGAAAATCAAGTAATGAGAATAATTTAAAAATTTTCCACTTACAATTTCATTGTAATACACACATTCTTTTTTTTAAACTTATAAAATTGTTATAATAATTTTAAATATTCATCATTAAATGACAGAAGTCAAACCTCCTAGAGAGTCTTTGGTCAAATACGAAAATCCCATTGAAGTCAGCAATGCCAATGATGCCTCCAGGACCTTGTAAGGCAAAAAGAAAGCACAACTCTCACCTTTGGAATCTAAGCCTAATACAGAAGTAAAGAGTGCGATCAGAACTTTTAGGATATATTAAATGCGATCCTGCCTCCAATTGAATGGGATCATGATGGAAAACATTATATTCAATATGTTTCACATGTCCCAGCTACAAGGGAAGATGTTGGAAACTTGCAAAAACTATTGGATGAGAGATTGCTGGCAAGATAGGCTAGGTAGTTATGGGTTTTATTAAATAATTTTAGAGAGACTGGAATCTGTCCCATAAGGGAAGAGTTATTAAGTTAATGTTTCGATGAGATTATAAGACAAGTTACAATTGATTGTCCAGAGAGAGGTATTTATAATTCCATCTAACATAGGATTATTATTAATGAGAGTGAGGGATGAGTTGAAAATGACTATTGCAGCATATTAAACATTGTACAATTCCTCTGTTACATTTGGAATGAGAAAATAATTGTAAGCAGAGATGGGCAAAAGTGAATTAGAAGAAAAGATAGTTTAATTAGAGTAGAGGAAATAGAAGTTGGAAGAAAAGGTATCAATGTGCATTAATATTCAGAGGATTGATTTGCTTAATAAAAAGGATTCTTTGGATAAGAAAATTAAAGAAAGAAATTAGATTGAGGAATAAAAGAGAAAATAAGAAATCGAATTTCTCAAATATTAAGGGTAACATTTAGAAGCCTTCTTAAAGTCAGTTTAACCTGAGTTGAAGTGATTGTCATATTATAATAATTATTACAACTAATTTATTATAAATATTATTTACCTTATAGTTATAAATAAATCTATATAATATGACCACTCATATAAATCAGAATAATTAATAAAATGGGGTGGTTGGTTTATTTGTTGTTATTCTAGAATTGAATCAATAATAAATATAGATTAATTTATTAAGCGCATCAGATTTTAATTAAATAACTGAAAATGGGCAATGCGAATACACTTACAGATAAGAAATCAGCAGCCAATTTAAACAAATAATTTATGCTAACTGAAATTCAATAGAAAATACAACTGAGCCTAAAGAAACAGAATATGAAAATAGTTTCTAAATTAAAAGCATCACAAATAAGTACAGAGCCTGGTAATCAATTTAAATTGAATTAGATTAAATATTTACATATCGAATCAATTGTCAATCTGCACGTGGTTTATTAGAAGATTAACCCATTCTTGTTAATAGATGATATAATAGTTAAAAATATATTAATTATTTTATATATGCAAATTCATCCATACTACTTTTTAAGATTATCCTTAAATTTTTAAATCTGAGAGCAAAGACAAATTATTGAAGTCCAAATAGAACATACTTGATTGTTCTTTAGTTAATTATTAAACGTATAATAATGATCTATATAATTGGGTAATAATTTATATGTACTGAAATTGCTATGAATATTAATCACATCACAATTTTGATAGACCAGACAAAGCACAATTTAAATTATTTTTGAGGAAATCGGAAATACTTATCCTCCCTTGAAGTAAAAATAATCAGTTTTAGAGCCATTAAGAAGTTAGGCTAAGTTCAATAGGAAGTTATAAGAATAGGAGAAGAATTAGTATGAGTGCAAATAGTGTGGTTTTAAGGTGAGTAAATAGGAAAGTTATTTATATGGCTTTATTATAAATCCTAAGTATTAATCATCCCCAATTTTGTGGTGTAAATATTTAAAATAATATGTATTTTGTATAATATAAAAATTATGATTATCCCCTTAGGAAAATGGATTTAGAGATAGAATACATTCAAGATTCTTACACATTTGATTTGTGTCACTTATTTCTAGGGGATTACAATTGGATGTTATTCAAAATAACTATCTCATTTGAAACTTAAATTGATAATTTCATTAAATTCATTAAAAATATAATCTAGACTAAATAATACACCCAAGGCTATTTATAGTGAAAACTGTGATAAATGGACTCAGTATTTGCCCATGTTAATTTGAAAATTAAAGTAACTTAAATTGAATGGTTTTACAATTTATTGTTGAATATTGTAAAAATAATCATTCCTTATTGGAAGGCAAATGAGAAGCATAAAGAGAGTTTCAATGATTCCAATATCAAATTTATTGAATTTATGGATTGTTTGTCCAAGTATGAATGATTCAATAATCAATGAAAAAGTGCATGTAAGTATTGAATCCAAATAAGAGACAACTAGACAATATTCACTAAAAACGTAGTCAAGATAGTTTAAGATTAAATATACCATATTAAAAGTATGAAGAGAAAATTAAGAATACCATCATTCCTAAAAGTCATCTGAATACTTTCTTCCTAACGTTTCTATTAAACAAGAGATCGCTATGCTTCTATTCTAAATAATCTAATCCTAATTCTAATCAATCTCCTAATTCTATAAAAAATAGAAATTAAAAATCGCTTTGTGAATCTCTTATAATAGAAGATTAAATTGATTAATATCAAAAGAAATAGCATTATTTGGTTGATTCATTCAAATAAATGATATTTAAGATAAGACAACAAGTAAGGTGGTATAGCGAAATATTGTGTGAAAATTGATTTTAATGGTTAAAAAAATAAAAAAGAATGTTGAATTGGTAGTTATTGAATAGTGAAAGCTATCAAATACTTCTTTTATATTGATATCCTCAACAAGATCCCAATATTCAATTACTCAAAATTAATCAGATTTAGAGTATATCAAATAACAAATGAATACTGTCGTTATCATTATTCTGAATGATACCACTTAATAATTGAAATATTTCGTGAATACAATAAAAAAGCAAGTTGCATAATAGAAGTTTCAATTTCTCTTTTTATTCTCATGGTATATAAACTCTACCTATAGAATATTGATAATTCAATACTATTTTTTGAAACAATTTAGACTCGTCCCCTTGAAAGCACTTTCAAACAGAAATCAATGATTTGAAGATCACTCTTTAATAAATATTGAATATAAGACCTTATTCAGTATAATTTTAGAATCAAATTTTTAGAAAAGAAACAAAACTAACTTTCATAAGAGATTCTAATTCATTAAGGTTTAGAATTTTCTATATATATCTACTACTTTCTAAAAAAGTATGAATTGGAGAGATTTTAATTAAAGTGCACATTAAACCAGATAATATTTTATATCTCTCTTTTCATGTAATCCCCACTAACTTATTGGCAAAGGCAATAATAGAATCAATATATTGCTATCGTTACAATATCCACTAGAAACTGTTCTCATCAATAGCATAATAAACAATTTATTTTTATGATAGCTATTTAATGGTGTTGGATAGTCATGCATAGTATTATTACACAATGCTATGGTTTATATTATATCAATTTTGAAGTGTTATCTTAGATTCTTAGATATTGACAATAATAAAAATTGAAAAAGAGAGTGTAATTATTAAATGGAACTCAATCCAATTGCTAAATAAAATTATAGATAAATCAAATTCGAATCCCATAATAGCATTTTTAATATCACCAATTTCTAAATGAATCTAGGTTGAAAACACATTTACAAAAAAGCTAGCTCTGATTAATTTTACTTAAATACTATTCATTCTTTTTCATAGCTTGATACAACTAAAAATAGAATGAGCGAATTACATTAGAAGGAATGATATTATGATAGTTGTTATTTTTTATATTTTTGTATCATTATATGAAATAGAACCGTTCCAATTGATCAATATAATAAATCGTAATATTTTGTTTATGTAATTGGTTAGATAATATAAAAATTAGGAGTTATGGTCATTTATTGGTGTTTTGGATCGTTTAAATAGATTTCTGGTGGGTTTGTCTTAACTTCTTGATTCATTTCTGGGGAAATTTGAATATCTAGAATCATTTATTAACAGATATTCATTTTAGTCAGAATAGTGATAAAACATGAATATTATGTTCTCTTTTTGAATAATTTAACTTATTGTTTTATTATTGTATATTAATATGAGTAAAAGGCGCATAGATAATCAGATATTTTAATAATTTTTTTAATTTGCAAAATATATATCAGGAACTCTTTGGAATGTCTCAGAAGAAAGCAAAAAGTATGAAAAAAGGGGTGCCAAACTTTTTACTCAAAACCTACAATATCGTAATGGTATTAAACAAATTATACATCTACGAATATTCCTAAATTGATCATCTAAATTTTTGATGATTTTAGGAATTAAATTCTCGAATTATTAAATATATTCAATTGATTTTAATAACTTATAGAATCCAGAGAATGAAGATATTATTGGATTTACTGAGAAAGGCAATGCATTTGTCGTTAAAGACCAAACCAAATTGAGTAATGAAATACTTCCAACCCATTTTAAACATCACAATTTCAGTTCATTTATAAGATAATTAAATATGTATGGATTCAAGAAAATTCGCAATGTTAACAATCAAAATGAATTCAGTCATTATTATTTTAGGAAGAACATGGAGTAACCAAATTCACATTAATCTAGGAACCTGTTAGTCAATATCCCCAGGAGAAACGGAGGAGTCAAGCCCAAAAAGGAAAAATCCATCAAACTGAAAAACCAAAAAGTAAAGCAAATCCAAGAAGAACTGTTCGAAAAGTACACAACCCTGAAATAAGAAATACACAACATCAACATAGAATCCAACTTCATTAGTAAACAAATCGAATAGGTATCATTTTGTAAGGCTATTAGTTCCAAAACACTCAATCCACCCTACTTGAGTCCTACCACTCTTTATTTCTGGAATTTAGCATGATAAAGAGCAAACGCCAAACCTATAGCGATTTATTGTGCCAACTGTTATTTCGATTAACCAGCACTTCTCCTAATGATTAATCACAAAGTTTAAGCTCTCCCATATTATTTTAGACAACATTCAAAAGTTCAACAAGACCAATCAAAACACAATGAGCAACGGGACAAGAAGTTCCGATAACAACAACGAACAAAATGGTGGTTCCAGTAAAGATGGTACTCAACATATCTTTATAAGTAGACACAAATTAGAGCAATGGAAGTAACTAACAATTAGAGGAAGACAGAATAAAGGCTGTATGATTAAAATATGTCTATAATTTATTACTATTAAATCATATTCTTGGTTATCTGAGTATTATTATTTAATTAATTTTATTAAAATAGCTTTTGCGACTTTTGTAAATTTCATACCTTAAAGAATTACAATAACATACTAATTATGAATATTCCTGTTCTGAAATTTCATTAATATTCAAAAAGTATTTTCCATAAGATTTTTCTTATTATATTTGATTCGGTACATCAAAGACTAATTATAACTAGGTAAAAGAGAGATTGGTAATAAATTATTGATTTAATTATAAATTAATTTTTTTAACTCGTAGAAGTAATTATTAAATCAAATAGAATAAGGTCTTTTTAAATCTGTATATTTGATTAAAGCTTAATATCGTTAACTATAATCTTTTTAGTATTCATACAGGGAGACAGCAAATGTGGAAATCCCTATATAAACAGAATTTGAATCTAATGAGCTATCATTATATTATAAATGTGTGAGGGTACAACTTAATAATAATATGTACCTAGAAGATTAAATTGATAAAATATAAATTCTTAACAATTTTATATTTGAAGATCATTAAGTCAATTGTCTACCAATCAACCACTTTCTAATTTCAGTTGTTCCTGCTCCTATTTCATAGAGTTTGGCATCATTCATAATTCTTCCAACTGGATATTCTTGGGTATACCCATTACCACCTAGACATTGAATAGCTTCCAACCCAACTTAAGTGGCATTCACAGAAGTATAATAAATCAATGCTGCACAATCCTAAGAATAGATACGTATATATTACTGTATTGGTTATGTTTCCTGCATCGACAGCACGAGAAACTGAATAAAGCATGGCTCTGCTGGCTTATAAAGTAGTGTACATCTCGGCCAATTTGCCTTGCATTATTTAGAATTGTCCAATTGGTTTTCCAAACTATTATCTAGTGTTGCAGTATTCTCTTGAGACATCAAAAGCAGCTTGCATCAACCCAACAGGTCCAGCAGCCAACACTAATCTCTCATAATCTAATCCACTCATTAAAACATAAACTCCTTTATTGACTTCTCCAAGTACATTTTCTGCAGGGACTTCTACGTTGTCAAAATAGATGGGTCCTGTATCTGAAGATTTCATTCCAATTTTATCTAACTTTTTGCCTCTTGAAAATCCTTTCATTCCTGCTTCTACAATGAAAGCAGTAATTCCATGTTGTTTCTTTTCGGGTTCTGTTTTGGCATAAACAACAATGACATCTGCAACAGGGCCATTTGTGATCCACATCTTGCTTCCATTGAGTATGTATTTATCACCCACTTTTTTGGCAGTTGTCTTCATAGATACAACGTCTGATCCAGCATTGGGTTCACTCATAGCCAAAGCTCCAACCCACTCTCCTGAACACAATTTGGGTAGATATTTCTTTTTCTATGCTTCATTTCCATGTCTTTAAAGTTGAGCTACATTCAAAGCACTATGAGCAGAGTAGCTCAATCCAATACCACCAGAGGCTCTGCTGATTTCTTCCAATATCATACAATGGGCAGAATAGGATAATCCTGATCCACCATAGGCAGCTAAATAATCAGAATTAAGTATTACGATCAACTGTGGCTCCCAATAATCCCAGATCTCCCATCTTTCTCCAAAGGTGTGGTGGAAACTTGCCTTCTTGATCTGCCTTGTCGGCTAACGGTGCCACTTCCTCTGTAGCAAATTTAGTGACATGAGATCGCAATTCTTCTACTTCAGGTGAGAGGTTGGATATGAAATTGAAGTTCAAGAGGGAGAAGCTTGCTCTTAGCTTAATAAACTTTGGAAGCATTTATTATTAATGATATCAATGACATACGTATCATTTTAATAAGTAATAATCAGAGACAAGGGGAGAAGTTAAAACAAATAATTATTAATGATCATTCTAATTCTCTCTAGAATATTATTTAATTAATTTTAAATATGAGACTTTTGGCCATTATCTTTGTTGTCACATTCATCTGCACAGTCTATGCCGGCGGCAATTGCGTTCAGGCATTCTGCTACAATGAAATCAAATAATGCAAGGAAGATTCAACTTGTCAATAACATATCGCCAAGTGCACAAATGACTTCAGAAAGAATGTTAAAAAGGCTTAAGATTCCAAAGCCTACAAAGGAACTGAACACGCATTGGATGATGTAAAATAGGCTGTCAATCATTATGCTAGTTCAATTATTGTATGCGAACTCACTAAGGTGCCAGAGCCATTAACGACTGTTAAGCAAGGCATTGTCTTAAAACCAATTTGATTGGCATCGACATCGAAATAGAGAATTTAGAGAAAATTATTGCATGATCAGGATAACACTAGGCGTTTTTATTCAGATATTATTATTTTTAAATAACAATGATCAGATTTTTATTGTTCCTTACTCTCCTTTCGTTGGTCCTTTCGATCCAAGAAACCGCAACTCACAATGACTGTTTAAATCAATATTGCAATGCAGAAGTAGATGCTTGTCGTAAAGATCAGACTTGGTAATGAATCGAATCATTTATTCTAGCAAGAAATAAATCGCTAATTGCTATCAAACAGCTATGGATGATCTATCGCCTGCTGGGATCTAGAGAAGTAAAGCAGCTGTAACACTCTCAATTAATTAAATAGTATGATTTGTGTTTGAGTACTAATTCTTATGCGAAAGTTTAAAATTTAGCAAAATGCAAGTAGAGAAATTGTCCAAATAAGTTATTAATCATTTGATATAAAATAGATTAATTATATATATTTCTTTAATAATAATAATTAATGCAAGTCAAATATCAAGCAATCATTCTTGGAGGCGGATAACAAGCAGGAAGCATGCTATTCCCACTCTGTCAAGATTATTCAAAAGGTCTCTTGCCAATTTGCAATAAACCCATGATTCTCTACTAATTGGATGTCTTAGAATCTGTTGGATTTGGACCACAGGACATTTTAATATTGATAACCAGAAATCATTAGGCAGTGGGTGATTTAGTTTAGAGAAGGGCAGAAGTAGTTTATGTTAGTGATGATTCTGATTCAGGATCTGCTTTGTTGGAATCATGTGAAAAAATAAAGAAGGATTTCATACTTCTGTCCTGTGACACCATGATCGGAGCCAACATCCTAAATTTATTGGATTTTCATTACTCAACCAAAGCCACCATTACATGTTTGATTAAGGAGGAAGACCTAGATAAAAAACAAGGAAGGGCTCCCATCTCCTGCAATTTAAATGAATCTTTCGATATTATGTTTATTGGCTCAGACCATAGTTTATTACACATCATTAATCAAGAAGATGATGATCAAGCTAGTCTTTCAGTCACTCGAAATGTGTTATTGAGTTGTGAGAGTGTGCAAATTATGACCAACTTATTTGATACTCACATCTATGTATGTTAATATGAAGTGTTGGAATTGTTCTTAAATCTTAATAAGCAAAAACTAGAAATTCAAAATTGGAAGGAAGAATTCCTACCCTACATTGTAAAACATCAAAGGAATGTCAATTTACTAAATTTAATAGCCAAGAAGGAGTAAAGTCTCTTCCAAGAAAGAAAATAATAGCAATTTTCAATTAAAGTCTTCATTACCTAAGATTATGCAAGAAGATTGAACAATATCAAAGATTATCAATAAGCCAATTTTGAAAGCGTGATCAAGGGGAACAAAGGAATCCCACTTTATCAAGGAGTCCAAGACTTTCAATTGTAATACCCTCAAGATGCTCGTATAAGTCCTGACTCAGTCATTGGAGAGGGTACTAGGATTGGCAATAAGGTAACCATATAGAGATCAATTATTGGTAAAAATTGCACCATTGGTGATCATGTTAAAATCAGCAATTCCATTATTATGAAAAACGTAGTCATAAATTCTAAGTATTCATTCATTCGATCCTAATAGTTGCATAATCTAACATTGTATTTTGTCTAATGAATCTGCAGTTGGGCATGCTACAGAATTGAATAAATGCAATTTAGGTAATCTAGCATCTGTAGAACCCAATCAAAAGTTGGTGGATGAATGTATAATTAGGTGAATGTTGTAAATATATATATTGAAATAATAATATTATTAAAATGTGTGTTATTATTTTGATCATTGTCTGTCATCAATAAATTATAATGTGGATAGTACTCGAATCTTAAACGAGCTTACTTAAGAAAAGCGATTAGAATGAGATATAAGTAAAGATAAATTTGAAATTAAATATTTATATATATATAAATGAGCTTCCCAAATTAAGATTATTTAGCCATGCTTAAGAGCAAATAACAACAGCAACAATAGTAACCATTTCAACAATAGTTCTGCTATCCAATGATGTAATTATTTATGGGACTCTCAAAGGACACCACAACCTTGGAATTATTGGATAATGCAACAACAGTTCCAGCAAATGCCTTAGATGTAGATATCTCCCATGTTGTCCTAACAACAAATGATGTCTCCGGTCTCACCTTTGAATGTGTCCATGATTCCATCCTAATTTCTGTTGCAACCTCAGTAAACTCAAAGCAAATTATCAACATCCCAATCTTAGCCACTCCAGAATAAACAATATGTGGAAGTCAATGGCACCAAAGTGAAAATGTATCTGAAGTTGATCAAAGAGGATGATGACTTGCTGGATTACGATGAGATTAAAAGAGAAAAATAAAAAAAAGGCAATTTGACCAATAAAAGGAAATGAATTTTTTTCCTTCATGATAATAATTAATTTATTCACTTACCGTTGAAATTAAAAATTAAAATATATTATGCTTGTCTAACAGCAACAAAGATAGATGCCTGCCACACCCATCCCAGGCAATGCGCGCAAAGTTATAGAGAATTTCAGTTATGCCCTATAAGATGCTATCGGAAAGGGCTTTAGTTCCATTGTCTACAAAGGCAGAAATGACGAAACCCATGAGGTTGTCGCCATTAAGGTGATCGATAAGAAAGGACTCAAGACTCCTTTGCACTATCAACTCCTGAGATCCGAAGTCGAAGCCTTGTCCCAACTCAATTCTCCAAATATCATGAGATTATATAAGGTTTACTACACTGAAAACAATACATATCTAATCACCGAGTTTTGTGACTCCGGCGACTTGGGATAACTGGTAACCAAAACAGGAGTCTAAAAAGAGCAAAACATGCAAAAACTATTCTATGGCATCATCCAAGGTTACAAGTAGATGAAACAACGGGGTATCTCAATTAATCTATTTAATTAGGCATTGTTCATAGAGATCTCAAACCAGCCAACATCCTCCTCAAGGGGTCAGTCCCAAAAATAGCAGACTTCGGATTTGCTACCACTCCACAAACTGCAGCCACCATGCCCAATGTCAACGTTGGATCCCCCCTCTATATGAGTCCCTAAGCATTCAAAAATAGATACTCTGAAAAATCGGACATTTGGGCCTTGGGTGTAAGTCTTTATGAATTATTATTTGGGTAAGTGCCCTGGTAAGCAGGAAGTGAGAGAGAATTAGCATAAAGAATGGCCACTGTTCCAGTGCAATTCCCAGGTCACATATCAGATGAATGCAAGGATTTCATTTATAGATGTTTGATAGTAGATGAAAGCAGAAGAGCCACTGTTGAGGAATTGGAAAACCATATATGGTTGTCGAAATAGGAACTCTAGCCCATTAAGGGGAATGGGTTCTCTAGTATGTTTAGGAGTAATCAACAACATAATCACCCTCATCTCCTTTAGAATAATAATGCTGCAACTCCTTTGGGAGACACTCAGAACAAGCAATCTATATCACTTCAACCCAGAGAATCAAATTATGGCAAAGAAAATGCTGTCATTGTTAAACAATCATAACAGTCAATTATGTAATAACCACTGAAATCCATCAAAAGAGTCTAGGAGTCACGGAAGGAGTCCTAGATTAGCCAATAGATGCATCAAGAGTATTCAAGTCAAAGGGAGGAAGATTGCTGGAGTGATTCTAAGAAGAATGATTACATTATTCTGGCTTAGTTAAATTTCTGTAGGTATTTGTATAGGGTTTCTGCTCTAATGGATAAGCATCGTTTTGTCCAAACTCCTTATTTGAGGGAGAAGCTTATGTTCCTAGTGAACAAGAACATCATGATTAAGATGAATTGTTTAAATGAATTGATGGTGGGGCAAAATACACTTGGACTGGAAAAGTTCTAATAATATATTCAGAATCCTCAGTATACTAAGTTATGTGCAGCCATCCATCAATATAATCAGAAATACACTCTTCAATTCAATACTGTTTGGTTGTCATTGTAAAATCCAGATCAAAAATAATTATTGGTAGTTGATAAGAAATTTGATGCTGTTTTTGACGACAACTTCACTGAATATGAATCCTTCTATATAATTCTGAATTCTATCTTAAGATGTGCCATTAAGGAAATTGAATATTCGATAGAATCCAAAATAGTGATTCAAGACACCCAATAATTGTTGCCCATGGATATTGAAGGGGGAGTAATTCTACTTGACTATTTAATCACCTACTTTTAGTTGGCTTCACTCATTCAAGAATGTTTCGAGGATCCTTATGAATTTGCTGTGGATTCAAAAATTGAATAAATTGCTGATGGCAAACCTGTCCGATTAACCTATGGCCATTATATTGAAATAAGAAATAAAATAAAATAACTTGATATCTGATATATATGTAAAAATATTATTATTATTATTGTTAAAATATATAATCATTGAATTTGATGTCATTTTAGAACCATCAGAAGAATCCTTTCATTTTTTGAACTTACAAATCACTCATATGAATGAATTTGAATCTGTCTATTAGATTAATAACAAACTAATTACATACCAATATCAATACATATTGAATTACTTGGAAGAAATGTTAAATTTAATTCTTAGATTATAAATAATTACACATATTATAAATTAATTGAATTGGATGAATCTAATAAGAAAATATATCTTAATGTGATAAAAAACTTCTAAAATACGCTTATATAAACAAGAAAGGATATAGAAGATTACAATTAACCAAAACAATAATATAATCATAATAATAATAAAATTTATAAAAGAAATATTATAAGCATTATTGAAAAATTAAAGCCAATAAAGAAATTACAGTTGAATTAAAACTCTCACATTTCAATATAGTAATTCTTAATAATATACAATCCTCTAGATAGATGACTTCTGATGAATACATGGAAAGTATTTTTGATAGTTGAACTTAATTTATTTTCAATAAATATATATTATTTATGAAAGGAGTTTCTAAATTGAAATATAGGATTGTGTATTGTTCAGGTGAAGATTAAGACTATCCAGTGACTGAATTACTCACTCAATCACCACAGAGCAGAGGTTGGCAAGCACCCAAATATTGTGAATATCCCCTAGAAATCGCAATTTAATTTGTTAGTGCAGCAAGAGTTAGACAAGTTCAATTCTTGTCTCATCATTGCAAGATATCTACAAAGGTACAATATATTCAAATTGGTTTAGATTGAGCTTTATGTTCACATGCCAGATAAGAATATACCTCCACAATATAATCAAATCAAATATAAGAAATTGGGATATTTATCCCTGGATTCCAATGAGAGAGGAGGATACCAGGCAAGAGAATTAAAAAGTGTATACATAGACACACCATGTTTATTCATGAAATTTGTATTTCAAAAATGCTACGTGAACAAATTTAACCTCTTCAACCAAATTGGTATTATTGCTTTATCCGTCTTTGGTGAACCCCTTGATTCCCCTCCTGGATATGGATAGATGAAATAGAAAGAATTCTATAATGAAATTTAATTTGAAACATAATTCGATCAAAATACTCTTGAAAGACTGCGAATGCTTGAGGAGGCCAAGGACAAAGGTATTTTCAAATTAAAATGAATAGCTGTCTCAAGAGAAGATTTCATGGAAGCCAAAAGAATTAAAGAGGCTATAGAGAGGTTAAAATAGATAGGAGTTCAATTGAGAACTTTGGAAGAGAGAAAGGCTGTGGCAATATAGAATGAAGACTATGATTCAGCTAGCATAATCAAGTAGGAAATAGAGAAGCTAAGAAACGCTGTCGCTCCAGATTCTATGATAAGAAGACCTGATAGTGCAGTAAAAATTATATAATAATTTAGTAATACCAATAGCCTGTGTATTAGCCATAACAATAATTCTAATAGTAATAATAATAACAATAATAATACTATTAATAATAATAATATTAGCCACCTCCTGTTTAGTCTTAAATGGCTTTTGTTCCTCCTTATTAAGCTCCTCCACCATAGATGCCAATATAAGGAGAAGAAATGATCTCATAATCATAATTTGAAGAACAAAGAGCTGATCCATCGTAAATGAGACAAAAAAGAGTAGCAAAAGAATTGAATTAACATCATGAAGATATGATTGTACCAGCTGCGTTAAGAAAGTAAAACAATAACCAATATCCTGATGATGACAAACAGCAATAATAATAATGTATGATGAATTTGTAATTAAAGATACAACTGAGCCTTTGACAGGAGACAGTCTACAAAAAGCTGAACCATTAATTCCAATTTTGACAGAGGAATTCTGTTAAAAAATATTTAGCAAATAATGGGGAGCCAGAGAGGATGGATTAAAATGGCTGGAAGAGTAAATTGGTAGACCAACTTAAGTCAACTCATAAGACCCCTCCATCTTCTTTTTGAGTTCAATAGCATCTATAAATTATACTTTGGGTGATAAAGTTGCGGCAGTTTCAATCAGAAGTTTAAGTGTATTGCAATCTCTACTTGCAAAATATCCAAAAATAAAAATTAATAAAAGTGCAGAATTCAATGAGCATGTCGATGGGATCTTATAATCTCTAATGGAAAAGTTGGGAGAATAAAGAAAGGAATAAGCTGAAAATGCATTCTTATAAATGGCAGATCATCCATCTGTCGGTCCTGCCATTTGTGTCTAGCATTTAATTAAAGGTTTTGTTGGAAAATAAAAACTGCAAAGCTCTACTAAACATATCGTTGGAAGATTGGCTATGTTAACAGAACTAGTGAAGCGATATGAAATCAATAATGCTAATATGCCATATTAACCAATTGTTGATTTTGCTGTGAAATTGTTGGATGATAAAGTATTCTATTATTAAATTGCTTTAGAATGAACCAATTAGAACTTAAGCCATCTTACTCCTGGTAGAAGTGTATAAGTTTTCTGGGAATAGACTCAAGTAATCTTTGACAAATGTAAGATAAGCCCAATTGGATGTGTTAGAAGATTTCTTTAGCAAAATCGATGGAGGTGGGGATATTGACGATCATCAACCTTAAGCCAACTAACAACGAGCAATCATTCAGACTAATATTGAAACTTAAGGAGCCAAAAAGGGAAATCAGAATCAGACATAGAATTAAAAACCATAGTAATAATAAAAATAATAATAATAATAACAATAATAATATGACTAGCATAATACAGCCAAATGCGATTACTGTGATAGAGTTGATCCCTCCTTCAGGGATTCAGATCAAATAGATAAGCACCTTTGGTCAGAATGTCCTATGTTAGTTACATGTTCATAATGTGGACAAGTAATTGAGATAGCAGAATTAACTAATCATTTGTTGAGTGAATGTGATCATAAGAGGAAGTTTAAGAGGTGTCCCAAATGCAAAGAGGCTATTCTATTGAGTGGTTATGACAAGTAAATATTCTATAAAACTTAGACATTTGGAGGATTGCAGAGGCAGGAATGATAATACAACTGTGAGGTGTCCTTTGTGTCATTAAGATTTGAAATTGGAGAAAAACACATGGAAAAATCATTTGATCAAGCAAGGATGTCTAAATAATGAAAGAACTGCTGGTTGATCTAATCATTTATAAATTCTATACTCAATATATATTAATAAATTCAACAATTGATTTTCTATCAAAAGCATCATAAAAATAAAATACTATTAAATCACTTCTATACATTAAAATATATATTTATAAGCAAGATTCATGGAAGAAGATAGACCCGCTCAATTTGCTAGAAATTTACCATATTAAGTTGGAAATGTCCTTAAATTCCATTACTAATTCCCAACATCTTTAGTTATTGCTGACGATGGTTAAAAGTATTACAACTAAATTATTCAACAGGATATTATATGAGAATAATCACAAACTGGTTTATGTAGATTCTGACTCAAGTAGAACTGTTAGAAATTTTACCTTGTTTACGAAATTTATTGGTCTTCTTGATTTGAATAGAGCTAAGTATTTTATTTAAAAAATTTTAGTGATAAAGCATTAGTTGGTTCAGCAGATAATCAAGCAAAGATAATAAACCTCGAGACTGGAGAATGCATGCATGAGTTAAATGGCCATTCACATTTTGTATATATTGGAGGATTTAATCCATAATCTACAATAGCCGCGACAGGATGTTAGAATATGAAGATCAAGATTTGGGATGTTGTATCAGGAGAATTAAACGTCACCTTTGAAGAGCATCAACAAACACCAACAAGTTTTTGCTTTAATGCAGAAGGAGACAAAATCTTATCATCGAGTTATGAAAATGATGCACTTGTATACTTCATTTATTAATTAAAAAGATTTGGGATCCAAAAGATGGCCAAGTAATTTGCAAATTAATCAAACACACCAAAGGAATAGAGGTATGCAAATTTGCCTAGTCTGGATACTTATGTGCAACAGGGGCGCATGACAAGTTTAATAATATCTTAGTATTTTTAGTACTGCATATGTTTGGGATATAAGGAATCCAGAAAATCCTCTTTTTAGACTGTTAGGGCATTAAAATTATGTAAAAGATTTAGCCTTTAATTAATAAGGTATTGATTTTATATTCTATCTTCTAGGTACATAAATTGTCACAGGCTCCAACGATAATACAGGTAGAATCTACAATTTGACTGATGGCAGTTTTGTTCAAGAGTTAGATAACTTTCCAGGTTAGGTTTATGCAGTTAGCTTTAATGAAACTGGTGATAGGATTATTGCAGCTAGTAATCAGAAGACTGTTCAGATATTGTAATATTTGTTTGTTTCTATTGAATAGCGACAATTAGGGTGTTTGCTTATAGTAGATAAGAGGAGAAGGAAACTTTTATATCAATAGAACTGGAAATACATTTGTGACTTTCCCTAAGTCCATTGAATCACAGGCCAAGGTCTGGAGAGATGCAAGAGCTAGGAAGAATTGATATCGATCATATTTAGTAAATTCTGAAAACGTATTGTTTTAATATACTATTTTTGAATTCTACTGCTTAAAAAATCTCTTAATTAATTAATTAACGAATGTATTAGTATGTGGAAGGTGCCAAATTTATCCAAAATCTCCAAAAACTGGATTGGAAGATAGGCTATGATTAATTAACAATAGGAGAATAATTAGCTCAGGAATTATTAACTGCAACCAACATCAAAAGTGTCAATTTTAATGGCAATGAAATTGTGAAAGGCAATACATTTCCAGTGGTATATGAAGAGGCTTAATTAAATAAATCAATCATATAATTGCTAGTGTTAAATGGATAAATTAGTATTTATGGGCCTTAGCTCAATTTCTAAGTTATTGACCATTAATTTTAATACATTTAGAATGAAGCATTTTAAAATCGATACAACATGACATCTGGAACTATAAGTTTTGATGATAGACAAAGAATTATACTAAATTCAGAATAATTAGTCACTGGCATGTGGAGTTGTGCTTCTCTCTTAAATTTACCTAAAAATTAACAGTTTATTAACTGTCTTCTTAAATTTATAAACACACAAAAGGGCAATAAGAGAATCAAATTTACTAAGCAGGATTCCTTCATCCTTGTTAACTTTGATGTATCTCCAACCTGTATATTGGTGTCTTTGGGAGATCCAACACTCAAGTTAATTTATAAGCAAAAGGTCTATAGATTGTGGGAGAATTTCTTAAATAAGAACTCATTTTCATCGGATCTTCAATTTTCAATTAATGAATATGATCAGTTGGAAAATCAGATCTCAACACTATAATAAGAATACTCTAGTATGTTGAAAGTGTTATCAGAGCCCTCCAATCAATTAATTGATAGTGTTCCCAATAAAACAAGTCTTTTAATCTTATCTAAATCGAACCATCAAACTAATAATCACAATTCAATAATGAGCCATTAGTTTTAAGGTTTGCTTTAGGTAAGCAGCTAAAAATTGTTTACCGGCAGATCACATTTGGATACAAAACGTGGTTACTATTTATCAGCAGGATAACTTTCGGAAAATTCATTTCTTTAAGATATTCCTTTAATCAACTAAATTAATTAATGATTTTATTATTCGATTTTTAATTAACTAATTTATCTATTAAAAAACAAATACTATATTAAAATAATATAAATGGAATATAACATAAGATACTATTAATTAAAATAGAGAAGAATGCAAAGAAGCAATTGATTATATTTAACACAATTTAACAAAAATAAAATTTAGTTAAAAATTAAAGCATATAGACATTTTGGGTATTATAAAAAAATCTTAATTAGAATTCATGTTTAAAAATGTTCGAAATGATTTCCCCATGCCAACATATACATTTATTCTGCATCACTATCTTATTAGGGTCTTTGCATAAATATATTCTTGACATTTCCTTTTAAGTAAAATCTGTCTAATGATTTAGTACTAAAATAAACATTCCCTTCCCAATGACTTAGTGTATTACCTGCATCATTGAATATTTGAAATTCATTCAGGGTATCGTAGTAGTAGGGTAAAGGAGTTTAGTAATGAAAATAAAGGTCAAAGAGAGATATGTATTCTTTTGACTTTATTAAATTTTCCACAATAATAGGTTTGCGTCTGATATTGAAATAAAGATAACCATAAAATTACATAAAGATGCCTGGAGGTGTATATTCTCCCTTTTATTCTATTTAATTCAAGACTTCTTTAACAGGCACGAAGATATTCTGTAAACATCTTTCTGCCTCTATTGCGTGAGTAATTCTGTAATTTAATTTTGATTTTCTCATTGGATTCTTTTCAAATTAGTTTGATTTCAAAAAGAATTTTTCATCAGAATAAAATAATTCGGGACTTACATAGTAGAATTCTAGATCAGGAAATATAGTATAATTGAATAGCATATCAAGAGAATTGCACTTGGGATCGAATCGTAACATAGTGTGATTGATATTTGAGTACATTTATTTGATATTATCTATGTCTTATTGATGTCTTAATTACGTTTATTATCTTAAGATATTAATTTATTAGTTGTTAATCACTTCCTTTTACAACTCTGGGGCCTTTCTCAACATTGTTATATAAAATGCAATGCCACCCATAGCAATACTGCAAAAAGCAATTAATGTGTATATCTATTACGGATTTGTTTTTGTCCCTTAATGACCTTCAAATTTTCTGTTGATCTTTATATCAGAGAAATCTCGTTTTTGATATTGAGATTCTGTTTGATTATCATAGGATGGATTTTTTTATTGCTTGAATTTTTTTAGCATTTCTTAATATTAGTGTCTTTTTTATGCATTTTCAGGCTTATAGTATTCTTGAGGTTTTTCATGAAAATAGAAGCCAAATACATCCTTAAATAATTATTCTTCTGATTAGGCAGAATAGTAATATTATTTAAACTCTTCTTTCAATTACTCTTCAAATTTAGTTTTCTTCAGAATATTGTAAGCTTCAGCTATTCTTTTAAACTTTTCATGAGAATCATGTGATTGATTAATATCAGGATGATCTTAAAGCATAATCACATTTCTTACATTATTTACTCAATCGAATATAAGCATCTTTGATCTCTTACATAGTTGCTGAAGAATTGAGACCTAGTTCAACATAAGGATCAAATTATGTTGTCGAAAATTGAAATTGCCGAAGCTTATAAAATAATCTTAACATAATTAATTCATTTGAAAAATAAATTATATATTTAATTATAAATATTGATTTCGTTTTTATTAGACAATTGAATATTCAGTTTTAAACGATCTTTCCTAATTTCTATACTCTAATACAAGTAAATATTTTAATTTTAACATTCTTGTAAAGTCAGAAAATATTGTAAGGCCTCCTAGTAGATTTCTTTTATATTCCTAAAGAAAACAAACAAGGAGGTTTAATATACAACCTATTCAAGCAGTTTAAATAAATGATATCAATTTTTTTAGTGGTTCATTCCTCTACATAGAAAATGACATAATATTTAAAAATTCGTTATTGTTTTTTAAATCACTTAATCATAAATTTAATTAGTACAATAAAATTTAAATTAATTATAAACACTTACGTTAATTCAAAGCTTTACGTTAATTCAAAGGGATGTTTTCCCCGTTTTTCAAGAAAGTTGCCTCAAATACTAATGATAGGTCAATACAATTAATTAATATTAAATGAAGGCAATATTTGGAATATTAGCTATTATTGTGATAACATAAGCAGGATTTGTGTAAAAATATCCATTGAACTACTCAAATAAAAGAAACATTATGTCAATTATGACAGAAGTTGAAAGCAAACTCAAAGCCAGAAATCCACTTGACTCAATCAAAGGCATTTTGAATGCATTCAAGTCAGAAGTTGCTTCAGAATAAGGAATTCATGATGAAGTTTATTATGCTTAAAAAACTGAATGCGATAGTGAAATCGATTACAGATCAAAGGAAGTTTAAGATGCCAACAGCATACTTACAAGTGCTAATGGCATTTTAAAAACAGCCAAAATAATCAAAGGCAAGTCCAGTGCAACACTTGATGCTACTGAAGAGATTTTGAACACTGCCACAAGACACATCGAAATGATTAATTCAGCCAGAAAAGAAGATACTCAATCCTACAATAGAGCTGCTGTATCATTCAATGATGCAATCAACGCTATTGATGACTCAATTGATTTGGCAACAGCTTTAGCTAAGGGATAAATCAGTTTGGCTTAAGTAGCTGAACTCTCAACTAAACTATTGAAATCAGCTTTGACAACAAAATTAATCTAAGAATTTAGACAACCAATGGCTGCTTTGGCTGCTATCACTTAAGAAGATGATGCAAGTGCTGCTGAAAGACTTGTTTAGTTACTCCAAACTTTGAGAAGCGCTGTAGAAACTGCATGGACAGACTATACAACTTAAAATTAATTGGCACTTTAATAATTTATGGGTCAAAAAGACTTGTACACTACCACTTAAGAAAGATTAGACAAAGCTAAATCAAGATTGGTTGCTAAATTAGAAGCTAATGAAGGAGTTATTTCAGTATAAACTGCTGTTGCTTAAGCTGCCATAAACAGAAGATCAAGAAATCAAAACTTATTGGAAGATGCAAATGACTTATGCCATAGTTTTGATGTTGAATATGAAGCCGTCACTGCAGGAAGAAGATAAGAATTAATCTTAATAAATGAGTTAGAAAGATTGGCCACTAGAAGAGCTGCTGAATAGTAAAGTTGATTTGTTTTATCTGTTTTTTTTCATTCGCTTAAAATTTTCTATGTGGTTAATAAATTAAATCATAATTAATAATTAGGATATTAATAATAAATCAAGCATTCAATAATTTATCTTAAAGATTTCTAAAATAAATCAAATTTATTACTGTTGTTAATTCATTTAATTCGTAATTTATTGCACAATTAACTATTATTATTTTTTCCCATATTTTTCAAACATTGTTTCATTCAAATTTAATTCTTTTTAAGGGGCTGTGTTCACTATTTACACTAATTTTTGTTTCAACACTGAATTATTTCTCTCTTTATCAACAAATAAAATTGTTTCAAAATGAAAGAAACTAAATGCCTTTTTTAGACTCTCTTCATCTTCAGTTTGGTTTTCACTCAGTTCAAAGTTTGTAACCAATAAAAAAAGGGTAGAATTAAGCTTTTTCAAATATTTGATAGTTTTTAAGATCTTTTATTTCATTAAATCTGTCCTTTCAAAATTAACCAATATTAAAAATGCACTAATAGAATTTTGGTTTTTTGTAAAGAACTCTTAAAATTATTTGATTCTTTTCTCTCTGGTTTCTATATCGGATTCTAGATCAAAGTCAGGAGTGTCAACAAGACAAAGTTCTTCAGAGGTTCCTATTGTAAACCCTTCATATGAAGAAACATTTTTGCATTATAAATAATTATATGTCTGGGTCTTACCAACTCCAGCCTGTCCTATTAACACTAACTTTTTTATTGAATCGATACGGTAGTTTTTATAACCTAAATAAAGCAAATAAAGTATTATTCCAATTGCTAGAATCATGATTAATGATCCACACACAGGTACTAAAGTTTCATTCACTGTAAGAATAATAGTCATTATTAGAATTATTAGTGAAAACACTATGAATGCCATGTAATTCCATTAAATAGGTAATTTCATTTTTAAATAATGTTTAGCATTCACATATTATTTTCTTTTTCGCCTACTAATTATTTAATAGAATTATTGTTATCTAATTAATAAATTATAATTATCTATTACAGATTATTTATTTATATCATTCAAATTGATTAAATGAATATTATAATATTGAATAAAGGGGTATTTGATGAAGTACATTGAAATATGTTTAAAAAATCAAGATATAAATTATATTAATTAATGGAGTTGTTCTTATCAACAGATTTAAATTCATAATTCCTAACACTTTTGACACATTACACTAGATTGGTTTCAACAGGAAGAGTAAAACTAGTGGTGCTATCAAATCAAGCATTAAAATTAAATGAGGAAGGCATAATTAAAATTCCTTCCATTCCATCATTGGTAACAGAAGATGCCTAAATTTTAACAAATGTTTTCTCCATTGCACAGTAATGATAAAAAATAGCAATATAGATACTTAACCAATATTTCATTTACAGAAAGAATTCTCATTGGCGCTGATAATTAAACATTAGGGCAAGTACAATTTGATGATAAAATAATAGGTGTTATAAGTTTTCGAAGCACAAAGAAAGATATAAGGAGAAGAATTAGTTGAAGTATTAGTAGTGTTAAATTTAGGCTTTTTTGAAACATTTAGAAAGTAGAGTATTTTTCGTTACTAATCACGTAACACTAGCAGATTTATTTCTATATATTCATACTTATGATGTAGTGTCTACTTGGAATGATGAACAAAAAGCTGGAAAGTATGTGCATTTCTTTAGATGGTATAATTTTATATAATAATTCTTTATTAATAGGTTTAAGTAAGTTCAAGCTTTGCCATAAATAGCTGAAATAAACAGAACTTTGGGTAGAGTTGACGTGAAACCAGCATCTCCATTTGTAGACATTTAGTCTATTGGTAAATAAAAAAAACAGAAATGAGATTAAGTAATATTCCTATTAAATATTAGAAAAATGCAATTGATATTTAATTCAATCATCATGGATGTTATCCTCAAATTAAAATTAATTAAGTTGGTAACATTCTTCCTCTTATTTTAACTATTATTTGTATTTTTTGTTCTCCCTACACAATTTTCTAATGTAACCCATCTTTTCATTTTTCTTGTCCTCTAAATTAACTTAAATTAGATTAACAAATCTACCCAAGGTTTCCGCCTTCCTTAATAGATAGTAATAATCCTCTAATGTTTTTCGTGGACAGCCAACAATCTCTGCCGCCTAATCTAATGTGATTCGAACAGATCTGCCATCCACGAATTTGGTTTCAGCTTAATAAACTTATCTACATATGAAAGAATGAACAAAACCTCCATAATTTAACTAAATTCATTGCTTCACTAACAAATCTCTCCTTTGTTCTTTATCTAGGTTATTATTATTACATGATTATATTAATAAATAATAAACTCTTTAAATATAACTAATATAATAAATCACTTCTCTTCTGCCTTATATCTAGGACTGTGCATCATTAATTTCTACTTCTGACGGTCAAGTTCTCTAGCTAGTTTTTATTATTGCATGAATAATTTTTCTTTTTCATCCTTAAATTATTATGCTTTATTTAGTTTCTCTTTTAGCTTCTTATTTTTAATGTCCACCATTTCTTTTAAGATGCTTTCAGCTTTCTTTTTATGATCTCGTATCAGTTCTTCTTTTTTTTGTTTTTCTTGTTACAATTTAATTTTAGAAATTGATTGAGTTTCTGTAATAGATTTTAGATGTTCTTCTTCCTTTTATCTAATTTTATCTTAAAAGGTTTAGGATTTGTTATTTTAAATACTGCCATTTCTTGATTTTATCTCAATATAATAATAAATAGTACATTCTATCTATGTCTTGCCTTTTCTTTTTCTATTTTTTCTATTTTTTCTTCTGTAAATTTCATTTTTTCTGAAATCTAATTGATTTTATCCTCTAATAGAGATACTTTCTGTTAAGCTTTATCACTCTTTTCAGCCATTATTTTCTTGTAATTCTCCTACAAATATCAAAATAATATATTAACCATCACTCTCTTTAGTTTTTCCATTTTCTCCTTTTTCTTTTATTCAAGCTATTCTATTTTAGCCTACTAAGTAAGTTCAATCTCATCTAACTTTTTCTAATATTGATCTATTTTCTATTGTTTCTCTTATTAATAAGATTGTTTTTCTTCCTCATTTCTTTGCCTTACTTTTTTTAATTGCTTTTTTTTCGCTTACTTTAATTCTTTCAATAATTATTCTTTTCTCTCTCTCAAATCTTTAATCTGCTCCTCCTACTCCTTCTATAATTTATCCAATTGTATTTTCTTCATCAAAATCTCTTCTTATTATGTATTTATTATTCCTTAAGCTATTCTTGCATAAATATTACTTTTACTTTTTTACTAGAGACGGCTTAACCTTATCTGCAATTGGGCTTTTTTAAATGTTTTTATTGCTATGTAATTCGTAAAGAATCAAGTCTCGACTTATTTCCCTTTCTGTCAATTCTTTTAATTTTTCTTATTCCATCTTTTGCACCTGAAGTAATTTTTCCTTCTCTTTTTCTTTTCTTTTTAATTCTATCTAGATGATAATTTTAATGAAATAGACTCACCATTTATTTCTTCTCCTTTAATGCTAATTCCACTTATTGTTATTTTGAACGTGTCGATTCTAAGATTGAATATTTTCTTCTTTCTTGTTCTGTTTGTTATTGCTCATACAATTTTAATTGCTCCAATTCTCGTTCCTCTATTAGAGATTATCATACCTGTTTCTTCCTCATCTTTGCTAGCAATTTATCTTCCTAGTTGGCTATGTACTCATTTTCATCTAAGAATGCGAATAATAAAAATACAATTGATCCCATCGGTTGCTTTTTTCATGATAAAAAAAATAATATAAATGAATAATCAAGACGATAAAATTTCTGTCAAATTATATATGGCCGACTTATGTTATAATTAATGTGTAAAATCATACATGGAAAAGATACTGACTCCATTTGAGAAGGAATGCATGATGAAGTGTCTAGAAAATATCTAAGGGTTGAGAATTGAGTTTTATAATGCATTTAATAAATCATGAAAATTGATTGTATTCCTTAACTACCTCAATAGGCATAGATTAATGGTTATAATATTTCAATTTTTATAATCCTTTTCATTTACATAAATTAAAATCATGCTTTTATATTAATATTTTGCTATAACCTTGAATATTTTTTATATAAAATATATACAGAAAAATTAAGTGCATTTTTCAAGAAATTTCAAAAAATTAAATAAAATAAAAAAGTCATGAACACCCAAAAAGACATCATAATTACATCTAGATTGGTCTAATGTTTTCTCATTGAAGGAGTATTAATTATGAGTTGGTAGTGTTTATGTAAGAAATTCTAAAATTTTCTAATATTTTGTAAAATATGCAACTAAATATTAATATGATAAATAAATATTAAAATGTCCAAGTTATTAAAAATAAATGGATAAAAAAATATTTAAATTAAATATATTAAAATATTACACGTTTTTGAAAAATTAATTATTATTTCTTTTACACTACAATCCGTTTTTAATAGGGGAAATGTTGTGGTATAAAGGGAACTGAAATAAAAAAGTATAAATCAATTATTAAAATATGAAAATTGCATTCACAATCTTGGTTGTCTTAGCCATAAGCAATGCTACAATGATGTCAAAGCATCCACTCCAATATGGTGGTAAGAGAAGCATCATGAACATCATGGTTGAAGTTGAAAACAAGATCAAGGCTCACTCACCATTAGATTCAATCAAGGGAGTTCTTAACTCATTCAAATCAGCAGTTGCAGAAGAACAAAGTGGACATGATGATGTCTACAATGCATAAAAAACTGAATGCGACAGTGAAATTGCCTACAGAAGAGCTGAAGTTGAAGACGCCAATGGCACACTCAAAATTGCCAACGGAATTTTAAAGACTGCAACCATCTTATTGAAAAAAACTCAAGCAACCCTTGGAGAAACTGAAAACATTTTGAACACAGTCTCCCTACACATCACTTTGATTAATGATGCCAGAAAGGAAGACACCCAATCATATAACAGAGGAGCTGTTACCTTCAACGATGCCATTAATGCTATTGATGATTCCATTGATCTTGCAACTGCTCTTGCTAAAGGACAAGCATCTTTAGTCCAAGTCGCTGAAATGACAACTAAATTAATGAAATCAGCTATTGCTACCAAAATGAACAAGGCATTCATGTAAGCTATTGGTGCCTTGGCTTAAATTACCTAAGAAGAAGATTCAACTGGTGCAGCTGAAAGACTCGTTTAATTGTTGTAAACCTTGAGAAGCAACGTTGAAGAAGCATGGGCCTCATACACTGCCGAAAACACTACTGCTTTGGGTCTTTTCGCTTAACAAAAAGATCTTTATCTTGCTTCATAAACAAGACTTGATGACGCCAAGACTCATTTAAGCAGCAAGGCTGAAAACTTACAAGGAACTATTTCCACTTAAACTGCAGTTGCTTAAGCCGCTACCAATAAAAGATCCAGAAACTAAACTTTATGGGATGATGCTGCAGATTTGTGCCACAGCTTCGATGTTGAATATGAAGCCGTCACTGCAGGAAGAAGATAAGAATTAGTCTTAGTCAATGAATTAGAAAGATTGGCTGAAAGAAGAGCTGCAGAATAATAATGATGTAAAATACATAAATATTTTTGTCACATATTAATCATTTTTATTTTCTAATATAAAATCGCACAATTTCATCAAAGAATTTTGTAGCGAACAATAGATTTCGTTTAAAATTAGAAATTTCAAAATATTAATGAAAATGAAATCTTAAATTATGATTAGGACAAAAATATATTTGAAAAGGAAGTTGTTCAGAAATTTATTTCTTATGCAAAAAATAAAGAAAAATTTTAGAATGACCTAGAATTAAAATGATTACTGGGAATAGAACGGAAATTATATGCCACTGGATTAATTTAAACAAAATTGTTTTTCTTTTATTACCATATATATTCATACGAATTTTCAATTCCTTTTTCGCAAGTATCGAAAACTTGATAAATATTACTTAATTTTTATGAACTCAGACAAGGTTGACTTTTCATATAGATATATGTAATGCAACCTACCTTTATAATTTCAGTATTATTTCATTTTTAATACTTATGTAGCTTATTTCAAATGGAATATTACATCAGTAAAATGTTATATTGTCTCGTTAAAAAGTCTCGAACACTTCACCTTAATAATCACATTTACTATTTCTATCTTTGTCTTTATGATTCTCTTTATGAATTTTAAGAAATATTGCTGAAAAAAAATATCAGATATAATGATAGATAAGTAACAAGCAGATTATGACAATAATAAAATCACAATAAAATTACATAAAAATTTTTATCCTTGCGCAAAATCTAAAATTTCTTTAAATTTAAACAATCACAACCACCTGAATAATTAACTTTGAAACTTCAAATTGATAAAATAATAATATATGTTGTATTAAGTAATAATACTATTACAAAAATCTAATAACTATCAATAAATTCATTCTTAAATGCAGAGATAATATCAGAAATAATTATAGCAATTAGTCAATTTAATATACTACCAATTATAAAGAATTACAAAAATGAATGCATAATAATACATAGGAAAAAGGCAAATAAAATATCACAAATTAACTTAACATGTTAAATTTTACAAAAAGGAAAGTCAAAATTTAATGAGATTGGTCATAAAGTTGATAAGATTAAACAAAAATTTGGTTAAAATTATGAAATTGAATAAAAATTTAAAGATTAATAAATTCTTTAAATAGTAGAATTTTCATTTATAGAGATTAGCTATGAGATATTGAAATAGCAATTGAGATTTCAATCGGACTATTCCTACAACGAATAACTATAATAAAAGTGATTATAATTGTTACTTAACCTAAAGAATTATTCATTTACTGATTCTTGTAGGAATTACTTATGCTTCATCTTAGAGAAATTAACAATTTACACATAAGTAAGACACGTAAAATGCAAATTTAGTGGGAAAAATATAAACAAAGTCAGAATAACATTAACTTTATAGCTACCACCTCGATAAGAGTTAAATAACACAGCTTTAAAACTAAGGTTTGAGTTGAGTAAAAATAATCATGAAGATAATTAAGCAGATTAGCTTGTTTAGATAATTAGAATTGAAGATTAAATGAGATGCATTTGTATAGTTTGAGTAATAATTTTAGAAAGTACAGCATATAAAAATTACATTTGCAGCAACTTAGTACATAAGATATACAAATTATTGAATTATATATAAATAAAATTTAATTATTTAATATCTAGATGAGTGTTAGAACCTCGTAGAAGCCAAAACAGAATAGCTAACAAGACCAGGATCCTTAAATACAAATAGCCAATTTACAAAGAGAGAGAGATTAATTGCAAAGCTAACTAAATTAAGCCAATAATAGATTAAAGATTTTTGAGAGAGACAGCACATTAAAATAGAAAAAGATAGAGGATATTCAATACTAATTAGATCGATCTTTAACTTAAAGTCAACAAGAAATAAATGTGGATAGATTAAATTAATCGTTTTAAGAAGACGATGAAAAGAGAAAATTAAAATAATAAGTGTTGGATCTCCAAGCAGCAATAAAATAGCTGCAATAGAAACCATTAGATTTTGATAGAGAAATCACAAGATCTGTTGTTCAGAGGGAATCACTTTAATCTGATTTCAGTTCTGCAAATCAAACTATCAAGCAATTATAAAATAAAATTGATGATTTGTAAAACTAATTAAAACAAAAAAACAGTTTATAAATTGATACAACAAATTAACACATATTAGATTTATAGGATAGATTAGCAAAATTATAGATCTAATGTGATAAGCAAGTGATTAATATTAATGAATTAAACTAAAATAAATTGGCATAATAAAAAGAAATCGATTCCCTTAGAAACGTGATTAATTCACAATCTTTAACCCATAAATAAGAACAATCTGAAAATGAATTGAGATATTCTAAAGAAAGTCAAGTACTGTCCCTTAATTTAACAAATAAAGAGTCAGCTCTTATGACTACTGAGTAAAAATTAAAGTAAACTCAAGAATATTTGTATTAATTATAGAGAAAATATGATTAAGACACACTTTAATTGAGAACAGAAGTTTAAGACACAAAAGACTAAAGTAATAGATTTAAGGATTAATTGGACCTTTAATCAAAACTATTAGAATAAGTACAAAATGAGAAAGCTTAGTTATCTATGATGTACGAAAAACTTTAATTGGAAACAAATGCTTTGTCATTTTAATTGTAATAATAATTGAAAAACGGGGAATCAAAATATTTAAGAGATAGTACAACTCTTCAATAACAAATAACAGAGAAGGAGCTTAAAATATTGGAATAGGATAAATAGAAAAGAGAATTAGAGAACAAAATATTTTCATTATAATAAAAATTAGATCAAGACACATACAATTTTAATAATACAATTAAGGATTTATAGGACTAAATAAGCAGAACCTAGAGGCAATTAGATGATAAAACGTAATAATTTAATTAACTCCTTGAAGAGAAGCAACAATTATAAAATTCTTATTTATAATTATAAGAAGAAATTTCAATTTAGAAGCTTAGATACTAGTAGGAGTTGAATAAATTGGAAACTTAATAAAGTAAAGAAGTTTAATGGTTCTAATAATAGCTCAATGATAGAAATTAATTGTTAGCTGAATTGGAAGCTAAAATCAAAGCAACAAATGAACAATTAATAGGTATTCAGAGAAGATATGATCAAGAAGCTCATTTAAACAATCAACATAGTGCTATACAAGATGATTAGATCAAAAACTTGTAAGATTAGATTGATTAAAAAGTACTTTAGAATACTCTTTTAAATTAAGATAAACAATTATTAAATTAATAACTAGACAAATTAACATAAAATTACAATGAATTGAAAGGATAATATAATAACGATACTGATAAATTGAAAGAAGAATTGCAAAAATCAAGAAATTAATATAATGATAAACAATAAGCTTATTTGTAATTGGATAATAAGTGTAAATAATTAAACGAGGAATTATTATAATTATAAGTTAGATTTGAAAAGGAAATTAATTTGATGAATATACAATTTTAGAAAAAATAACAGGAGTGCTAGACATTACAAGATTAATTAAAATAAGAATAAATATAATCTTATAATATGGAATAATAAAATATAATTTTGAAAAATTAGGTAAATTAGTAAATGGAAGACATAAGAAAAAGGACTGAATAACAACTAACAGAGCAATACTAACAATTGACAAATGAATAGAAGGCTCAGTTTAATTTATTAGTAAATTCTATCAATTAAGAAAACTAATAATTGAAATATGAGATTAATTAAAAAGGAGACAAAATAAGATAATTGGAAAATGAGATTCAGAATTTAACAATAGGAAATACAAAAAACTAAATTCTCATATCTGAACTGTAAACTGCTAATCAACAATAGAAATTTTAATTGAATGAATAAGAAGCAAAAATAAGATAGCTCATTATGCAAGACTTTGACTCAATAGTATGATACTTATATATATATTTTAGAGAGACAAATCAGCTGATTAGTAGATTAGAAACTTGATGGGCGAAGTCAAGATTTTACAATAAAAATTGAAGAAGAATGAACTTTATGTATAAAATTTGGAGGATTAACTATAAAAAAATAGATGACATAATTTGATATTCAATTTATAAAGATTTAAAATATTATAATATCACAGACTTAAATTATTGTAAATACTCCAACTTCTTATTTGATCACACCACTGTATATTTTATTTAAAATAATTTCAATTTCATAATATTGGAGGATATTAGATTAGCCAAAATATCAATCTTCAATGGTGAACAATCTTAAATACGGTTTTTGAACCAAAATTACGCACAAAAAGGACTCAAAATCACCTAAAGATTAATTGCACCAGTAATTTCTAAATTAAAATATATTTTAATTTATTATATAAAATTTCTGGATATTATAATGGTGACTTATTAAAAATTTGAATTTGGGAAAAGTTTTCATAGTGCATAATAGAGACGGTAATGATTATCAGCCATTGGCAATGATTTCAATTAATACATATTATTTTTCACTGAGTGGATTTCACTCTAAATTAATATTTTTAAATAGATATGCAGAGTAGCTAGAAAAATGAGAATCTTAGCAGAAATCCCAACTCTTAAAAGAAATAAGAAAAGATTGCCTCTAGATTAACATTTCTCAGACTTGTTTTATGTGATAAAAGAACCATAAGGGCTTCTGCTTAAATTTGTAAGATAAACTTTTCAACAGCGAAAGCCATACTAAATAAATTTAGAAGGCACGGCGTTCTTTAAGAGTCTAATAAAGGTTCATTTATGAAATAAAGTATAGATTACGATGGTTAACTTGATCTACTAAGATAGATTGTTTAAATCCAGAAAGGTATTAGATGTGAGCAGATCTCTAAAATGCAATAATGCAGATAGAAATTGAATAACTAGTTATAACTATTTCTTTAGAAGAATTAAATTTAGAAGGATAGTGAGTAATTCAATATCTAAATGGATAAAAATGTGCTTGAATAACAACTCAGAGAGGAAAAATAAAATGAGTATAATTTATTAAGGTAAATATTAGAATAGTAAATACTTTTGATAAATAAAATATGTCGATGATTTTGATGCCACTATTTTATGTTTATTTTAATATTAAATATCTTGATGTTATATTGATGAAGGTAGCAAATATAAAAATTATAATTCAATAATTTATAAAGTTTATTTTGGAAGGTTGATTAAAGTAAGATTCAAAATAAAGTTTGAAGTATATTTACAGAAATTCTGTATTCATTACTCACTATAAAATTTATAAACTTACTATAATATATTATAAGATTAAATTCTAAATTAGGAATAGTTAAAGCAGGAATTTACAAATAATTTTTATAATATTTTATATTACATCTAAACCAATCATAAATTCATTTTATTCTGAACTATTGTTTTATATAAATAAAACCTTACATTTTTATATATTATAATATTAAATATTTATTCGTTAAAACAACAAGATGAACAAATACTACATAGATAGTGGGGAAAAGCAATTTTAGTAATCCAATCGAGAGGTCTTGAAACAATTAGATGTCACTAACAGGTCAGAGGCTTCTTTGAAAACCTCAGTGGTTTCATTTGCTTGTGATCGAGAGAACAAGTATGAGATCGAGGATTACAGGACTTAACTCGAAGAATAGTTGGCTGAAAATATTGAACTCAAAAGAATGTTAATGGACGAGATAGAGAAAAATAAAAGGATGGGGGATATTGATAAATCATCTCAATTTTTAGAGTAGCAGGACAAATTTGCGTAGATTCTCAATAAAAAGGACAATGAGATAACAAATTTAAACAAACTATTAAGACAATTGGAAATTGAAGTATTTGATTATAATATATATTATAGAACAAACTATTACACAAGGATGATTAATTAGAATCTTCAAGAAGAGTGGAAAAAGAAAAGCAATTAGAAAAAAAGATTATTGAATATGAACATAAAATAAATTTGGTATTAGGAGAGAATTCAAAATTGAATTAAGTATTTATATGACCATCAATAGATTTTATAAGAAAGGATTACTCAAATAGAGAAGATGAAGCATACAGTTGATCAATTGGAAAGGGAGAAAGTGTAGATAGCCGAAAAGTATGAGATTTTGATTGCAGAAGCAAACAATCTATCATCCAGAGAGAAGTGTACTATAGAGAAGTGTCTTAATGCATAGAAGTAAGATTATTAAGTTTGAAATTTAGAAACGAATTCTAGAAGCAATTGAACATTGTGAATACTTAGAATAATTAAATGACTAACATACTGAATTAATAAAAGAATTCGATTGAATAATTGGAATTATAATTGGAGGAGAATCAACTTTAATTGGAGATGACTAAACAGGGATATGATTAACAGATTAAGGAAAAGGAGAAATTGATTTAGCAAAGGGAGAAGGAGAACTAGGACTTAATGGTTAAGTTTAATGAATTGGAAAAGAAATTAGTTTAACAGAATCAATAGATTACTTTGTTGGAGCAATAATTATAGACAAACAATGAGTAGGTTGTGATTGAAGAGATGTAGAAGTACTTTGAGGAGTAGTATGATATCAAGGAGAAAGAACTTGAATAATAACATAAAAAGGAGATCTCAAATTTGATGAATTAGTTGAATGAGAATTAGAATTTCATTGAAGAATTATAAAACCATCTAACTGAAATACACAAGCAAATCACAAAATTCAAATCGGAGAAGCAAATGTTGAGATAGTAGAATTAAGAATTGCAAGAATAAGTGAAGCAATTATCATCAGAAATTAAACAGTAAGATGATCCTAGATACTCCTAAGAATATATGTTACCTCAATTCAACATTTCCTGTTAAAGTGCAATGACTGATCAATCCTTATGTGATGACAGAGAAAGACAAAGCAAGTAGGGCAGACACTTAAATAAAAGCAAAGATACAATACTGTAAAATAAAGAAAATCACGAAAAAAGAGATCCTAAATCCAATTAATGCATAAATTAATTAAAACAACAATCTCAATAAAATACATCATACAAGGCGTAATTCTAATAGAAAGTAAAGAAAAGCAATCCTGCCAATAAGGATATGTATGCTCTCGATACATTTGGAAACAGAGATAGATCAATTTCATGTTTGGATATGATTAACAAGGGAATCAAGTTCAGAGAATCCTCAGATGACGAGGATCAATCACCTATTGCGTAGTTTAAATAGTGGAAGTAGTAGATGACGGTTCGTTAATGATCAATTTTATCACATTATTAATTTTTATTAAATTCCATAAATACTATGATGCATCATGATAATGAGGATAATATATGGAATTAGGAACTAAATAATTAGGGTTATTTTTAAATTCTAAAATTACTTTAAACACAGAACAATTATTTATATAAATGTATTTCTATATACTATTCATTGAGATCGTGTATGGTTCTCAGTTATACTCGAGATCAAAAGGTAGTGTAGAGAATCAAAATTTTCGTGGATGCATTTACTCTGGTTCAAATTCTGATTACGTTCTATTTCAATGTATTTAACATAATGCATTTGTTCCAAAATTAGAACTCACATAAAAATAAGTAGATATAAGTGTTTTACAATATAGATAGGTATTTATTCTTAGGAGAGAAATGGAGAAACTTAGTTAAGTAATTACTTAATTTGTGACCTCATCACTAAGGAAGGTTAGAAAACCTTATCAATAGGAAGGATTTCAAATCCTGAACATTCGAATCCGATATAGCAGGAACACAATATAATGTTTTATGAACTCACGTAGATAGATTCAATCCATATTACAATTTCTACATTGAGAAGAGTAGACAAGCAAAATTACATTATAGAATTGCTCCCGATGCTTCCTGGAAATGTGAATTAGTTTTACAGCATTTCCTACAAATTCAATTCGCACGATAATGCTAGTATTATTGGATTTTCACAATATTACAACAAAATAAGGAATTCTCTCTTGCTAATCGTAGTGAAATAAAATCAGCTCAAATTGATTGAATACTCTTTATTTGATAAGCAATTCAGAGATGTTTCTACATACTCCTTATCTGAAAATAATGTGCCTTCAAAATGGAGAATATATAAATCAGGCTATATCATTATTACATATGAGCAATTCTAAGTACTTTACAGTGTTGGAGAGATTTTATATGAAATTTAAGAAATATATAGATTTGATTCACAACCGCTATAAATGCTGACAAATTTTGATGGAATTGATTCAAATTACATATTGTAACAAAATATCAAAGGAATTAAATTATTCATTATTGAAGAGAATAATTACTACTTTTATTCAAAATCTGTAAGATTGATTTAATAATACGATCTACCATATTCCCACGTAGCATTTCACATAGATCAAACTTAATTGATGTTAATATATGATCAATTCGAGACGATGAACGTCAAGATTGATTATCTAAGAATGGACCAATTTCAATAATGTGAATTCAATATTGAGGAATTGCCGAAGATGAATTTACAATCAATTCAATATTAATAGAGATATGAAGCACAACCCTAATAATAATTGAATTAAGTTTAATCCTAATATAAATAAAAATGCCAAATGCCTTGTGACATAATCTATGGATCCTTGAACATTTCTTTGGTTCCCTACAAGTCTGAATGCATATTTGAATCCTTGTATAATCAATTTGTACATGGTTGCAATAAATTTAATAGTTGTTATGCTTGTATGAAATAAACAGGTTGCGAGTGGATCGATGAATAATGCTAGGCTTAATAGAATTAATAGAGTGTTGGATTCAATTAAAATAGGGAAAGTTCAAAATGGTTTGTTAATAAAATAATGAATTGTGGTTAGGAGATCGAATTCAATTCGACGTATTATGGAAATGTTCCGAAGGGATCAGTGTTCACGTGGTTTTATGATGCTAATACTTATTAGTAATTCAATTTGCTTTTCAGTTTGCAAGTGGATAAATTAACAAAGAAGAACTTCATATAATAAAGCATATGTTTAGGGAATGACACTTAACAATTATGCGATTAAATAATGATTAGTGATTACAAGTCTGATTTTATATTCAAAGGCTATTATTTTAGAATGACAATCGTGATGTTGGAGGATATTTTAGTGAATGATCTGACAGTCACATTTAAATAGTAGGATCCTCAAGCAGATTCAGAGGATTTCAAAATAAAGAAACTAACCTGTTTATTATTGGGAGCTCTGATTCTTTTCGGAATCATCATCTACATAGCTAATAAGAGGATGAATTATTTGATCTCGCTTACAATTCAGGATAGCAAACAAAGTCTGGATAATGATAGTCTCTCAAATGTGATGGAAAATATGATTAAGGAAAAGGTGTTAATGAAGTTATGCTTTTCAAAACATGTTCTGAGATATGACGAAGACAAGTGTCCTTTTTGTATTGAGAAATATGAAATGAAGTAGGAAATCGTTCAGATATTCTGTGGACACACATTTCATTTGGAGTGTTTTGAAGATTGGATAAGAATAAACACAAAATTAGTGAGATGCCCTATTTGCAATTAAACGTATATATAATGTTATAAATTGTAGGATTGAATATTTTTTAAAGAACAAAGAGTAATTTAAAAAATCAATCGATGTTTGATTATTTGTAACTATTTATATTTGAATAATTAATAAAAATTACAAAAAAATGAAATCATCCAAAGATAATAAAGAATTTTCTAATAAAATGAAATAATAATATTTTAGTCAATCGATTCTTCCTAAAAGCTATTCAAAGTCTGCCAATTATTAATTTGAAGGAGTATTTTAGTTATTATTAATTTTTATTAAAGTTCTTTTGATTTGTATCTCCAGACCTGATAATTGAGGTGAGAGAGTGATGTTCTTCTATAATAAAACTAGAGTGCCAAATTTAGATTTCTTATCAGATAAGACAATCTTATCGTCTATTAATTTGAGTTGTGCATGTTCACGACTAACACTGATGTCAGCTATGCTGATTTCAACTTCATGGTTTCTGCCAATTCTCAATTCCTTCTTGGTACCAAAATTGATGATATATACACCATTTCTATCATTATGTGAAGCATTATCATGTTGTTTCTTCTGATGAAATTCCATCATGACGTAAGGCTATTTGGGTTTGCTCAATTCAACGAGATTGTAAGTTCTGCCTTCTCTCTCAAAGACCGGAGAAAACTAATATTTGCATATTTCACATTCCAGAGACTTCCAAATGAGTCTAGTGCAATAGGCATTACTATTGAAATGAGAACTTTACCATATCCTTATGATTAGATTGAATAGAATACCATTTTAACAAACACTTGATGTGGATGTACTTAGTGCCTCCGCAACACTTGCATGGATCAATCAGAGGGTTGGCGAATGTTTCACCTGTGGACAAACAGACCCGACATTACTTTGTATCCTCATTCTTATCCTCAACTGAACTCATAGAGATGTCATCAGGAGTACCCGAAAGATCAGTATTCTGGAGTTGAATAGCCTTGATGACTAGTTTAACTCTTCCTAATTTGATCACATCTCCTACTTTCAGGATTATTCCTTCGTTCGAACTATTATTTTATATAGATCTGGTGACCAACCAGATTTTGGAACCTTTCTTCAAATCACATTCCATCTACCTATTCGTATTGGTGCGTAACTTCTGGATATTAAAACTCATTTAGAAATCAGCGTGGACAGTCTGATTTTCTGATAAAAGTTTATCCCCATCCTGTAGAATAATAATCATTGATGATTTACCTCCTTTTAGTACTCGTCGATCAACTCCTTGCTCTATATGCGTCGAGGGAAGCGTAGATTCAGTAATTAGAACCGTTCATTCTCGAATTCCAGAGGCAACAAGAGCGCCTCATCATTATTCTCACTATCATAATAATAATCATCCTCATCTATACTTATTATTCTAATAAGACCCCTCATTGTACAAAACCTTGTTTGCCTTGCAAGTCAAATAGCTATTCCCGTTAACGGATATTTATTGGCAATGAATGAACTAGCTATTTTCATAGTCATAAAGACTATAGGACTCCTTTTGCCATGTTCTCACATCCAACACTAGCAAAGGAGATTGTTCCTGCATCAAAGACATGTCTTCCACAGTTGGATTGTTAGCAACTATCTCAATCTGCTCTGGTTCATTATTCAAACAAGTTTGACAGTTCCCCATATTTTTATTATAATAATATTTAATTAGCATGCATGATTTAAATTGCTCTCCCTCTATTTTCCCAATCCTTTTAACAGCCCCAAGATTATAACTCCATTAAGCAATAATCAATTACACTATCTTACATTCTCACACTAATGGATTGTATGACAAATGCTCCAAATAATCCTCCTATCCTTCCCATAATATTAATTATTACTCACATTTGATTATTTCCTATATCAATCCCAATCTATGTTATCAGATCCAATTCATTTGAAAGGAAATTGGATGTAAATTTAGAAGGCTTAATTAAGATTTGATTCAGAAAGTAATATCTGTTATATTTTAAAAGATATTACCTAAATCTGGTAAGGAAGGAGGAAATAAATTTAACAAATGATGGTTCAGCATGAGCTGGAGAAGATGTATATTACAAAATCATCATCGGACTTACCTATCTCTTGGATTTATTTAATATTTATGATGAGGTTATTAATAGGCGTATAATCTACCAAATACAAATATAATTACACATATAAAATGTGAAAGAAACTAACATTGCCATCAACGATACAATTCAAATATATTATCTTAATGTAAGAAGTATTGAATCATTATAATCGGCCATTTCTCAATGAAATTCTCATATTTATATCAGAAATCCTAAATTTAGATTTTAAATAATCATCATTTATGTCAGTCTAGTCAAGGTTCTTGTAATATATATTATTAATTGTAATTAAAAAGATATCTTAAAAATAATCAAAAGATTGTTGTCATCATCATTATATAAACAATTTATAATATGTAATATATATCATTAACAATAGTTAGTTTTTTGATCATAAAACAAACCCAAAAATATAAAATAAATGTGTGTAACCAATTGTGGGATATAATTTAAACTTATCAAATAAATATAAAATATGAAGAGAAATACTTTATTTGTATTAAATCAATTACACACTCTCTATCCAATTTTCTAACACTCTAAGTCAATTTTCTAAAATCCATTTGTATACCTAGAGGCCGATTTCAAAAAGCACTCTTCAAATTAACTAAAATCATCCTATAATTGATTTAAATTATATCGCTTAGATAATAATCGAAAGGTATTAGAAGAATGAGATTTAAAAAAAAGTAAATATGAAGATATCATATATATATTGTGTTTTCATCTTTGAAGTGTGAGAAAGACACATGTTTAAAATTGATTCATTAAATTTCATATTTACTTAATGTATATTGGATATGTAATAATATTATTTTATAATATAAAATTAACTGATAGATGAATCATTATCAGAAGGAAAATAGAAGACCAAATTAATTAGACATCAACAGTAAAACACCTAGTAGGCTATAGACAACTCGTCTGCTGAGAGTTCATTCGCCAAGCACATCTCAAAGTCCGTTTAGAAGCATTAACAATAAAATAGCAGTTGTGAATTATTTGCCTCCATCTACAATGCCCAAATCACCAACTTCATAAATAACTTATTTTAAGAGAAAGAAGAGCAAATAAGATGATATGCTTGATGAAACTATAAGTAAATTGAGTTTTTTAGAGAAGAAGATTGCTCATATAATGGAGAAGAATGATTAATTGAGATCTCAACTAAAAAAGACAGAGCCTGATTCAGTGGAATCATTTTCATATTACTTGAGTGGACCAACCATCTCAAATAAGTAGTCAAATCGTATTAGTTAACATACTTTGCAATCATATGTGAATTCTGTTAAGCACACAATTCACACTGCTAATTCTCCAATTAATAGTTCAAGATTGCAAGATAAGATGGTTTGTCATCATAGAACATCAAGTAAAACTCCATCTGTGGGGAAATTCAAGAAATCCAATATCACCATCAGAGACGATGTTCAGAATGGAAGAGGTAGAAAGGTGTATGAGAACGGATTTGTTTATGAGGGCGATTGGGTGAATGGTGTGAGACAGGGCAATGGAACTTTGAAAGACTTCAATTAGAATATTGTATATTAGGGTTAATGGTTGAATGATCAATTTTCAGGGAGAGGACGATTTGTGAATCAAGATTATTAGGAGGACGAATTCAGATTATTAAACTTTAAATAGTTCAAATTAGTTTAGCATTAATTCACATCTTATGAAGGAGAATTCAGAGATGGGCAGTTTCATGGTCAAGGAGTGATGGCTTTCAGTTGTGAGGGAGAGGAGTTCAAGTTCGTGGGAGGATTTGCATAAGATGCATTTCATGGAGTTGGGGCGTTGTCGAAAGACGAAAAAGTAATATTACAAGGGAAATGGATTTATGGATGTTTTGTTTGAATTATTATATTATTTAATGAACTTGATACCTGAAACAGATAAAATAGATATGGCTTATTTGAAGTCTGAGCGCATCGGGAAGGTCATTACAAAGGGATTGGCTGAATTGTATCAAGTGAAACCTCAATTCCCAATTGAATATTTGGCAAAATGGTTGTTGAATCATAATAGGACAGAAGCAAATAGGGGTTCAATGCAAGATCATGTGAGTCACAAGGAGGCGTTGATGTAATTAATAGAAATAATTCAGAGAGCAATAGAAGAAGGAGTAAGAGGCGTAGGAGGAGAAAGATCGCAGAGAGAAACAGTTACAAGATGAGGAAAATCTGAGAGAGTTGGAATTTCAAAATATTATCAAAACCCATGAATTCCACTAAAAACTATTAGTCAAAGATTTTTGCAACCATCTTTAAAAGAAGGGTCTTACAGGAGTATATGTTGGATATGTTGATTTCCCTAGTAAATAAATAAATGAGAATGATGATGATGAAAATGCCCATCTTGATTCGGAATAACCTAAATTGATAAAATACATAGGAGCCAATGATGATCACAACTTTATGATAGGTCAGACACTCCCTTTGAATGATGTGGGGATTACTGGAGAGGTTTTTAGAGAAATACCACCTCCTGAAGAAGGGTAACAACCTTAATCACCTATAATTTACATACCAAATGTGACTAAGGAATAGAAACTAGTCTATTTTAAATGGAAAAAGTTGGGAGCATTCTTAGCAATCCCCCTTGTATATTAATCATGTTTGTTCCCAGCTTCATTAGATGCGGGCATTGAAGAGAGATTGAGATTCAAAAAGGCAGATGCTGAAAAGAAATTGGATAAGGAAAATAAGATTAATGAATTCAACGCTAGACTCAAAGAAGCAACAGAAACTGAACAAGATCCAACTCCTATTCAAGAAGAGTTGGATTAGTATTTGGCCAATTGGTAAGATGAAACTGAAGCACCATACCAATCGTAAAAAAGATAATTCGTTGTCTGTTTTGATACTTTGGGTAAGGATGTTGAAATCAGTCAGTAGGATAGACAATATTTTGAAGATTATGTTAATCTATTTGCATAAAGTTGGAATCAAATGGAATGCAAATTGTTGTCAGATGACATAGATCACATGATTGCTTATTAGGAATAAGGTGTGAAGGAAAGATCAGAAGCATTGACAGTTTAAGAAGAGTAGTCAGTGGAGTCTTAATAATCTCAGTATGATGATTTGAAGGAGAGAGAGAAAGAATATTAATTTGCTTTGCTTTCTATTAGGGCCACTACTGTTGCTCAATAAATTCAATAATTGCAATAAGAATTGTTTTCCTTAAAACAAGTCAGAGTCCTTAAATATCCTGGCCTATTATTGGCTTTGATGCTGTTCCTAAATTATAATAAGGAGAATCTACTTGAAAAGGGAACTAATCAATTGGATTGGACTGGAGTTAAACATTACATTTGTGAAGACATGATTCAAAAAATACTTGATTATGAATACAGAGGAGCCAAAACTGAGGAAGTACCCAAATATGCTAAATTGAATAGAATTCAAAAGAGAATCAGTAAATACACTGTTGAACAGGTTGAAGAATATAATGTTTGTTATGCTAAAATATTGAAATGGATGCAATATATCATCAAATTAAGGGTTCAAGACATTGAAATCAGAAGAGAAAAGATTGCCAATCTTAGAAAATTGATTCAAGAAACCACTGAGTAAGTTGCCAAAATCAAAGAGGTAATTGATTTAATCAAGTCTTTAGGAAAAAGAATTAAAATTTGAAGAATACAAAAACTCTATTCAACAGTAAGAGGATCAAGAACCACCTAATAGAGAAGAATGGGAACTTAAGTATGATGAGGAACATCCCTTACCTAAAATCCCAGAAAATGTACCAGACGATGTTGATAATGATTTTGATGAAGAATGATCAAGTATAAATTAAATCTATGAAATCAAATGTCTCTTAAATTTACAATTAATATATATATATATATGATAAAAACACAAATAAATCACCAATTCAAATTTATCATTGTATTGGTATTTTACAGAGGTAGATGAATATAATTTGTATCGATAAAGAATGAACATTTTTTTTATCCTTCACTCTACTACTCTTCTTCTTACTGTTATTATTACCAATAGGCAATATTCACATTGATTTAATCTAAACATGTTTTTTTGAAATTATCACTAAAATACTACATTTGTAATTTACTTCTTCAAGTATTCCGAGAAGGCATCAAATAATGGCCAAACTATTGCCTTGAGGAATCCTTCCTAAGATTTTGTTACACTCTAACTTCTATCACACATTGGTGTCACTGATATACCCACTTATTACTCTAAATCTCCCTGCAAGAAGAACTCTTCGATTATTCTTCGACTCCATATTTTATGCAAATTCAATTGTTTGGCTCCATGTCCAACATCTTATTTACTTCATATATTTACCTGCACATTTTATTGCTATCGACAACACTAATAACTTATTTTATTCATCTTGTTGACTGTCTGATCCCAAGGCTAAAAAGTTCTTGAATTTGTTAAGCAATGGAAAATTTTTCTGAAGATCTGTATCTAAAATCAAATTCAAACAATATTTTCGAAATCCCTTGTAATCTACATCATTTAGGTTTTTTATGATGTTGGTCTTGTCATCCTTTAAAACATGAAACAACAATGATGCATGATAACTCTCCAATACACTTTGATCATTGTCTAAATATTAATATCATTTTTACAAATTAGAGCCTATTTTGATTGAGATGCAACTAAAAAACCGTTATTTAAACCAGGGTGACCAACATCATGAGACAATGATGATATTATTAGACAACACTATTCAAATTGGGTTACTTGCAACCCATTTTCCAAAAAGAAAAGGGCTGAATTAGTCACGTCCATTGCATGTAATGAATTGTGATATGGATTATGCATGTAAAATTATTCAATTCTATGACAAAATTCTATTTAAATTGCATTATCCTTGATCTTTAAGACTTAGTTCACACTATTTAAATTTAATTTAGTTATTACTTGTATTTCTGAAAGATGAAAGAACAATAATTGATGAATTTTTTTTGATCATTCAATTCAAAGAAATCAAAATTGAAATTCTTATCACATTCTTTCATCAAATTGTCATTCATATTTGGAATATGATACTACTCCTAAATATATTATTGACTAGATGACAATTGAAAATTGAATTCACATTCTGTAAAATGATTAAGAATAAAACTATTTAAAATTATATAAACAAATTACCTTTTAGCTTCTGGAGAAAATTACTCTGATTAATCAGGATTGATATTTTTGTTACTCCTTAAGAATTAAGGTAACCACAGATGTTCTTTTCTCCCACTCACGATCTTCAACAAATCATCTATTTCATCCAAAGTTAAGAAATTCTCATTCTCCTTAATTTCATCTTGTTTAATACTATGACCTGCCGTTCTAGCGTAATAGGAATTATCATTAATTGAGTTTATCCTTTATATTTTTCTGATCGGCGATCTCTTACTTGGCGTTTCCCCTATCTCCTCAATCGAATTTTTATCCTCATCTTCTGGTAGCTAACGTAAAGTCAAAATACGGGATGGCGAACTTAATTATTTTTATAGCACCTGTTCCTCATAATAGGTTTACTCAGATTTGTTAAGCATTTTCTCATATTTGAGCAATCTCAACTTTTTCAATAATTCCTCCTAGCGAGATTACTGTTAATCGGCTATAAAAATAGTTTTGTATGACATTTCAGTTTCTTTCTTCAATTTCATAGCTTCTCCATCAAACTCCTTTAATTTCTATTCATGTTCCAACTGATGTTATTGTTGTCGATGAAATATCAACCAGATATTAGTCAATACTCCAATTAAACTAACCAAAATAACATCATCAATTTTTTAATTGTGAAATATTGATAATCCCACTTACAAAACCAAAACCATTGTTATTACTATTATTTTATTGTTGGATATCCTAAATTTTGTGACAGTTGCAATTACTTAAAAGCAAAATAAAAGAAAATCAATTCTCAAATTTTCCTATGTGATCTCCTATCTAAATGCCCATAAAAATCTGCTTGTCAAAATCTTACACACCAACATCCATCTGATGGCAAATACTTGTAATGATTGATTTGACTAACATCTCAAAATCTTAATCACATATATTGTAACTAAAGTGATATGAGGTAATAGATTAGTAAACCAAAAACCTTCCAACAGAAAAAATATTGCTACCAAAATAGCTTCCCACTTACTCATATAATTCACATGGGTAGGTTTACTAAATAACTCTTGGAATTTAGCTAAAAGCCTATCCTACTATTTTAATTGTAAATCATAAATGTTTTAAGGCATATTTATTTTTATTTATATTTTTAATGAGCAATTATCTTTATAATTTAAGCAATTCATTTAATTATTGCTCCTGCTCTTTACTTACTTATTAAATTTAAAATAAATCTCCATTTTCTCATAATCAAATCAACTTCTATTCACTTATTCCAATTACTTAATAACTTATTTTTCATTAAATCCCAATTTATCTTTTGTTAAGTAGAAAAGAATTGAAACAATAATAATTATTAAAAATCTATTTCAATTTCTCTTACTATAGCATTTAGACATAACATATAACAAAAAATTTAGTCCCAAAAATCATTTCTTGTATTTATGGACCATTTCTCAATTATTTGAGTATCATCATGAATCCTCCCCTTTCATCTGATTCTTAATATAAAATATTAATCAATGGATTTTTGATTAGTGGCTGTCAGTTTGTCCGAGTGGTTAAGGAGGCGGACTCGAAATCCGCTGGGTTTACCCGCACAGGTTCAAATCCTGTAGCTGACGAAATTTTTATTTTTTTTGCATATTTATACAAATAATTCATCTTCCACACTTTTACTAAAGCATTCAATAAAGATCCATCCCATCTCCTCAAAAAGAAACTCCTTCCCTAAAACTAAAATATAATCTATCTTAACTTCAATTTGTAACCTTTTTTTAACACAATTACTAAAGAATATTTGATATTATTTAAATCCCACTGCTTAGGAATCTTATGAGTAAGAACTTACATAAATTATATTTTCAGATTAATTACTTACTTAAAAAGCAAATATAATAAAATAGTAATCTCTAAATACTAAACTGAATTAGTTCTTTAGTGATTGTTCAATTCTTGTTTTATTCTGAATAGAATAATTATTATATAAATAGAAAAAGATTAAATTTAATCCATGTATAAATTTAAGCAAAATAGATAGAACTTAATTTATTATTTTATTTTATTATACTAAATCAACAGAGATTACAATTTGCGATATTGCTCAAAGAGTAAAAATAGATTGATTGAATTTACTTATAATATATTCTTTCATGTCTTACTTTAAAAATACTAAATGGAGTTTAATTATAATAATTAAAGATTAGAGTCAATATTATCAAACCTTGTACATTATATATTTATTAATCATTTCGAGAGAGCTACATATACTATATTGGATCTCTATTATTTAAGATAACTGAAATCGCGCTTGTAGGTTATACGTTCATCATTGAAGATGTTGTTCATGCTTTTAAGCTTTCGAGATAGACCAAGCTTATGTTATTACTCTCTTAATAAGGGATTGAAAAATTTTGGTTATAAAGTTCTGCCCAACTTGATGGGGGGCTCCTTTTCTATTGGATTCTAAAACAATGTAGATCTTATAGTAATTCGAGAATCCAGAGGCCTTGGTTATTTGATCTACTGTCTTGACTGTGTTTTGGTTGGCTATTGTTTTATTTGGATATCCTATATTTGCTACACTATTTCCTTCTTTGGTTCAACGAACTCTTCAACTTTTGGCATCGACGCTGTTCTAAATCGCATTTTAGATTTGGGAGAAATCTTTGCTGAGACAGTAGGTTTTTCAACCACCTAATTCTTAATAACTAAACACTCAGTAAGAGATAGAAAGTGATCCAAAGATTAATCTTCATCAACCTCCCAACCCTTATTCATTATTTATTAATTTGTGTATACAATAATAATTTCTTTATCTTAAATTTATTATGAACAAATGGAGACATATATGAGCTTATTATTTGAGTGGTCTTACACAACCAATATAATATATAAATATTTCATAATTATTCATCAAAATTCTATACTTTTGCTCTCTAAGCCTTAAATTTATTTTGGAATACATTTGGAATGTATAAGACAGTGCTCATTATTAAATATATTCCTAGAATACTGCAAGATCTTGGAAATTCCAAGTGCTCTGCAATCAATCCAGAAAGAAAGGGTCCCAGTTACTCGCCTATTGAAAGAATTGAATTGAATAATCCAGATGCTAAACAGATACATTTCTCATGGTCTTTTTTCTCGAAGCGTAGTTCCAAGGATTCAGTTATGGATGGAAGTGTTAGCACATATGGCAAAGCAATGAAGAATCCAAATATTAAGTAAGCTATCATGGTCAAATGTAATTATGGCCTAATTCCTAATAAGGGGTCTGGTCCCATCAAAAATTCTGAAATGGCAACTACACCTATGCCAATTAGGATTGCTATTTATTTATGAACCTTAATCCTTGAGATTAGGATAGCTCCAAGGCAATAAGAGAATGGAGCCAGTGACATATAGTATCCTGAGTCAACTGGAGGTACATCAAATTGATCTTAAAAGAATATTGCAAAGATTGGTTGAAAATATGAATATGCAAGGCACATTGAAAAAATTACATTGAATTATGCCAGTACTGAAAAATCCTTTAGAATTGTGAAGTATCCAATCTAATTATCTTTTTAAATTTATTATTATTTTTCAGTAAGTATCTAATTATTTTCCTAAAAACCGAATTTAATTATTAATGCAATAAAAATGGAGGCGGAACCGAATATTAAAAACGGAAAATAAAATCCTCCTATTTCATAAAGAATTGACCCAGCAACTGCTCCTGCTAAATAGCCAAATGAAGAGAAAAATTCAATTATAGCCATTTTCTGAGCTGCTGTCTCTGGGAATTTTTAAGGAATGTAGGCATAAAATGGAGTTAAGAATGTACAACCTCCCTATTATAATTTAAAATGTTTACAAAGCCACTCAAAAATCTTCCAATAAATGAGAGTGTTAAAAAGTATTCATACTAATGTACACAAGAGAGAAGGGGAAATTAAAATTATCCTATAGCTTGAATGATAAGCCCCAAGTATAGAAACGTCTTTTGGTTACTCTAAAAATACTTGAATAATTTACATTATTTAATAGTTTACCAATAATCAATGAGGCCAACATACCTCCTATAGGATTCATTCCAAATATCAGTCCTAAAATTGAATTAGAGACATCGTATTCTTTTGCGTAGGCTGGATAAAATGGAGCGATAAGTGAGAAGCCAAGACAACAAAACAAATTACCAGCATTCAATAAAGCAAATTCTAACTCTGCTTTCATGACAATTGTTTGTATTTAATGAAATAAAATTAAAGTTCGTTTTTAATTTGTATAAAAATTGAATATAAATTTAAAAGGATAGAAAACAGTCTCTGATTTAAAATTCTTGTTTTCATAAAATTATTAAACATTGTAGATATATTCGATTGTAAAAAACTGAGTAATTTGTTAATTTAATTCTAGCTTAGTAGAATACGTTTTCAACATTATTTTCATTATGATTATATTAACTTATAATATTATTATGTATTTTATTATCATTCGATATATATTTTAAAAATGTTCTGATAATCTATTTATGGTTATGTATGGTTAGAATTTATTTAAAAAAAAATATCTAATAAATCCGTTTAGCTAGCCTTCTAATTTGTAAAATGGATATCCACATTATGAAATTGAAATTTATTCCTAACCTATTCTTCTTCGTTCTATGATATAACCTCTGTATCATTGAACATAGTGACAATTACAGCTGAAATTTTTTTGAATATTCTCATACAGTCATTTAATTATCGTTTCATCAAATCAATTCTTTCATATTAAACAACCAAGACAATGCCATCAATTGAATTTTCTTAAAAATAAGAATCATAATTTTTATAAGTTTCTTCCGCTTCATCATAGCTTGATTTATGTAAAAAAACAGGTGAATCAACTATTGTAACTTTATAATCATTAATAAAATATTCAAAAAAGCATGTAGTACTTTTATTTTAATATCCTTAGTTTTATCCTTTTACTTTATTATAAATCCACGTCTTACCAGCTCCTGGAAATCCAAACAAAACAAATTTTTTATGTTTAATAGAGATTCGATTTATTTGAACTGATTACTCAATCTTTTTTTACTGGTTTTCCATATTCAATTTATCTATATTTTATTGTTAATTCATCACTTTTTCTTCTAGTAGTTATATATCAGATTTATATTTTTCCGATTCAAATTTTAATTATGCATGTTACTTTTCTAATAAATTAATTTTAAGCTGTAAATTAGCATTAATTTCCTAAGCAGTTTAAATTTATTTTTCTTACTTTTTTATTGTCTCAGCCTGACTATTAGATTTCTTAATTGATTCTCGTAATTTTTAATCTAGAGACTCCACTTCCTTAGTTGAACTTGTTACTTAATTTTTCAAAGATAGATTAGTCTTTGATTAAGACAGGCATTAACTTTCAAGAATCTCATTCTTTTCTCTAGATTATTGTAATTCTTCTTTCAATTCCATAATTTCAATAATCCTGTGTAATTCCTTAAGAATTTATTGAACTGACCATCTCTTAAATTGAGATTACTCCAGCATGTTAAAAAGCAATCCTTGAATACTTTCTTTAAAAATATTAATTGATTCAATTTTTGATTTAATGTATTATGAATCTTTAATTTGTTTCTTTTTTTAAATTAAACTTTAGCCTGTAATCATCTCATAAAATATGAGACCAAGAGCCCAAATATCTACTTTAGTATTGTATTGAATTTTTTCTTCGTATAATTCTGGAGCTCTGTAATTTTCAGTTCCAACAAAATCTTATAAAAATAAAACCTTATTAATTAATTAATCCATCTAACCTGTATCAATAAGCTTTAAAATTGTTTAGTCCTTTTGTTATAAAAATATTATGTTATCAGGTTTTAAATCTCTATGAATTATAGATTTAGAATGAAGTTCTGAAATTCCATTTGCAATTTATTCAAATAATTTAATTTTCTACAGAATACTTAATTATTTATATTATTAGCGATCTAAATACTACGTTAAAGTGCCATCGCCCTTTTCCATAACAATGTATGATTTTTTATCACAATCTAATATTTTTACAAAATTGCTTGGGGGGTTTGACATCAATTATTCCAAAATATTTATTTCTTTTTCGTTTAGAGAGAGGTGTTTTATAATAACTTCTTGATTTTTCTATCTAGCCAAATATAGAGTTCCTTCTTGACTGTTTTAAATTAATTAGACATTTGTATATTCCATCCTATTAATAACCATTTACATTTATTAATTCTATTAAAAAATAAAAATACTAATAAAAAATATTTATAAACTATAATAATGCTAATTGATTATATACAGAAGTCATAAACAAAATGAACTTGAATCACAAATATTCTTCATAAGCTTTAACTTAAGCTTTCTAATATTTTTTCTTTGACAGAAACAAATTTGGGAAAAATAACAAAGTTGTGGCAACTAAATATAAACCCAAAAAACTGCATGCTCTTTGAAATGAAAAAAATTCAGCAATTGCACCTGAGAATATTGGGCCTAAACACTCTCCTGCTGAAATTACTGCATTAAACAGACCTGATGCTAATGATATACATTTTTCATGATCTGACTTCTTAAATTTTTATTCCAATTTTTCAGTAATATAAGGGAGAACCAGTATATAAGGAGGAGCTGAAAATAATCCATAAGTAAATTATGCACTAACAGTGATATAAATTCTTGGATCAATATTCATTATTGGATCAGGACCCATAAAAAACTAGGAAATTGTTACTAAAATCATGCCCGATATTATAGCTCTCGGTTTATTAAATTTAATTCTTGAGATTATCAATGCTCCAATACTATATGCCAAAGGAGTTGCCGCCATGTAATAGCCTACATTTTCTGGAGGCACGCTAAATTGTTCTTCAAAGTAAAGAGATGATATTGGAGAATAAAATGTAAAAGTTATGCATAACGCCAACATTATAAATAATGAAGAGATTACTGGAAATAATTTAATGAGCTAAGCATAGCCAATTGATGACTCAATCTACTCATTTTGAAGTATTGATTCAGATTAGTAATTTATATCGTATTCATGATTTATTATAGGTTCAGAATTTTAAACAATTGTTTTTTATACATTATTACCGATGTTTAATTTTAAAATTATGGCTATGATCACAGAGCAAGATGCAAAAAGTATAAATGGAAATGAGAACCCTCCAAGAGTGTATAAAAGAGACCCTATAACTGGTCCACAAAGAAATCCAAAAGAAGAAAAAAATTCTGCAATTGCCATTTTTTAATCGACTGATTCTGGATATTTCTATGGAATTGCTGCATATAGGGGAGTCAAAAATGTTTAAGATCCCTAAGATATAAAGATGATAATTACAAATCCACTAATAAATCTGCCTAATAATGAAATAGTAATAAACATCGTTCGATCAGTAGTGAGTGTTAAAAGTGGGTAGCAAAACAACCCTATGGATTAAATAAGCATTCCTAATGATAAAAGAGTGGTTTGATTGTTCTTTCTATAAGTATAAATTGGTTACATTATTTAGGATCTTTCCCACAATTAATGAAGACAACATTCCTCCGATTGGATTTATTCCAAAAATAAGTCCCAATAAGGACCCTGTGACATCGAACTTTTGAGCATATGTAGGATAAAATGGAGCTATTAATGACAATCCTAGACAACAGATTAAGTTTCCTAAATTTAACAAAGCAAATTCAGAAAGAAATTTCATTTTAATTATGTCTATGTTTTAATTTGATATTTTATTCTTAATAAAAATATATTATAGAAAAGAGTACATTGTATGTTTTTACAGAATTTTCTTTATTCTTATCTAATCTAATTTCAATCTCATTTTAAGGGTATCATAAATTTATCCTTAAGTTTATAATTGAAATAATAATAATAAAAATAGGCTTATCATTCTAAACTATCTGATATTTATTTCAAAGTTTATAGAATCTAATTGTAATTAGGTCTTTTAACGGGGTCTTATTACCAACAGCATCTAATTAAAGTAGCAATATTTGAGTTAAGTGAAGCTGGAATTTTTGGTCTTGATTATTATTCTTAAACAAGTTGAATTATTTCTTTTTATGGCATATTCTATTTAAGATGAAATAAATACAAAGAATGGTATAGTTTCAGTAAATAATTGATAGAGAATCATTCCGAATGAATAGATATCAGATTCTTTGATGGCTGAGTGAGAAACAACACTACCCTTATCGCTCAAACATTCAGGTGCTATATATCCATTTTTATTAACATATCCATTAACTAAACTAGCATATTTTTTTATTGCTCTTAGTCCATAATCCACAATTTTAAGTTTGAATTTATCGTTAAACAACACATTACTTGAATTTAGATGACCATGAACAACATTTTAATCATGCAAGTTCTATATAGCTTTAATGAGATCTGTAGCAATATTAACTCGAATCAACAACTATTTATTTGTATAACTACTTGTGATATCTTTGATTTGCTAATTATCAGTACCAGTGTTTTTATGAATAAAGTTATTTAAATTTGAATTAGGATAATATTTTGACAATAAATACATGCTAGATTCATTAAAATCAAACCAAAGAATCTTATATCCCTTTTTAATTTTATTGATCTACTCAATTTCTTATTTAGTTTCATCTATTAAAAAGGAACTTAATTCTTTAAATTAAATAATTCTGACTGCATATTTCTTAGCGTCTCTTTTAATAGTGGCCACTTTAATCTCCCCAAATCCATTGTATTTCCTAAAGAATTGTCTGTCATTAATATCTAAATCTTTTAATTTTAAGTCTTTAAATAATGAATCATCTCTTGGGTTGTTTTTAAGAGGAACTTAACCTTATGTTTATTCCTAAACATTTATTTCACCTGAAAAGGTTTCCACGCTGAAAAGTTAATTCATTCTATTGTGATCTAGTAGTAATGCACTCAAAAAACTATTAGACATCGCCATCATCACTGGGATAATTTACACAATTATAATATCCCCAACTATAAACAAAATCAAAAATAACTATTCAATAAAGGTTACCTTCAATTTCCCACCCATTAAAGCTATTAACTCATCATTATAAACAACTACTACAACATTAACAGCCAATTAAGGAATTCTTAATAAAATCCAAATCCATAATAGTTATTGTATTTTGTTGTTACTTTTCTCATATCTGTTAGACACAAAAGGTGACCCAGAAAATTTAATATTTAGGTACAGAACCATTATTATTACAATAATTGGCACAGAAGCATTAACTGCTATATCGCATATCATTATTGCTTTCGGGGATAGTCCCTAGGCCATGAATAACCAAATTACAGTAGCTTGACCAATTATATACAGGTATAATATTAAACGAACTTTTGAATTAGCTTACTCAGGATTCCAGTTCCTTTTACCTGATTTATTTGACATATGTTATACCAACTAAAATGCTTCCAGTTTTAATTCTACCATGGTGCATCATTATCAAGAACTGCCAAAATAGTGAAAAGTAGATAACAAAAAAGATGGCATCTGGAACATAGATTGTTTGAAAGAAAATTATACGGAATGATTCTGTTTATGAGTTCTCATCTTTTTCTTGCTTTATGGCTGTGATGACCTTTGAAATAAGTTCTAAATACTTCATATAAATAGAGCACCTAGTATGTTGCTTAGTCACAACAAATGGCTAATATAAACAGATAAAAAATTTTTGGAAAGAATTGTCTACATTTCCAAGCTTTCCAAAGACACGGTATACTATAAAGGGCCAACAAAATAAAAATTAAACCCAATAGTAAATATGCAATGCTGAGTAAGTAAGCAGACTCTTTTATAGTGTCATCCATTTGTAATTTAATTAATTATAAACTTCAATTTTTATAATTAAATTATGTTGAAAACCTGTAGAATTAGATTTTACATATTTTTTCTGACAATATTTATTGTTATTTCATAAACTTAACTAAATTTTTATGAAATCATTACAATAAAACATGATCTTAATTAAATTCTTGTTTTTTTACAATATTTTTAAATGAAAAATCATTAAAAGTAAGATTAATCTTGTTTTTTATAGTTAATAGTTGTTCTAACATCAAATGATTCGATACTATTGATAAATACATTTGAAATATAAACTATTTAATTTCAAATTTCCATTCCAGAATAGCAGAATCTTTGAAAAAAGAATCAATTGTTTTTGAATGAACAAAATAAAGATAAATGCGATACATAAATAATGTCATCGCATTCATAGAGGGTTTAATGAATATATATAGATATATATGGAAACAGTCATTTTTTAACCTAAAGATTAACTTCTTTCCAAATTTTGCATGTATTATCTTTAGATCCTGTGATGATTATATCTCCTTCATAATTGAATGCACAACTAAATATTTCATCAGTATGACCTTCCAATACTTACAGACATTCCCCAGTTTCTGAACTGAAATTTATAAGAGCTATATTTACAATATTCTTGCTGTATTGTCGGCACTAGCTGTAATAATTTTATTTCCTGATGGATTAAATGCAACTTTAGAGATTTCTCCTTTGTGTCCTAAGAGCTGGGCTATGCACTCTCCAGTATGGACATTATAAAGTCTTCCTGTTGCATCAGCTGAGACTGTCACTAATCTAGTTCCTTGGAGTTGATAGGTGAAAAAAGAAACCTGTAGAATTGAAGCAGATATCTTGAACTTCATCTTGATGTCCCCTGAGTGTTTCAATGCATTTTCCTGTTTTAATGTCCCAAATTTTGCAAGTTCTAATAGGTCTAAGATTTTAATTACTTATCTATGGAGCCAGTACCACAATAATCTCCTGTGAATTCAAACTAAGTGCTAGAAATCTCTCCTGTATGTTCGTCTAAAATGTGGATACATTCTCCAGATCTCACATCCCAAATCTATTTTGTAAAGCACATGTTTACCATTGCAGTTTTATCAAATGACCCTGTGAGTAATTTGTCACCATCAGAATTGAAATGTAAACTGACAATTTCACCCTCGTGTCCATCCAATCTGGCAATTTATTTTCCTGTCTCAACATCCCATAATCTCGCACTCTTATCCATAGATCCTGTTGCCACAAGTAAGGAATGAGGATCAAAGGAAATACAAACTATTTCATATTGATGACCCACAAGTGTTTGGAGACACTTTCCTGAGCTGGCATCCCATATTTTCGCAGTTTTATCAAAAGAGCCTGTGACAACGCGATCTCTATGGGAATATTGATTTAAGAATACCCAAAGGGATTGTTGAATGCAATGCAATAAACAACATTCTTATGACCTTCAAGAGAGACCATTTATTCTCCTGTGAAGGTGTTCCATACTTTACAAGTTCTATCATAACTACCTGTGATGAATCTACATAGTGGAATCAATACTTGTCCCCGTTCTTATTGAATGCACAATTTGTTAGAGGCAACATATGACCTTTAAGGGTCTTGAATAACTCAAATGATTGTTCCTTTTTTGATTCGATCTTTTCAATAAGTTCTAAATTAAATAGGTTTATACTGCGAATCAATGCTGCTAGTTAAGGCTTTCTGCTTTCTGAAATGATTGGTTCCTCCATCACAATTTCATCGACCAACTGATCCACATCCGTACTATTGATAAAATGCAAACATTACTCATTGCTTAGATTTAACAAATCAATAGACTTAGTCTCCTATTCTCCATTGCTGCGAATGTACTCTAGAATGATGCCAGGAGGGTAGTACCTCAAGAGAAACCTCTTCAGCTTCATATTTAAATTTAATTATATAAACAAATCCCCATTACCCACATCTATAAATAATATTAATTAAAATGGACGATGTTATTCCAGTTGTGGTTATAGACAATGGATCAGGATACATTAAGGCAGGTATCTCAGGAGATGATGCTCCAAGAGCTACTATTCAAACTGTATTGGGAAAGTATACTTTGAATCCTAATTTATTTTAACAGACCTAAGCAACCTGGCTAAATGGTTGGCATGGATCAGAAGGACACCTACATAGGAGATGAGGTCAATTCTAAATTAGAGTATTTTCAAATTCCTATAGCTTAGAGTATTGAATGTAACTTACCCCATTGATCATGGAATTATTACTCGTTGGGATGACATGGAAAAGATATGGCATCATGCTTATTACAATGGTTTTCAAATTCATTTAAATTAGAATTAAGAGTTTCACCTCAAGATCACCCTGTTTTAATGTCAGAGCCACCCCTCAATCCAGCCGCGAACAGAGAAAAAATGATGGAAATTATGTTTGAGAAGTTCAATGTTCCATCCTTTTATTTGGCAATTCAATAAGTTTTGGCATTATGTGCATCTGGCAAAACAACAGGATTAGTAGTGGATTCTGGAGATGCTGTTACAGAAACAGTTCCAATTTATGAAGGCTTTGCATTATCACATGCAGTGATGAAGATTCATCTTGCTGGTAGAGATTTAACTGATTACTTGATAAAGTTGATGGCAGAACAAGGCAAGGAATTCTCAAATCAAAAGGAAACTGAAAGAGAAAATGCCAAAGATACTAAAGAAAAGAAAGTATTATCATACATCTATTTGAAGTGCTATATTGTAGGAGATTTCGAGGCTGAAATGAAAATATACTAGGATTCTGGAAAAGAAATAGTGCACAGAATGCCAGATGGAAATGATATTACTTTGGGAAGTCAACTTTTCAAATGCCCTGAAGCATTATTTTAACCAATTAAATTAAGCAAGGAATTTTAAGGAATTCACGAACTTACCTTCTAATCCATCATGAAATGTGATGTTGATATTAAAAAAGTAATTGATTGTGTTTATAATAAGGATCTTTATGGCAATATTGTTTTAGCTGGAGGTAGCACTATGTTTAAAGGAATGAAGGATAGATTATAAAAAGAAGTCATTGCATTAGCCCCTTCAACAATGAAAATTTATGTGTAGGAACCTCCAGAAAGAAAATACTCAGTTTGGATGGGTGGAAGTATTTTGGCTTCATTAAGTTAATTTTAACCCATGTTTATTACTAAAAATGAGTATTAAGATTATGGTACTGGTTATGTGCACAGAAAATGCTTTTGATTTTATTATTTCATTTTAGATAGTTCAGAATGTGTATAAAAGGTTTTGAAATTCACATAAAATAAAAGATATAATAAATTCATTGTTAACTATTACCCTAGAAACGAGATAGACATGTTTGATTTAAGAGTAATCTTTCCATTTAATGATGTTTGCTTGGTAAATATGTAGTATAGATTTCTTTTGCTTTGACATGGCATTTTTAAGCCTTTTCTATATCACCTTATGATTGATAAATCACAGCTATGTTATTAAGAATTTAAGCTCTCTAAACACAGTTATATCTAGGTTTAAAAAATGTAGTACTAAAAACATTATAAAGCCTATAAGAGGTATTTAAGAGATTATTAAATGTCAGGAACCAACCCATAAGTCAACCCTACCAAGTTGTAAACCTCTACAAATCGTATGTGATTGTAGGTATTATACTTTTTAAACTTCATCTAAATTGCTTTCTTTAGAAATTCCAAAGCTTGTTCTTAGTTTTTGGCTAAGTAATTGCACTCACCTAAAATAACGTAAGCTTCAGCTATTTATTCATCATCCTCTTGAAGATAATCTTTTAAAATTGAGATAGCTCCATAAACCATTTTTTTAGCAGATTCAAAGTTTTCTACCATAAATTCATTAAATACTTGTTAAGGAATTTATTTTAGCCATCCATAATAAAATGGATGAGATTTCTGATTTCCATTGCAACTTTTCATAATGCAGGAGAGCCTCATAAAAAGTTTTCTAAGAAATATCATATGATTGATTGAGAAAGTATAATTTTCCCAATTCGATCTATATTTTTCCTATTAAATTTGGATCAGTAATTAAAAAAAATTTCTTTATTTTTTTTAGTGATCTGATCGCATGTGGAAAATCAGCTATTTATTTATAAAATCTTGTTAGTAGGCATAACGCTCTGACCATTTGAATTCCGTTAACTATTTATTAATTTTTAGAATCTCCGCTTGTTTTAATATGTTCTCTTAGGTCAAAAGATATTTTCTTTAGTATTTTAATAAACTCAACACAATTTCCAGTCTCCTAATTAATCTCAATCTCCTCTAATTATTTATTAATTTAATAAAGAGGACTGTTCATTTCTAATTTACTTGGGAAGGATAAAAATGTTTGATCAGATTACAAATGATCATCCAAAACAACAGGTTTCATAATTTCCCACTTCACTTTCGGAGGAGATTAGCAAAATGAGTTGGTTAATCGAATAGTTTAATGGTTATCACGTTCAGATGATATGATAATTTCGTCTAAATCCTTTATAATCTCATTTTAATTTAAGCGGTATTCATTAATCAAAGAATTGCTCTTAGATGAAAGCCCAGAACTCTACTTTGAATTATTTTCTAACTAATTTGATCAATATTTTTACTTAATATTAAGTGTTGGCTCTTGTTTTAATTTCTACCACATAACCTTTCATCACTTGTTCACGGATTTTGGACAAAAAACTATTTAGTTACTGATCTCTTCTTAAGGTGTCTCTATCAATACGATCATTTTCATATTACATTAAAAATTGATATTATTAATAATTCAATTAAAAAAGTCAACTAAAGACTTTATATCCAAATGGATGTAAATTAAATAAATTTCAAGTCCTTTAATATTTCTAAATCAGTTTCTCTAATGTCTCATCATAATTTATTTTTTATCCTCCAGCTTTCAAATTTGTTACATGTAAACTGTAAGTGTTCTAATGATTCAAAATTTCCTTGTCTAATTCCTCAAATCTTGGACTTAATTTGGGAGAGAGTAAAGGACTTGTGAAACGACTGGAAGACTCACCTATTTCAAAAAAATTGAAATTGCCCTCAAATCGAGGTGATGAAATCTAACTTCCAGTATTCAAAAGCGTATCAGAAAGATGGGAAAGTGAAGGAACATGATGATGTTGCTTTTGCTATTGAAAATAACGATGATTTAAGGCTTCCTTAGCGCTAAACCGCTTCTATGGGTGTCGATTCAACATGCCTTAAAGCAAATCAAGAGCATCATAAGACACTTTAACCTTGCTGTAATCCAGTTTTGACTCTTTATTTAGCTTATATCTATCATCATAGTTTTTTGAATAGAAGGGATTTAATCCTGTCAACATCTAATACAAAATAACTCCAAGACTGAAGACATCTACCTTTTGATCATAAGTTTAATTGCACAAGATTTCTGGTGCACAATATCCTGGAGTTCCACACTTAATAAATAAATACTGCCCATCTTCCCTGTATATGTCAGCCAATCCAAAATCTATAATAACATATTTTTATGTTTCATTTCTCAATAATATATTATCAGGTTTTAAATCTCTATGTAAAATCCCTTATTCGTGAATATATAACACTGTTTCAAGCAGATCCTTAATGATATTGAAGGCCTAAGATTCTGCTATTGTAACTCCTCTTTCCAATGTGTCATTTAGAGTCTTACTCTATAGGAATTCAAAAACCAAAAAAACGAATTATTCGCTCTCATACACTTCATGAAGTTTTATGACACCTCGATGATCTAAGGTCCTCAGAATTCCAATCTCCTTTACCAAGCCTTCCTAATCGTCAAGAGAACTTAGAAGTTGTTTTTCAAAAGTCTTCACAGCATAAATATTTTGATTAATTTTGTTTTTTACACGATAGACCTACAATAAATTCAGTCAAATATACTTTGCCATAAGTTCCAGCTCCGACTAATTTTTAAACTTAGTATTTCTGAGTAAAATTAGTTTAAATACAATAGAGACTCAATTTTTCAAACCACTTTTCAATGGAACCATAAAATTCCAATGAAAATTCAATGGAATATATCCTGATACCTGATCCCAAAATTTTGTGTTCTACTTTTGTAATCATGTAATTTGAAACATTAAGTTGTTCTTTCTAATTTTTAATAAGCTATATATTTACATCATTTAAACATAGAAATTATTTAGACAATTTAAGTTGTGCTTTTTGGCATTTTCCTTTTGAATTCAAGATAATCTAGAATACGTCCTAAAGATCAAAGGATCTTTGAGTTATTGTTTCCCATTTCAATTAAAAGTAAGAGAAGAAAGATTTCTTACTGCACTGATTAATCATACAATTTTATTAAATAAATTAAGAGGAGATTCTTTCGTAAGAATGTGATGATGAATATATATATTAATTTATATTTTTTGGATTCTCATTTCCTAAAAATGAAATCAACTATGTTAATACCCTTCAACTATCAAATCTCGAAATAGTTCTTCAACATTTAAAAAGATGCTTCTGGCTAATCAGTGGGTGTCATGTGTCCAGCATTGTAAACCATGCAAAAATGCAAATGCTTATAAGATTTAATTGTGCCAGCAGTTTCTTCCATTTTTGTCTTGGGATTAATAAATTTCCAGATGGATTTCTTTTATTTCTTCCAGATTGGCAAGTCCTTCCATTTTAATAAATTGACCCAATATTCCACTCCTGTGTGAGAAACGACAGTATCCAATTAACCATGATAAACAAAGACTTTAATTTCTTATGAAAGCAAATAATCAATTGAAGGGAGAACTGAAATAGTTTGATCCTCTGCAAAAGCCATGTAAATATCCTGATTGCATCCCTCAAACGTAATGTTGGCAGGAAGATCAAATTGTTTCTTGTGATCATTGATAAAATCTTCGTACTAGTCCCCATCATCATAGTCATATATTTAAATATTATATCTAAAGTTGGGTCCAATAACATCATTAAAGAATATTTCCTCATCACTCTCAATTAAGAATTTCTCATAATCTTAATCATCTATTGCTTCTAGTGATTCAATTCCAGATTTCATCATTAAATCATACCTGTACTGATCAATGACTCCGTAATTAATTAACTATTGAACTGTGGGTATCACTTACACTCTGGGATGAGACCATGCTCCGCCAATTCCTATTCCAATCAAATTAAAATTAGTTTCTTTCTTTATTTTTTCTGCCAATACAGGTATGTAATGTCCACCATAACTTTCTCCCCAAATATGTAATCTTGCTTTAGCTAACTCTTTATTTTATTCAAAATATTATGTCAACAATTCAATTACAAAATCTGCTGCATCCCAACTATTATTTATTAATCCTTCTTTAGTCGAGTAACTCATTCCTGTAAAAAAAGGTTAATCAATGTACATTAAATGTGCCTATTTGTTCCAAGATGTTTCCTTTTTTCTATTAAACAATTAATACTCTTGCGTGCAACTTCTGATCATCATCTACTCTGATAGGTCCATTTTCATTAAAATTACTATCCTAAGAAGAACATCCCGGACCACCATAAATCCACAGGATAAATTCATCATCTGGTTTGATATCTGACTTTTTCATTATTGACTCCTTTAAGTGAAGTGAATAAAATAATCTATTTTCTGATTATGCTAAATCTCCAACACTTACATATCCTGTTTCAATATAATAATTCACTGAAGGCAGAAGATTTTTAAAGAAATCTAATTTTAGTGAGATAATACTTGTTTAATCTTTAGAATAAATCAAGCCTTTGCTTGCGTCAATGAATGCTGAAAATATTATAAATAATAACATAATTAATTAGTACATATTCTCAGTATTAACAAATTACATTATGACAATTAATCTCGCTATTCGATGAATAACTAACTCAATTTAACATAGTTTAAGATTCATAGAGTGATATGAATTATTAGGATCATTTTCGTTTAAAAAATAGAATAGCTTTAAAATCCTTCTAAAATTATTTTCATTTTAGTTAAGAAGGATGATTCAATGATATTTGATAGAAATCACTATCTATAATTTCATTATCTTTTTATATAAATTAAAGAGTCTGAAATAGAAATAAGAAATCTTTAAAATAAACTCTAAATTCAGATATCGTTTTCCATTGCTTTAGAACATTTTAGCATAATAGATAATAAATTTCAATTAATTAATTGTTAGACATAACTTTTAAATAAAATTATTATTTTGAGTTACAATTGAAAGTAAATTTTGAGAAGATATAATTAAAAATTTTAGATTTTTAAATTTTTCTTAAAATTGGTGATGAAGAAATATATCATAGATTGATTAGATCAAAGAAATGATCAAATTCATACTTTTGATTATATTTATATAATTACAATTTGATAAAAAAAATTATATATTAAAATATATATTGTAAAATTCAAAATTAAAAGTAAAGTTGTTTAGAGACTATGAAATAGTAATTTGAATTATGATCTGAAATTCTAGATGAACAACAAATCAAGAATACTAATAGCATATTAAATTTTCAAATCTTTCAAAAATTTAATTTGGTGAAAGGATCCATTCATATTTAAGAAATTTAAATCATATCTCTTTATGAAAATGCTTCTTACAAAATTAAGCAATGGAAATAATTTTTATCGATAATTTACAAAAATGTACTAAAAATAGAAATCAATCTATTTTTTATTTAAAAGTCTGAATTTTTTCACAGTATGACTCAATAATTTTTAATTTTTAAGGAATAGCATAAGCAACCAATTTGAATTTATTATATAAGTTTTGTGTATATTTTTTTGTATTCAACAAATGTTCATTAATTTAAGCGATTTATAATTGTTTTTCATTTTAACAATTTCAATTTAAATTCCCTTCAAAGGAATTCTTATCTCATTGAGAGTACTTTTATGAGTTCAAATCAGCAATTCAAGTAGCCATTTATTTATTTTTCAATTCGATAACTAAAATAGTTAACTAATAATAATTGCTTAATATTTTAAATTGTTTGTTGTCTCAATATTAAACAATAAAATAAAAAAGGGTTGTATATTTAGAAATATTTGAGATTTCATAATTATCAAAGTAAATATTTATTAATAATGTGTTCCAATTTTTATATATCGGTAGGTTTTGAAATTCGTTCTTTCATTCCACATTAACTTGCTATTAGAACATCATCGTCCCCAGAATAAGCGGAATACATGGTTATTATGCATTCATCATGAAGAAATTTTTATTTTAGTTTTTAAGATATCTAAATGGATGATATTTTAAAATACTTCCGAAGATGCTTGAAACCCATTCTTCTATGGCATTTCAATATCCATAAAAATTATTCGATAAGTTTAACAGCATTACTACTTCAATCTCTATTCAACTAACTCTATAGCTGAGTTGCCATTGTATGCACTGTCAGTTTTCACTTTAAATTTTTTAAGCAAAACTTAAAGTGCAAAGTGATTACAAATAATGTCATCCACAATGAGTATTTTACTGCATTCACAATTTTTTTCGATTCTCGACAATTATCGACCCATTTAAAATTCCAAAGAACAGTTTTCAATCAGGTTTGACAATCGAAAACTAATCCTTGTGTATTAATTAAATTTCGAATCAATTTAGAACTTCTGCTCTTTATATAAGTATTTTGTAAGAAGCATTGAAATTCTCAGTCCTAAACCTAGTTTATTTGAATTATATTGAATGGAGTCTTAGAACAAGATTTCTGCTTCTTCTTCTATTTTTTCAATGATTTCATCCTTAATACCTTACCCATCATCATAAACAGTGAATTTTAAATAATCCTTCAAAAGTTCAGATGAAACTTGAATTGTTCCTCCTTTATTTGTAAATTTAACCGAATTATCAAGTAAATTAATAAAGACTCTTAATAGTCGCTCTTTATCAGTGTACAATCTAATTTAGTTATCATCTTCGATTTTCAAATGGATCTGCTTCTGCATGCATTCGAAATAAAACAATTCTTGTAATTGTTAAAATATTTCCTCTAATTTAAAGTAGGATTTATTGAGAGTCAAAGCCTTGCACTAAATTTAGGCGTAATCCAAAATATCATTTAGTTAGTATTACAATCTCTTGGTTGAAACAATTGCAGGGTTTAGATGGGATTCTAATAAATCATGTGTTAACTCGTCTTTTAAGGCATATAATTGAGAAATGACACTATTGATTGGAGTTCTTAATTCATGACATAACGAATTTAAAAGGGCTTGTTAGAATTTATATTTATGATTTAGGAGTTTGTATTCTTCTCTTTTTGTTATGTTTTCTAATACAATTAAATAAACATTTTAATCCCACTTTCCATTCTCTTCGATTTAAAAAATTTTAAGTTTCAGACTCTTATACTTAGATTTACATTATGAAGCATTCATAGAATCGAGTCTAATAATAAACTAAAAGTTTTCTCTTGAAGTGGATGTTTGTTAGCTTTAGTGAATTTTCTAGAATTTTTAAAATACTGACTTTAAATTCCCTTCCTACTGGGTCTCATTGTCCATCCTTTGTTGAGACCCACAATTGTAATATTGCGAAACTACATCTGGTATTGAATCATCAAATTATCTTTTTTATAAATTGATGGACGGTTATTTGAAGTATGACGTTTTTTTGGGTGATTTATTCATTGATTTTTTAATTTTTTTAGCAGAACGGACTTCTTAGATTTCTCCACTTCTGTTATAATTAATTAAATTATTTACTTTTAAATGGCTTCATCTAAAAACGGAATTATATTGTTGGGATTGGTGATTCCTAGTAACTATGTAACTTTTTAATTGTAGTCCAAAATTTTTAATTGTTAATCAACAAAAATTATACCAAAGGGAAGATTACTCATTATTGCAACTAAATCAGAATATTTAGAATCTATATGGCTTTCCAATTTTAACTGATCATGTTACAATGAATGTGAAGAATTTGTTGTTGTTTTCTACATGTTTATAGGTTGTTTTTTAATGATAATCCTCTATTAAATAGTGTCTCTATTTATTCCAATAGATTTATGCTCCTATTGTATTTTTGGAGATTCTAAATCGTAATTTATTTAATTAACAATTACACTCTCATTTAGATCCTATTTCAAGTTGTCGACCTTGCTATCATTAGACAAGCATATCACTTATTCTTATAAGGTTTGTTAGATTCCTGATTCCTGTTTAAAATAGGTCTGAGTTTGTTGTGTACATTCTACTTTCTTCAACGTATAAAACATATAATGGTTTAAGGGTTATAAGAAGACCACCAACATCAAATAATGTATTCGATATTCTGACTCAGTTATTATTGCTCTAATGACCATGTATGCCAAAACAAGATGTATAATTATCTTCGATCGAAGGGAGCCATCGTGAACCTTAAACAATATTAGTAATATATAGAATAGTTCAGCGATGTTGGCAATATTACGAGATTCTTAGAATAGGGTTTCGTAATTGATCACACATAAGAGATGGAGTCCTACTTTAATATAGTTTGTTGATATTTTGTAAAAGTCAATCGTTATTAGCAATAGGCATATCGAAAGGGATAAGGCATTAAGTAGTACAAAGTGCCAATTGGCATTTATCCAAATAAAACTGATTTGAATGATGTCTTAAATTATTAATTAGCATATCAATAATTTAATGAGTATTTCCATTAATAATTATAATATATAATCATAATAAATATTTGTCAAGTAATTGTTTGAGTTATTTTTACTCAATAGGCTTTGGCAATACCTCTTTGATGCCACAAGCCTTTGCTTTATTACTATTCTCGTTTCCATTATAAGCGGAGCACATCACAATAACAGTTTAGTCAGTAAATTTGTTTTTATTTAAAATGGATGTTATCTAAATTAATAAGATTGTTATTACTTCTTTTGAAGCTTAATATCCATTTGAGATTGGCATTTCAATGTCCATGAATATTAATTTATATGTTTTGCAACAATTTTAAGTACATCTTTTCTTGACCATTTAAACAGCTTGTTCTCCATTGTAGGCACTTTCCATTTTGATGTTGTGTTGATTCAATAGAGCCTCGATTGCATTATGATTAAATCTCACATCATCAACATTTAAGATTTGTATGCAATCACAATTAACATTGAAATTACACCCTTGAAAAGATGGAAATTTTAGATTATTCAATTACTTATAATTAGATTCTATTCTGAATGAAATTTTAGTAAATTGCTTTTCTTTACTTTCAATTTTAAGCTCTTTGTCAACACAGAGGTATTTGGCAATCTATTAACATATTTTCAATCCCAAACCAAGTTTAGTTTCATTTTTATGATACTAATCCTACATTTGGAAATCTTTATTGTTTTTAATTTTGGTTAGAATTTTATCAGAAATACCAACTCCATTATCCAAAACACAAAAGTATATGTATTGATTATCATGTTAAATAGTGACAGAAATGGCGCCTCCTTCATTAGTGAATTTAATGGAATTGTCGATCAAATTAACTAAGATCCTAATTATTCGTTCTTTGTCACTGAATATAATTTAAGTTTCTTTGATGTTCTGAAAATTTAGACTCAGTTGAATCTTCTTCTCATTGCATTCCTATTGAAATAGTTCTCTTATGATATCGATGATTTCATTAAGTTCAAATTGTGAGTTCACCAGATGAAAATTCTTACAATCTATTTGGGCATATTCCAAAATATCATTTAATAGAAACATTAGTTTTTTGGCAGAGATGATGGCAGGGATGAGATTCTTATCTCTAATTTAAGGGGAAATTAAGGATGTTAATGCATTCAGTTGTGATAAAGTGTTATTCATTGGTGTTCTTAATTCATGACATAGAGAATTCAACAAAACTTATTAAAATTTGTATCTTACACTTAATTAGCGCAATTCCTCTTTATTGGTAATGTTCTCTATGACAAATAAATAATTGATTTTATTTTCAATAGTGTCTAATTCATACACTTTGATTCTGAAGTGATATTTTTTAGAACCAATGTCTTGGACTTTCTTGATTATTTAAATACTTTGGCCAATTGATTGGAAGGAACAATCCCCATTGTTATTTAGTGAATAGGATTTCAAGGCAAATTACTTAAGCAACTTGTCTAGATTAGAATACCTGGATTTGGTGGTCATGATCTCATCTCTGATCTAATTGGAATTGCTGGCTATGAAGGCAAAGTCTCCATTGAGATGAGAATGAGTCCCACCGTCTGGATTCAATGAACTTTATTCATGATTGCTTTTTGATATGAGTGACAATTATCTTTTGGTTTGAAATCTCCTGCTTTAACGATTGCTACAATGTGAGCTAATTTAATTTATGGATTTACTCTCCCATGATTCAGGACTTATTATGTTAATTCATATACCTCTCTAATAACAAATCCAAATTTAAGATGATATTCCTCCCATCACTATCCGATGCTTTTAAAAAATATAATAGTTTTTAGTTGTAGTTCAAGATTTCGTATTTGCTATTGATCAGTGCTATGCCGAAGGGCAACAAATTCCAGATCTGGGGCACGTCTAGAGTCGATGCCTATTTCTGAAATTGAGAGAAGGTTTTCTAATCGAAGTCTGCGATCTGAGAAAATGGATTATTCATGTACAGTTGTTTCAACTGCTTCAAGTTTTGGGATATCCCAGAACTGCCCTAGAAATGACTGCTGCATTATTCATCCTATTCTGAAGAGTCCTTGCATAATTGTGGAGTTAATTCAAATTGACTTTTACTCAACTCCAGCGATTATTTCTTTAATTGATTTATTACCAATTATTTCTTTTTGTATAGCATCCAATGATTGATGGGTTGCCACAATACACATGTAAGCAATTAAGTTAGGTTGAACAAGTCTTGGTATTGTATGAGTGTCCTCAAAAATAAGTAAAATATTATTGAATGTTTTGCAATTTAATGCCATGTCAATTCATCATCAAATTGAGTAATTAATAACACGATGAACATTACCAACTGAATTGTATTTATCGATGAAATCTCGTGATACACCAACTCCACATTCAATAAGCACAATATTAAGGCACCCACTCGATTCATATAGTTTTGTTATATTTTAAGTAATTCCATTCCAAATAATAAAACAGCTATTACCAACGAAAATGAATTGATCATGATGTATTACAATTGAGTTTGTTGCCTCATTCCCGCCTCCACCAGAAAAATTGTATTTTTTATTGAAAATTACAGATATATTGAACTCCTGTAAATTAGCATTAATATAAAAAATATATCACAATCTCGAAATTTGACATGATGAATCTTTTCCCATGTAATTACCATCTTACCTTTTGAAATCTACTCACACACTTATATGTTCATCCACCTTTCCACCTCGAATCTTTCAAATAACCTCATCTATCCTGCATTACTTAAATCTTCTAAAAATTAGCACTCTAATCAAACAATCTTGATACTTTCTCCATAAGTCTCACCCAAATCTATGGATCAATAATATTTACTGTCTAGCCACTGTGTATTAGTCTCTAGATCATCAACCCAGTAGAAAACTTCTCAAAAACTATTGTTGAATCTTATGAATATAGAAAGATTATTAAGAATTTTAAGATGTATTAATTATTCCCCTTTGTAGTTCAAAATTGCCTTTAAAAATAATCTCTTTTGAATGATGTCAATATTGTAGGTTGAATCCATTTAGACTGATGGTAAATTAGTCTTTGATTATATGATATATGCATCACTGATACATTCCTAACATTTCATTAATTTTACTCCACTTTCGATATTGAATATTTTGCATATTGAAACAAACCAGCAGTAATGATTATTAAAATGATTATATTTTTTAAGTTAAAATGCAACAAAAGTCAGAGGGTATCAGTATTGAAAGTACTCTTTTATTTATATTTTGGTCTTAAATCGATTTAGTTCTTAAGTATAAATTAATAATGATTACAGATTTATTATCTTTTTTACACCCAGATAAACAGGACTTACTATTTTTAACTGAATAATAAACCAATAAAAATATCTTCACATGTGTCTACTCTCATTCTATACTAAAAACATTAAAAATAATTATTATAATTTTATCTATTTAAAATGCTAAGTAAATATAAAACTTTCTCCTTTTGCTCAACTCTCTATTCAAAATTAGGAGTGTCACCTAATGACTCTATTGATACCATTAAATCAGCCTACATCAAATTGGCTAAACTATATCATCCTGATGTGAATTTTGCTTAGAAAGAATAGGAGTTTAAAGAAATTACAAATGCATACAATATTTTGAAAGACCCTATTAAAAGGAAACTTTATGACTAATCAATAGATGTCTAATAGCATTCTAGCAACTAGGGTCATCATGAAAGTAATCAAGAGAAGCAATACTATAATAATCCTGGATGGCAATATAATGGAGAATAATAGAGATAATGGCATGAAAATAATACTCAGAAAAATACCTATCAACAGAGAACTTATAAATACACTCAGTCATAAAATAATACCAATCAGATCTATGGACTATTAGCCATAGGCGGAATTTCTATAGTTTTTTGGTCTATTGTGTCGGATGATGATTATTCTGAAAAACCCAAGATACTCAAGCCTGCACCTGCCTCTATTAAAATTAGTGACAATCCTACATCATATGCAGAACTCAAATAAATTTATGATTCAATTGAATAAAATGATAGTAAAAAGATGCAAAGATATTACACTCATAAATCTGAGGAAGACTAGACTGAACTAAGAAGATAGAATGTCATTTATCAGGGATAGAATTTGAATGATTCTCCATTTATCATAGAATAGAGAAGAAAGATGATGAATGAGGAGATGAAATAGAAGCAATTTAAAATTCAAGTGGAACAATATGAAAAGGTAATTAAGGGAGATTCCAAGATACTCAAACGAAAAGATTCAAATCCCAAAAAGTCAGAGTTAAAAACTAAACAAGGAGATTTAACCTTATAAGGATTTGCCAAACAAAACAAATTGGATATCAATAAATCCAATCCACCATAACAGAATCAAACCTTAAATATAAGCATTGAGCATTTAGAATAAGGATATATGTGATCATATTTTAATATTTTAATTTCTTAAAAATATCACACTTTGATATGCGTTGCCACTGCATTATCTAACTTTTCAAAGAACTCTTATGAGTCATACAATAAATGCTCTTCGTTGATTTCATATTCAAGATAAGCACCCTATCATTAATCCAATTTATACTTTCTGTTGATAGTAATTAACAACTTCAGCATTGACCTAATCAGTTGGAGCTGAACTTGATTCTAAAGCGCATTTGCTTGGTGATTAACACTAAATGTCGTTGACAAATTTATACATTATTTTAGTATCCTGGATGTGTTGGTGTAATGAATGGCAAACTAGTATTGAAGACCTTACCACATGATTAACATGATAGAAATGATCCTGCAATTTTCTATGCTAGTGAGTCAGACAACCTGAATCTAACTGCTAAATTGATTCCATCCAATAATCTATCAAGGCTTTAATATTTTTTATTTTTTCAATTACCTTTCTGCTTCAACTGCTGTATTTGGGAATCCAAATAATAAAGCACCATTAGTTTAAGTAGATTGCAATTATACTTATTCTGCTAATCTAGCTACACCATCCTATTGATATACATTATAATTTTACTACTCCACTAGATTTCTATGCATCAATAATTGAATATTAAAGGAATTGTCTATGTTTCAAAGATAAAATTACTTTTCAACCAGATTTCTGATAAATTGGTTCGATTGCAAAAATACAATTTTTGGATATTAGGGCATTTTGGCTGTATATTTGAATTGATCATAAATGACTGATTAAGTGAAGAATTAGTGAAGTTATTGAGCTCTTTGAATGGCCAATCTTGAGTTGCCAAAGAATTATTGATTCATTATGAATACTAATAATAATTATTATCTTTATATCAAATTTAAGTTATATGAAAATAAAATATTTAAAATAGTTGGGATATCTCAATTATAACTAGTCAATCTTTTTACATTTATCTATAAAAATTATAGGACATATTATTCCTAATCTATTGACTCTCTGGATTAAACTTGTTAATAATTTAGATTAAATTTCATATTAATAATCACATCAGAAATCTAAATAACATTTTAACAATTAATAGGCCGATCCCGGTTAATCAAGTTATGTTAAATGGCCAGCCTAATATACAATAGCAAATGCAAAATTTTTGTATTATTTTATTGTTCCACCTATCAATAACTCTTGAGTTTATTTTTGTTTATAGAAAAATGGGATCTTCTGCTCTTTCTTCCATTACTACACAACCTCGTTTTTAATGTTATTTATCATGACTTATACTCCAGCTGGACTTATATTGTAATCAAATTATCCATTATACAGCATCACTTTCCCTTTGTGTAATAATTATTCAATATCGCTTAAGTAACTCATATAAGTATCAGCATAGAATGCTTGCAAAATTGTAAAATTAGATGGATTAAATGCAATATTAGGAGGGATGCCATACTGTTCCTTATTTCCAATTACAAATTAGATATAGGAGTTGTCATTCGGGTCATTAGTATGTTTATACACATTATCAGGATCAAAGTATTCCAAGAAATCTAAATCAAATGTTATATCAATTGTGCTAGTAGCTGCCTCATAATACTTCTCCTCCATCATGAGATTCTATTAGATTGCTTCTATTTTTCTAATGAAATCGAAACGATATTGATCAATAAGACCATAGGAAATCAAAGTTGTGGCTTAGTTTCGATATTGTGACAATGCTTCAGTCCAAGAACCTCCAATAAACACTCCTCTAAAATTCAATTCCAAATTAGAATTAGCTATCTTTGTGGCAATTCTTGGAACAAAATGTCCTGCATAGCTGATTCCAACTACATGAAAATTAATCTGTTTGAAAATCATGTGAGAATCCAAGAATATTTCGATGAACTGTAAAATATAATCAGCTGCTTCCTCTGTAGTATTTACTATATCTTTCTTTGTAGAATAACTGAATCCTGATCCAAAGGGCATATCTATGTACAATACATGAGAGTGTTCATTAATTAGGTAATCCTGTAAAATTTATAAAAATTGGTCTTACCCATAAAATCAACTTCCCTTCAATCACTTTGAAAGGTCCTGTGTATTTAAACGCATATTTCGTAGCTGCAGAACCAGGGCCTCCAGGGATCCATAATAAAAAGGTATCATCTTTTTTTACTTGTTCCAAGGACTCTACTCCTTACTTTAAAAAAAGGTGGTAAAATAACTTATTTTCTGAATGAGTTTAATCCTCAACATCAATGTAACCAGTCTCACAATAAAAGTTCACATTTTCATTCAATTTCTTATAAAACACTTTAACTTATAATCATGATTACATGTTTGATCCCTTGATTCTATCTTCTAACAATTAAACTATAATAAAAATACGACTATTAGATAAATCATATATTATCTAGAGTATTTAGATACTTTAAATAATAATAATTTGTGTGAGTATAAATATTTAATATTTCGCATGATAAATTATAATGAAACTAAGATGAAATCAGTGATTTATGTCACTCTTATCTACCAATGTGAGCTTTTAATTTTTAATTACAATTTTATCAAAATTTTAGGATTGAAAAAAGAGAGAAAATTAAAATTATTTCTATACATTAAAAATGAACAAATAATCTGTTGATCATTTCTTGAATAGATGTTTAAGAGCAAAATTAGGAAGATTTAAAATGAGAACGCAGATCTTAATTATAAATGGTACAATCTTAACCCTTTTAATTCCTTCCATCTTAATAGCATATGCTATAAATATGTATTGCATTGAACAGATTCTTTACGATTCCTCAAAGGGAAATACTATTTTGGACATGTCAAAACATCTTGAAACTGCTTCAATTATGTTGAATCATCATCTTAATTCAGCCTTTATAAGAAGTATAGAGTGCTATCAAATTTTTAGCTTAGATTACATTAACAAACCTTAATTAGCTCTATTGGTTATAATAACAAAATGATATAATTACAACTTCTTAGATTTCCAGAATGTGTGATTATTTTCAACCTATCATGCCTCCAGAACACAACTATTCCATCCCGTGCTTTTCAAGATTTGGATCGGAATCCAGTACATAAACTTCTTATTTAAATAGCGATGTAAGTTAATAATTGTAGAGTATCACTAATCTAGTGGGTTCATTAATATTAAGTTCCATGAGATTAAATGATGGATATTGGCCAAACTAAATTTATTTTGTCTCTTCCATTAATTCAAACTAATATGGATTTTTATATCCTCAATTCGCAATTTACCCAAATTATAATCCAAAAGAAAGGTAATGGTATAAATCACATTTTGAAAATTTAGAAAAAGATAAAAACAATAATACCCAAATAACTAATATCTATAGATACTTTGATGCTTAACCAATATATTCAATAACAATGACTCAATCTATGTTAAATTTGAATAAGGAAGTCGAAGGTTTGTTCTGCTCAGATCTCATCTTTACAAATAATCTTATTCCTCAATTAAATATCAATATAATGATCGTAAATACACAAGGGACTTTAATTTTGTCTAATTATAAAAATGACATTGTTTCTAATTCATCTCTATTGATAAACTTTTATGATGAAGAAATCACTGGATTTACAACTGATGATTGGATTTCTATTCTCAATTATTATTACACTAAATAAACAAACTCTACTTGTAATTATGAGTACTTTCAAATCCCGTGTAGATTCAATAGCATCTACAATAAAGAATTTGTAATCTAAATCATCAAATTATAGAATATTGATTATTTCCTCATACTCTTTTATGACATTTAGATTGAATAAGAAATTGAATTTAATATCAAACATCTACTACACATAATACATTAAAATTTGAACAAAAATATATTAGTAACTATTTTAGCCTCAATAGGAATAATTTTATTGCAAATAATTATAATCTATATAATCTTTTTGCCTATGTACAAGGTTATAAGATAATCACTGTTCTTTCTAAAAAAATAATAAAAAAAATCCAATTAATGCAGACCTTAGAATCTATTACAAAAAACAAATTTATTTTAGGATATACTTATTAATAAAATCAGACCTAATTAAAATTGTCAAGAGAGCAGTATAAATAAGCAATTATTTAATAGATAACGCACTTATGTAATTTAAATTGAGGTTTAATACTTTATTTGATACAGTGCTTGCCTAAAGAATGACTATCAATCCTTAATGTCAAATAATTCAGTAATTTAAGTATCCTCAAAAAGTTGTTTATAATTATTACGAATAATAGTCGGCCAGTCCAAAAGTTACTTTTCAAAAAGCTGCTTTAATTTTAATGTTGCATTATGAGTATAAAAAATAACTATTATTTTTTATCTTAAAAGATGTTTATTTTTTAATATGTATTTCAGGTCGTTATGAGCATAGTATAATAAAAGAATTCAAAATAGGCTCTTCTTTCTTCCAAAAACTAATATAGTTAAGATTAAAAGTTTATATTTAGTTGAAACAATTAACTTATTTTTTTTCATAATACTATTTTTTCTATTAAAATTGTTATTTATGATCTATTCTAAAGTGTAAAGAAAATTGTAGCTGTTAGGTTCAATAGGTCTTTTTAAAACGTTATAGCCATTTAAGACCATTGAGATTACAAGGCTATTTTCATCAACACAACAATTTAAAACAACAAGTTAGATAGTACTTCCAATATAGGGTTTGTGCATATTCATTTTTTACTAATATGCTATATGTAAATTAATAGTTACTAATTCTAACTTTTATTATTATAGTTTACAAAACATAAAAATGAAATTTGTTTATTAAAAATTAATACCATTTTATATTTGGTTATGAAGAATATTTCTCAACTAATAATAATTATAAAATAGTATTCGTTCCTAAATCCATTATTAATCTGATATTTTTGTATAAAATAAGTGCTATTCAAATTTGTGATACATATTTAGATTAAGTGATATTCTTTGAGCCTATGCAGTGCAATTTCAGAAATACAGCTTTTATTGATTTATTTATATTAGATAATTGACTAACTCAAAATCCAATATTTTATAATTTATAATGATTATACTATGATCAGAATAATTCAGAATTTTATCGATTAAATTAAAATTTATGGAGATAACTCTATTCTATCTTATCACTTATTTATTTTTTTGCATTAGAACCATTGTCTTTGCTTCATAATCCAACAATATTGTAATTTTTCAAATGTATTGCCTGAATCGATGGCTTTCTAAAACTTATTTCATTTATATCAAAGAAATATAATTCTAAAAGGCATATATTGAATTATGCCTCTTAATGATTTAAAATAACTCCCGTTAAGTTAATGATAGGTATCTTCGTTAATTGATATTTAGATAAAATTCAGATAATTTATTGTATTTTCATCGTATATTGAAGATTCAAATTTCATTTAAGTTTGCTAAAAAATAAATTTTATTTAATGTATAATTAAATCACTAATTTACAATTAATTAATCTATGAAATTCAACAATTAAAAAAGAAAAAAAATACAAAATATATTGATCATTTGCCAAAGAAACAACAACGCGAGGGCTTGGGACCATTGAAATAGCATGGGTTAGATCTAAATAGTACAGTATTTTTATTTTTAATTCCATCCATCATCAAAAATTCATAATCTGGTACTCGACCGGTTTTTGCACATGACATGGATGTTAAAGATTCACCATAAATTTATAACTATTTCTATTCCTCATTCATACTCTTTTGTAATCCTTCAACATATCACACGGTAAGATGGATTTCAGCATATTTAATACTACAAAAACTGGTACAAAATTAAAATCGACTAAAGAGAGTTCAGTTCCATTCATGTATTTTTTATCTTTTAGCCAGTCATCCATTTGCTTGAAATGTTTTATTAGCCATTCTTTGAGCTTGATAAATTTCTATTAATTTTTAACAAGAACTTACTTCTTGTTCTAAACAAAAGATGAATTGGTAGAGATTTTTGATAATCTCATTTGAATACTCAAACTTAGCTCTGTCTAATGCTTTTTGCATAGGGTCCTCTGACATTAATTTAGGTGGTGTGATCTCATCAATGTATTCTATAATTGCTGCTGACTCAAATAAAACAACTAAAAAATATAAGAAAGCATTACCTTCTTCACCAATGATTAAAATAGGTACTCTTTCTAATGGACTTAACTTAAGAAACCAATCAGGTTTATTGTGCATTTCAATAAACTTGATTTCAAATTTAAGATTTTTATGACACATTATTGTAAGCACTTTCATGCAATAAGGACATATTTTAAATGCCACAAGTGTATGTTTGAATCTCTTATCCATCGCAAATTTAATCGATTAAATTTTGTTATTCTAATAATATAATTTGTAAAATTTTAGATAATTCTTAATTCTTTAAAAAGCTCAAAGTGCAAGAACAATAAATTTCTATGAAGTATTGGAGAAATGCGATATTAATAAATCGATATGAACAATTAAATTTAGGTATACTGAATTTATAATAAGGGATAAATAATTATAGTTAATATTTAAGGGGTCAAACAATTTTTAATTCAATTAATTTAGTAATTAATATTTATTTGACATCTTATTAATAAATTATGGAGACAAGTTGGTCCGACTACTTTTGATAGAGTTGATGCTTATTGACAATTCAAGAGGACGATGAGTTTTTATCAATTCTGAAGGGACTGTAAGAACGATATCTGGTTTTAATTTTGGAAGACCAGGCGAAAGAGAGATATCTATGCGATTAAAATAAGAGAATGAGGTGAGAGTGTTTAAATAGGGTAAAGTAAAAGAGAGGGAGTTTCCATTGAGGTGAATTTGGACGATGATTGAGAACTACAGTGAATATTAATTGAATATATATTATTTATTATTTTGTATGAATCAATACGAAAGAGTAGTAAAAGATTCTTGGGTAATGATAATGATTACACTTTTAATAATGTTTTAAAGTATATTTGGAGATGGATCCTTAATCATAACCATAACTATTGTGGCTGCTTAGATATTGAGAATAATATTGGGTTTAATTTCCTAAACAAAGTAATACTCAATTCATTTTGAAATGCTATAACAATGGACATTACTTTTTGCTTTATATTCAAGCTCACAATTCAATGGCATGACAATATTGGCTTTATGCAGCTTGAAAGAGTTCTTTTTTAGCAAAATAAATGCTTGCTTGCCTTCCCTTAACAAACTATAAATAACTCAAAAAATAGTATCCGATCTCATTCTATTTACAATAATCTTATTGGAAGATTACAATTCAGTTTACTTATCAATCATAGCCATTATTGTACATTGGTTACTTTTATTTCATCATTCTAAATCTAAAATAATTAGAAGAAATATAGACAGTTCTACTTAGTAAGAAATGCAAGATAAGATTATGATTGACAGTGCAGGCAACACTTAGAATCATTCACGTTTAAAACTTTAGGAAAGACCTAGTAATCACGAGAGTCCAAGACATGAGAGAGACAATAAATTGGAAATCTTGAGTATATTTCCTTAAGGAATAGGGTTGTTTAAAATAACAGACAAAAAGATAGACTTAGAGTATCATAATGAAAATTTATTAAAATTATCAATGGCCCAACAATCAGATTAGATTCTACCCTCCTTGTTTTGTCTCGAACAATAATCCATCTAAGTAGATTAGGAGAAATAACAAATCGACTACAAGAATTCCATAAGTTCATTTTCCACTTTTCAATAAACTCCAATCCCTTGCAATTTAATAAACAAAACCTTTCGAAATGAAAAGAGATCTCAAACAAATAATTTATAGACTTCCTAAAAATTAGAGTTATGTAGACAAAATTCAGTCCTCAGTAATGTTGAATACAAGGGAGTAATCTTGAAGAAATGCGATACTTTAGAAGAATCGGTAATACTCATTTTTAATGTTAGATTCTGGAATAGGAACTAAAGCTGATATCCTCTTAAATGAGAAGAGGGGATTTCTAAAACTAAATGAAAAACTAAAATGAATTGATCTAAGAACATGTAGTAATTTTGGGATATTAAAAAGGTTTAGATGGAAAGAAGAGCAGAACTATTGAAGTCAAATTGTATAATGCTTTAATCATTGATGTTCCTTACATTTTGATGCTCATTAGAGATATTACTCATAGAGATTACATATAGCAATTACGTGACTATAGTAAGCAGAAATCAAAGACTTTATCTTTTGTCAGTCATGAATATAGAACCCCATTGAATTGCATTATTGACATGTTGGAATAAGGTGTTGATGATGATCAGAAATATTCATCCTACACTATGATAATGGAAAAAGAAGTACGCAGATCTCCCAAAACTAATCTTCCTATTAAAATGGCCAAAAAAATTAAAATTGCTTTGGATCATGCAAAATACCTCTAGAATCTAAGTGATGATCTCTTGGATTTGGCATAGATGAAAGTCGGCAAATTTAAGATCAATAAAGCCAAATTCAATTTTAATTAATTATTAGAAACCTGTGTAGATTTATTTCAAGTGATAGCAGAAAAGAAACAGATCAAATTGTATATCAATTATGAAAACAAAGCTCCGAGAATGATATATTCTGATTCTAGTCGATTAAAACAAATCATGATCAATTTACTAGGAAATGCATTTAAATTTACTGATGAAGGTTCAGTAACAATAAAGGTGGCTCAGATTAATATGAGATTGGAAGTGTCAGTCGTTGATACTGGGATTGGAATGACTGAGGAAGATCAATTAAGAATATTCTAAGCATTTGGGAAGGGGAATAGTGAAGAACATAAAAAAATGAATAAATCAGGTGTTGGATTAGGATTGTTGATTAGTAATTAAATTTTACAGAATTTGAATCAGGACTTATAAAATGGATTAAAATTCAAATCTTAATTTAAAAAAGGTAGAATTGATAATATAATTAGGGTCTACATTTTATTTTCTGATTCAATATCAAGATATAAATGAGATTAAGTCATTGAATAGTTTGGAAGAGCGAAATCAGGATAGTGAAGAGTCCATCATTATGCAATAATAGCAGGAGGAGTCCATTCACAAAGTATATGTGAATAATTAAGCTTCGATCTTTAAAAGATCTACAAAAGCAATAATGACGACTCAGATTATGATAGTGGATGATGTTTGTATGAATATTGATATGTTGAAAAGGAGACTAGCACAACTGTAATTATATATTCACTATGAAAAGTGGTTAAGATCAAATAGATTCAGTGACAAATGGGTATTTGGCAATTGAAAAATGTCAGAAGAAATGGTAAGCGAATCAGGATAACTACAAATTGATATTCATGGATTTAGAGATGCCTACTATCAATGGAATTTAGACAACTAAAAAGATCTTAGAATTATCTCAAATGTATGGCATTGATGTGAATATAATTGGATGTTCTGCATATGAAAGTTCTGAGTAAAAACTAGAATGTCTCAATGCAGGAATGAAGGATTACATAACTAAACCCATTCAATTACAAGATCTCTAAAGAATTATGTAGTTGTATTTATGAACTTTTTTTAAAGACATTATTTATTCGTGATAAACATTTAAATACTTTTTATCACAATCAATAAAAATAACAAATTATTCAATTCAACAGAGACTATTTTTTTATTTAATTTAATTTTTCAGGTATGGATCCTCATCAGTAATGCAAATACATCTAAGAAATCTCATACCAAGAGAACGACCAGGTGTTATTTATCAATATTATAGTTGCGACAAAGGGTATCTGAACTTGAAGCAAAAAATGCTGAATTGCAGGATGAAGTCGAAGCCATAAATGATCTGTTGGAGCAGGAGAAGACGCAATGTTAACAAAAAGATAAAGCTCTTTAAACTCTATAGGTGATTAATTAGGAGTTAAATTACAGGGTTTAAGAGTTGTAAAATAAAGTTGCCGAAAAAGACACTAAAATTTAGGAACTTTAAAATGTTATAAAATAAAAAGACGATTAAATCACATAAGTGAACAAGGATCACAGGAAAATTGGAAGCAAATCTAAAACTTAAAGAAAATAAAGCAATCCTAAAAAATAATGAGTTATTGGTTTTACTGTATTCTAATTATTTCAAAAAATATTAAAAATGAATAAGCCCATCTATCGTGAGTATTCAAATCTAAAAGGAGATGATGGAGATCCTAATAACACCAAGTTGATCCAAATCACCGACGACAACAGTAATTAACCTATTGATAATTCCATAAAACATACTATAATTGATTACAACTAATACTAGGAACCAATGGTTTTTTCGCCTTCTAACTGTAATAGTGAGAGAAAAGAGTTGAAAACGGATACCTAAAAAGAAACTAAAGCTCCTCAACTTATTATTTAGAATATCATAGACTCTGACAAACTCATTGAGATAATTACTACTGATCCCTTCGACAAGGCAGAACCTGTAAAGACCTTAAAGGGCATGTTGGGTTTGGAGACTGTTTAATATCAAAAAAGAAGGATCAAATTCAGAAATCATACTTATGAATTTAAAGTGAGATAAAGGAAGACTTTCAATTGGAAATAAGACACGATGAAAAAATGGAATTACAACCTCAATATCATTCTCTTTGTAATTAGGCTATAGAAGAATGTAAACCAAAAGTATCAAGCTAAACATTAAGCTCAAACGCAAAGTTAAGAAAATGCTAATTCACAACCTAATTAATCTGAAAGCAAAGGAAACAAGATATGTATCTCCATTTCAAAATTGATGTTTGGAATATTCTTAGCCATTGTAATCAGTTTTATGTTATTGCCCTTCATTTTAATCTCAGACTTGTTCTTAAGAGTCTACACTTACAATTGTCTATATGTTAAATATGCATGGTCATATGAAAACAAGTGTTACCGAATAGTTCTACTGCTGCAATTGTATATGTATGCAATAGCGATTGTAATAGCTGTAATAACCAATATCTATCAGAGCTTGATTACAACTGTTGAATTGATATACAATATTGTCGGTACAATCTAAAATAATATATCTAATCTTAGTAGATTATTATTTTCTACAATTAATACAACATTCTCTATATAAAAATGAATATAGTAAAAATAAACAAAGAATTTAATATTTATTTAAAAAAGAATTAATATCAATGCAGTAAGAGGAAGTTGTCTTTGATGACGCATTCAATTAGATCCTAAAAAAGGTTTTAGTGGAAGTTGATGGATTTTTTGAGTTAAAGGAGTACATCGGAACCAAAAAACCATAATTCAATGTATGCAATTTGGGCACAAATAGTTTATTCAAACCACATTTTCTAATGTTGTGGACCAAGATAACAATAGAGCAAAACTTGAGTAGAACGTTTAGAAAATACTTGAGGAGTTACTCAGAAATAATGTACAAAGACTTTTTATCAGAGTGTTTTTTTAATACCTAAAAAACAACCAGGAGTAAATGGATTTGAGGCAGTTTTAAGATTCAGGAATAGCCAATAATTGGAAGGATTTATAAGTTTAAGAACTACTTGATTTCATCGAGCTTTTTGATTTAAAAAATTTGATCACTGAAAATTAGTACTATTTAGAATACATAATTTAGATTGCATTAACACTTTAAGGATTTGCTTTAAAAATAGAAATTTGATGATGCATATCTGTTTTATACGAGTGTAAAATTACCTCAGAATTGTTTCGATAAATTAATTGAATAAATGTTATACAAAAATGAGGCCAGCAAAGCAGCAGATTTCATTAAAAAATAACATATTGATCCAGTCTAATATCCCAAGTTAGTGGAGAGACTGGAAAAAAACTGTATAAAATACATGTCCAAAGAACACCCTTGGTATAAAAATGAGGAAATGCTCCTGTATTAACAATCGTTTTTAGTGCGCTTTTGCGAAGATGCATATTACACTTTTTAGTCAAAAGAAGCGCTTTCAATCGTTAAAAGAAATAACTTAATAAACTTAATAAAGAACCCAATTTAGAAAGAATAAATGTGTTTGGAGTTGTAGAGTGGATTTTAGGAAATCCCTAATCCGCTGTTTGCTAAAGATGAATTTAAACCTGTTGAGGAATTTTTAAATAATGAAACCGATGCTTATTTGAATTGCAAGGATTTTGGCTATCCTGAAAATCAAATAATATTTATTGATAAAATAGATGAGAATTATTTTGATGCATGGAAATGCATTCATTCAAGCAATGCTGTTGGTATCACATATATGTATTAATATGAAAGGCTATGATTGTGAACATGTAACACCTTGGACCAAGTTGGATCTTAATGGATTCAAAGTTTGTTTCGTGTAAATTGCCACATCAAGTCATGCGTTTTTGTTTGACTATTAAAAACTCAAAGAGTCTCAGGAATTTAAAAATGATGTGAGACAACTGTTGGAGAATGTGGAAATCTTGAAAGTCGGTTTGAGTTTGAAGGATGATCTAAAGCATACTGTAAATTACTTGAAACTAAAGAATATAAAAATTGGGTCGATTATAGAATTACAATCGTGTTTCAAAGTATTAGAGGGAGATTAAAAGCTTAGATCCTTAGCCTATATATCTGAGTTCTATTTTAAAAAGAAATTAAGTAAATTTGACACCTGTAGCAATTGGGAATACAGGCCATTACGAAAGGCTTAAGCACATTATGCTGCCTTAGATGCTATAATCTCTTTATAATTGTATTTAACCATGAAAGAGAAGAACAATCAGGTAATGGAGAACTAAAAACAAGAATTATCTTTGGGTTGATTACAAATGAGTATTCTATATTTTTAAGGTCAAAATATATTGAAAGGATTTGTAAATCTTTATTCTTTGAGTGTGGCAGTTATTTTGTGTAGCTATGAGCATCTCTTGTGGCTTGATAAGAGTATTTGAAATAAATAAATTAATTTAAAAATAAATTTAAATAATGGACCAAGATTTATTGAGACCTTAATATGAAAGCGAAAAGAGAAAGCATAAATTAAAGAGATTGATTTAAGCTCCAAACTCATACTTCATGGATGTCAAATGCCCATAGTGCCAAGCTAATAACACCGTATTCTCCCATGCCAGAGGCATTATCACTTGCATGTAATGATTGCCCTTTATAGTGTTAGTAAATGCTCAAGTCAATTGGGAAGATCTACAGGAGGAAAGTTGTAACTCGTTCTTGGTGCAAAATACAAAACAAAAAAATGATAGTATATGATAGTATAATAAATAAACACACATAGCCACATGTTCAATAAATTAAAAGCAGTTAATATGGAGCTGCCTTCTTTTCATCTACATCTACATATCAATCTATTGTGAATTAATAGATCTATGTATGTCAATCTTAAAAAAATAATGTTTAAAAACGAAGTCTCATTCAGTTCTTACGATTGAGTGAGCAGAGTCTTTGACTCAAACGATAGCATATGTAAATGATTTACTGATCAAATACACATAATGATAACCATTTATCTGATAAAAATAAAATTAAAGAATTAAATGGACTTTCATCTTCCTCAAGGTAAGCAATCCTGGCCAGAATGTGTTGGAAAGACAGCTGAAGAAGCAAAGCAAATAATACTTGCTGACAATGCTGAATTACATGTGTAATTACTTCCTGAAGATTCTATGGTGACAATGGATTATAGAACAGATAGAGTGAGAGTGTTTCATGATGAAAATGGAGTAGTCAAACGAGCTCCACATATTGCATGAATAGCATTTATATAAAATAATATATTTATAATTGGATAAATATGTAATTGTCATGCTGTGTAGAAATAGAGACAATTGAGGCAAGCGATAGCAACAAGATTCTAGGTTTGGCACATACTCAATTTCTAAACTTTACGATTAAAATCATAGGACGATCCCAAATTCTCGAAGTACTTAGGTGGGATTTATCTCGCAATAGTTTTCTTATTGAAATTTAGTTCGTATTATTAATTGCATTCACCTAAAAAATACTAATATATGCTACCCATTCTATCGACAACATGAAAGGTGCTATTAAAGTTACCAGTAATAAAGCTATTAGAATCAAGAGTGGATGCAATTGAAAATTTGTCAAAAATGCATTCATTTTCATACAGATCACATAATTTAGATTTAAGTGGTTCAAAGACTTATACAGTAGCAACTGGTTTATTGGCCATGGCAATGTCCCAAACTTTGACAGTAAGAAAATCCCTTGAAAATATGTATTTTCCATTTCGACTGAAACAAGCATCAGATATGGAAGTGACTATTTCTGTGAAGAAATTCTTCTTGGCTGGGTCTTCAGGTTCAGCCATAGTAATAGCAGTGTTATCACAAATGCCTGACTTCCTCATATCGCATAGTTTGATGATCCCTTTGCTGGTAGTATACAAAAATTAATTATCCAATGTTGGATGAAAAGTAGAGGATGTTATCACTTCACTCAATTCATCTAAATTCTCTGGTTTTAAGTCTACGGCTACAAAGGCCTTTGATGGTTGTTCAACACTCCACAAATAAACCTTCAAATCATCTGAAGTCAAAACAAATTCTTCGTTGTTTGAAGCAGTCAATGAATTGATGTGATAATTATGGAGATTAGGGAATACTTTCCTCACACTAAAGGTTATAGAATATTTAAAATTACCTAGGGATGAGTCCACTTTCAACAACCTATAGTTTTGGCATAGCTAAATCTTTTCCACTTGGTTTAATAACCTTAGTGACATTCTTTTCGCTGATCTTCCACAACTTCACTGTTTTATCATTAGTAGTTAGAACATACATGTTTTTACCTTGTCCTCTCAACCACTGAACTTGATTGATCTTTTCCTCAATATCAGTACTCTTTAAGAAATCAAACTCTCTAGTATGAGATTGAAGTTCAGTCAGATATCTAAATAGTCGCTTATTATTTATACTAATATTCTGCTTTATCCTTCTTCTTTGTTTGTGGAACTTCAAAAACTATTAAACGTCCTGCTCTGTCTCCCAATCCTAAAAATCTCCCTGTCCTTTCAAATTGAACTGCTGAAATAATGTCTTCATCACTCACATTATCAGATGAGGCCTTGTCACCAAATACTTACATGAATTTCCAATCTTATTTCTTCATTTTATTTTTTTTAATTAAAATATATATCAAATTATTATGTAATTCATTCACATTATCATTCTTCAATTACGATTAATGCTGAAAATATCCCCTTATTATGTTCAGAAATTATCTAATAGGCATGATCTGGTGCAATAAACTCACCATTATCATAAGACTTCTCTTGAAACTTAATGTAAGGGTTATCCTATTCGATTTCCATATATTAGGTTGTTCCAAAGAAATCATCTTGACCAGCACATGCACACAAACAATATTTGCTGCCCTTCTCTAACCTTATCTTCTGCTTAAACTCAATTAAATAATTATTCTCATCTACCTTTGCAAATTCAGGATCAAATATTGAAAACTCTTCCTCATACAGACTTTCCCTCAGATTGAACCCTTTGTGTAAACTAAACCGTATTTTGTGAGGAGCATCCTTGAAATTTATTGGCTGCTCAAAATATATCCCATCAAAGAAGATTGGCTAATGCAATCCTTTCAAAGACAATCCATTTGATTTCGGTTCAAACACACAAACAGCTATTACTCCTGCATCTAATAGAACTCCATTGTTCTCCAACACTATGCTTTCATCTCTTTTCAACAGCCTTTTTATCGTTAGATTAGTTTGGTATTCCACTTGATTTTCTATTGACTTTAGAGTGTTTTTCAGTATGTCCTACAAATCATTCAAGTTTTTATTTATTGTTGTCTAATAAGAATTTCTTAACTTTTAAATGTCTTATTTCCCCTAGTTTATTTCCTTCAAAATTTAACTCTCCTCATTTATGGTTACAGTCTATAGCCAATCGATAATCTCCAACGTACCATAATCGTCATACAACCCAATCATTTCCTTTGGTGTACAGTTCACTGTTGCATTCACAATCGACTATTCAATCTCATCTAGAATCTTTAAAGCCGTAGCTTTAAATTTTAGAAATGACTTAATCACTTCCGAAAATTTCTCATTATTTACATAATACTACAATTATTCCAAATTTTTCAGCACGCTATTTCTCTTTTATTGCATTAGTCAATTAATAAATTAATTAAAATAATTTAATAAATCAAATTCACATATCTGAACTAAAATTATTGAAGCCCTAAGAACTCTTATTCACTTTCACTACTAATCTGCATGGATGATTATGATGTGATTAATAATAAGAAGAAAGTTAAATGAATCCTAGAATAAATCATACTCAAACTTAAATGCACATGCTGATACTCAATGAGTGAAATTATAAATGATTCTTTAAAAAAGTCACTTCTCATTTTTAATGATCTCTAGTATTAATATTAAAAGAATCTTGATATTCATAAGAATCATAAGAGAGACGACTATATAGGTGTTGTAAACACTTTTCATATTGAGCACTGCAATTAAGTGAGTCATCTATTCTAAAGACTATAATCAATTTAAGACATATTCATATGCTATTCTATTTTTAATTAGATTATAACTAAATTAACGTTATAACTACCGTTTAAATGGGTAATTTATAAAATGGAATTGATGTTTGCCAATAAATATATATCCATCAGTTTAACTAGAATGAAGTTATTATCCTAATGAAGATTACTGATATCTTCATTAATGTAGAACCATATGAGATTGTTTTGTGAATATAATATTTAAAAAGTTATTTTGGAATTATGAGAAATTTATGACATTACTTTTAGATCGAAGTTAATTAATTTATTAATCAAATATTTCATTTTAATCATTATTAACTAATAATCAATAGTATTAAACCTATCTATTAAAGCTTAATAATTAAGTTTAAGAAATAAGCCTTAGATGGGATAACCGATAACCCAAATTTCGGATCTATTAAATTAATTAATCTTTTTTATGATCATATTAAAATATTATTAAAAAATAAACATTTCTGATGGAAAAAATATTCTCATGTAATTTTATTACAATAATAGATTAGATCTGAAAGCTTGCGATATTTTTGCTCAATCGCCTTCTTTAGGAATGAATCAATAATCAACTTATCAATCAACATTTGGTGGATTTACATCAATAACAACTATTTTTCTGGTGTTTCTCTTTTTCTCTAGCAATTTCCTGGACTATATATCGGGGAAGAACATTATAACGAAGTAAACCTAAGTCTATGATAATGATCTTTCGAACCTTAAACTTGATGATCAAGATTTCATTATAGCACTTGGTATAGAATAATAGAACTTTTTACAAAACCCCTTCTTTTCAGTCACTCTGCAACAGAGGTAATTTTATTCATCATCCTAAAACAGAGAATACGAAAGATTGGAAAACGGGTCGTTTTCAAAAAATATCACTTAACTTCCCCTTGAGCCATGCACACTGGAAAGATTCTAAACTGTATTTTAAAAATATGGTAAAAACTTCTCAGAAGACTTCAATCATTTGAATTTAGAGAATTTGTTGTGTCCAAAGTATTTTATAGTAAAATATATTATAGAAATAACATCAGCATGAATATTGGTGGTACATTTGCATGTATATAAATTTTGTTAAATTAGCCAACTATTTTAATTTTCTTAAAGTTGAAGTCACACCTTGCAATCCATCTTAAATTTTAGAAAACAGCACATGTGCTTCTGATGATTCATTATAAGATCATTTAAATTAAATAGGAGCATTTAAAGTACAAGTGTATTTGATTAACAAAGTATGACATATCCCACAATTATTTAGGTAATCAATCCAAATAAAATTGGATCAGACTACATTTCAGTATTTTTGGATGATTCAAGTTATTTATCATTTGTTCCTAAAAAATTAAATAAGTATGCAAATATTTATTTTCGAGAATATAGATTTAGCAACAATTTAGATTTCTTTCCATTTAAGTAAATTTGATTTATACCCCTTAGGGATAATTAAAACTTAAACTTTATTTCAATAGACAACACCGAAACGAAAGAAGTGATTGATTTAGGAAGAGATTCAGACTTATCATATGCGTCTTTTTATTTTAGGAAAAGTCCCATCATAATATCAGTTGAAAGAAACAATCAGAGTGTTACTGATTTATTATCAAAATTGGGAGGATTACTGTAGATATCGCTTATAGTAATGGGATTTATAATAGCGGCATACAATAAATAAACAAGTAATGATTTGGTATAAGTTTAGTGATGGTGGAGTTGTCAAATAAAATATATGAATTTAGTACTGATGCGGATGAATAAAATAAATAGCATTAGTTAAATCTTGATTTAATTAATAATGTGTATGATGATAGACAATTTCGACATGAGTATTATATTAACAAAGAAGGACAATAATAAATTGTGCCAAATAGTTAAATCAAGCATAAGAGTAAGATATTTAGGCTTTTTGGCAAGGGTCAATAAGCTGAATAGCATATTATTTTGACTGACAGACCAACAACTGAGAATAATGAATGTAACAACTAAAACTCTTAAGACAATGATGAAAAGAGTAACCAATTTACGTAGTAGGCAATAAAAGATCATGGGTTATTGGCATAAAAGTTGAAATGTGTAAGTGGACTAGATTATTTTAAAAAATAGATCAATCTAATTTTAAATAGATCTTAAACATTACGATTCAACATATAAATATTTCTCAATTAGATTTGCTTTCGAAAGGTCTTTTCAAATTCTCAATCTGTTTAGTTTTTCAATTCTGCACTGTAATTCTATTGTAATATAATTTAAGTGACAAAATAAACGAGCAACTAGATGTATTAAACATAATTACCAAGTTAAATGAAATTGATAAGATGAAAGAAATATTGCTAACTAATTCATAACAGCTTTTATTCAACTTTACATCTAAACCCATAATCTCTTTGGAAGAAGATAAAGAAATGCCATTCAATAGAACCATTCTAGAAGAAAGAGCAAGAAATACATTGTAAATTAATGTAATAATTAGGAATGAGACAATTTGTGATGAAAAGAAAAAAAAAAGTTATTAAAAACGTAAACCAATATTTAAGCAATTCAATCGAAATGGAAATTTAGATAAGGATTTGAGGATTTATAATAGAATCTATAGAGTATTATTATCATAATAATTTAGGCATATGATACGATTCTTTAATAAAGTTCAGAATAAAACCCATAGCATGATGTCAATAAAAAATTAATCAAGAAGCTTGGAGACGAAATACAAGCTATTTTCAAATTATCAAAACTGCTAGATTTTGATGGACTAAGGAGACTTCGAGCAAATTCGAATAATGATATGTTCTGTAGAAATACTTAGCATATACCAGATGAGATGTTAAGTAAATGATTGATCTTTTATTTAAATTATATTTAAATCAAATACTAATTTAGGATACAGTCATTCAATTAATTAGTGTAACTGAGTGAAAGATACAAATTAGGTAAATTTATTCTTTATCATAAATGAAATCAATTTACTTTAAAAGAACAATGCATATTTGGTTATTCAATTATATTGATTATAGAGACTTGTCTATTTGAAAAAATATAGGTATGCTTAATTGAATGAGCTAATTAACTATTTTAATTCAAATCGAAAAGACATGAAGTTTAACATAATTTTTATAAATCAATTCTAGAATATGGCTGGAAGAGGCTTACCAGTTATTAATTTACATCCTGCACAATGAAGTAATGAAACAGCTGGGTAGATGGGGCCTTATTTCAATTTTTCATCAGTGTAGGCAGTTCCCATGATTTCTCCATTTAAACTAAATTTTAAGGTTCCAGTGTTCATATTTAAGCAAACTCCTAATATTCCCTCTTTCTTAAATCTCTTTCCAAAAGATGGTCCAGTAGCATTGCTATTATGACGTAACTATAAAAATATAAATTGGTATTGAATACCTATGCTAATCCATAATAAGCCCAACCAAATTCAAAGTCACAAAATGCAGTATTGTAATTGAAGTCTCTGCATGTTGACACTCCAATCTTCAATTCATTTTCTGTTCTGTCATCTGCTTCGATTTCCCAATAGCCAATACCCTTTTCAAAGCCAAAGGTTGCGATTGCAGTTCTGAACATGTATGCTTATTCTTTTAAAAATATTCTTGTATCTCCATCAGAAATTGTGATGCCAGATCCCATTCTCTATTTATCCCATTTAAAGAGGAGATTATTTGAAACTCCCTGGTCTTGGTTATTAGAGGCCTAGATATTCAAGGAACTATAAATACCCAAAGAGGTATTAAGATCTAAGGTAATTTATGATTTTACTTTAAATTGATTATTTGTCATTTAAGTATTACTTAAGGTATATATAGAGATCGTGTTTATTCTTCATTTGTTTGACTTTACTCAAAACTAGACATGTTTGATCACAAACCTCATTTTAAATAAAGATTTTACTTTAAAATTTTCCAATTCAATTGTTGCTCCAACTGAATTTCCACAGATGTCATGATTAACGCATTTGGGTAATACGCAACTAATCTCATGCTTATCAATATCTCCTATCTTAAATGTCTTCGGACAATATGAGCCTAAATTCTGATTAATAAAGTACATTTAATTTCAAGATCATCATATATTCTTTTGAGTGATTTCTATATATTTTATATCTGTGAGGTCTTAGGACATCTATTGATGCATTCACTATTTAAATTAGTATGAAAAATTACGATTATTTTTTTAGCCATGAGTCCACACATGGGCCACAATACACTGTACCGCAACTACTACAATCTTTTGGAAGCCGCGCAACACATGAACATATTGGACAATCAAATATATCTTGATTGTAATTTAAGAATCTCTCTTTGTCAAAACCATATTCCTCACCCATTTTGATTAAAATTTGTTGAAATTAATATTGTATTAATTATCTAAAAAAAAGAATTTATACTAACAATATTTTCCAGATTATAATTATTTTACGATGTTTTAAATGATTTGAATAATGATGATGTAGACATTTTTAATTTGCATATAGATCATAAATATCAAATACCCTATCACTATTTAGATGCTAATTGAGGGAATAATGCCTAAATGTTCATTGATTTATATCCTAATTGTATGATATATTTAATATACCTAAAATCAAAATAATTGGGATGTATGTGAAATAAAATAATCTCATTAAAAGATGTTTACCGTCTGTTGTTGACCATCTTAAAAGCTGGCTGAGTTTCATTTCTTTTTAATGTTTTATTTTAATTTTAATTATGACAATAAATTATATATATAAATTTAACAATCCTTACCCATTTATTAACCTCTATATCAACATCACTTGTTTTCAATAGAAATATTATTTGCTAATCTTATTCAAATTTGTAATTTATTTTTCATTTAAATTTTGAACCAGTTGTCACTTCATTTTTATTACCTTCTGACTAAATGCTTGTGAAGTTAGAACTACTTTATTGTCCCCAGAACCATATTATATATTCTAAAATCCTATGGTCACTTTCTATAATTTGAATAGTCTTCGAAAAGTAAAGTTTTTTTACTAAACTTTATTGTTATTAGTTTTGAAACTCATGCTTTATTTGCAAACTTAAAAATTATAGAATAAATCTCATTTCCTATATTGTTGAATGCTATTTACATTCAATATTCGCTTGTATTATAAATAAGGCAGATCAAAAGATCAAATCATCTTAATTTCTCCAAGTTCAAAACGAAATGTTATATGAGAAAAATCAGTTAGATAAGTGGATTTCATGATATTAAAATGAGTTTAATCTGAAAATTCCTGAAAATTAGAATCGTTTGTAGAAAATAAAATAGAATGTAGAAATTTGAATGAATTCTATAAGTTCAAATTAATATTATTAATCAATAACATCTAAAGTATTTATTTATAGAAAGAATAATATGGTTCCTATTTGATTAACCATTTATTATTTCACAATAAATAGAATTATAATTGTAAGTACATATATGTCAATCATTATAGAATTTATAATTTTAATTAAGATTCTAAAATTGTAAATTTGAATTATACTAAAAATTTTCATTTATAACACACAAAATCTAAATACAATAAAGTTCTATTAGAAATAATTGTATTTTTATACTTTTTGAAGTAAATAAATTTGTGCACTCATTTTACTATTAAAACTCATAGAGAAATAAATATCCACATTATAATTTCAATTTCTTTGAAGTAAACTCATAATAGTAATTGCAATAATGAAGTTATAATTATAAATAGATAATAAATGAAAATTAGAGAATGAAATAATCAATTATAGTTTACTTTATTATTAATAAATTCTAAATGGCATTTGTATTTTAGGCTGAAAGAGATATCAATAATGCATCTGGAGCTCTGGCACCCAACATAGGTCCTGGAAGCTATATTGGACATAGAAAATATGAACCTCGACCTCACGCTGCTCCATTCAATACCCAAGTTGCGAGAAGCAAACCATTAAAAAAAAGTAATTCTCCTGGTCCTGGTAGCTATAACGTTGAATTTGTAACAGAAGGGTATAGATTTTAAGCAAATTTAAGTTAACGAGTTGTTCTATAATCCGCATAGTCTGAAGTGAAAATTGTAGAACAATAGAAACAGCAATCAGTTTTTATGTCACAGACCAAAAGATTTTAGGAACAAAAAGTGATGGAAACTCCAGGGTATTATTTTCATTTATATTAGTCCTGGCTCTTATGAAACCGCATCATAGAAGAAAATTGCATAATAACAATACACATCTTAAAATTATATCGACAATCTTATGAAACTTAATAAATATTAATCCATACCTTCAATCCCTACTGCAAGTTAAGTGTATGGTTATACCGACAAAGGACGTAATCTATGAAATATGAGTTGTAGCTCAAGATCTAGAACTCAACAAAAGTCCTGTTCCAACTTATACAGGACTGAAATCAGATACTGTAGGGCCAGGATAATATCAATTAAAAGACACTTTCGATAATAATAAGAATAAAGGGCCTTCTTGGTATAAATCTAAAGTTCCTAAATTAGCTCCTTCTTCTAAGGAGTAGGTTGTTGGACCTGGAGCCTATGATCATGAAAATTCTATGATTCCTCTGTATAAATTGAATCCTTCAGGTAATTTTCTGTCAAAATCTCAAAGAATGTTTGACCAATAAAAAGGTCAAAAAACAAGAGAATTTATGAGAGCTTAATTTGAAAATCAGAAGAAAAAACTAATGTAGAATCCTATATTTGCTGACATTGAAGATGATGATGTTGAATTTTATGATGTAAACTATTACTTAAATGTAGAATACTACTCCAGGACCAGGATATTATATAGGTAACTAAACTACTTTTTCCACTGCTTCTACATTCTCTTAATCGATTGCAAAGACTTAAAGTGCCTTTGGTTCAAAATAGAAGAGATTTAACGAATAGCAAAGATAGATTTAGATGGGGCCAGGCGATTATAGAATAGAAACAAATTTGATAAGGAATAATATGGCTCTGAAGAATACTCCCTTTTTATCTTCCAATACAAGATTTGAAAGTAGACCAATGGAGAAAAAGCCAGGACCTCAGAGTTATAATCCCAAGATTACTGTAATATATAAATTCTATAGTAGCTAGAAGATAAATTAATCAAGAAATTAGAAAGAGCACCTGTTGGAAAGTTTGGATCAAATCAACCAAGATTTGATAATCCTGAAAATGAATAGCCTGGACCTGGAACTTATGAACCTAATTTTAAAGATCCTGCTAAGAGTGCTGCTTGCGTTTTCAAATCTTAAACCAAACGAAGCATTATTGGTGGTAAATATAATCTACCTGCTCCTGGAGCCTATGATGTGAAGAATTATACAATAGAAAATTCAACTAAGATAGAAAAAGAAGAAGATAAAGATCTTATCATCAATAAACCAGGTTTTGGTTCTTCCTAACCAAGATTTTAAGAGAAACCAAAAAAAGATATGGATGAGGAAGATGAGGAAGAGGAAACCTAATTGAAAAATAATGCTTCTGATTTATTTTAAAAGAAGAAGAAAGAACATCCACCTTTTAATTGTTAAGTAAATATATAAATAATTAATTTAATAGGAAAATAGATTCCAGTACAAACAAAAAAAAAATAATCTTCCTGGACCTGGAGAATATTTTGAATAAAAATAGAATAACTGGAATAAGAAAACATTTAACATTTTATTTTCAGAGATGTGATGTTTAATTTTATTAATAAGTTTTACACTTAAAATATCATTAACATAATGATAATCAAAGTTATTCTGTTTGCAAAATTTCTTTCAATTATTAAATACTGACAAGGCGTTATGAATGAGTACTAAAATAAGATTAAAATTATAAATGTACATGGTAGATCTTGTTGTGTTTAAAGATGATTAAGAATGTGGCAGACTAACACCTTATAGATTATTATATATCTTTGCAACCCTTTTTGATGGGAAATTACTTTGTCTGTCTGTGTGATGAGTTGTGGCTATTACTCGTTCACTTATATCTTTTGAGGGCAGACTCAATTTCGGAATCACAACTGGAGACTGAGGTTACTATTATTGAGTCAATTAGGATTATTATTATTGTGATTATTACTAAGATTACTATTTTTGTTGTGAATGTGAAGGTAATTACACTTATTTTGCAGGAGTCTGATACATTTTATTTTATTTTGTAGATGAGACCAATGTTAAAGTCTCTTAATTGTTTTAGATCTTAGTTTTGGAAGGCTACCATAATGGAGGTATGGATACAACTGTTTATTTAGCTTCTCTTTCACTTTTTGATTCAACATGACTAATTACTAATAAATGACTTACATTCTAGTAAATTTTAAGTAGCAATCCAAGCATAGTTATAATTTTAGATTCATGAAGCTCATATTGTTCCTTAAATTCTTATACTTTTCTATATCCATCTTACCCCATATTTTTAGCAGAAGACCTGGAATATTTAATGAGCCTTCAACATAATAATCTTCTTCATTATCTGATTTCTTTACTGGATTTTTTGATACTTTTTATCTTATTATTAGTGTTTCCTCATCAAATATTCCTTAGTCATAAGATGCTATGTATTATTAGACTGTTAGTTCATACATTTCTCCTTGCAGTGAGCAATTATTGCAACTGTTACCAGTTTGTTTTACAAATCCTTAAGTATCAACTGAGAACTTTGAAGTCTATCCAATTTTCAATTAAGTTTATAATAGCATAATTGGAGATTAGATTCTCTCTTTTTATTTGGGAAAATCAGATATGGTTTCTTCGTTGATAAACTATTATATTAACTAGTATCTATACTTTTTATCTAACTTTGACTCCACTGCTAAAGAGTAGCCATAATCTATTTTTTTCGTCTATTTTAAAAAATAGAACCATTCTGGATATCTGAATATTGCCTCCAGATACATCTTAAATATGTTTGACAATATTCAGACAAATTTATTCAATGTCGGATGATAATATTGGTGATGCTATAGAGTCAGTAGTTGATAAATGTTCTGGACCTTCGAATGTAACTAATCTATCTTCAATAGGAATTTTATTATTTTTAAGATCATTATTATTTGTTTTCCTGGATAGCAAACAAAATTAAGGACTCCAAGACACCTTTATCATTGAGTTTCTAGATGATTTTGGTTCAACGAACTTTTGAAGTAATGCATTTAAGGCTTTTTCCCTTTGATGGAGAAATTGCACAAACTCACCTTTCTCAAAGTACTCAAATATTATTTTATTTTGTTAGCTTTATAAATATAAAGCTGAAATATCTCCACTTTTTTGGAATATTTCCTCAATCTGCTCCACAAATATGCGTTCTTTTGTTTTTCTTAATATTTAACCATCTTTAGCTGTAAAGTACCAGAAGTAAGGTTGTGCCCATCTGTAGATAATCGTATCTGCCACAAATACCCCTGGACAGCTAGAATTAGTATCAGGGTTCTTTTTCCAAAGATGAAAGAATAACCACTCAGTTGACAATGAGAGTTTCATAATATTTTAATATATTAATTTCTTGATTATTCATATATAATTCAAGACACCAATTTTAATTGAAGACGATTAAAAAGAGTCTCTTATTTCAGTTACTTCATTTAATTGTTGTCTCCTTATAAGTGCAGATAAGTCATCTCTGTTAATTCTATTTTTATGATAAGTATTTTACTTATAATATTTTAATTATCATTACAATCAATTAAATTTTCATTATAGTTAATGCCATAGATTTTGAGTTCCATTATGGGAGAATATGGAAATCAAATATTAAGCCTCAATATATTTTCCATTTTTAATCCATTGGCTATAGTACAATATACTAAAAAGTATAACTAGACTGAATACATCATTTAATGTAACTAAGGTATCTCTAATTGCATTATTAAATTTATTCTTCTTTGATAAATTAATTTAAATAAAATTAAATTTAATTAGTAATAGCAAAGATTAAGGATTTGTTTATTATAATGAAAAGTGAATTGTAACTTTTCAATATGAAATTGATTTTTTAATTATTATTATTTGATAAAATTATATTATATTATGTATGTCTTTTTATATATGATTATCTATTCCCTGGATAATTAAAATTTGGAGAGATCATTATTTATTAATAATCTCATATAGGATTTGATCATCGGGAAAGACTAAATTCATTGAATTATTAATTATATTGGGTGAATATATTTAAAATATGTTTAACATCGAATTTGATTAAGATGTTGAATTAAGAGCAATGCAAAATGAAGATTTCGAATAATAATACCTCGAGCATTGTTTGAGAGAATACAGAAAAGAGCCAGCTCTAACAATACCATAAATTAGTAGAACCTTAAGTCAGAAGACAATTGAAGCTGAATGTCTGCATAAAATATCAGAAACTCCGTACGATGAAAACTTTATTTTGACCTAAGCACAAAGCTCCGACATCTTCGGTCGTAAGTATCTCAACCAACATGAAAGAAGAGGTAGTATACCTAATGCTGGAACAAGTCTAATGTGCAGTTTTTACATCAGGAGATTTATAGAGAAGATTTCTTAGAGCAGGAAAAAACTACTTAGCATGAATGAGATTCATTTCAATCTTATTGAGGATAAGGCAGCTGACATGTATTTTATATTCTATGGTAGGCAAAACCTATTCAATCATCAGAGTGAATGCAAAAGACAAGGGTTTACTCTGGGTAAGATGAAAACATTATTGAGAAAAGAAACAGTCATTAACGATTTGAGTACTTAAGAGGAAATCAAAGAGTAGATCAGAAAGATCAAGAAATCCTTTTTGAATTTAATCACTGTAATGGTTAATAAAATTCCAATCATTCAACCTGAGTCTCGTTTAAAAATGATCTGGGACTTCTTTGCTTCGTTTTTTAGAATCCTGTTAGTCATCCTCATACCCCTAGAAATCGCATTTTAACCCTGTATTTTATTTACTGACTTCATTGTTCTTACTGCAGTGATTTTATTGGTATTGTAGATTGATTTCTTGATTAGAATAAATACACTTTCCTATAGAAATGGGGCAGCAATATAAAATAGATGGGAGTTATTGGTATATCAATTTAAAAAGGAATTCTTAACAGATTTTTCAACATCATTTCTATTGATAATCTTCATAATCATACCAGAAATGGATAACAATTTAAATTTATTCCTCCTATTGACTTTGGCATAGTATAAGTATATTCATGAGACATTTGCAAAAAGTGATTAGATATCCTATTTAACACGGCCCTTAAGAGGAATAATAGGTTTGATTAAGTTTATACTCACACTCTTGTTTATACTTCATTTATTCAGTTGTATTTGGTTTTGGTTCAGCAAATTAAGTCTCGAGGATTCCTGGATAAAATTTAATGGATTGGATCTGAAATCTTGGGAATTGCAATATTTAGAAGCATTGTATTTCGCTGTAGTGACAATGCTTACAATAGGTTATGGTGATAATGTACCAAAGAATTCAATAGAGAAGATAATAACGATGGTGTTTATCTTGGGTGCATGTATCATAATCATATGATTCTTAGGTTTATGGTTCTCCTATAGTGTGAATTTTATAGGAGGCATTATCAACGATATCACATAAAATCAGGTGGAGAGAAACAGAAAGATGAGAGTTATAAACAAGTACATGGATCAAAGAAAGATTCCATTCAATTTGAAACACAAGTAAGAGATTGAAATAATAACATAATAGAGTAAAAGAATACTTAACGTTTAGATGGAAAGAAGATGATGAAGTAGATTTGGAAATCGAACAAAATTTGCTTGAATAATTATCTGACGAATTGAAAGAAGAATTGGATAAAGAAGCGCATAAGATCTTTATCTAAAAGTCAGCACTTCTTTAACATTTCAGTGATGAATTGAAGGATGCATTATCCAAGTCAATCAAAAGGAAAATCATTCCTCCTTAGAACACATTCTCCATTGACTTTGATGATTATCAACATTTGTGTTATGTGGAACAAGGAGTACTACTCTATCAACATCTAGATAGAAAATAAAGATCCAAGATGAATGCTCCTATAAAATAAGGTCAGTTTTTTTGTGTTCAAGACTTTATCATTCAAAGTACTAATAAAGATTACTTTAAATCAAATGGTTATGTCAGTTTGTTGATATTATCCAAGTTGGATTTCATGACAACCATCAAAAATTACCCTGAAGACTTCCAAAAGTTTTGTGAGATGCGAGAACTTATGACACTAAGTCTTAATCCTCCACAATTAGAAAATGGTGTATTTTGTCCTGCTTGCTTATGTTTCAAACACTCTATGACAAAATGTCCCCAAATACAATATATTCCAGACAGAGAAGCTATATTGAAGAAATATCTACTACCACAGGTTCAAGATAGGAAATACTATTAGAGAGATCTCACAAAACGATTCAATAACGATTAAATCATCAGTAGAACAAGATAAGAAAAAGATTTAATCTAACAATTTGCTTAGGTGTTCTAGTCAGAGAATCACTAATTAATCTCATAATAACAAAAGGTTTAATTGATTTATGAATAAGATTCTCTTAGCTCAGCTGGAGATCCTAGTCCCTCTAATAAGATTCAGTATGAGGGTGGATTTCAAGCTGCAGTTCTGAAATCAAAAAGACTTATCAGTGACCCTCCAAATCAGACTTCTTCTAACTCTAAGTTGTAGGATACTAAATAAAGTCTTCATTAGGCTATGCAAAACAGAAAGCAATCCATTTTTAATTTAAATATTCCTTCGAATTTAGGGAAAAGTCCAAAGAATTATCTATTACCGAAAGTGGACATCATTAAAGAAAATGAAGAAAATGAGGAAAGCAATTCTAGTGATGATAGTAAGAGTAGCAGCAATGACAATCAAGAAGTAAAGAATTAGCTCAACGTTTCTGAATTTAATGAAAATATGATGGAGAATGTCATTAACCTATACCACCAATTATAAAGAGAATTAGAATTGAATGAGAATGATTAAACTATTTAAAAAGCATATCTTTAAATAGAACCAATCTATTGGTCATTTCATTAGTAAAATGTGTCTGAATTTGAAATGATGACTGCTTACGATTATTTCTTTAAGAGTTTCAATTATAATGAGATTATTAAATTAGCTTAAAAAAATACCTTTGCATGGTAATCGCAATACATCAATAAATTATAAAAGTACATGCTTTATCCATTTCTCTTTATTTCAAAATATATGAGCAAAAAGAGGAATTCAAAGAACACAGAAAAAATTAAGAGAGATCCTTCGAAACGATTAAATAGTCGTTTAAATACCTTAAAAAATAGTCTTAAATTAAAAAAAAAATAATCAGTCTTACTAAAGCCAATCAAGAAGTTAGGATAAGTGGCTCCAGAACCTTGATTTCAATAAATGTTTTATTGATATTTTATCAATATTTTATAACATATTAAAATTCAAAGTTTTTAAAAATATAAATTAAAAAAAGTTTAGGTCATACCAGGACTCGAACCTGGGTCACTGGATTCAAAGTCCAAGGTGCTAACCACTACACCATACGACCTAAGCTGATTAGTATCTAATCAATTCACTTAAATCAGGACATTCTTACATCGGTCAAAAATGCAATAGGGTGGTTGAGATGATCATACCATCAAACCTCTCTTTTTTTAAGGATTACTGAACTATTCCATCAAAATGAGTAATGCAATTAAACCCTTTTCTCGATAGATTAATAATAGCAGAATAAAAACACAAAAACACAATTTGAATTTATAATGTAAATTTTGTTAATTATTGTCATTTAGAATAATTCTCATAATATAATATTTCATCTATCAACATGCAATCTCCCATCCTGCTTTTACCAACTATTTCTTCTAGATGTTTTCGAATCTAAATTAAATGCTATGATTACCTCCTAGCTTGAAGTTCCTTTGGATAAATGATGACTCATAAATTGATACGCTTTATTAAAGAGGTCTGAGCCCATGGTAGATATAGCCTTTTTCCTTAAGATTTGAATTCGATCATCATTATTGATGGGGACCTTTTATGGAGAAGCTGAAGATGAGTTCCAACTCTCTTAACTGGTTTCTTAAATATCTAAAAATTGCAATATTAATACCTTCAAGTTTGTTGCTTGAAGACTTTTTTACGGTTTAATCCATTTAGATTTTGTATAATTTGACGACTTCTTCAATCTCACTGTCACCCTATTTAACGGTGAGTCTATGATTGATGACTTCATCATCTTCATCACTGTTATATTCCTCAAATTCTTCATCTTAATACTATTAAGTGACTGAAAGTTCCTATTTTTGATAGTTAGAAGTGAATCTATCTAATTGAGATTTAGTGACAGTTTTTTCTTCTTATCTAGTAGTATTGTCAAAGGTAGATTGACACATTTCAGAATCAACTGTTTTGTCGAATTATTCTAATTCTTTTTTAAAGGTTTCATTTTATTTTTTGGATTCGTTTTGAATTGTTTCATTGTATTTTTTAGATTCATTTTACAACTAAAGGAATATGTCAAAATATAATACCATTTATGAGGTTTTCTCATATTGACTAACCAAGGTTTCATCATAGTTGTACATGTTTGATTTATTACCTGGTTGGACTTGTTATTGAGCTTTTTTAGTGTTTGCTTAAGAATCCTATTACTTGCATTGTTATTGTCTTTGTAATTCTTCATGATATTGTTATTGTTATTTCCTCTTTTGATTGTAATCCAGTGATTATCCGCCTTGGAGATCTTAAATCTTTCTTTGTTGACTTGCTTATTGTTATAAAAAGCTCTATTTGCTTGCTTATGCTAATTCCCTTTATTCTCTTTGTATTTTTTCCTCTTTCTTCATTTGCATCCTTTGCTGCGGTGTTAATTAACTAAAATCAATAGATTAGACAGTGTCAATGGTGTTGTCATATGGATTTGTAGTGTTTTATTAAGTAGTTTCTTCTTACTTGATCATCTTCCCAATTTAATTATGTGTGTTGGTTCGTTTGATTGGGGCTTGATATTGTACTTTGCCTTACATTGCAACAAATTATTGCATAGTATTTCTGATTAGAGGGAAGTTGAAGATTTCCGAAGTGTGTGGTCGTTGATCAGCATTTTTGATTAGGAGCTTGTTAATGAGATCCGCTAGTTCTTTGGAGTAGTGTGAGGGAATGGCAGAGGCTTATTCTTTGACAATCCTATTAACTAAGCCCAACAGATTGTTTGATTTGAAGGCATGAGACAAATTGCACAACTCATAGAGAACACAACCGAGAGACCAAACATCACTCTTGTAGGTGTAAGGCTTATTCTCACAGACTTCAGGACTAGGGATAATTGTAAGTGAATCACCTCATGTAATAGGGAGTTCCGACGACTGTATTGGCTTGATCTTGGGTGTGTTCCAAGACCCTGGAGATACCGAAATCACCTATTTTGACAAAGCCATTAGAGGATAAGAATATATTCTGGCTTTTGATGTCTCTGTGTAAGATCTTCTATTCATGGATATATTTCAAAGCTAAGGCGCATTAAAGAAACCAGTTCAATATTATTTGTTCTGGAAAGTACTCCTTCCTTTGACTCATTCTGTTGACGTGAAATGATAGGTCTCCCTCTAATAGATTACTGAAAAGCACTTACCTTCACAGTACTCCATGATTATGATGAGCGTATCATTCTCGTTGAAGCTCTCTATATATTGTACAATGTGAGGGTGTTTCAATTTCTACAATAGCATCACCTAATAATTAAATGAACTCATGAACTTCTCGTTTTGAATCATCTTGTTCTTTTGATTTTAGATTGAATAATTGAATCTTCTTAGCCACATATACTTTCTGGTCTGTTTTTTAGCGTACCAAATGTGCAGACCCTGGATACTATGATTACTTTACCATAACTGCCTCTCCCTATTGTCTCATACTCAACATATTTATCCAAATATTTACTCATATATTTAATATAAATATTATTAATAATGGAAGAAATCGACAAACATATATATGATTATAATTTCCATCAACTCAGACTCCTTATGCAATATCCCTCCAAATAAAATCACATGTATCAATTCATTCAATCCAACCCTAATTGGCTTCTCAACATCCAATTCGACCAAATCAATTTCCTCTACTTTCAACAATGGCTTACCAATTTCATCACTGCCAATCAAGTCAATGCCCAATTCATCCTCCTACATTTCCAAATCCAACCCTACCTCTAAACCCTTTCAAACTCTCAAGACCTCAAGATCCACAAAGCCTACCTAATCTTCGTGCACAACATGCTCAAAAACCAAATTGATAAAGAATACTTCTTGTTTCAATCCTTTTTTAAAGATCTCACCATCGAAATCATCAGAAAATCCCTCACCAATCAAACCCAAGACTGTCTAGAATGGGTAACCTATTCCTTCACTAATATATTCCATGACACCTATGAACAATCCTATTTGCAATTGCTTTACGACAACAACATAGAACTCCTGGATTTCATCTTTCAATTACTGCAAAAAACCATAGATGACAAAGTCTACCCATCTCTCATACACAACTGCATCCCCAAAAGCTATGATATTAAGGAACTATATTCCAATCAAAATAAGTAAACATCTCAGTTTGATTCAATAGAATAGGCATACAGCTCAGTATAAAAGACCTGCAATTCTTGATGAATTTAGAACTTCCCCCCTTGTAGAAGTTTAAGTTCTACTCCCTCATCACTTTTATGGGTGGCTACAATTCAGAAATCCAAGCCTTATTTTATCCTAAGGAATACAAAGAAGCTATATACTAAATGAGCGTATAGAAGGATGATGAGCTCATCTCTGTTTTCCTAAGATTTATTGCCAACATGGTTCATATCAATAAAACGGTTTGGGAAGACCTTAAAAATAATGGTATCATTTACCAATTAATATTCTTTAGTAAATGATTTAAAACCAATTGTTCATTTTACTAATGTTCATAACATGCATCAATAAAGGGAATGGGCAACTATCATTATTAGAAACCTTTGTGATTGTGATGAATTAAGAGAGCATCTCCAAAATTTTTAGTGATATATAATGCTATGTAGATAAAAAATCAATTGAAAAATATGAAAAATCTATCAATATTGAATAATAAATAATATGTTATTCATGATTGCAAGTATCCCATACTGTCCCATAGATTTTCCTCATCTTTATAGTGCATAAAAGGATAATTGCAATTTGGTTCATTTTATGGAAAAACTAAATCAACTGTGATTCGAAATGCATCATTGACCATCCTTGGAAATAGCTGATCCAATAATTTGCTTGTCACTTCCAAACTTGGATTGGTATTAACTTCAATCAACCAAGGAGTATATTGTTCATCAATAATAAAATCCATTCCGAAAATTTCAAAGCAGTTTTTTCGTTTTTGTTTGTTTATTTTATGCTTCACTGTTTAGAATGCTGTATAAGAAATATTCTTAATTCTTCCTAAGATCTAAAATTAAGTAATTCTTACTTCTTATCGAAAATCCCTCTTAAATAAATTTTGTGCCTAGTCAAAATTGTATTGATTCCCTTCCTCAGTTTTGCCATATTCAGGATGAGTGTATTAGATGGCATTATTGGTGAGATGAACATAATTAGAATGCACTTTCGTATCAAACTTCTCAGTAGCCAATCTCAGTTGACCTTCTCTGTAAAAATATATTTATAAACTTGATGTCAATAAAACATAAGCTCTAATATCGAATTTTCTACCATCTATTAACATTGGTTTCTCTATGTATTTTTATATTACAAATTGTTCTGTTACCAAAGTATTTAAATAAACCACCTTATTGATTATTTCATTCTATTCATTTCTTTTCACTTCCAACAATTTCTCCTTGTATCCCCCTTGGTATTTGCTTTAAATATCCAATACTTCTTATAAGCTGCGTACAACATGGATCCCTCTTCCTTGATTCATATTGGAAGGTTTGAAGATCCACAAATTTTCGTTGCCAAATAAAGTTGGATAATGATTCACTTTGGTATCATACAGAGTCGTATATGAGAAGAAATACTATTTAATTGTTTTGTCCAATTCAGGTAATTTGTGTTGAGGACAATTTTATCGGTAAAAGGAAATAAACTAAAACAATTCGGATTTGAGGTTTTCATTGGTACATTCGATGGCAAAGGTTGTGGGAATGTAATCATATATGTTTAGTCTATTTTTCTTGATTACTATATTTTAGATACATCGCAATACGCCTTGAAATTCACGGCTAACTTAAACTTATCAGAAATTTCTGAATGAAACTCAAAATGGTTGAGCATCTAAATGGGTTGTTCTTTTTAATTAATGGTCTAATATTCATAGCCTTTTTCGGTCTCTTGCCATTTAAAATTAATTTTCTTAGATTTTGGATCCTTGACCTGGACCCAATTCTACCTGTCATCCAATAATTTCTTAATTAATTGATGGTTGTTGCCTTCTCCGACAAAATAAAAGTATTTTGAATAGGGTGTTTTTTGGGCTGAAACTGAAACACTTCTTTGTTGGAATTCCTTCCTTTTCATGATGGGAGGTAGGCTTTTCTACATTTACCTCTACCTCTCTTGATTAGCAATGAATCGCTGCTTGGCTTGTTCAATGGATGTTTGAGAGAGTAATCTGGTATCGATTATCTTTTTGGTGTCCTTCTTGATGACAAGATGAGCCTAACAATTATTAATTAAATATTTACACATTTACTGATTCTCTGACCATATGAGGACTGTATAATTTTCAAGTTGTTCAGAGTTGGAAAAGCATTCTTTTTTGGTGAGTTCATTCACTATGGGATTTAATTTAATTATATTCTAGAAGTTCAAATTAACTTTATTTCATATATACTCTTATCAACTAAGCAAAAATCATGTAGTGTAATTATCATATTTCATAAATAATTATAATGAGATTACGTCTAATCAGTGCTATGTTTTCATCGTCCCCCTCATAGGTCTTAACGAGCAGAGTGGGATCAGCACTCAACATAAAGCTCAATAGACCAAGTCAATTGAATGCCCTCAATCTACCAATGATTGCTGAACTTAATTAGATCCTGGATTAAGCCAATTCAGCATCATGCATCATTTTGAGTGGAGAAGGAGGCAAGGCCTTCTGTGCTGGTGGTGACATCAAGACATTATATTTTGCAAAGACTCAACCTTCTGAATAAAATCCCCCAAGTGCATTAAAATAGTTCTTTTTTGATGAATACAAATTGGATTACAGATTGGCAACACTCAAACCAGTATTGGTGGCCTTGATGGACGGAATAGTAATGGGAGGAGGAGTAGGAATGTCAATCCATGCACCTGTTAGGATAGCTACTGAAAAGAGTGTGTTTGCAATGCCAGAAGCCAAATTGGGATTATTCACAGATGTAGGAGGAGGGTACTTTCTCTCCAGATTACCACACAGATTGGGCTATTATTTGGGTTTAAGTGGATTCAGATTGAAGGGTGCTGATCTAGTACATGCAGGCTTGGCTGATTTTTACGTATAATCATCCGAATTACAAAATTTGATTTCCAAGATTGGCACTGTCTAAAGCCAAAATCTTAATGATGTCAAGAACATCGTCAAACAATTCTAACCAAATCAAGTACTTAGAGATTTGTATATTCTATTAGATACCTGAATTCACTATCAAACAACAATTATAGAACATTGAACCAGGATATTCAGGAGAGAGTTTAGAATAATTATTCAAAAATCTATAGAATCATCAAAATTAAAAGTTTGGACAAGATAACCTAAAGATCTTAAAGGAGTAGTGTCCATTATCTTTGAGGATCATATTTGAATAGATTAAAAGAGGTTAAAAACTTGATCTTAGAGAGAATTTGAAGATGGATTATAGAATTGTGAGAAGGTAAATATAGATATAGATGTATTTATAGGATTATGTAAGGAACTGACTTCTTTGAGGGAGTGAAGTAGGTGTTGGTAGACAAAAATCATGTTCCAACTTGGCAATTCAAGGATGCATTGACTATTCCATAATCGGAAGTTGACAAATATTTTGCAGTCCTTGAGAATGAAGAGGAACTTGATATTTGAGATTTTTTATAATAAAATTATTAGTATATCTTATGTGTTGGTTGTGACATTTATTGAAACTATTTATAGAATAATATAAATAGATTTATAAAAATTGTATATTCTAAGGGGGTTGAATTAATTAATAAAATATCTAAAAATATGAGTCTTAGTATATTTAGTGTTAAGACGAGTTATTATAAAAATGGGCTTTGGTGGTTTACTAAGATTCCTGCTCGCATAATAGGTGAAGAACGATGGGATGCCATGAGATTGGCAAGGAGAGTTTACGGAAACAAAATCTATTATGGAAGATAATAAATATTGTTTGATATCTTTTACGATTGGCCAGCCATGGCTAACCTAATTGGTATCTATCCTAAAGTAGAATCATCAATTGATTATAAAGGTTGATACTTCACATGGATTCTTGCATTGGGCCACTTACGAAGCATACAGAGATTGGCAAGAACACACTTTGAATTCAGATGTATATTTTATACTAACTCTTAGGGATCTTTTGCTATTTGGATCTATATGCTATGTGGTATCTATATTGCTCACTGTTTCTACTCCTATATGATTCCATATTATTGGACGTATGTTGATTTATCATAATTCTAGAAACATGTTCCCAGCTAAGAACGAAGAGTTTGTGAGGTTGAGATTGAAAGACGCCCTTGCATCAACTGTTATGGAGGAACTATTTGCTAACAACTACGCAGAATTTGCCTGGGCTCCCCATGATTTTCACTATAATAGATAAAGATGTATGTCTGGATATGGCCATCCCGATGATCCAAGAACCATGCACATGGCTTCCTTCAATAGTATCATATTTTCACAAAATTTTAGGAAAACACAAATACAAGGAGCATTATCTGAAGAGAATAGGAGATTCAAGTCGTATGACAACTGTCCTTTGAAATAATCATATTTCATCATATATATACACCACCAATCATAATTTAATAAAATATTTTGAAAGAAAGTTAGTCTGAGTCCTGATTTGAGAAGTCATCTAACAATTTTAAAATCTTTTATATTTTTATATTATAATTACAACACCTGGCCTTCAATTCATATTGCCTACATATTTGCCATTGACTCAAAAACCCAACACATAAGTTATTCAATCAATTTCAAGCAAGAAGGTACTAATTTTATGTCAGTATCTACTCATTAAGGTTACTTCTGTGATTCATGATAGATGTCTTAATTTAATGATACTAGATTTGAATTGAGTCAATTACATGAAGAAATAACCTTATGGAGGAGAAGATGTTAGACAACAAAAATTTTCTAAAATTGTTAACCCATTTGAATACAATTTTAGTTGAAAATTGATTTTATTAATTACAGAATATTTTGTGAATCTAACTGTTTAGAAGGATAGACACACTTTTTTATTGATTGTAAAATACAAAATCAGGTAGTATTTTGGATGCTTAATAAGAATCTGTGAAATCAGTATCTTTTATAGAGGAATTTTTTATAGGAAAATATCTTAATTTTGTTCCTCTCATTATAATGATCATTTTATAATACACAATTATAGCTGAAATTAAATCTTTTAAATGAGTTTGAGTATATTCAGTGCTAAAACAAGTTATTACAAGAATGGCATCTGGTGGTTTACCAAAATGGCCGCGAGAGTGGTCGGAGAGGAAAGATGGGATGCCTTGAGAATGGTAAGAAGAGTATACGGAAACAAATTTTACTATGGAAGACAGCAAATATTATTTGATATCTTTTACGATTGGCCTGCTTTGGCCAATATGATTGGTATTTACCCAAAGGTATAATTTCATATGAGATGTTAAGGTTGACACATCACATGGATTCTTGCATTGGGCAACTTATGAAGCATACAGAGATTGGCAAGAGCATACCTTAAATTCAGATGTACAATTGATCACTAATACAATAGGGTGCCTTTGCCATGTGGGTTTATTTAATTTGTGGTGTGTACATTGCTCATTTCACTTATTCATATATGATTCCCTACTATTGGACGTAAGAGTTTGTTAATAACGAATAGAAACCTCTTCCCAGTCAAGAATGAAGAATTCGTGAGATTGAGAATGAAAGACGCCATAGCTTCAACAGTCTAAGAAGAATTATTCGGTAACTAATTTGCAGAATTCGGTTGGGCTCCTCATGATTTTCATTACAATAGACACAGATGTATGGCTGGGTACAGTCATCCAGATGATCCTCGTACCATGCACATGGCCAGTTTCAATAGTAAGCACTTTTATTTTTAACTTCGATAGGAAAGCACAAGTATAAGGAGCACTACATGAAGAGAGTAGGAGAGTAAAGCAGAATGGCTGGACTCTGACCAAATTATATATATATATATACATATACATTATAATTACCTGCAGTAATCTGAGTTCCATTCAATTTCATAATATCAAATATCCTAAAGTAATTCAAATTAATTATACCCATTTGAGACTTATATTTTTAAATCAACTATAGGTAGACAGCAATTACGAATAATAAGCTTAAGTTGAAGGCTCATTATTAAGTGTTCTAAATTTTATATAGAAACGAAATGTTAAATTTTACTCATTATTTCATCAATGAAAAGATAACTTTGAGGATCCAGGTGGCATTCTCTATGTTTTTGCAGTTCTAAAATCGTCTGATGTTTGTGACATTAAATTTCTGGAGGTAAAGAAATTAGGAAATTGAGTAGATTGTTTTTCTTGTGGAGATTCTAAAGTGGGCTTTCTATTTGCTTCACTATCGAAATCAGTTTCAAAATTAGCTTGTAAATTGTCTAATGTTTATTTGATCTTCTGCTTTAACCTATCAGTTCTTTAAGATTCCAGTTGATTTTTCCTGTTCTTTTAAAGTATTATATCCAATTATTGATTATTTTCGAATAGTTTTGTCCATATTCTATTATTAATATTCTTCAACTAATCGGGAATATTAATATTCATATATTCATAAAACTGATTTACCTTTTAATCCGAGTAGCGAGGCAAGTGTAACTCCTCTTATTTATTGGGTATAATTTTTTTGAATTTGTTTTCACTTTTGTAATTATATTTGTATTTGCGTTATGGTTAGACAGTTATCAAAAATGCAGAGTTTTTTTGTCTCAATTCCTCTTCAGCCATCATTTATCCAGTCTGAATAGCTCTATCTTTAATTTACTTTAACTAATTCTTAAATTTATTTAATCTATCCTCCGAAGATTTCTTGATCTTAATCTTTTTCTCAATCTCAACCTTCTAAACAACATCAATTTTATTACTCAATTCAATAAGTTATTTCAGATTGTTGATTTGTTCGTATATGTTTACTGATTTTGAGGTCAACTTATCTTTAATCTCATCCCTGGTGTTCAAATAAGTCAGCAGACTGATCACTCCCTGAAAGGACTTGGGAAGGGCAGGAATGGGATTCTAGCTTTAGTTGTTGCTATTCTGACTGTTCAATTCATTCATTTAATTTAAGGCTGCATTGATTTCCTCTTCAGTCAATTAGGTTCTCTCTATCAATTGTTTCATAATCTTGGCAAAAATGTCTCTCGCAGCCGAGTCCAAATAACACGCTTTGAATTCCTGAAGGTTTAAGGAGAAATCCTTATTTTGATCGACTACCTTAAAGAAATCAAGCAATTCCTTTTTCGTAATGAATATCCCATATCTAAAATGGTTATTCGCAATTACTTAGTAAACATCCTGAATACTTCAATAAAGTCTAGTGCCTTGGAACCATCATTGTCAAACTTCTCAAACAGCAGGGTTAGCTCAATGTGTTTACGCTGATGGTTCATTTAAATTAATATACTCTTTCTTCAGGCAAATAGCGATACATTTCCTTGGCCTTCGGATCTGCTTTATTTTGATGCTTGTTAATCCAATTCATCATTGAATTCGTGTGCATTTGACCTCTCTTTTAGCATTTCAAAAATTCCTTTTCCAATTCTTCTCTCCTATTCCGATCCTGTTCTTCCTTCTAAGAATGGGATATTTTTTCTAACTATTCTCTTCTTCTCTATTGGGACATTAATTTATCAAATAAAATCCTAATTCTCAAGTTAATACTCTAAATCACAAACTCTTATAATGATACAACAGCCTTGCAATTATTTTCAAATGCACCTGGTCTAACATCAGAAGAAGTCCTTTTCGAGAGAAAGACTAAAAAACCCTTTTTGCAATAATCTAAAATTATTAAGATACCAATAGATAAATTAGATTAGACATTGTACTGATTAAATGATATATTGCGAAAAGCTAAATATTAAGTTTAATTATGGGTATTTGAATTGTTGGTTAGGAATGATTGTGGAGATCGGGGAAATAGAAAAAGAGCGAAATGAAGTTGTGATTATAATTGTTAATTATGAAATATAAAAATATGAGAAATTATATAAAATGAAATAATATTATATTGTAATTGGTTTATTTTCTTTTCTTTGTAGCTATTTGAGTGGGGATATTGTTATTGAGATAATATTAATGATATTTCTTTGGTTCGCTATTTTTTATAGGGCAGTTGAGAGGACAAACGATCAAAATCCTATATATCATTCTGAGAACTTTTGAGGAGAGGAGGAAGGAAATCATGAAGTAGGGAGAACGTAGGTTAAATTGGAATAGTGGATTTAGGGACGATGAATGAGATAGAGAACATAGATGATGATGATAGTTTTGAAAAAATAATGATGATTGGATTATTAATAAAATAAATAAAATAAAAAAATTTATCAAATGAAGTTGTGAATTCCTTTAAATATATTGTGTTTTTGAGTGGAGTTTTGAGCATTTGTTGATAGGTGAATTGATTTTAAAAAGTTTTGGTTAAAATATTTCCATATATTAAATCTTTATTTTAATGAGGCAGGTCGATCCAAATGTGCCACTTTAGAAATGTGAGGTTTGGGAAGTAGAAAGTCAGAAGGTAAGAAATTTCAGAATTTTTGTTAGGAAAGAGAGTGCAAACAGATAGAAATACCTAAATTCACGACTGTGGAAGGTTTACCTCAACTAACCCTTAAAATTCCTCCTACTTATATTCACACTAATATTGCATATCCAGATGAAAACGAATATTCATGCGACGAAGAAGATTAAGCAGCTGGAGTGGATCCACTCACCATCCAATAACTAGACATCAGGAATAACCTATCGAACACTCGGAACTATGTTTGCCAATATGAATTGCTGAATTCCATTAATTACCCTCCAGAATATTATAATGCTAAGGTTGAACGTCTTCAACGACCTCTGTTACGAGTGTTCATGAGGGCTCAGGAGAATGAGTAAAAAAATCATTTTTATATTCATCACTAGTTACAGAATGAATATGGCATTTCGTCCTCGTAGATCCTACAAATAAAAAAGGTTGAAACGACTCAATATCTAACTTCCTGAATTTGACGTTGGTAGACAGATCATCTACAATGAGAATCTGATTGCTCTCCAGCTTATTTCCTAAATTAAGTAGCGTGAACTATTAAAATTAAAACTAATTAAATAAGATGAGCAAGAATTTACAAATACGTTTAACAATTGCTAAGAAATATTCAACACACTCAAAGACTTAAGACTGGCCCTCAAAGAAGAAGAACCTTAAGAAAATAAGGACCATAGATCTAAGATTTTTGATTCATGTCAAGATCCAGAATGTGCCTATTAATTCACTCCTCCCTTAATCTCCTAAGCAGTGATTGAATTTATGGACGATCAATATTCAACAATCAAGGACAAGCAAGTGCTCTGGCCCAAACAACCAACTGTACTTTCAGATTGGAATCTCGACAACTATTCTAAAATTGGAGTCTATTAATCCAATCAACAGTTAGTTTATTCTACTTTCAACAGAACTCTCCTCATCTAAGACAGAACCAAAAAAAATAAAAAGAAGGTCAAATTGATGTTGGTTGATAGAAACAGAGCTTCAGTTTTTGATGGAGTCAGAGCTGATTATGAACACTTTTACTCTCATTATCAGAGACAGTTGAACAATATTGAAGCCTAAATGGAATAACAGAGGAAGGAAATCCAGAAGATGAGATTGGAGTAGGCAAAAAAGGAGGCGATGTTGAAAATGCAATAGAAGAAGGAGGAGTAGAGGAGATTACTGAAAATTAGATTGAAAGTGAATTATGTGGAAGAACCAAAAATAGTAAAGACTGTAAAAATTAAACATTCTGATGATTTGAAGTTTTTATTGGTCAAACATGATTCAAGTTCTCTTGAGTTGAAATAGGAGAATTGTTAGATCATTTTACAATGAGATTTTTTTCAAAACAATGAAAGCTTTATTATAATTTTTGTGTAGGATTATTTCACTTATATTTCTTTTTGTTTTTTAATTTAAAATAAAGATTTAAAATATTTTTCATTATGGCAGAGGTTGAATAATTATCAGAAGAGCTCACTACCTTAAAAAGAGTTGTCTAAACTTCTTTACATAGAGGATAATTATCAAAGGGGGTACATGAAGTCTGCAAAGCAATTGAAAGCAAATAAGTTGATTATTGATATATATTGGAATAGGCTAAGTTTGTTGTGTTGGCTGATGATTGTTCAGAAGAGACATACAAAAAATTAGTTGTTGCTTTGGCCAAGCAATTCCAAATTCCAGTTTGGAGAGTCGAGAAGGGTGCTTTGTTGGGAGAATGGATTGGAATCTCAAAGTTTTTGACTAAGACAAAGAAAATCAAGTCAAGAAAGTGTTCATCTGTGGCAGTTAAAGATTTCGCAATTGAAGTAAGCGAAGCTGAAAAGCAATTCATTGAAGATAAAATTAAAGGATTGTGAGAGTATTTTATCTGTACAACATATAAAACAAGTATATTAATGTATATTTATCGTAATCTCCGGAATCAAAAAGTATTGGCAAAGTGATTAAATTTTAATTATTTAATTTTTATTATATGTCTAAGCATCGAAGAACTAAATCAAGTGGGAATTATTTCTAAATTAATCACGAGTTTTTAGTTAAAGATGATGATTTCGAATATAATGAAACTAAATTGATTATACAGAAAATACAATAAATGGCTACTTAAACTTAACAAATTGTAGAAAAACTTGATGAAAACACCCAAGGAATGTATAATAACTTATTCAACTTTGGAAAACAACAATCCAAAGAAAAAGCAGATCTGAATCTCAGCCAAATCTCAGAGTGTAGTTGTAAAACATACTCCTTATTAAAAAGCAACTCATTCAGCTGAATATCCAAGTCTCAAATTATGTAACTAAGGCCTTCAATCGCCTATTCGAATGCACGCCTAAACTAGTTAAAGTTTGCAATAGACGATTTAATACTTAGAGCAAGAAATTGAATAAATGAAAATACAACAGGATGAAATGCATACAGTTAATATGTTTTTATTATAAGAAACTTAAAAAAATCGTTAAGATTTATTGAGGGGTTAAAAAGTAAGACTGAATTATAAATAGGAAAACGAAGAAAGGATTAAATAGCTCATCTCTAAGATTGACAAAGAGTAGTCGAATGCGAATGGGTATTTTCATAAAATATTTTTAACAGTAGTACTTCAGACGGTCTAGATTTAATTTGATAACATTTTCCTATATATATATATATTTAGTTCAAGATTAAATTTAATAATGTCTTCAATCTAAAACAAAATTAAAGAATTAATCACAACATGTCAACAATATTTAATATTTGGTGAATTATTTATATCAGATTATAAATATTTTCAGCAAAGTAGTCAATGGAATTATTGTCATTTACAAATTGGGATTCACTTTCTAAAATGATAAAACCAGTCCCCCAATTATAAAAATTTGAAACTTTAAGTAAAGCCCTAAAGTATATATCATGCAGCATCCAAAAATGATACTCAAATTAATAAACAGATGAGTTAAAGTAAAAAGTTGCTACCTTTAAACTCCACTATGTATTACTACTCCAAATAATAATGAATCAAATATTTATAGGTAGATGTGTTTCACTTAAGATATTCCACCAGCTAATATATAATACTTTATTAATACCATATAAAATCACTAGGAGAATATACTCAAAAACGATTTGTGACTAAACATGATTTTGCTCTTAAGGCTAATATCCCTGTTATTGATTTTCCAATTATTCATTAGACAAGATCTCAACTTAAATGATTTCCCCCATTTGTTGGTCAAAGTCACCAATTTTAAATGGAATTGATTTCTGAATTCTGTTTTAATTTCTGAAATATTCACTAGTATCTTCATATTTAATAGAGATTTATTGAGCATCATTCCCTTTTTTCTAGTTATCTATTTAAGACAGTAATTTGGAAGTCTAATTTGAATCCATTGCCCTTCCCTTTTCCAATAATACTGTATTCTTCAAAGTAATTCCTAACTATGCCAATTAACTCTTATCAGCCTTCTATATGATGGCATACTAGCTTTCCCCAGTGACATGATCGTATATTTGGACTGCCTCAACTGCAGATTCTATAACTTCTACAGATAAAGATGTTAACTTTGCTTTTGAACTCTGCATGGTGTTTAATTATAATGGCTGTTACATATTAGGTAGTTCTAATTTTTTTTCTGGATCAAACTTTTTTATTAATTCTCTTAACCAAATAAATACAAATAAACCTATGAGTATCCAATAGTGTTCTATCAAAAGGGTGCTAAATATAAACAATTTAACGCAATCGTATATTATGTTAGGGCATATTTACGCTTAAAATAATAATCCAAAGAGTGTTGAGACTATTAAAATGAAAATTTAAATTGCCAACATATACGATGTTATTGTGTGTAAAATATTTATTTATTTTGGAATAATAATTTCAGAATAAAACTCCTTTCTCTTAAATATTGAGTGGTCTTGCTGAATTGGGATTGGTATATCTGCGAATAAAGTCTTACAATATCAATTCAGAGTCTTTGAAGTCAGTGGCTGCATGATCATTAGCCTATCTGTGGACTCTGCATAAAGTCTCCTTGTAATCCTCATACCACCACACGAATCTCTTGATATCTATTCAAATCATGACTGCATACTAACCTTCGTGTTCCAAAAGAAACTCGTTCTCCTTCACCAACTCCTACGCTCTTAATTGAACATACTCATCAAACAAATTGACTTTTGTTAATTCAGATTTGTATTCGAAGTATATTTTACCAAATATAACACACTAAACAACGGGGAATAAGTATCTAAAAGTCCTGAATCTGATGTTTTGTGTTATCACATTATAATTATAAGCATAAAGGAACTATAATACATCTTATAAATATTATTTACCAAATTGATTCCAAAGGCAACAGCCTAATACCCAAACTTATTATACTCTATAACGGGATAGGTCATATCATCTTCCCATTCGGCTAAAATAGATATTCAAATGTGTATTCTTACGATCTTGAGAACTCAAGCAAAAGGCATTGAATGGCACTTTTGGCTAAGTCCAACCAGCTGTCTCAATCAATTCGACCATCTTCTTGATTGATCTGTATCTCTTCAAACGAGCTTCTCTATTGTATTTAAAACCAATACTCACCTAAATGGAGGTAGATTCTAATTTCTAAGTCCAAGTAAACTAATGATTGTGAAATAATTATCCATTTAATTAAATATTGAATTTGAATAATTAAATACATAAAACCAAAATCACTCTTCAATAGATAGCTACTTCTCATATCTTTCTTTCTTCCACCTCACCTATGTTCGTTTTCCTATTGAAATCTCTAAGTATTGAAAAATATAGAATCAAATAATTAATTATTATATACTCCACTGCAAAGCAATGCAATAGCAAATTTAAAGATAAAAATGATAGCTAGAGTCTATTTGTATTAGTAATTGAAATATGATTAACTTTTCATTAATAAGATTTCATATTGCTTAAAAAGATTTTCTATTTATACGGTGAATTAAGAAATATCTATATATCAATAATTTAGAGACAGTAAATATATTTAAGATGCATCGGATACACAATAACCTTAATTATTTATCTAAACTACTGATTCTATAGTCTATCATAAGCAGTGTTTTTAAATGCTCTTTTTCTAACTGCTCCTTTTGTAGTCTCAGTTCAGAAGCTCATAAAATTTTAATTATGTAGTTGTTCAATATCTTAGAATTTATAAATAAAAATCTTAAATTGGTAATCCTGTAATTATAATAAATTACATTAGGATACGTTCTTTGTTAAGTGCTGAATAGGTGGATAGCATTATTATTACCAACTAATATTATTTTCTATACGAATATGAAAAATAATATAATAAAAGTAAAATTAAAATAATGTCATTACTCTTTGAATCTGATTTGGGAACTTAGAAACAAAGGAGGTAAGCTATTTAGTAATTAAGAGTCAAACATTCAAAGGAATTTTGAAGTATCGTTAAGGGTTCACCATGCCTCATTGTGATAACAATAGTGAAGATGCATCATTCGAGCCAAATGTATGTTCAAATAGAAAAATCGAAATACAATAACCAGTCTAAAATGCTTTTAAAGGGGATTGTTTGAGTCCTGATCCCGACCCTGATATGGAGGAGGATAGTAAGAGCATGCTGCAAATAGAGATCAAGGAAAAAACTAATTTGTGGGTCCATGGGGGGCTTAGAATAATGTTTTATATCACTAAATTTATAAAGTAAATGAAAACTCATTCAACGGAAGTCAAGTTCAAATCATTAACAAATGAGATAGTGGATTTGATTCAGGATTAAGCAAGCGACGCAGATAATTTATTGCATAAATTGAATAAAGTTGAATAAGTAATGCAGAATTTGAAATGGGTTTTGAATTAGTTACCTGTTTTGGATCCCGATTCAAATATTAAAATAATTTGGGACATTTTTGTATTAACCCAAATTATAATCAACATTTTCTACATTCCAATGAAGTTGGGATTTGGTTTTGAAAGAGAAGACTTTCTGAGTAGTATATTTTTAGAGACCTTGCCTTCTTGGACCTTTGTGATTGATATAATACTGACATTCTTTACTGCTTTTTATAGCCAAGGTTAAATTCATAGGGATAAGTAGGAAATCCTCAAACATTATGCAAGTCTTTAGTTATGGTGGGACTTGATGATTGTAATTCCATTTATCTTGTCTTCTTATTCAGTGCCTTACACAGAATACATTTTGTTGTTAAGAGTGACCAAGGTAAAATCGATGATTGAAGCAATTGAGGAAGTCACTAATCCATCGATCAATGTGCAAACCTTATTGGAACTCTTCAAATCTATGTTTTTGGTGCTTTTTGTGTCTCATTTTTGTGCATGCTTATGGAATTTGATAGGAGAAAACCAATTGGAAAATGGGAAGAATTCATGGTTGATAGCCAAGAATATCACTGATGCAAGTTGGCTCACAAAATACATACACGCTTTTTATTTCAGTACAATTACTACTTTAACTATTGGTTATGGTGATATCGTACCTCAAACAGATTTAGAAAGAATCTATGTAATATTAATGGCAATGGTGATATGCGGTCTATTTGGATACACAATATCTAGTATTGGAAATATTCTAAGGTAATTGACAGAGAAGGAACAGTAATTCAAATAGTAGATGATGCACATAAACAACTTCCTTAAGAAGAAAAATATTAATAAATAATTAATGTTGTAAGTTAGGAAATACTTCGAGTACTTTTTAAGGATGGAACAAGATTATAATGAATTGGGTGAAAAAATGATGGTCAATCTGGATAAGAAGTTAAAAGAGTAAGTTGCTATAGATATGTATTGTGAAATGTTGAAAAAATCCAGATTAATCAAGTAGACCTTATCATTGAAAAGTGTTCAAAAATTGTGCTCATATGTACATGAACTTAAAGTAGCTCCAGAAGAGATTATAGCAACACAAAATGATTAAGCTAATAAGCTTATATTCATCTAAAGCGGATAATTGAGTTTGATTTGTAATTTCTTATTTTGATTAATTTTTAAGGTGATTAAAAATTAAGAGAAACCATTGTTGCCACTATTGAGGAAGGCAAGTTTGTGGGTGAAAAAGAATTCATTACTCAGGCACGTTATGACTACTCGATTAGATCAACTAAATTCTGTTAGATTGCATTTATCAAGTTTAATTTCATTCTAAATATAGTTATGACGATTTTCTTAGGATTGTTCGTGAGGACGCATTAGAAGAAGAGAATTACTGCATGCTTCGAGATCAAATGTTGTTTACTGAAGAGAAGTAGAATTACGGGGAAGTTTGCTGCATATGTAAATGGACACATCAATTTAAGAAGTATACTTCTCAATTCAATTAGTTGTCCTTTAGTTTTCGTGCATTTTAACTAAGATAGAATCAGAAAGAAGTTTATGATGTCAGAAGATATGATACGAGCCTCCCATGAAAGAGTATAGATGAAGAGAATGTTTCAGAGGAATATCATAAGAGAACATGCTTTGGCCATCATTGTCAACGATAACATCATTGCAATTGATGATTTAACAGATCAATATCTAGATATGTTGGGTTTCAACATGGAAGACGATCAAAATGGGAGATTAATCAAAACATTGAAAAGTCAAAAGTCTAATAAATCCATGTTAAGAGGATTTACAGGGTTCGAGCAGTTCAGCAGTGATTCCTCTGGTAGTGATGAATCCAGTTCGTAATTCAATAAAAGTAAAACCCCTAAATCATCTAAATACTCACATCTGCAAAGTATGGAACAAAAGAAGGTTAAATTTCATCCAACTCCTGAACCTGAACCTAAGGTCCTCAGAGCCTAAAATTCATTCAGAAGGAAAGCAGATAACAGACATAAGACTCTTTAGAGATTAACTTAAATATCGAATAATAGATTTACCAATATTACTTGCATTTCATAAGATCAAATCCCGTAGTAATAGTAATAATAAGTTTAATAAACCCAATAAACTTAATAAAGTGTATAAAAACTAAGGAAAAATAATTCAAGTTCGTATTCAAACATGGATCTTGAAATGCCTGCAAAATCTCTATCTAAATCTGAGGTCACTGGTAGTAACATGGTTAACTAGTTGGACGAAGTTATTTCCTTAAGACCCAGCGATTCTCCTAATCAAATTTAGAGAGTGGATTTTGAATTAGATAGATATTTTATTACAACCTACTATTTTACTCACTTCAATTTAGATAAAATCCTCTAGAAACTTCAAAAGCCCAGAAGAACTATTAGATCTGAACACATACAAAGTATCATTAGAAAATCGAAAATAAAGCCAAGTTAATATACCCCTTTAACTGATTGAAATATTTTTATAATTCCCCCAACTAAATTAATTTGATTTTATCTATGTGTAAAAATGATCATATGATTCTTGACTTTTCCATTTCGTCTCATCATGTGAATCTAGTAATCTTAGAAATTAAGTATTTTTAATTAGTACGCAGTTATATATTAAAAAGTATTATTCCAAGAACATAAATTAATGAAAATTCATCCCTTTAAACACAAGGAGGATAATGAGACATTGCATACCTGGAGTAGTCAGAGGCAATTTACTGAAATGGGATCTTAAGTTGGTCTGATACAAACACATAGTGGGTTTCTACAACCCATAAATAATAGCAATAGAAAATGCAGAGCTAAAACAGTAAAGAATTTGTAAGATAATCAGTTTTATATGTAAGCATACAATTATCCTCAACAGCTACTATTTCTCCCACTAATTCCCAGAGGACAGATAGGAAACTTTAATTTTAAAAACTGATCAGGAAGATCATTAATGCTTAACACTTCATAGAGGAACTTAGGAATTATGCTGAGTAGCTGAGGACTCAAAATTTACGCTATGCCTACAAAAGAAGAAACCTGTTACCTCTATTTCCAGATGATATCCCTTATATTATATGGGGATTAATTATAAATTTATGCACTGATTTTGCAGCAATTTTATTTCCCTTACAAGTTGCATTCGATTTTGAAGTACATTATGTAAAATATAATAGAGGGAGTAGGCAGTCAACTAACATTGGCAATATAAATAATATTTTGGTTGGATCTAATCGTGAATTTTTTTATTTGTCATGTCAATAAATAACTTGATTTGATTTACAATTTTAAGGATATAGCTTAACATTATTTAAGTGGTTGGTTTTTGTTTGACCTAATCTCAGTACTCCCTGATTTTAATTTAACTGGACTCAAAATATTAAAACTAATCAGATTATTTCGATTTTTCCTGTTTGAAAGAAGAGTCGCTTACAATTAATCTCTTGATCTTTTGAAATAGTAGAAGGCAATTAAAGATGAGTTAGTGGTCAGAAGTGAATTTAATTTGGATTTGAGACTCAAGAAGTTGATGAAGATATTTATGGAAATGATAGTACTCAATCACTTATTTGCTTGTTTGTGGTTGTGGATTTGCAGATTCAATGAGAATACAAACTGGTTGTCTTATTATCACTTTAATGAGAAGGATCAATTCACTCAATTGATTTAAGCATTCTTTTGGGCATATCAAACTATAACAGTGATAGGCTATGGGGATATCGAAGCTCATAATTCCGATGAATACTTACTAGTAAACATTTGGATGCTAATAGGAGTTGGCTATTATTCATTCACTATTGGGAACATTACATTCATTTTGATTCAATCCAATCCCAATCAAGAATTCGATGATTAACTATTTAATTTGGAAGACATAAGTGTGAATATGCCTGAATGGATGCAAGATGACTTATTCAGGTTTACAAAATATAATATTCAGTACAATCCCTTCTGGGCTGATGATGCTAAGAGGATACTGTCTGAATTGCCACACCCATTAATTTTGTATATGATGGCAGCTGTCCAGAAAGAAATCTTTAGAACCATTCCATTTATGTCTAATGACATTAACTTCTCTGCAGCCATTCTACCCTATTGTTCCTTAGCATGCTATCAACAATTTGAAACTATATATCATATAGGATAAAGTGCCAATGATTTCTATTTTCTTATCAAAGGAGATGTGAGATTATGTGATGCTCATGGAGAATCTATCATAAGTGTAATGGAAGGAACATGCTTTGGTGAGATTGAATCAATTGAATATACACCAAGATGTTGGAGTGCTTTGGCATTGCAGGAGAGTATTGTTTTGATGTGTTCTGCTCATTTCTTTTCAGAATAGCTATAAAATGAATCGCCTTAATTTTTTGAATTGCAACAAATGTACAAGCGAAGAAAAATAATACTATTTCAATAAGCCAAATTGAAGCGCTGTAATAATATTACTAATTTTAATAGAAAAATTAAACAAAATTAGAAGAGGACATGCTATTAATGAGAATTAGTATTTAAACCGAAAAAATACGATTGCTTAAAAATTGGACAATTTGAAATAAAAGTTTGATAATCGTCCATACTAAAGTGTTTAATAAGACCTAATGTTATAAATTGTAGGCTAAAAATAAGCTAGATTTGAAATTATTAGAGAACGGTTTGTAAAAGTAATTTATTGTAAATAAGTATTAGGCTATTTCTAAGGTTAAGTATTATGTCTAGAAATCTAAAAAGTTTCAAAATATTTCTGTGGATGATCCTGATTATCGAATTATTCAAAGCTTGATAAACAATAGAGTTGTTAATAGTGCTTGGAGCAAATAAAAATCAAAGAAGTTTGGCTAAAAACTCTTAAGCAATTTTGTTAAAGTTTGTGACGATGAGGAAATGATTAAGTCTTTTATATTGAAGAGCAAATAAGAATCCATCGATAGAATTATGAGAAAGAAATTGGTTCATATAATTAGAAACATAGCCAAATTGTATAAGAAAGAAAAAGTTGACAAAAATAAGATTGATCTATTTTATGGAAAATATCATTCATTAATTTATGAAGAAATCAATTCTGAAAAATTAGAAGAACGCAAAAAACAAAAATAGAAATTAGAAAGCATTCAGTAAGAAAAACGAATCAGAACACAAATCCAAGTATTAAATTCCAATTTTAAGTAACTGCAAAAATTGTAAACATCAATATCTATGGCTATTTTCGAAATTAATCAACATGAATTTGAAATAGATGCTCTTATATCAGAACTCAAACAATAATTATTATTAGTTTAAATTTGATTGAAAGTACTTTATATACATTCATTTTTCTAAATTATTCAACTCATTATTAATAATAACATTCTATAACATAATTTAAAGAAAAAGATATAATCAAACAAAGAAGTCGCTGACGCTCTTTATCTAACACCAAATTTCTTAATATATTTGTCTACGTTCATTTTTGGATTCAGTAAAGCTTTCCTTTAAAACGATTGAATTATCAGTATTTTAAAAAAATATTTTAACTCTATTCTTTGGAATAATCAAATGAAGCCACTGTTTATCTTAATAATGTACTTAAATACTAATAAAATAATATTTAGGTATTACCCCTATGTTTAATTTTAGTACTTATATATTGTAGGACAATAGAGGGAGTCAACTTATGGTTAATGATAATTAAGAGGAGCCAATGCTTTCCCATTATTATTTTTAGCCCTTTCTTTGTTAAAATTAATCAATCCATTAACTAAACTTTCATCGCCGTGTAAAATCGCCCTGTATGTTGTATCAAAAAACTTATAATTATATTCTGAATTATATTCCATTATTTCAGTCATGCCCCTTATTCTACTTTATGAAGCATGATCCAATATCTGAAAGTTACTATCATTGGCATTTAAATTTTGAGTCTAGTTTTCTCTTAAATCAATAATCTTTAAATTTTATGTTTAAGGATATAAATCAATAGATATGCATCCTATGATTGCAATTATAAACAAAAATGATAATCCTAATTTTCCAAGACTTTTATTCTTTGAGACAAAAATTGGATCTTCATCATCAAATCCAAAATTTCTACCCCCACAATTCAAGCAAGTCAAAACAGAGTATTATTGTTGAAACTACTAATTTACTCTATGAGCTTCATCTAATTATTATTATAATTGATTGATTTATTCATGCATTTCGTTTAATTGAACGGATTAATTGAAAAAGTCTTCTTCCAATTTTTATAAATAAGCTTTCTTTTTATCTCTTGAATTTTAGGCTGATATTCTATTTTTGATCATTTATATAGTCTTTTTATCATTTGTTTGTGGAAATTCTTATTTTTGATCTTAGATCCCCTTTCCAGTACTTTTCTATTTCTTTTCCTTTTTTATAACTTTTTTGCATGCCTAATTTTTGCTATTATTTTCTTGAGAACTTTAGGATTAAGAGCCAGTAGTCCCTGAAAGCAATGCAGGCACAAAGTGAGACGAATCTGTAGAACTCTCCTGTTCTTATTTCTTCTAATAAAACTATTAAAATATGTCTGATTATTCATTGTCCTCTTGATATTTTTATTATAATTCAAGTATTAGCTAAGAAAGTGGTTTGTCTTTTATTTAATTTAACATATTATATATTATAAATTATTTTTCGTATTCATTAAGAAAATAGTTTTTATACGTGGGATGTTCCAAATCCACAAATTAATAAATTTAAAATTTATTTAATTATATTTACTTCTTATAGATAATATAAAATAATCTAAAAGAATTAAAATTAATTCAACAACCAAAGTATAACAATATCTCCTTACTTTTTAATCAAAATTGAATAGTAGATTATCTTAATAACATTTGACAATCAAATTTCAATTCTCATTCTTGAATCAAAAGATAATAAATTAGAAATAATTAAGATTTTTAGATTTAATTATTGAAGATGATTAAATTTGAAATGTACTATAAGAATTGATTAATACTGATTAATAAATTAAAATTGATTAAAGATACATTATCAAAACTGTTTAAGGTTCAAGAAAATTAGAAGGAACAAGAATTCCAGTGTCAAATAATTCTATTAATTGATTAATCTATTATATCGAAATTCAGATAAAGAATATTGTTGTAAAAAATAAAAAAAATAGAACCATACTATTGTAATCTTTATCCTCGATTTTAAAGGTTATTAATATATATTAATACTCTAAATCTATATGATTAGATGTTATCTTAATCTAAATGAAAAATCTGTATGAAATTCTAATTATTAATCATTCGCATCTATTATAATTAAAAACTGCAATCATAATGAATATATTAATCATTACTAATAAGATTTAAGGTACTCAAAAATAAAAAATAAAAAAAAGTAAATTACTTTTTATTTCAAAAACTTAATAAGTAATTAATAATATAAATCTGGGCGTAATATTAGATAATGATATTAAATATATCAGATTAATCCACCTTAGTTTAATTTTTATCTTATAACATTACTGAACTCAGCAGAGTTTACAAATTCCTTAGCATTTCTAGTTGTTTACAATTAAATTTAGTATTGGCTCTTTAATTCATTGTAAATTTAAGTTTCCTAAGCTTAAGCATCTTTATCTTATTCTATATAAATTATCTCAATATGATTTACATAGCGAATCTTTATAATTTTAGAGATCATTCTCGTTCTCAGCCAATGCTTCTCTTGTGGATTTTAATTTGCCTAAAATAACTTAATTTATTACTCTAATAAGTAGCTAAAACGTAAGTAGCCTCCAAAACAGATCTTTTAAATTCTTGATATTCTGTATTTAAAGTTTTTTATCTCTCAACCCAAGTCTACTCAATTTAATTTTCATCAGCTGTTTCTTAGTTTAAGCTTGCTACCAATTAATTCCTTGTATCTGACAATAAGTCTCTAATTTTCTTAGCTTATTCTTGATCTGAAAAGTTTTAAGTTAATGACATCAGTGCTTCAACAATTGGATGAACTGTATTAGTCTTTTGTGTTTTAGTATTGATTCTTTCTATTGCTTAGTTTATGGTTCCCTTTTCAGCAAATGATATATTTCCATTTATTAAAGCATTAATCAATTGAATTGCTTCATCAACTGCACTTATAGCACTTTGATGTTCACTTACTTTTAAATAATAATTAATTATTACCTCTATCTAAAAATTATTGATGCTATTTTTATCTGTTTACTGTTTCTTTTGATAAATTATCTCTATTATCATTTATATATCCATTCAATCTATCAATCTTTGAATTGGTTTGATCAATACTTGGTAAAAGAATGGCATCAATAAAGTCTTTTTAATTGAAGATATTAATTTCTGTTTATCCAATTTGAATATCTAAATTCTCTTGTGTAGCAGCATGTTAATTAGTTGATCTTGTGTAATCATCATCTAATTATTATAATTCAGCAGTTAATTCATTTTCCAAATCCCCAATTGCTGTCACTAAATCATCTAGACTCCTGTTACATTTAAATTACCTTACCTAATGGTCCTCGCATTTCTGCATGTGTTTATGCCAATTCTAAGATCATTTTCCCCAAATTGCTTTAGTTCAATTCATCAAGTTTGGCTGTTCCTAATTACACCATAGTTGGATCAATGGCATTCACATAAATGAGTGCCAATATTAAAAGACTAAGCTTTCTCATTATTATATTTTTATTAATCCGTTTTCATTATTGATAACTGTATATTTTTTAAATATTCTTATTCATCATGCAATTTAATTTGAAAGGAATATTAAATTTTTAATGTTTTATTAAAAAAAGACATCTATAGTTTAATTGCATCATTTCTATTAGAACTATTTTAATTGAAATCTAATATATTTTGGATACTCTATCAGTTAAATTTAATTGTTATGAACCAATGTACATTCTAATTCTATTCAATTGATTTTAGTTTTCATATAGGTTCACAACTTTGCCACTTTAATAAATTAGTATGTTGTAGACTATTAGATATGATAGATTTAAATTTAATTTAGAATAATTTAATAAATAATTTGTAATGTTAACACTAAATTAAGTATTATTTGATTGATTTCTTTGTCAATTAAAAATATATGCTCTATGTAAATGTGATACATTAGCTTAAGGAATCAGCTTTTAAAGTATGAAAAATATAAATATATTTTATTTAAAACAAAATGTTAATTTATTAACAATTTTCAAATTTCTTTAGTAACTGTTACTAATTCTCTGTTTTAAATTAAGAATCCTAATTAAGCTAAAGAATATTGTTGAACAGGTTTAACTAAATTTATTATTGGAGTTTAATTAATTCAGCTGAATAAGTAAAGTAATATTGTAAGAAATAGAAAAGAAATGAAGAAATCCTATTGAGAGGCAACAAAAACTTTGGAATAATAATTTTAGCCAATGATTGATAGTATTTCAATTAATACGAATTCCGTTTTTCCATTCCCCAAAGGAAGTTTTGCCATTAGGTAATTTTAATATTGCTCGACCATGCTGTTTATCCTACTACCATTCTCCTTCGTATACTCTACCATCTGGGAATCTCAAGGTTCCTTAACCGTGTTTTTGATCAAATACGAAATCTCCCTCATAGACTTTTCCATCAGGCCATATGTACTTACCTTTACCATTTCTATTTTAGTTATTATTTTTGATTACTTTTTGTTATTTTACCAATAGCCTATATATTACTTCCCATCTGGCCAAGTGTATTTTCCATACCCATCTATATTATTGCTTCTAAACTCTCCATCATAGATTGCTCCATCTGCCCATACAAATTTTCCTAATCCTTCCTTTTTGCCTTGTTTATAGGCTCCCTCAAAATAACTAGATTTAATATCGAATCTAACCTTCCATCTGGCCATTTCTCACTTCCTTTTCCATGTTATAAGTCATGTTCCCACTATCCTACATAAGTTGCACCATCTTCATGAATGTAAGTACCTTAACCATGAGCTTCATCATTCTCCCATTATCCCTCGTAGATTTCTCCATTTGAATGTATTAATCTACCTCTCCCATGAGCGTTTCCTTAGTAAAAATAACCTTCATATTTTGAACCATCCTTTCATAAATAAATGGAATTACATCGCAAATTAGAATTCCTTTGCCATGTCTTAAATCATTGATCCATTCTCCAAAATAGGTGGACCCATTTTCTAATTTCATTGGTGCTTTGAGTACTTTTTAATGAACGAGAGAATCATTAATATCGTCTATGCCAAAATCGAACGGAGGTAGCTGTCTAGATCCTACATTAATCACGCTGACGGAATATCTACTGTTAAAAGTGAGGCTACGTTCT